CCTTGAACTGTTTTTTGCGACAACTTACGTACTTGTAGAAATGTGCTAGTATTCCTTTGTTGGGTACGTGGTGTTCACTTATGGTTGAAGAATATGAATCGAAGTTGAGCAAAGGAAGGAAAGAAAAATGAAGGAGGTGAAAGGAAGGAAAGGCGACGGATGGTGATACCAAACTGTGGCGGTGGTGAGTGCAAGAGTATAAAGGAAGGAGAGTGAGGAGAAATCGAATCGCAGATCAGGCAGTGACGTTGGTTTTGTTGCAACAATAAAAGAAGGAGTCGAAAAAGATGAAAGGAGAAGAAAAACGCGTTTAAAAAGAAGGGTGATGGAGGGCGGTTCAAGAGATATAAAATGAGATCGGGAGTGGGAGGTCATAGGAGGCAGTAGAAAAAATCGGTCAAAAGATTCGAGAATCGAAGGCGGGGATGAAAAAAAAGACTCGCGGTCGAAACTGAGGCTACTTCAGTTGCACCTGGCAAGCTTGGTCGCTGCTGATCCAAGGATCTAGTTGGATAAGCAAATACAAAAGGGCGATTAAAAGCAAAGAAGACTAGAGATGGCGAGAGGAGAGCGAGTATATCCGTGCCTTTGGGTGGACATGCCTTCGTTTCGTCTCGAACCAATTTGGCGGTTGACACCAAAAATAAACTCGATCCTACATAGGTGTAACGCGGGTGTAACGCGGCGTGGAAACCCGACCACAGATAGAAAACAAAGGGCAGAAATGCGAGGATGACCACCCATGAAACCCAATCAAACACAGTATCCATTTGAGTACTCAGTCTACTTACACAATTGCTGCCTTTGCTCCCTTCTCCCCCTCTCTAGCCTGCATTTTTCCTCTCCTTGAGAATCAACAACCATTTTTTTTTCTCCCACCTTTCCTCCTTCCTGTCCTTAACACGCATCAATTTGTGTCGATGTCTCTCTGTCTGTCACTTTTTCCTGTTCTCTGAACAACAAACAGGATCCGGGTCCTGCACGTCTGAACAATTCCCGTCATCTCCTTCTCAACGCAAGAGAAACCATAAATTCTACTCGCTTTTACTTTCATTTTGTACATCCATTCAATCTCCCACTTCTCCGTTCAATACCCTCTTCTTGTGCAAACCCATATCCTTACTCTATCAACTGAATTGAAAAGATGGATCTGCCATGGCTCCAAGCCATGTCAGTTTTTCAATGAACAGGTTGCGCTTTTCCTTTTGTTTTTTTTTTTGTTTTTAGTTTCATTTGCTTTATTCACTTACGGCCGTAATGTATTGACTCGCAAGGAATTGTAAGGCCTAGGCGAAGCTCTCGCTCTCTCTCTCTCTCTCTTAATCTTTCTGTCTCCTAGCTTATGGTTATTCTTGTATGGCCCATGAAACGAATGGTTGCATGACTTGCCGCTCCGATCACTTTGTGTTTTTTTTCAGTTTGTGTGCTATTTTGTACTCAGAGATGGCAATTGCCTCTTACTTTCCTTTCATCATGGGTTATTTATTACTAAGCGTTGGCCGTTCGCAACTCAAAGGAAGGGCGGTGAGTTTGTCATTGGGCGTTCGAACAGAAAAAATAACGATATGGGTTCTTTCAGCTGACACCATGAGGCCTGAAGAACAAAGCTAAAACACAATTTTGGAAACGGATCTCCAAGAATTTCCGATGGGCTTGTCCCCAATGTACTCATGTGCAATTGCAAGAAAAAGAAGGGTAAATCGGGTGAAATCTTACATGAATCGTAAAAGCTTTCTCTTTGTGTCCTTTTTCATTCGACTCCATCCTTGGAGGGAAACCTGATACACTCTTCTTTGTCGCTCTTACTTTGTCCTTCTCGTGGTGTTTCTGTTTTCTTCAGCGGACACTTTTTTTCACCAAAGGGACAGACCCAAAAGAGCGGAGCTCTCAAAAAAAATAAAAACCTAATTGATCTTGCAAAATCACGCATTCCGTAAGCCGATCTCTCTTTTTTTTTCTTGGCCATATTGACGCGGATAGGGAGGAAAATAAAGTGGGTCCCTGCTATCTGCACCTTGCTATCTCCACCTTTTTTTATCACTGCTCATTCCTATGCTTTGTTTCGACCCCTAGTCTGTGCTATGATTTTTTTTATTTTTATTTTTTTTTTTTTGGCTGAATGGCCAATCGTTCCTCTTTTTTTTTTTAGGCGAAATGCACGATTGCATAGGACGCAAACATGTCAATCAACATATACCCATAGATATCTTTTTTTCAGCAGGTAGGTCGTAAATAACTGACACTGAACTCAACACAACCACTTTATTGTTTTCGGTGTAAAGAGTAGCAGGAGTCAATTGGGTACTTTGACGACTTGGCGAAGTATATGCTTTTCTCCTTCTTTGTTTACCTACTTATTTGTGTTGTAGGCATGCGACAGCAATCGATCAGGTTTTGTGACACTTAGGAGGGATGAGACGTTGATCCCTTGTAAAATGTACATTTTGTTGCAGGATCGGGAACCATTTGAATCATTGCCCATCAAGACATCCACTCACGTCCAGACGATATAAGAGGCATGAACAAGCACGATTGGGTCATCACAATTTGCTCAAGTATGTGCAAAGCCCCTGTCGTCGCTCATTATCTTTGTTGTATGTGCGTTCACATGCTGTCACCTTCTTGCCTGCCTGCCCTGAGTTTTTGTCTCCCCTGAATTGATTCACCTAGGCCCACAGTCGCTACCCGCATGATAGTTCCTTACTGTTTGTTGCCTTTTTTCAGTTCGGATAGATTCTGCTATGGTAATACACTCAATTCGCCGTGCGTGCGGTATTTTCGCCCTTCTTACTTCCCGCCGTCTATCCTATTTCAATGCTTCCATGAAGAAAGGAAGGAGCGGGAGCGTGGCTTGTCACCCTCCTTTTGCGTGCTTACCCTACCTTTATCTCTTCCTTTCACATAACCACATCATAAATCAAAATCCCTGTGCAACCATCCATCCCTCTCTTTGCCCTTTTTTCCTTTTGATTAAATGACCATGAGAAAAACGCCGTTTTGTGTGCATATTATTTTTTGGTGGATCGGATCCTGTTCTCATGCCTATTTCCTCCCCTGAGTTTGATGAGACAACCTCTCTTTCCTTCTATGATTGCTGGAGCCATCATGCATGTTGCTCCGCGGAGAACACTCTTCCAAGGTGCGTATGTGCATGTTTCAAGAAGGATTATGACCTACAGCTCATCCGCTTGCTTTTTGAGTTTGAGGTATATTTTATCTGCTGCTCAATCTAGAGCTCCTGCTGCGGATGAGATTTCATGCGCGAAACAAAAAAAACGCGTGTTTGGTTCAACCAGTGACAGGAAGATACGCGTTTTACTGTACTTTCTTTGTTGGTCGTTGGGGAAGATAAACGGTGGGAAGACCGAGCAGAAATCGAGCAAGGAAAAAATAAGAGGGAGGGTGGAATTGAAAGGTGACGAGGGGTTTTCCTCTGTTGGTTAGATTTAACCGGGAAAAAGGTATAGTTGCGTTGGTTGAGTGAGGTATCACTGACCTCTTTTGTACTTTGCTCCAAGAAAAAGACATTTACAGTCGACAATGTGTGGGATAAGTGTGTGGAGATTCCAAATGCGTACAGCACATTATCCTCTTCAATTAGATTGCTACCATGCCCTCTTGAACTCTACACATCATCGAAGTGTGTAACAATGCAAGTCAACACGGTCCACCTTGTGCACCCAGTTGCACACGAGCAGTGACAAGAAATGATCCCTCTTGACAAGATACCCCACACTGAAGACCCTATCTATGCATGCAATCAAGATGGCACCTTCCTCATACCTGCGCGTGGTGGACGTGGTGTTGTTGTTGTATCGTACCACACCTGATGGTGTTATCGTGTGCGGAACATTCATAAAAAACACTAAGTGTGGTGTTTAGTCTGCTTAATGCGGGATAGGGTCTGCACGATACAATGGCTCTAAGTGAGAGTTAGAATCGAAAGTAGTAACAAGAGATGGGGATCGAGAGTGAGTGGGCACACACAAGACACGACCTTTAACCCAACCTTGATCTTTGTGTCTCTCTCTCTTTTTTGTCATTGTCACGCCTGTTGCACCGTGCACACCATTCATGACCGTGGTTTTGTCGTCCTTGTTCTTGAAGTCTTACTCTCCTTTCCACATTGGTCCTTCATGATCTGCCCGCACGATGGCCCTCTCAGAAGAACACATATACAAAAAGGGGGTGAAGGAAGGTAAAAAAAAAGCGGAGGAAAAGAAGGTAGCCACCTGTGGTACACCATACGGAAGTGCATCTTACGCACAGCATTAGGGAGTGGGGTAATTCCTAGTTCTTGTTTGTCCCAATAAGGCTTTACATCACCACACGAAAGAAAACAACATTGAGTATCGATTCCCGTCCCCTGGTTACGGTAGTAAGTCATGACCCCATTATATCCTTCCCTCGTTGTGGCTATTCTCGAGTGATTCTCGTCCCTCTTTCTTTCTTCTCTTTCCTTCTCGAAAGAAAGAGGTTGAGAGTGCAAAAGTTGGTGGTTGTCGAGAAGAGGAGGACTTCTCTTGTCAGCAATTGGTCGTCTTTCCTCGTAGTATCTGTCCGTATTAGGTTGACAGAAGGATGGAATGGAGGATTGGTAGTGTGGTGGGTTGTAATAGTGGTTATTGGGGGACATTGAGTTTTTGGTGTAGTTATTGAGAACCCTCATAGCCAAACCCTAGTACATTGACCCATGATAAAAAGACAAGGGTTGTCGCCTTGTCCTCTCTTCTTTTTTTATTATATTGTCTTCTTCCTTGTGTCTTCATTCATCAACCTGCTACTATCTTCCCCACTTCGCTTCTCCACATATACCCCTTTGAGCCTTTGGCGCTTTTCATCTATCTTTCTTGTCCCCTGTGCTTTTGTAGATATCCATCCTTATATCCATTTCGCTTTGTTATCCTGATTATAATTTTACGTGTCCTTTTCTCCCCTCTTCTCCTTCCATTGGTTTTGTAATGACGACCAAACGCCTACAGAGATCCGTCTCGGCAGGAATGAAGAGCGACCAGAAGCCGTTCTATGATGCAGGGATCCCCAACCCTATTATCCTTCAGATGAATTACGCACAGGCCATCAAACGATCGCCTCGCGAAGTCGCTGCTGCCAGGGCCGCCGCCGCCTCAGCTTCTTCATTCACCACCGTCTCTTCCATTACTACAGCCACAACAACCACTGCAACGACAAAAAACAAGGGTGCCGCCCGCGTATTACTACATCCTATCTGGACAGCACCACGAGGTCGGTCCGACAGCTGCATGTCGGATGCGTCTGATACAGGGTCGACGATGTCTTCGCCTTCGTCTTCGGTGAGCAATTCGTCGAATGACAGCATCAACCAACTGCCACCTCAGCTTCAGCAGCAGAGAACGATGACTGTAAGGAACTCAAGTCCTTCGCCAAGTATGTCATCTGACAGGTCCTCGTCTGCCAGTGAGCGGAGTCTAGGTAAGGATAATTGAGATAAAAATATAAATGAGAACCTACAGGTCGGTTGTCATTTGTTGATTCCATGCGAAGGGAAGAGGGCCTGGGACCTGGGTGTCGCTCTTAAATTAGTGAATCTTACACGTGACATGGAGGGGGTCCATGTCATTTGGACAGAGGGACAAAGCAATGCTGCTGGGTGTGTGTGTTTGAGGGTGCCTTGTCCTTGTCCCCCTTGTCTTATCTCTTATCCATCCCTCTGACGGACTCCCCTTCCTTCTGACGTCTTCCTTTTGCTTCCTTTTGTTTTTTGTTTTCTAACCCCCTGCTTCTTTCTTTCTTTCTCTTTCCTCTTCTCATTCACCCTTTTGCCACCAACCTCAACTTACACTCTCACTCGCTCATCACATAACTCGCTCATCACATAATCCGGTTCACCGCCACTACATCAACAACTCCGCAACGAAACAACAACGACGACAACAACCTCTACAATCAACCAGAGAACAAGAGACGCGCATCCAGGAAAAAGAACCAGAAGCGACGCGAGGTTGCCAAAAAAAACAAGGCCCTCCTCAACGGAAGCAACGCCTCCCTCTTCTCTTCTTCCTCAGACAGCCTCACTGTCGAACGAGACGACAATACCACAACAACCCTCCAACAAGAACGAGACCACATGTCGAACACCTCCTCTGCCTCGCTATCCATGTCACCACCAATGTCACCCTCCTTGGCCGATGAGTCCACGCCGAGTTCAGATACTTTCGCCGCCAGCACACCCGCAACCTCATACGAAGGCGAGATGGACAAGGACGCTGTCCTCGAGGCCATTGTTGATAGCAAAGAGCAGGAGACCGTGAACAATACCTCCGATACCACCGTTGGCAGTGCACAAGAGGAGCAGAAGACAGCACAAGTTCAATTGGTTCAGGAGCACGCTGAGCTATCCTCACCAGCCTCTCAGACGGAGTCTATTGTTACCAAAAGCCTCGACGAACAGGAGCTCACTCCTTCGGTGGACAACAAAGCAGAGACAGCACTCGACACCCTCCATACAGTGATGGAGGAATCGGAGGGTAATCTCACCACCGACGCCAAGTCCGCCCCAGTCACTGCCGTCTCCGTTCCACTCGCCCTTGCAGAAGAGAACGTCTGGATCTCATCAACATCACCAGCTGCTATTGATAAGGATATCACCGAAGTCGAGGAGGAAACGACCCCAACAGAGACGATGACGACAGCCACAGCCCAAATCGACCAACAGAGTTTACCACAAACTCTCGTGGAAGTCGAGCACGAGCCATCTGAGCCTTCCGCAATCGTCTCTTCAGCCAGCCACAATGATAACAATATCGGCACCAGCACAGAACCTCAACCCAACTTGTCTTCCTGGGATGTTGCCAGCGAGAGGGTAGCGACCGTTGCTCTTCAGTGCCTCACCAAGGAGAAGGACATGGAGCTGTCATACGTTGCCATTCTCTCGGCCATCACAGTGCTCCAGAGCAAGGACCATCAACCCGACTTCGAGGATTTGGACCAGTCTCTTACTGCTGAAACGAAGGCATACAAGGCCAAGGTAGCGGCAGCTTATTCCCAGATCTTGGATATCCTCTGCAAATCCGAGGTGGCTGATAGTCTTGCCAAGGAAACCCTTCGCCAGGGTGTCATGGCTCCCGAGGAACTCTATGCCCAGCTCTATGGATCAATTCAACAGGCCGGATACGATCTTCAGGTGTGCGCCTCAGTCGCTTTGACATGAGTAACTTGATGACGCGTGGATATGTGAATTGATGCTAACAGTACCTACTTTGTTCTTGTCGCATTGTAGGATGACGCACACTTGTCGATGGCTCAGTACTGGACCGAGAGGAAGAAGATCGAGGAGGCGCAAGAGTGTATATACCGCATCGACCCCTCTCAATGGACCAACTCTGTTTACCGCGCCGCCATTACCTGCCATGTCTTTGCGAAGCCCCGACAAAGCCAGGAGGCAGAAGGATTGTTGCAAAAGTACATCGACTCTCAGGAGGCTTCAAAAGGTCAGGTCGAGGCAGAGTCCAAGATTAGGACCTGGTACCGACTTCAGCAGGACGCTTCCAAGTGGGAAGAGGTCAAGGCCCAGTACGAGAGACGCCGAGCCCGTCTTGTGGATGCCCCTGCAAACGTTGAGCGTGTCGAAGCCGAGTCGAGATTGACACCCCAGGCACTCCAACAATTGCAGGAACAGCAGCGATCTCCACAGCGCATCAATGGACACAAGCGCAGTGTCTCTATCGCCTCGTCTACAACCTCGTCCTCTCACCGTCGTACAGCATCAGGTCAGATTCCTGGCTCTCCTGTTGGCCATCAGAGAACCTCGTCAAGTCACCAGAGAACCCCTTCTGGAGCCCTTAACTGGCCCTCTGGTGCAGCAGCGACCCTTAATGCACCCGATCCAGCTGCCACCAAGTCTGGATTTTCTTTCTTGTCGCCCTTCAAATTTGGATCCAAGAGCACCAATGCCGAGGCCACACAATCCCTTGCCACGCCCACTGCCCTTCCTAGTCGTATCCATGTCAGCCGCCATCTGACTGTCCTGGACAACAACATGCTGGAGGAATGTATTGCGCACAAGGAGTTTGAATACGGCTGGAAGAACGTCTACGAGCGGATGGGCCCTTCTCTGGAGGATGGCGAGACCGCCAAAATTGCGATGCGCCTCTGCCGACGTGCCTTCTTGGGCCACAGTGGCATGTCACCTAACGAGCCTGGATCGCCCAACATCGTTGCCAAGGACTTTTCGTTTGAACCAGAAGATCAGCAGGCCTCTCGATCCAACCAGGATCCTGAGCTCTGGGAAGCTCGTGCCTGGGTCATTTATAACAAAGCGATGTTGGGCTCCAACACGTTCCTGTCAAGCAGTTCGTCTGGTGCAGGATCGACTACTAACGGCGCAAGTGGTGCCTCTCCGGCAAGCAGTGCCGCCATGTCGGTGTCGGTGTTCATGCATGACATCTTGACCATCGCCATTCACTCACCCGAAGTCTCGTCGCGCTATCTCAAGGCCTTCAAGGTGTACATTGGAATGCGTAGCGACGCTCACTTTCACCAACAGCTCCGAGACCCGTTCGTGATGGGCTTGATGCTCAAGGCGATCTACGATGCTGTCCTCGCGGTCATCAACAACCCTGACCAACAGCTGCCCAAGACCTCGGAGCAGAAGGCAGAGGCTAAGAAGCACCATCGTCGGTCGTCGTCGCTGTCGCTGAACCGTGCCCAGCCCATGACTTTGGGACCTCTGATGGATCTTGCCTTTGAGATCTATGCCGACATGCGGAACGTTGGACCTATTCGTCACCTCCCCTCCTTGGTCAGTCTCGCACCTACGTCGCCGACCAGCAAACACTCCAGGCAGGCCAGCCTCTCCCGGATCTCGACCAACAGCTCCCGGTCAGCCACCAGCCAAGCTGAGGCTCTCTCAGAGACTGCCACCAGTTCAACCGTGTCTATTTCTCCTCGGTCCTCGTTCACTGTCTTGTCGATGCCAGTCTTCCAAGAGCTGAACGCGACCTTGAAGGCGAACCCACAGGCACGTCGATTGGCACCTGAGCTGTACTTGGCTCTGCTGCATCTGTGCATTCACGTTCCTGTCTTTAGGATCTCGTCGCAGGTTGTCAAAACCATTGTGAACGACATGTCGGCCGGTTCTGCACGCCAGGTGCCTCATCTCGATCTTCATCTTGCTGCAGCTCTCCAAAGTTATCACGACACTTGGATGTGCTCGGCTGGAGACACCACGCATGATGAAGACTATGACCCCAATGATGATAAGTGTGACTATCACGAGTGGATGTACCAGTCTGAGGAGGCCTTTCAGGATCGACTGAGCAAGATCAACCGCCTTTCAACCCAGTCTGTGATGTCGACGGGTTCGGCGACCAGCGGCAGTGGTGGTGTGGATGCAGCAGTGGATGAGCTGGAGAAGGAGTTGGAGGAGGCCCAGCTTGCGTTTGGATCAGGCGTGAGTAGGGAGACGTGTAACGACGAGTTGTATTGGGATCTGTGGTCGATGGAGGACGCAGCGCTGAGGAGTGTGCAGTTTTCGAAGAAGAAGGCGGCCATGCTCTGGACTCATGTCTCCAAGGTGCTTTTGTAAATAGTTTTGCGTCTCTTTGTTGACTGCTGGTATACCTTTTTTTGTCCTTTTAGTCGTTTTGTTTTTTCATAGCCTTAGAATAGCTTCACCCACCATCTTACTAATAATATCAAGTTAGTTTGTACAATGCAATGCATTATTATTTCACTGTTACATCTTGTTGCACGTGATCTTCGGGACAGAGAGACCATGGACCCGTCCCCACCCAACAGGACAACACGGCCCTTCAAAAAGAACACACGAAGGTATTAATATTCTTTTCACTTTTCTACTTTGTCAAATCACCCATCTTTCTCTCTCCCATTCCACTCATCACAAACACCATGTTCGCAGCTCTCCGTCAGCCTCTTGCCCGTGCCTCGGCCGCCAAGCCCCTCGCCCGCGCCTTCTCCGCCTACACCCCCGCCCAGAGTAAGTGCCCATCTATTCTCTTTTCGCGACAAGTTCATGCCTCAAACGAAGATGGCAACTAATTTCCCACGCCTCAATCCCCGCAATTGCACACCTTTTTTTTCACCTCCCACTTTCCTTAACCCCCACACGTACCTTCAACAAACACTCCTTGTCACCATGGACTGATAACCATATGAAACAATAGACGCTGTTGCCCCCGCTTCCCCCAAGCTCGAGTACTTGTTGACCGAGACTCGTGGACGCGTCGCCCTTGTCACCCTTCACCGCCCCAAGGCCCTGAACGCCCTCTGCAACGGTCTCTTTGTTGAGTTGAACCAGGTCCTCAAGGAATTCGATAACAACAAGGATATTGGATCCATTGTCATTACCGGCAGCGAGCGTGCCTTTGCCGGTACGTTTTTTTTTTTTTTTTTTTTGGTGTCAATGATACTTTGTGTGGTGCGGGAAAGTCTCCAAGATCGAATTGGTTGTTTAGACTTTTTGCTGACTAAGGGGTTATTTATCACACTTTGTGAATACTTGTACTTTAGCTGGTGCCGATATCAAGGAGATGAAGGATCGTCAGTTCATTGAGAACTATAGCGAGAACTTTTTGGGACACTGGACCCAGATCACCACGATCCGCAAGCCCATCATTGCTGCCGTCAACGGATTCGCTGTAAGTGTGTGCCATTCTTTTCTGTGTTCCTTGGGCGTACAGCAGGAGAGAGAGAGAGAGAGGACAGGTTGTGCGTGAATGTGTGCATGTCGATATGTCGATGATGGTTTGAGTTTTTTACACGTGATACTTATGTCCAATGACTCTTCTTTTTTTGGCGCTCGCTTTCCTCTCACGATCTTGTGCAATGGATGTACTTAGCTTGGTGGTGGATGCGAATTGGCCATGATGTGCGGTAAGTTCCTTGTGAATCGTCATGATATGGGTGTTTATACGCGCAAATTGGCAGAAGCAACGTAGATGGCAGCAACAGAAAGGAATGCGAAAAGACAAAAGTTGCAGTAGCTAATAATCATACACGCTACTGCCTACCAACCACAACTTATAGATATCATCTATGCCGGTGACAAGGCCGTGTTCGGTCAGCCCGAGATCAAGTTGGGAACTATCCCCGGTGCCGGTGGCACCCAGCGTTTGGTCAAGGCTGTTGGCAAGTCCAAGGCCATGGAGATGTGCTTGACTGGATCGGTCAACTTGACCGCTCAGGAGGCCGAGGCCGCCGGATTGGTCAGCAAGGTTTACCCCGCCGAGCAAGTTTTGGACGAAGCCATCAAGACTGCCTCCAAGATCGCCAACTTGTCCGTCCCCATTGTCCAGATGGTCAAGGATGCCATCAACCAGTCGTTCGAGATGCCCCTCCAGGCTGGTTTGACCTTTGAGAGAAGATTGTTCCACGCTACCTTTGGCACTAACGACCAGAAGGAGGGTATGAGTGCCTTTGCCGAGAAGCGCAAGCCCAACTTCACCAACAACTAAATTGCTGGTACAACAAGCAAGGACAGGGGTTAACTCTTGGGTACTCCCTAACAGAGCAAGGCAAGATAGAATGAATAAAATACCAGTTTCAATGCCTTTTGCACCTTTTCAGTTCGCAGCCTTGACCATTGGTACCTTGAACACCGGCAACTCCAAAGACTACAGCCATTCAATTGCTCCTAGGTTGCACGTTGGGCTGAGTTTTCGGTCCTTGGTGGTCTTGTTTCCAACTCCTCACTGCCACTTTCCCTTTTTCAGGCACCCGCGACTGTTTGTTTACCACACTTTCCGAAGTAAGCAGTCACTCTTACCTTGTTGCTATTGCTTGTGCTTGTAAAAACGTAAAAGAAGTGCCCCTCCTCCGGCCTTTCTTTTCTTCCCCATCCCTTTCGGCATCCGCTCCCCGCACCCCTCCTCTTCCTCCTCCACTCCCCTCTCTTCCCCTCTCCTCGAGACCTTTTCTTTCCGTTCGCTCGCCAAGGATAATCCTCACAGAAAAAGAGACTCATACAACCGCCATGTCCATGTTCCGTTCATTCATCAACGCCCAGAGCAACTTGACCGCTCAGGCCCGCCGCGCGTTCTCGACTACTCTCTATGGTGGTGCCAACAAGAACGCATGTGTCAACCCTGAGATGTTGTACCTCCAACCCCGCTGGCACGTCAAGAAGGATCAGGCCTCGACCCAGGGGGCTGGAAAAGTCCTTGTGGGCATGATCCAGAAGCGGTGGAACTCTGCCTCTGCCCAGCCCGTCGAGTTGGTAAGTTGCTTAGTTCTTTTTTTTTCTTCCACTTTCCCGATCGGTTTTACTCCATCCAAGCAGATCGAAAAACTTCCTTGTTGCTTCGCAAATGCAAAAGTGAATACTCAAACTGTGCTTTTCTTATTTGAACCGCGGATCGGAAAATAGGCCAAGATCCAGAGACTTCGTAACATTGGTATCTCTGCACATATTGATTCGGGAAAGACGACATTGACGGAGCGTGTCTTGTTTTATACGGGCCGTATTAGCCAGATCCACGAGGTCCGTGGTAAGGACAATGTCGGAGCCAAGATGGACTCGATGGAGTTGGAGCGTGAGAAGGGAATCACCATCCAGTCTGCTGCCACCTATGCCGCATGGAAGGATTACAACTTCAACATCATCGATACCCCTGGTAAGTTCCCTTTTTGTTTTTCGATCTGGAGTATGTTGTCCATTGAAGGTTAGGAAACAAACTTGACTGATTTTATTCCTTCAATGGTGATATATAGGGCACGTTGATTTCACGATTGAGGTCGAGAGAGCTTTGCGTGTGTTGGATGGTGCTGTTCTTGTGTTGTGCGCTGTCAGTGGTGTCCAGTCCCAGACCATCACTGTCGATCGTCAGATGAAGCGTTACAACGTCCCCAGAATCTGCTTCATCAACAAGATGGATCGGTAAGCAACTTATGACTTTTGCAACAAGGATCAGGATTTTACAGTACTACGGACAGAACATGTGCCAGTGCTCTAGAACTAACGACATTTCTGGAACCATGACTCTGATGAATGAATAGTGCTGGTGCCAACCCCTGGAAGGTTGTTGAGGCCCTTCGCACAAAGCTCAAGATGCATGCGGCTGCTTTGCAGATCCCTATGGGCGCCGAGGATAACTTCCAGGGAGTCATTGACTTGTTGAAGTGGAAGGCTCTTCACTTCGAAGGTGCCGATGGGTAAGTCCCGAGAAAATTTTGGTTGGAACTTCTGTCTTGATGTTCAATGTATCGAAACTTGTAACCCCTTATTAACATACTCACGCCTTACTTTTCAAATAATAGTGTTGACATTGTTGAGAGGGATATTCCTGAGGAGTATATGGAGTTGGCCAAGGCCAAGCGCGCAGAGTTGTTCGAGCATTTGGCTGAGGTTGATGAGGCCATGTCAGATATCTTCATCATGGAGGAGACCCCCACCAGCGAGCAGTTGGCTGAGGCTATTCGTCGCGCCACTGTTGCCCGCAAGTTCATCCCCGTTATGATGGGATCTGCTATCAAGAACAAGGGTGTTCAGCCCCTCTTGGATGCCGTCTGCTCTTACTTGCCCAGCCCTGACGAGGTCTCAAACGCTGCTTTGGATATCAAGAACGAGGAGTCCAAGGTCGTACTTTCGTCAGATGAGAAGGATCCCTTTGTCGGCTTGGCCTTCAAGCTCGAGGAGGGTCGCTTCGGTCAGTTGACGTACATGCGTGTCTACCAGGGAATGTTGCGTCGTGGAGGATTCATTACCAACGTCAAGAACGACAAGAAGGTCAAGGTCCCCCGTTTGGTCCGCATGCACGCTGATGAGCTCGAGGATGTTGATGAGATTGGACCTGGTGAGATCTGCGCTATGTTCGGTGTCGACTGCTCGTCCGGAGATACTTTCACCGATGGTGCCCTCCAGTACACCATGACCTCGATGTTTGTTCCCAATCCCGTCATCTCATTGTCGCTCAAGCCCAAGGGCAAGGAGACTCCTAACTTCTCCAAGGCCTTGAACCGTTTCCAGAAGGAGGATCCTACCTTCAAGGTCCATGTCGATGCCGAGACCAAGGAGACGATTATTTCGGGAATGGGAGAGTTGCACTTGGAGATTTACGTCGAGCGTATGCGTCGTGAGTACAGCGTCGACTGTGTCACCGGCAAGCCCCAGGTCGCCTTCCGTGAGGCTATCACTGACGGCAGCAAGTTCAACTACACCCACAAGAAGCAGTCTGGAGGTTCTGGACAGTATGGTCGTGTCCAGGGATACATTGAGCCTGCCGAGATTGATGAGGATGGCAAGGATGCCTTCTTTGAGACCAGAGTTGTCGGAGGTAACATTCCTACCAACTTTATCCCTGCTTGTGAGAAGGGATTCCGGGAGGGTATGGCCAAGGGATTCTTGATTGGTCACCCTATCACTGGTGTCCGCATGGTTCTGGAGGATGGTGCTGCCCACGCCGTCGATTCGTCCGAGTTGGCTTTCAAGATTGCTACCTTGAACGCGTTCAAGGAAGCGTACATGAAGTCGAGCCCTGTGATCATGGAGCCCATCATGAAGGTCGATGTCACTGCCCCCATCGAGTTCCAGGGTACGGTTATCGGAGGTATCAACAAGCGCAAGGGAACAATTGTCGACACCGAGTCTGGCGAAGACTACTTCAGCTGTGTGGCCGAGGTGTCGTTGAACGCCATGTTTGGATATGCGTCCGAGATCCGTGGTCAGTCACAGGGCAAGGGCGAGTTCTCGATGGAGTACCTCCGTCACCAGAAGGTCTTGCCTCAAGAGCAGGTTGAGCTCATCAAGGCCTTCCAGAAGAAGCAGAAGGAGGACCAGAAGTAATCCTTTTTTTTCTTTTCATTTTTTTATCATTCCTGTTATTTGCATTACCACATTACCCTTTTTTTTTTCCCTTTGTTAGAAATGTATCGCTAGTTTAGACATATAAAACGCAATTGTGCTTTTACCCATTTGTATTTGTGCCAATGGTTGTTGTCATTCTTGCCATGCGTCTCTGTCAAAAGGGTCAGTGTCGGGCCAGTAAGCGCAGCAACAGAAGGTAGTCGTTTGGGACCGTTGCGATCACTTGTTTATCTTCCATTTTTTTTAGGGGTAAAGAGAGAGATTCAGGCACCCTGTTTCCGCATGACATGCATGTCATAGTCAGCATAGCCTTCAACTTTCAAAAGGTGGCAGATCTTTTTTAGATCCTCATCCATCTCGGACTAAGTGTGGTGCTAACATCCAACCTGTGAACACCCAGCAGTGCACCCTTTCCGAAAGGGCGGACCTTCTTTTGCACAATGGTTTTTCCCTCTGAGCACCTCAAGGCTTTACATCACAGTCTGGCATGCCGTGGGACATCTGACCGATCATACACCCCTTTTTTTCTGTACAGTCGTAATGCTACAAAGGAGTAAGTAGTAATGAATCCCACCAATACGCCAAGGGGGTTGATTGGGGATGATGATGATGATGATGATGATGATGATGATAATGCTGACCAAGGGGAAGGGGGGAAAGAGGGAGGCGGGTGTGCGGACAGGCAGGCATGGATATTATCCTGTGATGTATGTGTGGGTATGTATGCGATCCTTATTCGATCCAACGTTGTTCCTTCCATAAGCAAGGGCGGTCAGAGCGAGGAGGGAGGGAGTAAGAAGGGGGATGCACTCGTCAACTGTTTGTTCTTTCTTTTCTTGTTTCCCTTCATCCCCTTCCCGCTTCCTTCTTCCTTCTTGACTTCCCTTTTTCGTTTTCTCCCTCCATCTTTCCTTCTCTCCGCGTTCCTTACTCTCTATCTCTTCCCAATTACGACTTCTCTTTCCTACATTCTCTCTCTTCCTCCTAAACACCCTACCTATCACGACTCTTTCCACCTACCACTTTCACCCAATCTTGTTCACACATACACACGCCACCAAAAATATACCCCCTCTCTCTCTCTCTCTCTCTCTCTCAACACCTCTACTCGACTCCCCACTCTCAACTCAGCCCAACCGACCATGCTGAAGAAGAAAAGATTCTCTGGCCTATTCGGCGTAGGCATGACCGAGATCCCCTCACCAGGACCCGAACAAACCAACAACATAAACGGAAACAACGCCAGCGGATTCAGCAGTCCCCAGTTACTCTCCAACCAAGGCCGCCAATCTTCCATGTCCATGCTCACCACCACCACCACCACCGACGGATACTTCAACAGCAATACCAACCCTATCAATAATACTAATGGAGCAGGAGCAGGAGGAGTAGGAGACGAGGACCCTGCAGGAAACGTACTGACGAGGGGGGAGGTCCACGCATCGTTAGAGAATCTGAAGAAACTGGTGATTGCAGCAGAGTCGTATCGGGAATTGACGACTAAGCTGGCAAAGACGACGAAGCAGCTGGGGAAGTGCTTTAAGGAGTATGGGGAGACAAAGGGCATGGATAGTACTTATGGTGAGTTTTTGATCGTTTTGTTTGTGGAGGGAGCGGGAGGCTTCAGCCTTGGTCAAGGGTCATCAGGGTGGGAGAAAGACTTTTTTTTTTCTTCTTACGATCAGGACTGACTTCGACCCTTGCTTGTCCTGCATCGTGGACATCTACTTCAGCCCACCTCTATTCGTTTTGCTTTCATCCTCTCTCTTCTTCAGCAAGAGGCAACAAGCAACAAGCAAGCAGGCAACAGCCCGTCATGGGGTGATCATACCTTTTTTGTTGTTGTTTGCCCAGCCTACAACTATTTTTTTCTTTATTGAAATCATCAGAGAGAAAGGAGGAAAAGAAATCCATTTTACCCCTATTTTCGGAGAAAAGCGAACGACGACCCCCGAAGGGGATGGATCTCTTGTTTACTCTTAAAGAAAAGAAAGGGTGGACAGGCACGGCTGTATTGTTTATGCTGACGACTCTTCTCTCTTGTGTGTGCGTGTGTGTGTGTGCCTGTAATATGGATAGTCATGTGTCTCAAGTCCTCGGCCAACTTTTACGAGTCCTTCTCAGAGATGGAAACCAAACTGGTAAAGTCTTGCATAATTTCCATGAAGAACAAAGATAGGTGCATGGTTGTGGAGAAGTGAGTAATAACCTTCTTATTTATTTGCTTTCCTTCAATGTGCGTAGGCGACGTGTCTTCAGAAGGATTTTGAGCAGCTGCAGGGCAACTGGGAAAAGCACACCAAACGGGTCACCGTAAGTCTCTTCATCTCGCCCCCATTATTCTCGTAGCATTTGCTCTCTGGACATATATTCGAAAACAAACTTAACCCCGCTTCTCTTTTTGCTGGCTGGATCGACAACATAGAAAGACGAGAGGGCCCATGACGAGATTCTGGGAGACCTAGACGAGCGAATCAAAAAGATTAGCATGAATTACGACAAAAAGAACAAGCGACCCGATCCCAACACCGCACTCATGTCCCACGAGGTAACCAAGAAAAAGTGTTTGCAAAAACAAGACAGACAATCATAACATGGCTTATGCAATATCTAACCCTCTTTTATCCCCCTTTCATTGAAAACAGAAATACATCTCAACGCTGTCTGAACTGCAAGAATCAATTGCGAGTGCAAAGAAGGACCATCGGAACACCGTCGCGCGCAGGGAGAGATATACACACTCGCTAACAGCACAAATCGCCTGTCGATTGTCCGAGGCTCAGTTCTTGGCGATCGAACGACACCTTCGTGGATCAGGACCTAGTCTGTTAAAGATCAAGGAGTGGGCGCCTTACGCCGGGCAGGATATGCCTCCACCGACTCTGGTCACTAATGGCGATCCAACGATTGAGATCCGGGGTGGGACTTTTGAAGAGTATATTGCCAGGCATACCCCCTCAGGCGGCGGTGGTGGAAATGGTGGTGGAAATGTTGCAGGGAATGGACTTAATGGCAACATGCCCTATGTCCCAGGGGTAAGTTCCAATCTTACACCAATCAACTATGCGTACATTCATGAAAGTTATTAACGGACTCATTCTATGCCACTTTTGATAGGCATACCAGTCGCAGAGAATGGACCCAGGAATGGCGTCACCGAACGGTTCACCAGCGCCTATCACTCTGACAGAGATGCCCCAAATCACCCTGCCTCCCTTTGCTCCCATGCAACAACACTTACAACAACAGCAATTGCAACAGCAGCAACAAGGAGGCAGTGCTGCCCCAGGGAACCAACAACCCTATTTTCAGTCCCCAACGCCTACAGGATTGCCAACAACCATGCCTATCCCAAATGTTGTAACCCCAGCAGCACCCTCGACAAGACTCCCCACCAACATGCCAGAACCTAAAAACTATATCACTCCACAACAGCAACAGCGCCAGTCCATCATTGATCCAACCCCTCCTCCACAGATGATCACGCCTCAACCTACTCGAGTCGACAAGATCCTGACTACGACGACTACGACGGGAGGAAGACCTGTTGTTGTCAAGCCCTCGGGTACTGACCATAAGGTCTTGGTCAAGGAGGTCGCCATTCCTCAACCGGCGACAAAGACCATTCTTGTGGGAAAGCCTGCCGTCGTATCGACCGACTCTACAGTGATTGTTGCTGACCCAGTGCCAGTCCTTACAACCTCACCACCAACCACTCCGGGAGCCTTTCCGACCAACAACATCACCAGTGGGATCACGGCAGTCTTGACCAACAAAGAGCAAGAGCCAGTTATCCACAAACCGGCCGTGGTGGAGACATTGGGGACAGTGACACAAACTGCTGACGGCGGGATAGTGGTCAATACGAACCTTGACGGGAGTTGGCCAGAAGATCATGGATCGGTCAGTACCAAGGTCGGCGGGAGTAGTAGCGCCACAGAAGACGGCAGATCGACGACTCGCAGTGGCGGGAGTGGCGGTGGCCGCCCCGGGGACCAGGCGGCTATGATGACAGCCAAGCTGGATTATTTTCGGGAAAGCCGGGCTCTGACGGCGGCGGATGAGGCTGCAGATGCGGCGGCGCTGGATCGGTACCATCGCGAGAACTATTCAGGGCGATACCGGTATGCGGATGAAGAAAGTGTTGGTGGTGGTGTTGGTACAGGTGCCAGGTTTAGAGGACCTGATAGTGGTGGGCCTGATGACCGGGACCAGGACAGGGACAGGGATCGTCATCTGGACGATGTGGGGCCGGATGATTTGTATGATGACCCGTACTCGGGTGACCAACACGACTCGTATTATGACGATGGCGGGGATGACATTGCACGGGTTGAGCCCCGCCGGTTCTATGATGATGACGAGTCACAGCATTCGGGCTCCATCCCTATCCAGCGCGACCGCGAGTACTATACGACGAGATATGAGGAACAGCAACATCGGGAGTACGATCGGTCGTACCAGCATTATTCGTCTTCCATGCCTGCGGCCCGACGCCAACCAGCTTACCCGGATGACCGAGACAGAGACAGAGACAGAGACCGAGACAGAGAGCGGGAGCGGGATCTTGATAGAGGCGATTGGGCGACTGCCGCTTCTGCCCTGGCGGCTGCAGATGAAGTCAGTAGTCTGAGTGGATATGCCCGTGAGCAGTACCCGGCCTCACGCGAGTACCCAACAGCGCGACCCACCTTAGAAGATCGAGAACGGGAACTGGACATTATCAACCAGAAAGTCGCTGCTGCTGCCGCTGCTGCGAATGCCAATGGTGGTGGAAGGACATCGCGAGTAGCACCAGGAGCTGACCCCAATGGCAATGGGTATGGCCCACGTCGGCCGGCCTCTTCTGCACCTGGTACGGTAGCTCAAATGCGTCGCCGGTTCTCCGACCTCAGTGTCTCAGACATGGCAGCCGTCTCTGCTGCTTCTGGGGGCATGGTACGTCGTTGCTGTTGTGTGTGTGTGTGTATTTTTTGTTTTGTTTCAAAGCTCTTGTTTGGAGTTGTATATGATTTCTTTTTATTGCGCCGATCCAAATATTAGGATTGGGGATTGTGAGAGCTCTCTTGTTTAGCATGAAATGTTAATGCTTTATCCGGAAACAACATTCTAACTATGCCCTCCATAACCTTACTCCTCCCCTCCTTGTTTTTCATTCTTCGTCATCTTTTTTACCGGGGAATGTAAAATAGACATCACCAGGTCCCCGACCACGCGGGATGAGCGGTTCAGGGCAATCAACACTGATCCAGGACTCTATCCGGAGCAGGGGAGAGCGGGACCGAGATTCGAGGTATCCGCCTCGTGCGTCCACCCCTCAGAGTCGTGCTGCCGTCACTGCGACGGGGTACCAGTATGAGAGGAAAGGACAGGGATTGATGACGGGTGGGTCGAGTAGTCAGCTTGTCGGTGGGACAAATGGGCGGTATAGTAGAACTGGCGGAGGGGGTCATTTGTCGGATTATGAGGATGGATCGTCGAGGATGTCGCGTCTTGTTGGCGACCAACGGGAACGCCGGCGATGAGGAACACCCTTGAATTTGACATTGAGGAACCCAGATCAGATTCTTTTTGTTATGAGATATTATGAACTCCTTTTATCTTAAATAAACGTACAAGACTCCTCATGATCATGTAGATGTCTCCGAGACAGGGACGGCGTTTGTTGCAATTGACTATTGTTTTTTCGTTTCGTTTGTTCAAAAAAAGGGGAGGGGGGAGAGGGGAGAGGACGTGAAGAACAAAGCCGACACGAAATAAAAAAAAACCCTGACAGCCCAATGTCCCTATTTCGTCAACGACCTCTGCCTATTTTTACGAACCATCATCAACAAAAACAAACCTCGGACCACAACAAGGGGAATTTTGAAGCGAGTGACACTTTTTAGTGTTACGCGTTGACGGAAAAGGGCAAAGCACTCCCTATGCCTCAAGCCCTTTCACCCCACTAGATTTACGCTAGACGCCCAAAATGCGCAAAAAAGGTTAGTGCATGCTGCAACTGCGGAGAGGGAAGGGTGATAAATAAGAAAATGAGACTTTGCATGCACTAATAAGTAAAAATGGCGACAAACAGGAAAAAAGAGGAGTCAAGAACTTGTATATGCGCTGTGGAGGGATGAAGTGCTCAAAAATGAGGATTGGAGAAGGAAAAAAAAACTGACATGGATATGGTGATGTTTTGAGTGAAAGGGAGAGAGAGATGAGGATGAACGAAAGAAGTGGAAAGAAGAGAAAAAAAAAGAACAAAAAGTAAAAAGGACGCCCAGATACAGAAAGGAGGTGGTGGTGGTGGTGGGAGACGGAAGACGGCGTTTGGTCATTGTGTTGGCTAGCATGTGCGTGCGTGTTAAGCATGCGGATGGGTGCTAGAATTGCATTAAGTGTGTATTTCTTTGATAAATTGAAAGAGGGGGAGTGAACGAAGAAAGGAGGAAGAAGGTGGAGTCATGGATGTTACTGCGATATACTTTTCTCCTGGGACGATTTGCATGATAGATTGGAGGCAAGTACTAAAAGTACCTGGATTTGCCACCAATTGAGGCACTGATCATTGGGCGCCAAAAAAGTGAGACTACCAGTAAAACTGATTGGGTTTTGTGGTGGTTGGAGGCCTAGAACAGATCATTTCTTGCCCTGGAAGTGAGGGAGAACCGAAGTGACAATGATCATCCTCCATCCTGATTACTTCAACGAGCACCTCTCATCTCTCTCATTCTGGACTTATCCCCGATGGTCAAGGAAGGTTCTTTGGATTGGATGGCTGCTCCCAGCTGAGCCCATAACGCATCACCGTCTTGGACACAAGTTGGCATGATCGATGGTAGCTTCAACTATGCACCTATGCAAAAGAAGAAAGAACATACCGGATAGGGTTGGTTAAATCACATAGCATTCCTCCACTTGTCCAACAGGCAAAAATAACATTAAACGCACTTGTTTGTTGATTTGTTTACCCTTGTTGCTAAAGTTAGCCAAAGGGAGTCTGTGGGTGAGAGTGAGAGAGAAAGAGAAAGAGAAAGAGAGAAGGGGCGCAACTGCAAGCGCTCACTTTTTTTTCTTGCTCACTCTTTTCTTCGCTTGCGTGTGTGTCTTATATACAACAAAAAGAGATGAGTGTAAAAATATTCAGTTGACTGTGCGGAAGCAGAAAATTCCTTTCTCCCGGGGAAATCTCGCCCTTCCTTTCACCTGGTAAAATGAATGTGAACACAATGTACCTTTGCAGCGGTGTGCGAATGAAATCAGCCCAATCTGCTGTCCAACTCTCTCACTTTCCTTTTTTTTCTTCCTCTTTCGTATCTTTGCTTTGCTCACTCACTCATTCGGCATTATTATTATCGGGTGGACGAGGCTTGCACTTCGCTGACCAAGAATATCAAAATATAAGAATGGCTTTTCCCTTTCAAGTTTCTGCTTTTTTCTTTCCTCTTTTCTTCTTTGCCCGGTTTCCTTGTTTTTTACTACACCCTCCCCCTGCCTACTTCCCTGACGATTATTCATCTCAACCCTCTATCCTAAACCCACCTTAAACCCTTTTTTACTCTTCCTTTCCTTCCCTTTGTTTACCCCCTCTCCTTCTCCCCCTTTCTTCCCGTTTTGTATACAGTGCCACATCGCTCATGCCCGCAAACAACTTTCAATTGTAACGACCACCATCAACGACAAATATAGATCCAACCTTCTCGTTTTCCTATAAAACCGTCCATCCACCCCCGCCTTTTGCTTCCTCAACAACAAGACCACCCATACACCTATCCATATCCTCCACCTACACCTAATACAAAACAAAATGTCGACCGAAAAGGCTGAGAAGAAGCCAATGCAGACCAAGAACAAGATCTTGATCGCCGCCGCCTCCATCATCGTCATCGCCGGTATCGCCGTCGGTATCTACTTTGGAGTTCGCAAGAACGACAATGCCAACGGTTCTTCCAGCAACTCGAGCAGCGGAAGCTCTAGCTCTTCTGCTGTTCCCTCTGTCACCACCTCTGCGGCCCCTCAACCTACGGGTGTTCTCCCTCCAGCGGGCCAGAACGGCACGATGGTTAATGGAACCTTATTGCCTTACTACACCTTGACCGGCCCCGTCCCCGCTCCCAAGGCTACTGCTGGAACTGTCTACACCAACTGCGTTGAACCCGGTACTTACTCCATCTCGTACGATGACGGTCCATCTGCTGTAAGTTGTATCCTTCTATCCTTCAAGTTTGTTTTTACCAGGCTTTAAAATTGGATGTTTACCTGGGTTTAATTGAGAGAGTTTATTTTTTTTTACATTGAGGGACTTCCCCTGTTTTCCGACTCAGGCAATTGGCAATCTACGTTCCCCTTTTTTGTTTCTATTTACCACTTCTTCGTCTCGACTACCTCTACACATTACTTTATCACTCCTTTTATTATTGCAATCACTTTCTTCATGTTCGCTTGATCCCCTGAGGCCTGGATCGGCTAGTGATTACGAGGGCTGGGTATAATTTTCACTCCAAACAGGCAAAGGGGCGGGCGATGAATGTGAGAGGGCAGGAAACGAAGAAGAAAGGGTGTTCGGAAAAGGTATAAGGCTCTCAAAGCATTGGAATTTTTACATCTTTACCCGAAAGAGAATGGTCTGGTCCATTCACACCTGGTTTGCCCTACCTGAGGGTGTGTCAAAGGGAGCCTTTTTGTAAAGAAAAAAAGAGCAGTGGGTGAGCATTGTGCCAAATGCAGACAGACGATGACAATGTTTGTAATGTATTATTTTTACTCCGATTTTTTTTGGTCGTGTGGTGTCTTTTGCTCCCTCTTGTCTGTGTGTCGATTCAGAACCCCTTTCCTGCGCCCTATCTTCTGTTTGTCCTTACCCGCGGACAAATGTAGAGGACAATTTCACCATTCCATGTGTCTGTCTCACTGTTCGCCCGACCCTTTGAAACCATCCTCTCCTCAGTTGTAACTCTATCTTCAATGGCGAAACTGCCTTGGGCACAAATTGCGTTTCGATTTCTATCCTCCAAGCCCACACTCTCTCCCTCACATTTAAATCATTGCACATTTATCTCCTTGCTTCATCCAATACTAATCCTAATATCCTCTTTTCCTCTCCTAAACGCCAATAGTACACCCATTCGCTCCTCGACCTCCTTGACAAGGAGCAGATCAAGGTCACCTTCTTTGTCAACGGTGACAATGACGGCTGCATCTACGACCCCACCGTCCGCTCCGTCATCAAGCGCGCCTACGAATCCGGCCACCAGATCGCCTCCCACACCTGGTCCCACCCCCAATTGACCACCCTCTCCGTCGAACAAATCACCCTCCAAATGACGCGCGTCGAGCAGGCCCTCCTCGACATCCTTGGAATCGTTCCCCGCTACATGCGCCCCCCTTTCGGTGATGGTACTTTTGGTAACGGAAACGCTAACGATGTCAAGGTCCAGACGACGTTGAAGAATATGGGATATGTCATTGCCACCTGGGACATTGCGACAACTGATGCCGATATTGACGACAACAATGCGGTACACAAGTTGACCGACGAAGCCCTGGCCAAGGTTGAGCAAGGTGTTGTTACTTCTTCTGTCAGCGGTGCACCTGCTGGTGCTAACCACATGCAGTTGATGCACGATACTTACCAGCGTACCGTTACCCAGTTGAGCCCCTGGTCGATTACCTACATCAAGGGTCTTAACTACAAGATCGTCCCTGTCGCTGTTTGTCTCGGTGACTCTGACCCCAGAAACTGGTACCAGACCATCACCACCCCTTCTGCCAACCCCCCAACCACCTGCACGAAATAGAGTCCCTAAAAGAGCATAGATACTTTTTTTCTTCCTTTGTTGCACAACTACACTCGCGCATTAACTAAAAACCAAATAATATTTTCATTTAAACATACATTTGAATGCATTTGATGGCGGGTGTTGTCTTTTGCGATGCCAAATGCTGCCGCCAGGCCACTACTCATATTCCACCCGATGGTTCAACTCTACGAACGACACAAATTCCATCTTTTCAAGACCAGAAAACTCAGCGTGAGCTCAAGACTTTCCTCCACTATTTGGAGCCTTTGTCTATGAGTCCTCCAAGCTCCTAAGTAGCGCCCGCGCAGATGCCTGTGTCGACCTAGGCTTGATAGACCCTTGCGCTAGATGGCGTATGATTCCAGACGACAATCTAGGGCTTCTTGTTCCTCTGCTGTTATTGTTGTTGTTGTTGTTGTTGTTGTTGTTGTCGTCTGTGTATACCTTTTTCAGTCGGTCCGCAATGAACAATAAAACCCAACTGACACTTCAATTGACACCTCTCCTATGCTATCTGACCATTTTCAGCTCCGCAATGGTATCGAACCTTACCAGTCAGGAGTCAAGATCGCGATGAGTCGTTCAGCCCTTTGGGATTCTTTGACTTGCTGATGGGCTGCGGCGGGTAAGGAATCGCGTCAAGATGAAGGAAAATGAATGTCGTTGTGAGAGGTAGGATGAATCCAGTCAAGGGCGTTTAGGAATTGATGCCGGCGGACGAGAACCAGCTGGTGCGGTGACGGCCTGGCAAGTGGCGAAAGTGTCGACTTAAGAGCTGACAGTGCCCATGAGGACGAAGGTATGGTGGGTATGAAAGAGCGGCAAGTAATAAGCACCGTGTCTTGAAGGTATCAATTGAAAATCATGAGGATGACTGATTGTCATGTCCGCCTCTAGATTATTATTTTTCGATGCGACCCCGCACGCGTCGAAGAGGGTCAGTTGGTAAATGGAAGAGAATCGTTCCCGCTCTTCCTCAACCTGATACCATTCTGTTCCTCTCGTGCCATTTTTCAGTCCTCTTCTTCGATCCTATTACATTAAGGATACGAGTGTCAAACAACGTCAATGGCGCCAACGTTTTGAAACCGACACGAAATGGACGACGCACTTACCTCCATTTAAGAGATAAAGAAGCACGACTGAATTAAAATAATAATACTGATCATATGTTTGGAAAATCAAAGCTCTTCTTCGCGCACATGTCTGTTCATTGAACTCGGGCCCTCTTCGCTTCGGGCAGGCAGGGCCGTGCGAGTCTTTGTAGTCATGTTCAAGTCCCTTTTTATTTTTTTTCGATGCGTGTTGTCGTCATATCACTAAATCGTCTGAGCGGGGCACCTCTCGTCCTCTCAGATGTGAAAATGAATAAAAGAAGAGGAGCTCAGGCAAAAGAAAGCGCAGGAGGTCGCCAAAGCAAATCCTGAAACGTGTTCACCACATAATAACGTCGCGATGAAACCCAAGGATCAAATCAATTCCTCAATGTCCTCCACATTGAAACCCCTCCTGCGCCCGCACGGTCGCACCTATCCTCCTCTCAAAATGGGTTCTCAATGAAAGGACCCTTGCCCCATCTGCGGCTGTCGAGGCGCCTCAACCTTATAATCGCGATACGTCTCCATGGGCACATCCCGGACCGCATGTGGCGCCGCGTACCGCCGTCGATCGTTCGTCCATGGCCCATGGAACTCATTGTACCCTTCGATGATTGAAGGCTGTGGCGACTGTACCCCGTCTTCCTCTGCCGTTGCCGTCGAGTATCTGTACTGTCCCGGGGTTGGACTCGGTTGTTGGTATGGTTGTTGGTGTTGGCTGTAGTGTGGACGCTGCTGTTGTTGTTGTGACCGATAAATTTGTTCCTGATGCTGAGCATGTTCATCGCCCCTGTACTGTGGACCAGGTGCTGACGGTGAAGGCGACCGCCGCTGTTGTTGTTTTTGCTGCGCTGAAGCCATCGGAGCTGTCGTGTCTCCGACAGAAACCATCGAATAATATCCAGAACCAGAAGGAGGACGACGCGGGATAGGAGGGGGAAGATCCATTGTAGGACGAGCAGGCGGACTGATCATCGTGCTTACATGACCCAGAATTGTCGAATCCGTATTATCCGAGTAAGAGGGCGAATAGCTTGAGGTATAGGATGTCCTGGGCGGCGCAGATGTTGATGGCCGTGGCGGTTGTGGTTGTGGTGGTGCTGGTGGATGGGGTTGAGGTTTGTCCATCTCTGCCTGCATCTGTTTGTAATAGAAGGAGGGATCCGACTGCGCTGTTGTGGTTGTGAATGAGGCAGGTCGAGAACTGGCCGAGACGGGCCTGGAACTGTTCACGACGGCGGCAGCTGCCATGATTGGAACGCCTTTTGCTATCACTACCGCTGTTGTAGTCGATGGTGCACTGCCAAAGACGGTTGGGTAATATCCGGTGGATTTGAGGGCTGTTGATCCTGTTGCTGGCACTGGTGCTGGTACAGCGGTTGGTATATAGCCATAGGCGGATGGATAATACTCAGTGGGTGTGAAGGGCTTGTACGGGTGGTAGTTGTTGGTAGGTGGACCAGGTGGACTCCGTGGTCGACGAAATGGTGGGTAATCGTCCTCATCATCATCCTCATTGCCAACTCTACCTCCTGCTCTTGCTCCTCCGCTGGGATGAATGAACGCGTTCGCTTCACTGGGGATTACAGCAGTACCATCCGGTCTCTTGGTATGCTTGTCACCAGCCAAAAAGACATCCCGTTTCCTGTGCTCTCGCTTTCTTCTACTCAAAATCACCGCGACCATAACACCAAGCAAAACCACAAACCCTCCAAATGCACATGCAACAATCAGTCCAACATTATTCTTCTTCCTGGTCTCACCACCATTTCCTGTCGCATTCCCTCCGCCGTTCGGAGAGGAAGGCGGATAAGGCACTTCCTTGGGTGTAAACTGCAGCACCCAAATCAATGCCTGGACATCAAAGACCAGCGGTTGGGTGGTATGCATATCCTCCGACATGTTCCTGCTGCCCGTTCCTCCAAAGACAATAAACTGCCCGTCATGATACGCGCATGCAGATTGAGACCGTTGGGTGGGGACATCTGGTCCTCGTTTCCAGATCTGTGTTGCGACGTCGAGGACGTATATTGAGCTTAAGAATGATGTGACGTCGAGCTCTCCTCCGAATACAATGATCTTGGAACCATCGTCCGCTAGTTTGGTTTGATTAATGGGAAGTTAGGTGGGGGGCTTGGTGGCGGTGTGAATGATTAACCAATGTGATGGGAAATGACTGCCGATTGGTTACTGATCAAACACGAGTAGAGCCACTTACAGGCGGAGGCGCAGGCGTCCAGCCGAGCTCCCGGGAGAGACGGTCCACTCGTCAACTATCGAACGATCAAGCGTCAGAAATAAATCCATTAGCACATGGTCAAAAAGGAGAGCTCGCAAATGAACATGCACCAAAAAAAAAAAAGGACATACCATGGTCCTCCAGGTACCTCTAACAGGATCATACTCATCAACACTCGTCATCCCCAACCCAGCAACATGCGCAAGTGACACCGCCCTCGACCCACCAAACACCAACACCGACCTCCTCATTGTCGACCAAACCGCCACCGCACCCGTCAAGTTATTCAACCCCGTCGCCGGCGCCTGGCTCACAATCCGGGTCCCGATACTCTGCGTCGGATCTATCACCGTCAAGAAATTAGCGATCCCGAGCGTCGTCGCTATCTTTCCGTCCAGGTTCCAGAACCCTCCTATCACATAGACCAGCCCCGTATTCGGATCTGACACGGCTGTTTGGCCTTCCAGACCGGGGTAAGGCGCTAGTTGTGATGTGAGGGGCGTCCATTGCTGGGTCTGGATATTGTAGTATGCCCAAAAGTTGATTCCTGGCACAGTGTTCCCACCAATCGACAACAAATACCCCTGACTCCCAGCACTGGCGCCACCAAGTCCCGCAGAGTGCTCAGGTTTAACATAGACCATGGCATGGTGGTAGTTGGGTAACCCCGGTGGGAGGAGTGACCATGCAGGAGCAGAGGTCGACCAAGATTTTGTGAGGTCGAGTTCGTTGAATTCGGGAGTGTATCCTGTTCCTGTGGGGAGGCCACCTTGGATGTAGAGACGGGTGTTGTTGGGGGTTTTTGCGTAGGCTGTTCGACGGCGTGGGGATGGCGCTTGAGCAGTTGTTGGTGTTGTGCAGAAGAGGAGGACTGAGAGTGTGAAGTGAGCGAGGAGGAGAAGGAAGAGGGCGAGGGATGGCTTCGAGCGTGTGGAAGAGAGGGAGAAGGGGTGCCGATGACAGGATTTTGAGTTTATTGGCGTTGGTGGTGGTGGTGTGTGATTTGGCTGATTGTTGTTAAGTGCAAGGTGAATTTGGAGGGTCATCGTTGTACATTTGTACATTATTGCCTGCAAGAGTAAGAGGAGAGGGTATAATCGTTAGAAAGAAGGAAAAGAATTGGATAGGGGATAAGGAGGAGAGACAAGGAAGAGGAGGAGTAGATAGAGATGGAGAGGAAGAGGAAGAGAAAGGAAAGAAAGGAAGGAAAGGGATGAAAGAGCGAAAGCACATCAGGGAAAAACAAGAAAAAACAATAAAAAAAGGGCAACCATGAACTGACAATCCATCGCTGCTTCTTGCCTCCTCTCCCTCCTCTTTACCCTTTCGCTCTCTTCCCGACATATTCACACCAAAACCCCATCAAAGCATATATCCTCGCCCGTTATTCGAAAGCCCAGATTCGCCATCAGGAACCTTCGCAAGTGCATATTTTTCGTCCCATATGCCATCTTTTTTGTTCTGAACTCGCCATTCGGATCGTTCGTGAAAAGTCGTTCGCTCCGTTCGCATGTCTCAAAATAACAAAGGGAGGTCCAACACTCTCAGTTACTTTCGACTCTGAAAAAAAGAAAACGCCCCTCAAACAGGAGAGTAGTAAAAATGGATCTGATGAAAACCTTGAATGCCCCCTTCCCTACCCCTAGACAATTTTTCATGAAGTGCAAATGGTCTCGACCCCATCGGTCAACCGAACAAGGGAAAGAAAAAAAAGATGCCAGGATTCTGTAGGTCTTTTTCCTGTGCACTGCCTTCAACACAAACTCAAACAAACAAACTCAGGCACGCACGCACACTCAAAACTCCACATACACGCCGACAACCTCATCTCTCGTAATAAAACCCAATTCATAACCGTGACGATGCAAACAATGGTTGTTGGAGGACAATTGGATTGTTGTATTCTTAAACAAATACGGATTTTCTATGTAAGATGAAAGCGGTTGGGTCAGCGCCAGGCTGAGGCTCTTTTTTGATAGCAAAAAGGGGAATGATAGTGATGGGGTTTGATGTACATGGTGTAGAGAAGAAAGATAAATAGGTAAAAATGAAAGTGAATGGAAGGATATTAAACTAGTAAGAGTGGTAGTATGTAGAAAAAAAACGACAAAAAAGCAAAAAGGAGAAGAAAGATAACGACTATTAAAAGTAAAAACGAAAAGAAAACAGAACATAGCAAGACGGGGATAAGAATGAAGTAGACACCTAGTGTTCAAGGAAAAGAACAGGTCTAAGCGCGGTGGCGGACAGGGATGGGTGCAGAGTGGAAGCGACGGTCTTCGATGGTCGTCGAAGGGGAGCCATGTGGAGGAGGAGACGACTGACGATGCGAGGGCGAAGAGTGTTGGTTGTAATAGGAAGAGCGTGATGAGCCTTGCGAGGGCGAGGCAGTAGGGTGCGAGGGGAAATACGATGACGAGGGCGAAGACGAGTAGTGGTGGTGGTGACCCGAGTGAGGCGAGTGAGCATGCGCTGATGGGGAGGACGCATGCTGGTGCATGGGCGAGTAGTTGGGGAAGGACTGCGAGTGAGAGTGGAGAGGGGACGACGTCGAGTGGTGGTGTCCGCTGTGTCCGCCATGTCCAGAGTGCGAAGAAGGTCCATGACCGCTGCTACCATGCTGCTCGTATCCATTGTGATGACTTGGGGAGGAAGTCGACAAAGGCGAACGACCAAAGTCCTGCGAATGTTGATGGCGATGGTGGTGAGGGTGCTGCATGGGCGAGTGAGGAGGAGGAGGAGGGGTGCTGTTGCTGCTGCTGGCACTGTGGTGGGTGTAGGACAGGGCTGGTTGGGCACCACGAGGAGAGGGGTGGCTGGATCCAAGGGAGGGGAACGACGAGGGCATCGACGACGACATGGTCGCGTCCATAGGCTCAGTCTTGGGGCTCACACTGCTCGCGTGGCTGCTGTGGCCATAGCGACCAGTGGGTCCCTGAGGTTCCCAGCGAGGAGCCGGCGACCGCTGCTGCTGCGAGGGGTGCATGTGGAAGTGAGAAGGCAGCGACGAAGACAACTCATGGTGGTGATGAAGGTTCTGATCAGAGTGCTGGCGGTGCAGAGATGGGTTGTTTCCTTGAGGGTATCCATGCTGGCGGTTCTCGCTGGGGTAGCTGGGTCCATGGCCGTGCTGAAGATGGCGGGGGAGGCTGCTGCTCTCACCAGGGTAAGAGGGAGAGGATCCAAAGGTAGGGGGAGACGGCCGCTGGAAGGAGCTGGGTGAGCTGGTGCCAAAGTACTTGGAAGACATGGGGCCAATGGTCTTTGAGCCATGGGGGGAAGTACCGAACCTCTCGTGCCCTGATCCCTGCATGAAGCCTGGGCTATAGGGGTGACCGTGGGGGCTGGGCGAGGGTGGTCCCGAGTGCATGAGGCTGTGAGATTGCGATCGCTGAAGGTGGGGGCGACCAGACATGGGCGACTTGACGTTGTAGCTGAGCGAATCCAGGATCCCGGCAGCCGCAAGCTGCTCTCTGTTGTCACTATTAGCATTGACGAAGTAATGATAATATATAAGTATAACTAAACAGAAAAGAGATGAATGTATCGTGGTTGCTGGGATCCGACTTGGATGTTATCAACGAGTGATAGTTCACAATGATGCCTTTATCCTTACCAGATGAAGGTCCTGATGTCTGGTTCGTGTCCTCTCTGGTGGCGGGTGAGGGTGGTGCGGCGAGTGAACGTCTTGCCACAGTGGGGGTGCTCACACACATAGGGTCGCTTTCCGGTATGGGTTCTTCTATGGCGAGCCAATGACGACGACTATTCAAGGAAAGTGTGTGTTTTTAAGGTATTGATATGTGAGTACACACGAATCGTGGGTGTGACAATAGCATACAACGGGGTTTGAACCATGTTGGGTACAATAAAGGGATGGGGCAACTATGGAGCAGTGATGTTCTCCAGATCATTGAAAGAGAGGGATGCGCATATGTGATCCCATCGATCGATCTGATCCAGTCCAGCTGGTGTTACACACTTACATCGCTGAACGACTTTTGGCAGGACTCGTACTCGCAGACGTGAGGTCTCTCGCCAGTGTGGGTGCGGTAGTGGACCGTCAATGCCGAACGCTGAATGAACTGCTTGCCACATCCTGCCCAGTCGCACTGGTATGGTCTAAAAAGGGAGAAAGGAAGAACATCGGATGAGTTGGTTTTGGGTGTTCATCACGGTACGACGGTATTTGTTTGTATCCATGGTTGGGTATCCCTTTGTTTGTATGTTCCTGACTGTGACACCCTATTTTTTATGTTTAGTCAACTATCTCCATGCTTTGTTTGCTCCAGGCACTTAGTTTTTTTCCCCTTCTTTTTTCCAGCAAGGAGAGATGGTCAGGGACATACACAAGCACGCACGAACGCATATCCACAAAATGATGACTAAACAAAAGAACAAAAAAACATGTAGATCTTCCTGAATTTGTCACCACTATTGCAATGTGCAAGGGTAATTGCTATTTACCTTTCTCCGGTATGGATCCTGCGATGTCTGGCCAGATCAGATCGACGAGAGAACGACTTTGTGCAATCCTCCCATACACACTCATAGGGACGCTCAGAGACGGTACCCTCGGCCTCGGACGAACTGCCGCTCTCCTTGCCACCGTCCTCGTCATCGTCGACGTTGTCATCAAGATCGATATCGAGGTCCAGGTCAATATCCTCGCTACCACGGCCAGTGCTCGACCGAGACTCACGGGCATTATTTTCCTTGTCCATTTGCTCCTGTTTTAACTTTTTGGCATCAGAGCCGGAATTGAGCATGCTGTGGATATCCATTTGTCGTATATTTGATCGGAGCGGTGGATGTATTGATGTAGTTATCGAGTGGGGAAAAAAAAAAGAGTAGGAAGGAGGTGTAGGGATGGACAATCGATCGATTGAACAGTAAAATGAGAAAAGACAGGGAAAGAGAGAAGGAGTATTATATTTCTTTTTTTTTCAATTAGGGGTGACGATAGAAGAATGGGCCAGGGAAAGGCAAGAGAAGAATGTCCTTGCAGGGTGTGTGTGTCTTGTGTGGGTGCGACAGAGGGGGAGGTGTATGATGCTGGTATGGAATATGGGAGGAAAAAAATAAACAAAAAATGTAACGGTTGAAAAAATATGTAAAAAAATATAATGGGTCGCTGTTGTGCGCACGGGACAGGAGGGAAGGGAGGTGTAAGGAATAAATAAGAGTAGATCAACTGAGGAGGATCGAGATCATGCAAACAAATTGAAGGAACAAGAGATGATCAAGGTTGTGAATGAAGAGAGAGTGGGTGTGATGGTATAAAGGTTGATGAGAAGGAGAGGGAGGAAGGGTAAGAATGAGAGTGAGTGTAAGAGTGGAGAGCGGATGCGAGTGAGAGAGGGAGATATGGGTAGTGTAAGTGTAAGTGTAAGTGTGTGTGCGAAGTGGGAGCAGAGAGGAGGGGGTTAGCTGAAGAAGAAAAAGGGAAAGAGAAGAAAGGAGAAGAAAAGAGGAAAAAAGAGTAGGGGCTGAGAAGAAACAAAGAGGAAGAGAGGTTGAAGTGTCTGTGTGGATTAGATAATGAAGAGAGAGACACATACGCACGACAACAATGACACAAAAAAAAGCAATAACAAACGACAATTTATACCACGCACGACGCAGGGTTCTTTGATTTATTTTGACAAGTCTCAGCCTGCCTTACTTTTCACTTGCTCCTCTCTTTGATTCCATGGCTGTGAACAACAACTTCATAGGTCGAACTTCCTTCTTGCTTTCTTTCTGTCACTTTGCCATTGGATCACTTGTCAACCATCTAACAGCTCATACGCAACTACATTGCCCTTTGACGAGCCCATTCTCTTTTTTCAGAGCGAAAAAAGAGAGACTTCTCATGGTGTATATGTGTGTCGATGCGCTCTTTTTGTTCACCGGGGACAAAAAACACACACGCAGGGCGGGAATGAGTATCTCGTCTTTAACCAAAACTATCCAAATTAAATTGATATTGGTATTCAATCCAATTTGCTTAAGCCATCTTAATGAGAAACATGGCACTGATCTTGCCAACTGACACTGATTGAGTTAAGTGACCAACGAGCCACAGCGATGATGATGGAAGGGCAAAGGATGGACTGAAAAAGAGAGTGATCAGTGATCAGGTTTGTGTCTGTGTCCATTCTTCCACTGTTTGTACCATGGCGTATGTGCAAAGTGTGTGCGTACGTCTGTAGATGTTGTTTGTCCGTCTCTCTGCTTTTTTGACGACAGGTGCAGATGCCCGCTTGAGCCACGAGGGCCACGTTGTTTCTCTCTTACCTCTCGTCCCTCTTTGCTCTTGTCAACGAGATGTGCTTTATCGCGATTTATTCCATCTCCTCCCTTCTCTCCCCTTCCTTTCCTCTCTTCTTCTCACCACCCTGATTGACCTTGTTCTCTTCCCACCATTCAAACTAAAAAAGTGAATTCACCCCTTCCTTCCCATCTCGGCTCTTGCCTCTTCTCCTTCCTCCCACTCGACAACACGTCATGGACCAAACCAGCCAACCGTTGGAAGAAAGGGTATTCTTCGATGGGACAGTGCCCATTCCTTCCTCCCCAAAGAGGGCCGAGATTCTTTCCCGCTGAAAAAAAAAGTCTCTTCAGGGTGTTGACCACATGGGAGAAGGACCATCGCGGTATTTTTTGTGTGTCTGCAAGGAGGGTTGTGTTCACGAATGATCCCACTCCATTGTATTTGTTTCTTTCTCAAACAAGCTACTTTGTACGACCCTTTGTCCTCTTCCTGGCCCATCTCGCTGTTTTGTTTGCTCTTGCCCGTTTTTGTGTCTCTTTTGTTTCTTCATCGTGGTACAGACATAAACAAGAGGAAGGAAAGATGGGAGGGACCAACGAGGACGTAAGGAGGCGGGGGAAAAGAAAAACGCGTACCTTGCATGCTCACTTTTTTTGTGCGTGTTTTTTATTTGATAGAAACACCCAAACACACACGCACAAACTAACACACACATGGTGCAGAAAGAAAAAAAAAATAAGCAGGGGTGTTTTCTGCCGTTGGGCCGGAGTCAGAAAAAAGGGAAGGGACGGTGACAGAACACAGTGGGGAGAGAAGGGAAGGAGAATATGGGAAGACGAACTGACGGACGGTACAACTCTCGCTCGTCCTTTTTTTTCCTCCCATTTTCAGGTGAAAGGCCTTTTCGAGAGAGAGATGGTGCCGGAGAAGTAGAAGAAAGAATGGAAGGCAGGGAAGGATGGGGTGGGATGCGATGGAGAGAGAGAGGTGCCCGGCTCTGGTCATAAGTTGAGGATCAGGATGCCGTCCTGTTCCTGGCTCCCCGTTCTTACTATCCATCCCGGAAGTTAACTTAACTTATAAAAATGTCTTTCTCGATTCATTCCCTTTATTATTCTTACCAAGGATTCTACTGTCCCATCGGCGACCCTATTGTGGTTTCCGATCGATCTCCTTCAAAACCTCCCTACCCAAACTGTTCCCCCTGTACTGTACACCTTACCTCCCATCCTCCCATCTTGCAGACACAACATTCCTCAGAAGAGCATTTTACATTCTAAATGAGGTAGGATGATGCTGGTACCACCATCCCATACCTCTCCCCCCTCCCCAATTCTCGATTATTGGTTACCAAGTACTCTCGTCGTCATTGCACTGTTCCCAGCAAAAAAAGGTCACTAAAACAAAACGGACGGATCATGGCAAATCGTGACTCAGACCCGCTACTTTTTTTTATTTTTTGTTTTCGTTCTCCTTTATTTGCACATACCAACTTATTGGTAGCATGATGCAAGGCGGTCTTTTCATTGCTGTACTATAGTATCTGTGATGATGTATAGTTAGTTTTTTTTTTTTTTTTTTGTAGAAAACACTAAGGAGAGGAGTTGATGCAGCAGGGGTCGGAGGGGAGGGTAAGGTAGGCAAGGTATTTGCTGCAGTACACAAGTGTACAGAAAAGTGGAGAGAGGGATGAGTGGTGCATGCCATCATCTTCAGCGAGTAATAACCAGCCTTGTCTGTCCGTCTGTCTTTGACCCACTCTTCTCTCCCCCCTTTTTTTCTCGCCTTCAATCTTTTCTTTCAAATGTACTCTTGCCACGGTACCCCTTCACTGTCATAGGTTTATTTTTGCAACTCTCACCCCTCTTTTTGGTGTGCTCTGTAACAAACAAACTGCAACGGGAGACGGTAAGCGGCTATCATACGTATTGTTCCTGTGACGAAGAAACCGGTTGGACCAACTAGCCTTTTCGTTAACCGTTCTAGGTGTCTCCTAGAAACACAAAACCAAATACATCACTCACTTACTACCTCAAAGATACAACACCCCACCTACTTTTGGGGGGCATCTGCTTCGAATGAAAACAACGTGTTGTATCCAGTTAACGGAATGAACGGATGATTGATTAGGAACATATACATATGAAATAGGAGCCAACAAAAAGGATCGTCAATCAACGTACAGTACACAACACTGTGTATGAGAGACTATATGTATTGTCTTTGAGCCGGAAACGAACCCGAAGTTTTACAGAGGCGAATGGGCGAGCCATCTCACTACATGTTCATGCAAGAGAAAAAGAGCTTATCTCCAATTTCCGGTATTTGTTTTGTTTGTTGCTCTTTGCACTTTATGCAACTCTAGAGCAGCTCTTTGGGTCACCAACATGGCTACCTCTACCTCTCCCCTTTCCTCTTTTCTTCTTACTGTCCTCACTGAATCATCACCCTTTTTGTACCCATCATCAACGATAGGAGATCCTTTTGGCATGTCTTTTTATATCACAATTACAGAGCGCATTTTCAACTTGACACCTACCTTCCTCGTGTCTGGAGTTCCTGATAAAGATTAACCGCTCTTGAACGACCGAACCCCCTAATCAACGATCATTTTTTTTGTTCCTCATGGCGTTTGCTGTTGCTGACGTTGTTTTTTTTTGGCCGTCGCGGAGGTTTCATGTTGTTTATTGTCAAAGGGGAGAGAAGTTGAGGAAGAAGATCAGCGAAAAATTAACTGAAAACATGTACGGCGAGTAAGATAAAAAAGGCGGTTGAGCGAGCGAAACGAAGATGTAGACGAGGATGAAGTAAAGGAAAAGAAAGCAGGGTGGAAAAACGAGAATGCTGGCGGTCATGTTTGATCAAGGCGAGAAGTAAGAACATGCCCTTGATGTGTTGGCCAAAATCGAAGATCTCTCCTCTTTCAACTGATCAGTTTTATTCAGGCATTAGAGAAGCAGTTTTTACCGCCACATAGGTCAGAAGAAAGATATTTTTTGTGCTAACGTGAGCTGTATGAATGGCACTTAAGGATGCCAGAAGGCTTGTGAAACTTGCTCCAACAGCCGTTACTTTTTTGATGGGGTAGAAAAAACTCATTACAAAGAGTTAGGATAAATAGTGGTAATCAGCATCCGCTCGTTCGTTGCTCACAACAAGAAACAACAAAAACAACAACCACGAACGATCCCTCGAATCTTGCATCAAATTATGGTGTGACAGTGTGTATGCCACGTTTTTATTCTTTCACTCGTACAACAACCGATAGGGAAGAAAAACCAAAGTCAGAATTTTGACCGTTCTTTGAAAGATTGAGTTGTAGTCGGAGGGGGAGAAGGAGGTCCTATGTTTTCTCATGGCTCATATCAATTAGTGTGGATGAACGGGATGGATGAATGGATGAACACATGTCCATGACATGACCATGCATAATTAATGGCTCTCCTGCTCTTTCGTTCTTTCTTCATCAATCCAAAACGCCATACCTTTTTTCTGCCTTTTCTTACGCCCACGGATATCATAGTCCATAAGGCAACCAAGAGAGTATCGTTCCGTTGAAGGAAGCTCATCATCCTTTTCTCTCCCTGACGTCTCCCCTGCTGTGAACTCAAAACAGAAGATAGAAAAGAAAAAGAAGAGCCAACTTGGCGTCGTTTCATAATCAACAAACATCCATAGGCCATTCATTTATTTTTCCTCTCTGTCATTCTTTTTCTCTATTTTTTCCTATTTTTTCAAATGGCGATGGTTTGTTTATTGACATTTTTTTGTTCGTCCTTTCGTATTTGTTCATTCGTAATTTATTTGACCAAACGTCAAACCATGATCTGTGCCTCTCACGGTTGTGCTTCGTGTCCTCTCTCCCGTCTCTCCTCTTTCTCCCTTGAAATTTATCCCTTTTGTCCATTCGCCATTTTCCATGAGAGGTATCGAAGCCAACGTACTTCGTCCGTTCGCTCGTCCGTCATTCTCTTGCCTTAACTTCGCAATTAGTGCCCAATTATCTTCCGGAAGGATGGATGGGCGTAAAAAAAAACCAGACAATGAAGCTTCAGGGAAACTCTACTAGAGGTCTAGCCCTTCAGAAATTAGAGTTGCTCAGACGTGCTTCTCACCTACACAGAGAAAGGGAGAGTAGTGAGAGTGATAGAGCTACGAGAAGAGGCGTTTTAACTCTCCTTCATTGGTGAGTTCCTTGTTCTTCCAGAAACCTTGTGCCGTAAAGCTTTTTGTCGTGTTTTTCCTTTCTATCCCCTGGCTGGCGTCTTTGAGCGCAGTACAGTGGGTCATAGGTCATAGGATGGGGAAAGACGAATGGATTGGCTGGTGTGCACTTCCTTCCATAACCAATTAACCCACACGTAAACTCAACAACGCGATTGACTGGACTGATCAACAAACAGAAATGCAATCAGAACACGCCCCACAGACCAATGGCTCCTGGACCCCTCCGTCCCCTTCCCCTTCCTCTGTCAATCCTCCCCCTGTCGCACAAATCAATAATGACAGATTCAACTCAAATAAGGAAAGGAAATGAACACATTTTTTTTGGTTTGTTCCGGTCCCCCGTCTGATTGGCTAGTGCACCGTTTTCATAGGCCATGTTTCTCATCCCTCTGTAGTTTTCTTTTTCATCTATTCGAACTCCATGGCTGTAGGACAGGTGGAGGAAGCAAGGGGTGGTCCCTGGCCACAAAAAAAACGTGGGTTTCTGGTGTTTGAGGTCTGAGGTCTGAGTGTGAGAGTCTGAGGAAGAGGGATTACCTAGTCAGAGGTACATGAAACATTGTAATAAGTCACAATGTAACCTGGCGACCACTGTCCTCAAGTTAACTTAACTTCTCACAACAGCCAAGGAACCCTGGACATATGGGAGCTGAAAGTGAAGAGATAGGCCTTTTTGGGGTTCGAAAAATATTGGACACGGGGTACAGTTACTAGTTACTAGCATGCCCTCAGCTAGAAGTGTGTTGACTGGTTCTGTACGTAAGAAAAGATCGGAGAAAAGAATATCGACATTAGGGAAAAATATCAATGGACAATCCTCGTAAACAACAACCGCCGCATTGACAAACATCTCAGGGGAACAAACACCAATGGAGGAGAGTAGAGTGTGCATTGGACACACCCATACCAAAAAAACAACAAGCACAGGCCATGCCTAAACCCCTTGCTACTTGCCCCTGTTCCTGACCCTGTCCCACTGTCCCTGAACCAGCCTGCCCCCTTGTTTCCTCTCATTCGCACGCATTCGTACTCCACTCATCTATCTCCCCATGCTATTTTTGTTTGTTCAATTTGTTTGCCAGACGATGGTTTTGGTTGTTTTCTTTTTTTATTTTATTTTTTCATGATCTGGAGTGAGTGCATGATGAATGATGGTGTGCGAGGGGGACTTTTGTTCTTTTTTTAAACATGATGAGAAGATGAAGAAATAGGAAAAGGAGAAGAGGGAAAGTCATCAGATATCAATAATGCTGCCGATACAACAGCTGCACTGCTCAATGTTGTAGGTCGGTGCAAAACCAGCAGCACGATGATGGTGGGTATAATGTGCGGTATTAGCGGACTGCTTCAAAGATGATGAAGAAGGCGAAGAACTGGTAGAACTCATAGCGAGTGGGCTCTTGGAGGGAGATGAGGACGAGGACCTTAACGAAAGGGGGGAGCCTATCCTTCGACTGGCCCGAGCAGCAGCAGCAGCGCTCTGGAAGTTCTGCTGAGACATCGACGACTGTTGTTGCTGTGGTTGAGACTGAGTAGCAGGGTGGCCATCGTTGGCGAGCCGCAGGTGTTCAAGATGCTTGAGCTCCTCCGAGGGCGAGAACTGGATGTCTCTCGAATCAGATCGACCGCGTCTCGATTCCAGCGAGGCGAGGGTTTCTTTGAGGTGAATCGATTTGGCGCGACGGAGTCGGATCGCCTCCCGCTCAGCTTCTTCAGCAGCGACCTTGGCAGCTTGGCGTTGCAGTTCCTGTTCCTGGGCCTGTTGTTGGGCTCGGATCTGGGCTTGTTCGAGCTCATACTGGATCCGTGCCTTCTCACGCTCCTGTTCTGCCGCAGAGATGGTTGGCAAAAGAGGGGTCGAGGGGACGGCCGACAATGCAGACCCAGAAGATGAGAGCGAAGGTGAGGTAGAGTTGTTGACAATGATGGCGAGGGATTTCGAAAGAGCCGCTGACTGTTCATGGCCGAGGGTACGACGCTGAGACTCGCGGCGCTTCTGGCGTTGATGCTGGTGGTACTGGTGCTGTCTCTGCATCAAATCAATCTGGAGCTCGAGGGTGACCTTCTCCTGTCGGAGCGAGTCGTATCCGCGCTGCAGGACTGCGATCTGGTCCATCAGGAACTGGCACTTACGCTGCTCCATGGTCAAATCGTCCACCTTACGGGGCGCATTGACCGTGAACCGACGCGTGGGCTTGGACCTCCGGTTCAGAGATGTCGTCGCGACCGTTGCAACCGAAGAGAGCAGAGACGACAAAGTCCCATCCGTTAACACCAAACTGGAATGCTTCGTCGCCACACTTCCTCCGGTTCCCTCTCCTGCTGCGATAGATGAGCCATCCAATGTCGAATAAAGATCTAGTTGATGCTGGAGCTGAATGGCCTGCTGCTGGAAGAATGACAGCTGTGCCTGGACCTGAACGTGTCGATTGCCCATGTTCATAACCAGATCCTGCAACCGATCAATCTCTATCCGGGACTTGGCTGTCTCCTTCTCCAATTCCTGGATCGTCTTTCCGTCAATCGCCTTCTCTCTGCTCATGGTCTCCATCGCATCTAGCTTGGCATCCGAGACATCAACAACCTTGGTCCTCAGTTCCCTCAATTGCTCAATCAACTGCCGGTTCTCCTGCTGAAGCTTCTCTACCTTGTCGGTACTGTTCTTGAGGCGCTTCTGCTGCTTGGCGTTCTCGTTATGACTCTCCATCATCTCGGTCGCGAGTGCCTCCCGGTCCGTCAGGACCTCCTTCAACTGCGACTCTTGCTCCATAGCCATCGCTTCCAAATGCCGGACCATGGCGTCCTTGGTCGACAGCGAGGTCTGTGCACTGGCAAGGTCGCGCTGGGCCTGTTGGAACTGGGCCAAGTTGGTATCGTGCTGAGTCTTGAGGGACTGAAGGCTGTGGTGGGAGTCGGTCGATTGTTGTTGAAAGATAGAAAGACGCTTTTCGCGGATAGTCGAGGACCGCTCGGAACGTTTGAGTCGAGTTCGAAGGGCCGAGAGCTCAGTCTCCAGAGCCTCACATCGCTCCTGCAAAGGCGACTTTAAGAAAAAATCCGAGTTGAGTGGTGGCTCGACTGAGGAGAGGGGAGGGGAAGGTAATGAAGACATGTTGCTGTGATGCTGGTGGTGTTTATGCTGGGTATGTGACCTTCCGGCGACCGTGGTGGCAGGTTGGCTGTTCTTGGTATTGTTATGAGGAGGTTGGAAGGCAAAGGGTTGGGTAGAACCATTCGCGTTGACCACGATCGTGCGGGGCAGGTGGTCAAAGGAGGACTTTTGGGCCGATATTGAGTGGTGGACAGGGCTGGGTATCGTTGTTGAGATTGGGTAAAGACTTGAAGATGCTGCAGCCAACCGTGCGGTAGGAGGAGGGGTCGTGGGCGTCTCTCCTGCTATTGTCGTCGTTGGCGCGGTAGTTCCAGAAGAAAAGAAAGAGGCAGCAGCGGCCAGCTTCAAGGCAGTCAATGACTGTGTGTTGGCCTCCCTTCCTATCTGGTTTTGGTGCTGCTGTTGTTGCTGCATGGGATGGCGGAAGGAATGTTGCTGGTGCTGGTGGTGTGCAAGCGGGGAGTGGAGCGACATGTTTGTCGTTGCGTGTGTGGCTAGACACCCCTTTTTCCTGTCGTGTGTGTTGTGGTGTGTGTAATGTGTGGAGGGAGGGAGGGAGAGGGGAAGGAAAGGGAGGGCGTTTGAAGGAGACAAAAGAATGGAGGTGGGTCGTGTCTTGTGTGTGGATTCTACTATGGCTTTCTTGACTACTGACGGGGATGGTGTTCAACTGACTGAAGAGAGTGGAATGAGGAATGGCGACTTGACAGAGAGAGAGGAGAGGGAACAAAGAAAGGTATAAGAAAAGCAGAGAGTAAGAGGGACAACAAGGTGAACGGACAAAGGAGAAAAAGAGAAGAAAAGAAAAGAAAAGAAGAAGAGAACAGACGAAGAAGGCGAGGACAAGGAACAATGTCCATGGGCAGAATCAGCCTTGTTCTCACACTCTTCTTTTTCGTTCTCTTGCGACCATAATTATTGCAGGCAAACAAGCATCCGTCTTCTTCCTTCCTCCTCGCTCGCTCCCTCCCCTACTGTACGAAGCAATAAAAGCGGGTTGTAAATGAGAATGAACTCATTGCCTTTGAATCTCGAGGGTGAGTGTCTGTTGTGCCTGTTATGTGTTTGTGTTGTTGGGTTGAGAGCCCTATTCGTTGCTCACTAATTTCATCTCTTCGTTCTTTTTTTGTGTTCACTTTTAGTCTCGTTGCCGGTCCACACAACATCAAAGAGCAACAATTATTACAACGGGATAGGGATGAAGAGAACACCAGCGGAGAGGGTCTCTCGCCTCCCCTCCTTCTTCTTCTACCTCAACATGCTTCTTCTTTCTGTATCAATATTCTTCTTTGTGTCCCACACTCTAATCGATGCTTCCTTCTTCGTATGCACCCTGTTGTTTCTGTTCCTGAATTGAATTTTGACTCAACCATCAGTCAATAAAATGCAAATCACAATTACCCATCACCTTCAAGTGAGACAGGCTACCCCGCCTCAAACAGGGCACCCTCCAAGCTTACTCGAGACCTAGCCTACAAGAAAGGAGTAAACAGCAGTTCACATAAACACACACTATTTTACGGACAAATTCCTTATTCCATCCCACTCCCTATTTTCTTTCGCAAAGTAAAGAATCCCTAGGGTCTGGACATGTACCCCGTTGTCATAATACAAAAAAAGAAGATAGGGAGGCTCAATTCTCATTCATGGTTTTCATTTCGCAACCTTGAAAACAGAAAACCTCGAAAAAGATCAGCGACAAGGAAAGAGAAGAAAAAAATCTCCTATCAAATCGCTCTCAACATTTATATTTGTTCGTTGACCTCAAGAATTCTTACCGACCCACCCAACACCGCCTGCCTGCCTGGCATGTACCTTTTTTGCCATCTCTTGCAAAAGATAGGAGAATAGACGCCAATGAAAAGTGAAAGGAAAAGAGGGGCCAAACAGCGTAACCATCATCAACTCTCAACTGCCCATTTTTCATCGTTGCTCATGGACAAGGAAAACAGCATGGCAAGTGATATTTTGCTGGCGTAATACGTTGTCCAAAATATTTTTTTTCGCTCATGCTCATTCTACAACACTCACCACCACCAACCCAGCACGATGTCGTCTTTTTGCCCAAAAGCAATATAACCCTATCGCGGTGTGCGCTCAAAGGGAACGGGAGCCATCGGAATGTTGTCTGTTATTGAGGTGCTCACTCACTGCCACTTTTTGCTAGTCTACTTTTCGTTATCCAGGTAGTCTGGGTTTTGTTATTTTTGGGTGTGTGATGAGGACAAAGGGCATTGCATTTTTTGGCGTGGGTATATGTGATGTTTATTTGTTTTGAAGCCATGTGGATGATTTATCGTGTCTTTTTGCTGGGTCTACATTTTTCTAGACACATGTCCAGGGAGTCAGTCAAGCAGATTGCGAAGACTTTTTCTCAGGATTTGAATGTGTCCATGTCCAATCAAATGCATGTGTACCAACAACCTATTGGTTTGCTACCATATTTTTGTTGTAGCAAGAAGAGGGCGTTCTTGAGCGACCCTTCAGGCTTTAAGGCGGCATCAGCAGTGAAACTGACGGTTGTTGTGGGATTGAGGTAGAATAATTCTTTATCCATGCACATGCTTTTCCTCCCTCATCAATGTTGACGACCAAACTGGCGACGATGTATATCTTGCATTTCGTGATGGTAGTTTTGCTCGTGTCTGTTTCCTTTGTCCGTTGGAAGCGACGCGTGCATGTCTCCTCCCTCTCGTCAGTTGAGATCTAGTAGAAAGTGCGATTGAAAAATGTTCGTTGACTTCATCGATTAGAGGCACGTGATGTTAACTCAACCGCTGCGCGTTTTGCCACAAAAAAAAAGTGTATATAACGAACATTGTTTGATGACTCGTCTTCTTCTCCACTTCTCTTTCTTTTCGTTCACCCCTTTTGGCCTTTTGTTTGAACAGACCCCTCGCCAGACCATCAAGCCAAAAAGAGAGTCTCTTAAGAAAAAAAAGAATAAAAAGGAAGAGCCCTCCTGCAACAACCACACAGCAATCAGCCTTTCTTCTCTACTTCGCCAAAACAACCATACCCTACACAAATGTCGTTCCTTAGAAAGAGACCTCCAGTCCAGTCCAACCGCCAGCAACAGGCCCGCGCCCTGGCAGCAGGCCAGGCGAGCAGCAACAGTGGTCCCACCATCAAGAAAAAGATCCCGACTAGCGCTACCCCACAGCCTGTCCCTGGAACATACACCGACTACAAGCTCGTCTCAACCTCGCGGGATGTCCTCCACCACGTCATGCGTTTCCATGGCCAGAAAATCATCACCCCAAACTCATTCACCGCCCCCGTCAAACTGCACCGCAAAAAAAACGAGAACCAACACCGAGGATACTATGGCAGGTACAGCCAGTACAATCAGCAACAACAGCAGCAGGCTGCCAAGGATGCTACTGGTGACAAGAAGGACGGAGCTGCTGCTGCTGCCGGTACACCTGGTGGCGCTGCAGCACCTGCGACGACGGGAGCCAACACAGCCCTGATCGCGCCCTACGGAGGTGGTGTCCGCAACAAGCAGATGCTCTTCAAGAAGCGGACGAGACAGATCTACATCGCCAACGAGGACGAGCGCAAGAAGAAGGAAATTGAAGCCGCACCCTGGGTGTTGGATGACTATGACAGCCAGAACAATTGGACCGGTCAGCTCGAGGGAGGACAAGGCGCCAACTATGTCCTGTTTGTCTTTGCCGAGGATGGCTTCAAGGTCGTGCCTGCCGATAAGTGGTACAAGTTCAGCCCCAAGCTTCAATATGCCACCCTCACCGCCGAGGAAGCTGAAGAGCAGGTACGCGACTAGGACAATGCTTTGCCGAAGTCACTTTGCGATATTGTTTTGTTTGTTGCGTGCATGAATGAAAGGCTTTTGTACTTACCACAATCACCTTGATTCATAACACAAATAGTTCCAAAAATCGCAGAAGCAGAGCAACAGCATCCGGTGGCTGATGCGATCCAAGAACAAGAAGGCTGAGGATGGCGAAGAGGGCGGAGAGGAAGACATTGAGACCGAGCAGCTCCTGGCTGTCGACCATGATGATGACGCTGGGTATGTGTTTGCTTATTCAAGGATTCACCTGGAAGAGCTTATTTTGCAAAGGCCGTGGAGAGCATGTTCTAATTATTTACATTCTTGTGTTTGTATCATCCACATAGTTATGACGAGGACGAGGCAAAGGACAGAAAGAAGAAGCGCGGCAAGCACGGAGATGTTGACGAGATGGACTTTGACGAAGTGTGGCAGGACGACGAAGAGATGCCAGCAGACATGCCTGGCTTCGACGATGACGCCAAAGACGACGTAAGTGAGGATCCTCTCGAGTCTAAATTTCGCCACCAACAACGAGTTTGTGGTTTGTTGTATGAGGACATATATTTGACGTGCTTTCCTTATTCCCTTTGTGATAAATAGCCTCGCAACAAGCACGGAACTCAGATGGATTCTGACGAAGATGAAGACGACGAGGACGACCGGGCACGCCTCAACGAAACTGGAAAGGCTGTCAAGAAGGCTCTTCGGAAATTGGAGAAGAACAAGGCCTACGATGACGATGATGACAAGGATCCTTACGCCAGTGTAAGTTAACCTGGTGGTACTATCAAGATCGCCTTTCTTCATTCTCATTGAAGCAGGTATTGACATTTGAGAACATTACATGCTAATAGGACAAGGACTCGTCAGACTCGGACTTGGATGAGATTGACAAGGAGAAGGAAATGAAGAAGGAAGAAGATGCGGCAGCAGCAGCAGGAGGAAGCACTCCCGACTTATCCAAGGCCAAGAACAAAACCAAGGCCAACGCCAAGGCACCCCTGACCCCCAAGAAGGCCAACGCCACCAAGCCTGCAGCCAGCAAGCCTGTCAGCGCTAAGGCCTTAAAGAACAAGCCCGCCATGCCTACTCCCAGGAACGCTAGCGCAGGAACACAGCCCTCTACCAAGCCTGCTGGACTATCCTCCTCATCAGCACCCCGAGGATCTTCGCCACCTGCAGCTGTAAATGGAAGAGCAGTATCACCCACTGTGTCGGACAAGAAGAGGAAAAAGATGGATGGAGCAAGTCAAGAACAGGCCGAGGATTCACCCAAGAAGGTTGCTCGTCCCTCTGAGGCGTCGACCTCCAGTGCAGCAGCCTCTCACGCCGCGGAACCCCATGATGGTATGTTATGGATACGTTTTGTGTATTTTTCTCTTGCACTGTTTCTCCCTTAACTTTCCGTACTAATTGTTCGCTCGCTCTATCAAAATAGATTCGAACTTGATCACGGAGGCAGAAGTCATTGCGCTGCTCAGGAGCAAACCCAAAGTGACGACTCGTGACCTGATCTACGATCTGAAAAAGAAGCTGAGGAGGGACGGGCGAAACAAGAACATCTTGGCCATGTGTGTCAAGAAGGTCGCCACCCCTGTGGACGGTGTCCTGGTGTTGAAGGATGGCTTTTAAAAGGTATTACGCATATAAGGTCAACACTTCCCTGCGAGCTGTCTTTGCAAAGGATCATGTACTGGTTATGTCACCTTTTTGCCTTCCTTACACCATATTCATTACTGGATTAGTAGTTCTTTACTGAACGACTCGAATCCACCGTAGCTTGACTTTTTACTTTTTGCTTTTTTTCTTTCGTTTTCTTGCGCATATGTTTCCATGAACAAACAACCACACGTACAAATGTAATAAAACCTACAAAAACACTCTTGCAAAACAAACATCAAATCTCGATCAGCGAAGGTGTTGTGTGTTGTACAACAAACAAGAAAATAAGTACTAGTGCATTTGTTTCTAATTTATTGATTCACCACCTCGTCTCCAACTTTGGACAGTTCTTTTGTAACCCGTCGTCGACCCAATGTCTCTTGGTGCCCTGGAGAATCTTCAGACGGCTGGATCAGTGGGTCTTCATCCATTCGAGTTCTAGGGTTTGGATGTTGTGCCCGTGGATCTGTGAAATGTGAGGAGTTCCAGGTTCTAGAGACCTGCCATATGGGCTAAGCTTGTTGACAGTGACATGTCGAATATAAGTGTCGAGGGTGTGTGGGAGGATGAGTGGTGGTAAGTGTGACGGCTGTGACTCGATCGTCAGGGCAGATTGTATGTAGACTCGTCTGCAGCCACGGTCCTCGCAGGGACATTCACAACCGATATGCAACTCGACTAGTGCGGCCAGACGGTCCAATTTCATGTAGAGCGACTCGATTTGGATGTGGTACTGAAGGTCGTCGTTGATGGTGGGGGGATGGGCGGAAGCTGATGTTGAGGCATTTTAGTGTTGTTGTGCATACCCAGGAGGTGAGACCGAGTTTTGAGAGGACAGGTAGCGTTCTCGCTGTAATTGGCGGTACGAGTAGAAGTGAGGTAGCGGGGTTGTGATGATGGCACCAACGGCCCCTTGTCCTGAGCTACAGAACCTATTATCGTTTGTGATCTCAACCCACTTCGTGTACGGCGCAATGGTCTCACATATATGTTCGACCTTCAAGACTTGGAGATGTTCTGGACATGTGACAAATAACCTCCACACCTCAAAGACCGACATGCTCACAGATGCGCCTTTTAAGGTCAAGTTGGTAAGGGCGAGCATGTTGTCGATGTGGAGAGTAGGGTCTTGGAAGACATAGTTGGTGTACCAGAAGGTAGTTTTAAAGTGCAGAAAGATATGGATGACTTGGAGGGATGCCTTGTTCAAGGATATGAGCTACTCGATGACCTGGCAGTTTGTCCATTCATAGATATTGGGGGCACAGTTGGATCGTGGGCCGGTTTCATGGAAATCGGGACGCGTCGTTCCTGAACAATAACACCGGCCCCACCTCCTCCACCTGTTGCTGCTGTTGTTACCATTGTTCTTCCTGCATCCTCCTTTGATGTCGCAACGATAGACCCTCATTCTACTCCAAACACCCAAAATCGGGTCCAACCCATCCCGTCCCAGAACAACAACCTCCCTTTATCATCCCCGCACGGTCCAATAACCGTTGCGCCACACTCGGGTCTGCGAGGAGTGCCGCATTTTGGAGGTACTTGAATATGAAGTGACGTCAGGTGTGGGGGGGCGAATATCGTGGACCATTGGTAGCAAACTAGGGAGCAGGCAAGGGTGCAAGGACGTCGCAGAAGGAGCGAAGGACTGGTGGGAGGGTGAAGATTGAGGGCGAGGGAGGGGAAGTGGAAGGAGGGTTGGTCATTGCTTGGTGGATAAGTGTGGTGATGGAAGGAAGGCTGAAAGGTAGAAGGCTGAAGTGACCATGGAACCCTTGACCAAGGAAAGCAAACAACTGGAGGCCACGTCGCCATATTTACTATTTTGCCCCTTTGGTTGTCACGAGCTGATGGGACAGAGACCAAGTGAGTGCGGTAGCATTAATGCGACATGCATGCAGTGGTCCCCACTTTGAACCGTATAATAAGCGTTTTTGGGAAAGGGACATGGAAAGCGAAGAAAGACAGTTTGGATGGTTGAATGAGAGCAAACACAAACAAGAACAAGCAAGAGAGCATTGAGGCTGACAGAGTGGATAAAAACTTCGTATGCATGTTCTTCCTTCTTCTCTTCTCTCTTCCTCTCTTTCTTCTTTGTCCTTCTCCCCTCCCTTTCCCCACTCTCCACCCCACCAGTGTCGACAGTTGGTCACCTTCTCCTCCTACCACCACCTTCGACACTCCCTTCCACGCCTCACTCGGCCTTCTCTCCTCTTCCCTTCTTCCTCCTCCCTCTTCTCAACCGACTTTCCTCTCTCCTCTCGCCTTCACTCACTTCATAATGTTATTCACGGCCCAAAAGTTCCTCCTCCTCATCGCAACCCTTGCCTTCTCTCACCAGCACCTGACACACGCCCAACAGCAGCAACCCACAGGAACCGTCTCCGCAACAGACCCAGTCCCGACGTTCGAAAACACCGTCGGTGTTCAGGTCCAATCACCCGGCAACGACATCTCTATCCGCCCCGATGGCGTTCTCCCCATTGCTCTTAATATAGGTCGTCGACTTATCAGTATGTGCCTCTCTGTTCAACCCCTGCTTCCCTGACGGTTAAAGCGTGCTTATTTCTCCACACATGCAGCACAAGAGTAGAACTAAAAATTGTCCCTGTCAATTTTCTTTCAATCCTTCATTGGTAATTAGGTTCAGTGGTAGTGACAGTGGCAAAGGCAGACGGGTCAGGAAACACGACCGTTTTGGAGTACAAGTCTGTAGCTGCTGTTCGTATCGTGACAGTCGCACCCTTGGCAACCTTCAAGTTCTCTGAAGGGGATTATATTGTACGTCCTGGCTTCCTTCTTCTTTTCCGTTACACATATCGTATTTGATTACTTTGAGACACTCACCACTGATTGTTCCTGAAAATCGTGTTGTTTTTAGGTGAGCCTGGCGATTACACCCAACTTGACAGCAATCATCCCCACCTCCACATCCCCACCTTCCTCCGGTAACGCGACGGCAGGCACGACCACGGCAGTGGCTCCTGCACCTCAACCCACTGCTCCTAACGGCCTACCAGGAATGTACTATTGGCGTGGAGTTCTCAAGCTCTCGAACGATGCTCCTGTAACCAATGGCGGTGGTGGGAGTGGTGGTGCTTCCAGCAATGCGGCTCCAAGCGCAGGCGTCGGTACTGGTGTTGTTGGGGTGATGGGCGCTTGGACGACGTTTGCGAATATGATGACTGCCTTGGGTGTTTTGGCGTTCCTGAACGTTGTAGCCCTTTAAGATACCCCTCGCTTACCCGTACTTCTCGTACTTCTTCACTTCACTTTGGAGGGTCGGTAATTAATTGCGTCGTACAAGTGTTTACAGACTTACAAATGCCCTTGACAGATGCATAATAATAAAACAGTGTCTTTTATTGCTTGTGGCGAGCCGAATGAACCATTTCCAGCGTATATCCTGCGAGCATAGAAAGGACTTGTTTATGCCTTGGCACGAACCAAGGAGCCACCATCGACAGGGATAACAGCACCCGTGGTGTAAGCGCCAGCCCTCGAAGCCAAGTAAATACAAGTCGCCGCAATATCCTCAGGCAACCCAATCCGTCCCAAAGGAATACTACCGACAATCATCTCTCCAAAATCCCTCAACGTCGCCGCCATCATCTTGGACTCAAAGGGCCCTGGCGCAATGGCATTACAAGTAATCTGACGATGACCCAAATGACCTGCCAGAACACGGGTCATCTGGTGGAGGGCAGCCTTGGAGGCCGAGTAGGCGTAGGTCTCGAGGGTGGGGACGTGGATTCCGTCGACGGAGCCGATGTTGATGATGGATGCAGGCGCTTTTTCGGAGGCTGCGGCGTCGAGGAGGGGGAGCATTGCTTGGGTGAGGGAGAAGACGCGCTTGAGGTTGAGGTTCATGACCTTTTCGAATGCTTCGTCTGGGTATGTCTCCAATGGTGCGCCCCACTATTATCATGGAGTGTTTGAGAGGTCAGGTATGTGCTTTTCATCAGGGTAAGAGTAAGACCTGAATGGTCCATGGGTGATGGTGGAGGAAGTACTTACAGTGGCACCGGCGTTGTTGACCAAGACGTGGACCTCTACAAAACATTAACCCCGATCGAGATTTTTTGCATGGAAATTGTTAGGTATGCAACACTGCTCAACTCCAAACCTTCATTTCACATTTCACACAACATCAACCGATCAAATATCCCACCCCTACCCCTCTTCTTTATCCCTCCATCCTTCACCCAAAACAAACAGCAGCAACAACAAGAAAGAAGAAAACATACTGGACTCGCGCTTGGTCAACTCGGCGACCAATCGGTTGACCTCCTTAATGCTCTGGAGATCGGCAGGGAGGGAGATACACTGGCCAGGCCCGAGCTTCGACAGCTCCTCGGCGACCTTGTCGCAGACGCTTGCTGAGCGGGACGAGATGTACACCTTTGCGCCATTCACTACGAATCCGTGGGCGATCATCAAGCCGATTCTGTGTAATTTTGGTGTGAAAGAAGGAGGAGAAGAGGTGGTCAGGTTATTGGGAACCAATTGCTGCATGTGAATGGATAATGATTGTGAGGCGGGGAGGTATAGGTGTAGTGAGTAGGAGGGAGAAAGGTTGTCGAAAGGGCGCTCCCCTGTGGTAGTATCCTCAATTGAACAACATTCCGCGATGTGTCCTTGGGAGCCGAGGAAGCGCCAGGTCTAGAAAAATCAAGAGTTGCTGTGTGTCGTTCTTTTTACCCTCGGCTGCCTCCGGTGACGAGGACGACCTTGTTCTTGACGTCGAAGAGAGAAGAAGTGTGCATGGAAGACATTGTTGTTGCTTGTTTGTTGAAGAGGTGATGGCAAGTAAGAAGAAAGAAAGAGAGATGAATGAGAATGCAACAGCAACACGGGAGGGATGCTAGGTGAACGTCGTTTCAAACCCTCTCACCCACACAAGGCATTCAGCCGAAAGTGACAGTGGCCGCACGTGACCCTGATCGAACATTGGAAATCGCCAATGAACACAGCGACCGCGGAATCCTGGTTCGGCTGGCGGGTGGCAGGAAACATAACGCTACTTTGTGCTCAAAGGCGCGCGCGACTTTCTAGGCTAATGTGTACAAGTTATTGATGCCAATGTGAAAGGAAAAACGCGAGCACAAAGGCGGAAGGAGCTGAGGGTTGGCATTAGACGTTGTCGCCGGTTTGTTGCTGTGTTTCTAACTGAATGCTGTATTTGCTGCTTTGCTGGAGGTGTATCACGCTATGACCAATCACCATTCACAATGAAGAACATTAAACGTTACATGAAAAAAAAAATATCAGGGATCAATAGGGCCACTCAGGGTCACTCAGGAGACAAAAGAACAAAAGAAGGAAAAGGGAGAAGGATGATGGGGCTAGACAAAACAATGAAGGAGCCAAGCCAGGTCATTGCAGGAGCAAGGAAATGGGACTTAGAGAAGGGGCCCATGCTCACATGCATCCCTGTGTCTTTTTTGTTACTGCTGGCTGCTGATTGTGAAAAAAGACTCGGGGAGAAGGACTTTCTGCAAACTTACTTCGAGTGAGGTGAGGAAGGGGAATGCTCTCCAAGTGTTCGGTTGTTCCTGGATTCCTGAAAAAAGGGAGGGTCCATCCCTTTCTGTGCATAGAACTTACTAGCGGTATTTTCTTCGTCTTCATCGTTCGTTGTCCTATCACTCCAACTCACTCGCCACACGTCGTTTTATGTTGAGCGTGGTTGTATTTGCGTACATGTATGTGTTATTTGTTCCATTCCGACCTCCTTACATTGACTTGTACTTGACTCCTGGACCCGGGACACATATACGCATACATATGAAAGACAAGGTGCCTCGAACAATAGCAATAAAGGCGACCTTTTCTTTTTCTTTGTTTTGTATTTCACTCCTGGATTTAAAGGAAATCACCCCCTTGGAAAAGAAAGAAAAGGAAAAGAAAGAGAAAAGAGACGATATGACGCTGACTGGCGCACCCTTGTGCCCTCAACTTTGGTGTTGTCAAAGCACCAAAAAGATGAAGTGGCCATCGATTCATAGACGTGAATAAAAGGCAGATGCGACGGAAGCACACGTTGGGTAGATCTCGTCTTGTTTTTAAACCAAGCGTGCTCGCATCTCTTGCTTTTATTCTTTTCTTTCGAGTTGCTCTCGTCTTCTTCCCCCTAACTTCCTCTTTCCCATCCATTCTTTACCTCCGACCTCTCTCACTCTCCTCATTCATTTCATTTCAATGCATTCACTTTGTGTTCTCCATTTGCTCTGATCTCTACATCCTCCTCTCCACCTAATAATTTGATCCAAACACAAAAAAGTGAGCGTTTCATACACACGCCAGAGTATCCAAAAGTAGTACAGGAAAAAAAAAAAGAAACAGCAACGAAGATGAACAGCAACAGGGTCGAGGTCCTGTCCTTGCCGGCGACCAGACAGGATAGCACCTCATGGCTGTCAGATCCGAGCCTCCCCTGGCTTGACAACTCCTCCATCCAATCGCAGCAGCAGCAGCAACAACAGCAACAACAGCAACAAGAGCACTCTAATCCGTCTCACGAACCATCATCACCTCGCCCTAATCACCACCATCCTGTATCTCCGACTCATCAATCATCATCAACCGCACTGACCACCGCCACCACAACCGTAATCATTAATAATAATAGCAATGACACCGCTCATGCCACCACAATCGCAAGCAATAATCCTCTTCACGGTTCAACGAGTCCGATCACACGGCTTCCGGTCGACATCCTACTCTACATCGCCTCCCTACGGTTCCTCACCCTCAACGATGTCGTCCAGTGGCGAGCCACCGCCAGCGTTTTTTATCATTCCATCCCTCTTCCCAATGCTGCCATGGTAAGTAAAGCAACACACAATCGCTCTATATATAAATGAAAAGAATGTTGGCAACTGTCTCATAAGAATGGAAAAGAAGGAATGGGACCCAGGAGGATATGTCTCCTCTCGGATTTTCCTTGCTTTGCTAACCTCATTTCCCCTTGTTTTTCTTCTTGGCCCTTTCTCTCTTCCCCCTTTTGTTTTGCTCGATGGATGGATCGCCCTTGGCTTGGGTCTGAATGAAATGCCTTGTGTCTCTTATTACTCTGATGCTAGATCCTGCAAGCTGCACATCTCTTCCAAGTCCGACCACGGCGAGGACACCGTGAAACCACTCTACCACAACAACCTCCGCCTCCTAATCAAACTCCTGCAGCTGCAGCTGCCTTCACACAACCACATCCTCTCCCTCCCACCGCAGCACCTCCTCTCCTACATCCTTCATCTCATCCATCTCATCTTTCAAGGGTCACTGACATCCATACACTGTGCACAGATCGACAGCTCCAGGATATCATCGATAGATTGACTCGCTTACTCCTCCACCCGGATTTCCAACCACGTCTGATGCGATCTGCTTACTCTTTTCGTAATCACGACCCGCTTTTCCTCCCCTCCACTTTACACTCTTACGACGACGACCATGACCACCAAAGGCGGTCTTCCCTTGCCTCATCTCACCAAGACCAGTCTACCTCGACTAATGCGCCTACGCCTACGGTGAATATGAGGAGGAAGAGGAGGACGCCAAGGGATATGCAGGATTACCCCATTTTCTTGACGGGGAACCCTCCAGACCTGGTCCGGCTCGCGATTGAGTTTGGACATGTTCCGTTCGTGGACCATTTGCTTTATCGAGGGTTCCGGCCGCGTGATCTTCCAGAGTACTTTTCGTTAATTCCTTTCATCACCCCCCCGGCCAGTGAGGATTCTCTTTCAGCATCGTTGTCAGCGACGGCTCTGAATAATTTGTCAACGGCTAGGAGGCGCAGGAATACTGATGCTGGTATGGGTGACGGCGACCAAGGTACATCCACTGCTTTCGCTGCCACAGCAGATCTACAAGGGGCCAGCAGCAGCAGACGAGAGTCCAAAGACAAAAACGAGCAACAGAACCGCGACACTACGCTGTTGAAGCGATCACTAGAGCTGAACCAGATCTGGGAATGTATGCGACTGGCGAGTCAGGAGCTCATGGATGCCTGCTCACGAGCTGACTTCGATGCGGTTCTGAAGATTCTCGATTCGACACTCGTCAAGCCTCGCCTCTCGCTTGAAGAGTCTGCAGCTCAAGACGCAGCGCTAGCTGCAGCTCGGGATATCGGTGATGACGAGGTTGAGAACCTGACAGAATCAACAGGAGAAGGGGTAGATCGGCATGGGAAACGGAGTCAGTCAGGTCTTGACCCAGTTCAAAGTCGTCATGATTCGATCGGGACGGGCTCGGAGGACAGGTTCTTGGATGACGATTTGATGATGACGGCGACGACACAGGAGATGAGAGGCGCTGGTGTGGGAACTTCTTCTTCTCATCGGGCTTCTGCTGTTTCAGTCCCTTCACGGGATCGTACCCTCGAATGCAACGAAGGAGGTAAGCCCCATGTACCACGTCTGCAAATATCATTATTTCAGCTCTCGGTGCTGCGCGTGACAATACATTCTAACTAACGACCATGTTGTCTATCTGCAATTAGTGCCGTCAGTGATCCACAGGCCAAGCCTATTCCGCCAACGCTCACGCGCCAGCAGCGATGGCGGATGTGCCAGCAGCGACAGCAATTACGACAACCAATCCCAGTACCAGTACCAGTCCCTGCAGCATCCAGTCTCAGACGCACTCTCAGGATCCGACAATACTACTAACAAAGACGACGACATGGAACCTCCGCCCCACATGCCCTGGATCGACGGCCGTGCCCTCACAAGTGCACTGCTAGCAGTATGCTTCCGACGCGATGGCTACGAGTCCCCAGAGGCAGAGCTGGACGAAGAACTTCGAGCGTTGCCCATTGTGAGGGAGTTGTTAAAGTATGATTGTATGCTGACTGCTCAGTCATTGGGACAGGCAGTGTTGGCTGTTGCGTATTCCCGGTCGGCAGGGTCTTTGAAACGCGCGCGTGAGCAAAGGCTATTGTGGCGGAGACAGAGACTGTACCCACATCGGCGACAGGATCAGAGTGTTAGTGGGTCGAGTTCTCATAGTCGACGGGATTCTATCGCGCAGGGCGTCGCTGGCTCTGATGCATCAGGAGCTGTGGCGGGGGTAGGAGCATCAGGCACTGGGGATATGGGAGTTCAAAGAGTTGGACTGACAGAGAGTGTCATGGATCTGTTGCTGGAGCGGATCGGTCCTCGAGAATGGCTCAAGCTGATAAAATGCTACCTCCAGCGGCAGGAGTTTGATGACCTGGCGGTTGTGCTCGAACGCTGCCCGTTCAAAGGCCCTCAACTCGAAACAAGGAACAAGGATCAACAGCAGGACAAGAACCAAAAACAACGTCCGTACAGTGGCCCCGGCGGTATCAGTTTTGGTCGTGCAGGAGCAGGGGGAGGATACAGTAACACCATTACCGGAACAGGAGGAGGGAGTCTTTTGAGTCCCCAACAGGGCGAATACGACCGCCAAAGGGTTCGGGAGATGATCTGTCGCGAGACCGGGATCTGTGGTGTGGGTACACGAATCGGGCACTTTAACGGTCGCGGGGCCGGCCAGGCGTCTTACAACGTCTCGTCGACACTGTACGAGGCCAGTCGCATCTTGTTCACGGGTAGCGGGACGAGGTTCAGTCACAGTTACATGTTGCCGAGGGGTGGGTTCCGAGGGATTGGTGGGAATAGTAGTGGACATACAGGGTCGCCGAGTAACAGCACTGCGCCGCAGGTTGCGGGAACTGCAGAGTCTTTGCATGCGGCGGATGATCAGGAGGTACCTGTATCTCATCTGGCTGCGACGGCGGTTACAGAGTCGAACCAGACCCCTCTCAGTTCGAGTCAGCAGCAAAGTCCTCTTCAGACGAATTCACAGGACCAGGATCGCCGACCTCCACAGTTCCGAACCATGCACTACGAAGTAAACGACAACTACGACAACCCCGACACCGACGAATCAAGCAACAACAGCGACGATGACCTATACGACGACGAAGAAGACCCAGAATCTAATATTGAACAATTCGACTCCAGTTTCGCATTCGGCGGCGTCGGAAGCAGCACCACCTCCAGTTCTCGTCCTGGCCCTGGTATCGTTGGCATTGCGATTCAAGTCCAAGCACCCGAACATATCTTGAACGCGCTGTTGAAGATGGGGTTCCGGTTCTTTAGTATCTGTGACCTTTCGATTTCTGATAATAGTCACCCGCTTGCGTTGCAGTTCCGGCAGCAGGAGAAGATGAACAGGCAGTTGATCGAGTTCTGTATGGTCCCAAATCTGGAGCGGCTTAGTGATGTTGGTGGTGACGCTGAGGGGTCGGGCGGTGGGAAGGTAGGAAAGAAAGGGAAGGGGAGGAAGTTTGACAAGCGGAATGGTTCGAGGTATGATGAGGCTGATCGTGAGGCTCATGCACTGGTGGTTCAGGCGTTCTTGTACCCTGGGGCCAACAACCCGACGCGAGGTTGGTCGTCCATTCCAGCTCTGCCTGCTATGATGTCTAGTATCAGTCAGAGGATTCGCACGGTGTCTGGAGGATACCTATCCCCACCCTCGCCATCCTCCTCCATGCCGGCAGCAGCCGTTGCCCTTCCCGTGTCAACGCCTCCTTCTCCATCAGCTGCCGCTACGCCCCAGTCAACACCAGCTCCAGCACCAGCACTAGCGCCAGCATCAGCTACATCTAATGCTGGACCATCTATGCTGACGCCTTCAAACCGCTTGCAGTTTGTTCTCCCGCCCATGCAACTCGGAGACTCTTTCGAATCCACATCCACCGTCGCCAAATTCGCCGACCAGCAGAACCCAGACCTCGACTTTTCATCGTCAAGTCTCACCGCTCCATCTATCTCCACCAATCCCACAACCGCCATCAACGATTTCAACGACGACTCGCCTTCACAGTCAACACTCACGCCACAAAGATACCATCAAAGCGGATTCGCGACCTCAATGCCCCTCCCGATCCGAACCTCCATGGTCGAAAAACGACTCTCTGCCGGATCCACGTTCTTTGCCGCCCACAACAACAATATCAACTCCAACAGTAGCAGTAGTGCAGGATACCACCTTCCTCACAGTCCCAACTCTTCAACCTCTCTCGCAGCCGCGGCGATCCATTTCGCGAACCAGCAACGGATGCTACTGGAGGCTACTCGTCGGCGCGTCCGGGAGACTCTGCGGTCTGATTATATGGATCTGATGACTGTCGGGATCTGTCTCTACCAGGCCTGTTACCATGAGAAGGAGACGTTGCTTATGGTTCTGTTGGAGCATCGGTTGTTGATTGCGCAGGATGCGTTGACGGGTGCGGTGCAGGTTGCAGCGTCAGTGGGGTGGAAGCGGGGATTGGAGTTGCTGTTGGTTCAGTGTGGGGATATGGAAGCTGAAATTGAGCCCGTGGTGACAACGACGAGTGAGTATGTTCATCTAGGAACATCGATGAAGTGGGATCATGCGACGGCTGTGCAGGTGTTCCCTAATGGGGGACGAGAACCTGGTTCTGCAGGATCAGGCGGCCGCAGTAGCATTCCAGGTAGTCTTGGTGCACGACGAGGGGCGAGAGTTGCAGCTGCTGGAGGGCTTGAAGGGTTGGTGACTCGTGGATTGCGCCGTCATCGGAGTGATGGCAGTCGTTTGAGCCGGTTTGGCGAAGGGTTCTTTGGAAGTGGCGCAGGAGGTCCGTCGTACACAGCTGGGGATGTCGCTGAACGACCAGTCGCCCTGAACCGCCGTGCGAGTTTTGAGCTTTCTCGCTTGCCCATCTTTCAGTCAGGTGTGTTCTCGACTTCTCCGACATCAGAAAGTCCAACAGCACCCGTACACGTCCCTCTGCTGGAACCTGTCATCCCCTCACCCAGGTCCTCGTCACTGCGGTCAAAACTGTCATCCCTTATCCCTAACTTGGCCATCGCTTCTGGATCCACCACCGACCTATCCCAAAAACCCATCTCCAAGAACAAACAACAACCACCAACACAACAACGTCCGAACTCCACCTCCACCTTATTCGCCAAAGCAGTTCATCGACCAGACCAGCCACCCACAATCCTAATGCTCTCAACTTCTGGACTCTGGTCCCTTCCAACAGTGATGATGCAGCGCAAGAGCAGGAACGCCGTCGTGGCATTGATGGCAGCGTGTACTAGGAACGATCCAGCGCTAGTTACATGGCTGATCGAGACGTTTGCAGACATCAAGGTTGTTCATATCATGCAGGCGCTCATGATTGCCTGTGACCGTGGGCTGTTGCGAGTTGTTAAGGCTCTCCTTGGTGGTCCACTGGACGCTGTCGGCGATGGGCGCGAGGGCGGTTCTGGGAAGAAGAAGGCGTCGCTTGGCAAGAAGAAGAAGGATGCTACTGCGGCTGCCGGGTCTTCGCGATCGTTGTTTCGGAGATGGTTGGCGTTCCAGTACCAACAGATCCTCGACATGACCCAACAGCCAGTTCCAATTTCATCCTACTCGACAACAAAACCACCAGCAGGGCCCGGAGTCGCCGAACAAGGTAACGAGAAGTACGATGAGACAGCAGCCCCTACAGTCAACAGGGCCGACCCTGAAAGCGACAGCTCCGATTTGCCACGGTTCGATTCTTTCCCATTCGTGTTCTTGATGGAATCTTCGCCTATATTCCGACACTACTACCAGACCCTCAACACCCTCTCGTCGTGTCAGTTCATGCTGAAGCGGAGTGGTGTTCATCCTGTAAGTGGTACCCGTACTACCGCCGCCACCGCCGCCGCCTCTGCCGGCTCCCCTCCTAGTTTGTATGGCACTCAACAGCAGCAACCGCAGTCTTCAGCACCCGAACACGACGGCGAAAACTGCAACCCTCCAGGATTCAGTAACTCAGATCCTACAGCAACAGAGGCAGGATCAACAGCAACAACCCTCCCACCCATGGCCCCCCTCCAACGCCGCGCTTCCGCATCCGCATCTACATCCTTCCAACCTCCCTCCCCTCCTCAACCACCAAAACACACCCCCGCCTCGCAAAATCGCCCAACCCAAGTACCACCACAAGACATCAAACTTGAAATCATCCGCCTAATGCTCGCACCCGTCCTCGAAACCCTCGGCCCAATATCGGTCCGCAAGGCATTGGACAGGTTACCGAAGGACAGTTGGTGGCCGTTGGATCATGATGTGCGGACGATGGTTGATCAGGAGGCGAGGAAAGATATGGTTGCTGTTGTTATGGCCATGAAGAGGCGGCAGAAACAGAAACAGGAGCGGGAGTTGCGTGTTTTGAGGGCGATGCGGCAGCGCGCAGAAGCGATGGATGCTGACGCAGAAGCTGAGGAGATGAGTAGTGAAGGTGAAGGTGTTGGAGGTGTGGTGGAGGCAACACAGGGCAGGCGTGTGCGACAGGAGAGTAGTAGGGCGGCGGTGGCGGCCGACCTCCAGCAGCTTTCTGAACAGAAGAGAAAAGAGCAGAGGTGGAAAGGTAAAGCCAAGCAAGATGCAGCACATCAAGGAGAGGAGGAGGAAGAAGGAAAAAAAGGATTAGTAGGCGATAGGTGGCATAAGGCTTCTGGACCCTTCCGACGTGTGCGCAAATGGGTTGTTGAGCGCAAGAAGAAATCAGCCACCAAGGACCATCTGGAAGTGGCGTCGGAAGGAGGCAGTAGTGGGCAGGGTACTGAAAAGGCGTGTCCGTATGACCTTACTTCGACGCGACACCTCACCGTTGCCTCCACTTAAATAAAAAAAAGTTTATGTATGAAGGAGATAAAGAGATACACCTTTTCCATCCACATCCTTTTCTTATCGTTTCTTTTGTGAAGCTCTGACCATGTACGTCCCAATCCAGCTGCGACAGACCATCGCCAACACATAAAACGTAATAAACATATATCATATCCCTGAGGGGAGAGGATCACACGTGACATATGTGGCTTTGCAGACTTTTGTTCCCTCTCTTCTTTTCAAGGAAGTTAATCGCCATGCGATCAACGCCTCTTTGCTTTGCATCCTTCAACGACATCAGCACAGGACCGGCACCATCAACGAACAACATCAGGAAGAACTTTCTTACATCAGCCAGGAACCAACAAACCTCCCATCATCGTGCTCTCACCACCTCCCACAAACCGCACTCGACTTTAGTAATCTTCAAAGCAATCACACAATCTATCATTCGTCACCTTCCACAGTCGCGCCTCCTCACCGCCACCACTACTACCACACAAGCAACATAACACAACAAGACAAAGGATATCATGGCCGACAGACAGAACCGTGTGGGGTCCAAAATTGGAGGAGCCGGAGTCGCTGGCGCCTCGGAGTCGAATGTCGATAGGAGAGAACGTCTCCGCAAACTTGCCCTTGAGACCATCGGTACGTTTCCTTCACTACCATATTGTTGCTTTTGTGTAGTTCACGCCCAAAGATCATGGGTCAGCTATCTCTCACGACGGCAAAGGAGAAAAAAAAAGTCAAGAAACAATGCATCTTAACACAGATATCCATTCTCTAACAACGCTTTTATTCTTTGAACTCAAAAAATAATAGACCTGGCAAAGGACCCATACTTCATGCGGAATCACTTGGGCTCGTACGAATGTAAACTCTGCTTAACCCTCCACACAAACGAGGGTTCCTACCTCGCCCATACCCAGGGCAAGAAACATCAAACCAACCTGGGCCGTCGCGCCGCAAAGGACGCCATGGAAAAACCCGACCCCCTCGCGCCCCTCACCGCCGCCCAACAACAAGCCCTCAAATCTTCCACGTCAACACAACCCACATTCAAACGTAATATCATCAAGATCGGTCTGCCCGGTTACAAGGTCACCAAGATCAGGGACCCGACCTCGAGACAGGTCGGGTTGCTGTTCGAGATTGCGTACCCGGAGATTGGACAGGGAGTCGAGCCACGGTACAGGTTCATGTCGGCATACGAGCAGCAGATCCAGGCTCCTAACAAGGCACATCAGTACCTGGTGATTGCTGCAGAGCCCTATGAGACGATTTCGTTCAAAGTCCAGAGCCGGGATATTGATCGGGCGGAGGAGAAGTTGTGGAGTCATTGGGATGTGGATCAGAAGATGTATACGATGCAGTTCTTTTTCAAAAATGATCAGAGGTTGTTGAGTTCTAGTCGGATGGAGAGTGCGCCTGGGTACAGTGTTCCTGGGACGCAGATGGCTAACCCTTTGAACCCATTCCATGCGCCCATGCGGACTGCTGCCTAATGGAACAAAAAGCGTGGTAATAATAAAAATAGCATTCTTGAAAACCTGAGAGGACTCGATGATGTCTGTTTTAATACTGCGTTTTCCTTACATTTCTTCTTGTCCTTTTCAAGATTGGCAGCACTTACATCCGCAAGGGAACCGATCTTCATGCCACATTAGCAAATTCAAACAACTCGCGTTTTTATTTTTATATGACAGAATTTCAAAGAGGAAAAAAAAGGTACCAGAGTAAAAGAATGATAGAGAAAAAAATCAGCCAGTACATTTAGCACTTGCAGGATTTCTTCCCGTTCAACATCGGGTGGGCATGCTTGTGCCAGTAGGCAGGGGCATCAAACGACTGCTGGGCAGCAGTGACAGTACCAAAGTAAGCAGGGTAGATGTTTCCATCATACTTTCCAATAGGCGCCTTGAGGATGAAATCAGGGATAGCCCAGGCATCAATCAAGGGGATAGCATCCTTACGCAAGTCCTTGCACTGATCCAAGAACAACTGTCGGACCATCTTGGCGTGAGACCCATTGAAGTACCCCTCCTCCAAGAACAGATCCAAATGTCTCTGGAGGACAAGGGTGCTCAAGAGCTGGCCCATCTTGCGAAGCATTCCGTAGACGGGAGTATGCTTGTGACGGTTGATGCCCTGCTGGTAGAGGATCAAGAAGTATCTCCAGGAGTGGACATCGGCAAGACGGACCAGCTCGGTCTGGTTGGTGTTCCAAGCCTGGTCAAAGTTGGCTTTACCAGCCTCGGCCAGGATTGCGCCCAGCTCGGTTGCCTTCTTGGCACATGCCCAAGTCAAGACATCGATCACAAACTCGTGCTGGAGGAGATCGCGCGCGTCTTGGATGGTGGACTTTGGGGTTGAGAGGACCTTCTTGTAGTCGTTGAGGTAGCTGACAGATCCCAAGACCTCCTGGCCTTCCTGGGCCCACTTGAGGGTCGTGATCAGGTAGCGAGCCGACTGCTGCATCAAAACGACGTTGTCTCCACCGCCAGTCGTCATGACTCCGTAGTCGCCAATCAAACCAGCAATGGCGTTGTAAGATGAGTAAGCGTGACCTCCACAGGCGCGACGGCAGTTCTCCAGGACTTCGGTCGCGTACCAAGACATGGCACCCTTGAATCCGGCAGAGACTCCGTGCTGGTCAGGGATCTCCCTCATGAACGCGCCGGCATCCGTCTGGGCATACCCCGCAACCTCGTTCCACTTTGTCATCAACTCATGGTCGACAATGTTGAGCGCATAGATGAACGCAACTCCGGGCATCAAGCTGGTATAATGAGTCTGGTAATCCAAAATCTGCTCATCGTGGTTTCCTTGACGACGGACAGCACCATAGCGGACAGCAATGGTCAAGGTCTGGGAGAGGATGACCTGTGATCCTCCAAGCAAAGTGAAACGCTCAGGGATCAAGGTAGCGTAAGAGAGGACGGGGTTAGGCGAAGGGGTGAACTCGCCTTCGGGTGACATGGAAGCCCACTTCATCATCATATTCAGGCGGGGGATCCTGACAGATGTGAACTGGATCCAGCCGTTGTCGAGTCCCTGACGGCCGGCCTTGTGTCCGATATCGCCAGCAGTAACACCGGGCTTCAGCTTTCCGGTCTTGCCGTCACGGAGGGGGACGATGAACCAGTTGATACCGTGGTTCTCTCCATCGACGATCGTCTGGCAGATGGCAACTATTGAAAGGGGACAAAAAAGGGTGGTCAGAAACAGCGTAATAGCACCGACACCCATAGGATATCCAATGTGGAGTTCAGACGAAATAATTTCACAAAACAAATAATTCGCCAGTGTCACAGTGTCACTTTATCAGGTCGGAGTAAACACGCATCGCATGCGCGGTAAATGAATCCAGAAACGCTCAGTTTGCTTTTTTCGCTTACCGGTATGGGTCGCGGTCTCTCCAGACATGCCGATCCACCACTTGGTCGAGGTCAACGTAGGCGAGTGAATGACCCACTCGTTGGTAGCACGGTCATACGTCGAAGTTGTCTCCAATCCACGCAAGTTCGACGAAGTTCCTAGTTCAGTCTACATACACAAAGTCAATAGACCATAGCGTTAGTCTCCATCCTTTCATTTCCTGCTCCTGTTCAAGTTATCCTACATCCTCAAACCCATGAACACAAATGACAATAGCAATGGCTGGGTCATACCATGGCAAAGCATCCAATGACTCTCCAGTTGTTAATATCATCCAGCCACTGATCCTGCTGCTCAGGAGATCCGAAAAGCGTGACCGCTTGCCTGAACAACATCTCATGGACATAAATACGCATCGAGAACGACTCTGAGTAGTACGCCATGGCGGTGAAGAGGGCCTGGGCAAGACGAGGGTCCTTGATCTGCTTCCTCAACTCGACCACCCGCGCAATCTGACGCATTGTCTGTTCACGGTCCTCGGCTCTGGTCAGGTCGTGGTGGTGTCCTGCGCGCATCCTCAGATCTGGATCGCGCTGGATCATCTGGAACGCCAAGTTCTATAAACGTTAACATTCAATTCCAAGTTCAGGGATTAGCATTTCAGAAGAGGCCAGTGACAGTTGATATCTTTGGTGTTTACGGCAGAAGCGACGACGTGACAAAGAGGTTGGGTTACCAAGGCGTCAACGTTTTCCTTGCCACGGAAGATAACTTCGGTCATGTCATCGACTTTGAAGGAGGCATTGGCGCGCTCACGGGCCAGGTCGGCCGGACCGGTAGGCTTGTCGTTGTGGATAGCGTGGCGGTGGAAGCAGGGCTGGATGGTCAAGTGGTTCTGGACGGCAGCCAGACGGGCCAGGGCGGCTGTTGAGTTGGGCTCCATTGGACTTGTCGAAGAAGACGAAGAAAGAAGGAAAGATGGAGAAGGTGAGGGTAGGAGAGGAATGAATAGGAGAAGAAAGGGAAGGATGGTTGGAATGAGAAAAGGAAAAGAAAAGAAAAAGGTTGCAATGGCGAGCCGGAGACACTTTGGTCTGTGTGCAACCTAGCCCAGATTTCCACGGGTCTCTTTGAGAGTGAGAAATGCTAACGCCCCGCTGGAGTGCCTGGAACCAATTGCTACTCTTCCACCTGACAATGCCATACAACAAATGCACAGAGAGAATCCTTGTGCGGTTATATCTTTTTCTTTTTTTTATACTTTACTTCACTCGGGCCTTTCTCGCGCAGCACAAGCAACATAACAATCGACAAAGACAAACAATCAATACCGACAAAAAGACGCGTAGATAATTTGATAATCGTGGTGTTTAATGGTGTACCAAATAGAAACAAAGAGAGTAGGGTGAGAGAGTTGGAGAGGGGAACAGAAAAATGGCATGGGTGTTTAATGTATTTAGTTGCCAGAGATCTCGGCGGCAAGCTTGGCGGCCTTGGCAGCGGCATCCTCGATGTCACCGACCATGTAGAAGGCAGCCTCGGGCAAGTGATCGTGCTTACCCTCGAGAACCTCCTTGAAGGAGCGGATGGTATCCTCGAGCTTGACCAAGCGACCCTCGGAACCAGTGAAGACCTGGGCGACGGTGAAGGGCTGGGACAAGAACTTCTGGATCTTACGGGCACGCTCGACAGTCAACTTGTCCTCCTCGGACAACTCATCCATACCCAAAATGGCAATGATATCCTGGAGCGACTTGTACGACTGGAGGATCTGCTGGACCTTGGAGGCGGTCTCGTAATGCTCCTCACCGACGATACGGGGATCCAACATACGGGACTTGGAGTCGAGGGGATCGACGGCGGGGTAAATACCCAACTCGGAGATACCACGGGACAAGACGGTGGTGGCGTCCAAATGGGCGAAGGTGGTGGCGGGGGCGGGATCGGTCAAATCATCAGCAGGGACGTAGACGGCCTGGACGGAGGTAATGGAACCCTTCTTGGTGGTGGTAATACGCTCCTGCATTCCTCCCATATCGGTGGAAAGAGTGGGCTGGTAACCGACAGCGGAGGGAATACGACCCAAAAGAGCAGACACCTCGGAACCGGCCTGGGTGAAACGGAAAATGTTGTCAATGAAGAGCAACACATCCTGACCCTCCTGATCACGGAAGTACTCGGCAATGGTCAAACCGGTCAAGGCGACACGGGCACGGGCACCTGGGGGCTCGTTCATCTGTCCGAAGACAAGGGCGGCCTTGGACTCGCCATCCAGCTTGATGACTCCGGTCTCCATCATCTCGTGGTACAAATCGTTACCCTCACGGGTACGCTCTCCGACACCGGCGAAGACAGAGTAACCTCCGTGGTGCTTGGCAATGTTGTTGATCAACTCCTGAATGAAGACAGTCTTTCCGACACCGGCACCTCCGAAGAGACCAATCTTACCACCACGAGCGTAGGGGGCGAGCAAATCGACGACCTTGATACCGGTGACGAGAACCTCGGGGACGACGGACTGATCGACGAACTCGGGAGCCTCGCAATGGATAGGGGCGGTCTGCTTGGCGTTGATGGGGCCACGCTCGTCGATGGGCTCACCGATAACGTTAATGATACGGCCCAAGCACTCAGGGCCGACGGGGATGGTGATGGGGGCACCAGTGTCATCAACGGGCTGGCCACGGACCAAACCCTCAGTTCCGTCCATGGCAATGGTACGGACGGTGTTCTCTCCCAAGTGCTGGGCGACCTCAAGAACCAAACGACGGTCCAAGCCCCTGACCTCAAGAGCGTTCAAGATGGAGGGGAGCTTGCCCTGGTCGAACTGGACATCGACGACGGCACCAATGACAGAGCGAATCTGACCAGAGGACTTGGCATCGGAAGCATAGCCGGCTATTGTGAGATATAATCGATTGAGAATTGTTGGTTAGTGGGCGTGTTCAATTCACCGTTGGAGGTGGAGGAAGAAGAGGAGGATGTGTTGTCGATAAAGACAATGGTGTGCAATCCTGTTAACAGTTGGATATGCAACTGATCGTAGTCTACAGAGTGTGGCGTTTGTATTTTCGTGTAATATTACTGTTGTGTCGAGATCCCCTCTTTCATAACAGCCCCGATCAGATCAACACTCGACCCCAGAAAGGGGCGCGCTCGCTGATCATCTGTCGGGTGCGTGCTGACCCTCGATCCTGTTGTCCCAAGATGTCGTGTCCACTGATTATTCTGCTGCAGCGGAAAAGGTCTTCTAATCTAGATCGGTGGTTGATCCAGTTTAAGCGACCTCCAGGAACAAACTTGACTTCGAGACGGGTCTCCCGAATCAATCCGTTCCTGCGATTTTGCGATGTCGTGCTCCCGTTCCGATGAACGATCTTGCTCCGATCGCCTCGCTTTCTCTGACACAGCGACGAGGCTGATCATAAAGAACAAAGAGAAGGTAGCCAAAGCTCAACGTGTTGAACACTTGGCTGGTCAAGTCAAAGAAGTTCAGGGCTACATATGATATTGGCTCGAACGCGAGAAATATCAAAATAAATGGCGGTAGGGATAGCAATTGAAGGAAACAGAGTGGCGTGGATGGTTGTTGAAGTCGAACGTGTGTTGTTGAGAAGAAGGAGGTCGTTGACGTGAGGCGGGTAGATGATGAAGCGAAGAAGGGTATATATGTGCGGGCGTAGTTGAAAGTGTGATGTTATGGCGGGTTGTTGAAAGTGAGTGGAGAGAGAGCGAGAGAGTGAGGGTGAGAAAAAGGGTAAGGGGAGAGTGATAGATGAAGAAATAAAGGCTTACCCTTCAAGAAGGCGGCGTTGAAGGCCTTGGGGGCGGTCTTGATGGCGGCAGCGCTCTTAGAGAGACGCGAGATGTTGCGAAGGGCGTACATGGTGAATGGACCCTTTAGGATGTGTGATGGGGAAGGATTGAGAAGAAGAAGAGAGAAAAAAAAAGAGAAGAGTGTCTGGTACAGGCACTTGTAAGAAGAACAGGAAGGAACGGGCGGGACGGGGACAGGCGGAACAGTCAGGTCTCTCTTGCTGTGGGAAGAAGGGAAGGAGGAGTGGGAGTGCAGCAAATGCGTTTGTTTTGATTTCCTGTTGGATTTGATTGGCTACTGGTAGAGGGAGGGTTTTGCTGACGTCACACTTGTCGACCCTCTCTATATGCACGCGCCGCGTGAAATATCGGATATCTTCTTTTGTGCCTGAATCGTGCAGACATCTCACACGTTCACATTCACTCGCATTCGAAGAGCAACCCAACTGTTCCAAATGATAATGATACGCCTGTGCGCATGGAAGTGCTGGCCTTTGTTTTGTTTGTCGGACAAAGGAAGAAAGGGAAAGAAAGTGTTTGTACTTTTATTCATTGACAATGCAATTGGAGCAATGTCCGTATCAGTTGAGTAGGGGTGTGGACATAGACACTACGGACGAGGCAAAGAATGAAATAAGCGATCGCCAACGTGAGCACAAAAGGAAAAAGAAAGGCAAAGAAGGAAGAGTGAGAGTCTTCCTTCCCTTCCTTTTTTCGCGGTATGTTTGATTGGTGTTCCTGTGTTCCTCTGGGCATACAAAGAATGTGAGAGTGAAAGTGGTACGGTAGAGTAGAGTGAGCAAAAGAAAGTCAAAGTTCATCAATCGAGTGCAAGGGCGTGTTCTGATTGGCTCACTTGCCCCCACACCCCAGTTCTGTTCTCCGTTGAGTTCTTTATCCTTCCCATCCTTTCCTTCTCATCATCTCATCTCTTCTTCATCTACCTCCCCTTCCCTTTCCCTCCCCTCGCCCTCTCTCTATATTATACTACTATTATGTCCGTCACCGCACCCACCACCGCCGCTCCCGTCTCGGCCCAGAAGACCAACTATGTCAAGAAGCCCAGCCAGGAGGAGAAGGACGAGACCCTCAAGGAGATTGAGGCCAACATGGAGAAGATCCGCCCCCGCTTGGTAAGTACTCCCAGTTCTCATCACATTTCAACCACGTTCAAACTATCCTACATTCTTATCATGTTCTACGCAACAGAGAGTTGAGCAGGATCACACTCAATATCGTCAAGTACGATAAACACAACCACATCACAGAATCGACGAGATCTGCTGGAACGCTAGAAAAGAAGAAGGGAGATGAAAGCATTGCGATTGCTCATCTGCTGTCTTCCATGGTAAACTCATCTAACCAAACTTTTTTTTCGTTTATCTGGTTCAAATAGAACGCTGTCCGTGAGGCTATTGCCTCTGTCACTGGCAAGTCCGAGTCTGACCCCAGAACTGCTCTCCGCAAGCGTTTGGGCGAGCTCCGCGACAAGCAGGCTGAGAACAAGAAGGGCAAGCAGGTCAAGATCGATCAACTCACCACCTTGAACAACTCCTTGAAGAAGAAGGTACGTTTCTTTTTTTTGAGTCTCCGGCGCATACCCATATACGCCCTCGATCTGTTTTTTTTCCTTGTCCAATTGATGTGTATTTTGGTAGTTTTGTGTGTGCAAAGGCGAGTATGCAGCAACATGGCAGCAGGTGGACAGTGAATGGTGAAAGAAGAACAGGTCAATTGAACTCATTTTTCCCGATCTGTTGAACCAAATCCATTCTTAGATTGCCGACTTGAAGGCTATCCAGGACAAGCTCCCCTTCAAGACCCAGGACGCCGTCGAAGCCCAGATTAAGTATGTGGAACATTTCCTTCGTGGCACGCCCTGCCACAGCAACCTGTCTCAATTGATCAATACAACCAGCAAAAAAAAGTTAGTAAACACTATCTAACCAACTACTCACCTTCGTGTCCTTTTGACACTCGTCGTGGATTTCACGCCTGTCTACAGCAAGCTGGAGAAGCAGCTCGAGTCTGGATCGCTCAAGTTGGTCGAGGAGAAGCGTATTTTAGCCGAGATCTCGTCCTTGAAGAAGGCCAAGAAGTCTGTTGACGCCGCCCAAACCCAGCAGGTCGCCATTGATGAAGACAAGGCCGCCATCGCTGCTCTCAAGGAGACCATCGACGATCAGACCGCCAAGGCCTTGAGCGCTGAGTACGAACAGATCCAGGCTCAGTTGGACGAGATCACAAAGTCCAAGGATGAAGTCTGGAAGAAGCGCAACGACCTCTTTGATGAGCGCACCCGCCTCCAGAAGGAGCTCGATACCGAGTACCAGCGCAAGAAGGCTATCAACGACGAGTACTTCAACGCCCTTCGCGAGTTCAGCAAGCACCAGCAGGAGATGCAGGTTCGCAAGCGCGAGGAGTACCAGGCCAAGAAGCAGCAGGAGTTGGAGGAGAAGCGCTTGGCTGTTGCCAAGGAGGAGCGTGAGCTCGCCGAGATCCCCGCCTTCACCAACGAGATCGTCACCTGCGACAGCGTCTACAAGTACTTGCTCCAGTTCAGCACTGACGAGAAGCGCATTGCTGATGCTGCCACCGTTGCCCCCGTTGATACCCCTGCCGCCAACGTTCGCCAGGTCGATACCACCGCCAACGTCCCCTCCGGTGTCATGCTTGCCAAGAAGGCCGACAAGGTCGAGGAGGTCTTCTTCGCTGGAAAATCCAAGAAGAGCAGGGGCCCCAAGGAGAAGAAGGCCGAGGGTAACTCCTTCAAGCTTCCCCTTGCCGTTCTCGAGCAGCTGGTAAGGAAACTTTATGTCTTGATACTATGATAGCAGAGTGAGCTTATTCTTCACACTACAGAGAGCTAATTCCTCACTTTTATTGTATTTCATCGTGAATTTAGTTCGAGCTCAAGGTTGTTGTCCCCACTTCGCCTGCTGACCTCGAAAAGACCTTGGATGCTTTGGTCGCGAAGAGGGATGGCTTCAAGGCCAACCAGGAGAAGGCCACCGCTGAGAACAAGCGCAAGGCCGAGGAGCGCATTGCCAAGTTGACCATCTCCGAGTCTGGGGAGGTCACCGAGGCTGCCCCCGAGAAGGCCACTGAGGTTGAGGCCACTGCTTGTAAGTTTTCCTTTTATTCTGTTCTCTGACTTAGCGATCTCCATTCATTTCAATGGCTTCTAATCTCTTCCTTGCCTTCATTTTCAACCTGATAGAAATTCATTTTTTTGCTCGTGCTTACCCATGACCCGACAGAGAGTATTACAATCCCATTAACCCCCGCGACCGCACAACTAGAGTCTCCAACGATCCCGGCATACAAATATTATATTATGACACACAAGAACAGTTCAATGCTTGGTGAGGAGGAGGTACTTTTTGTTGATCTGTTAACGAAGATATCCCGGTTTATCGTGTTCGAACAAATCATGAAGAAAAAAAAAACGCATCCATACAAATAAAAATAATGTACCAACAGAACTCGGTGATAGTGCGAAGACATGGTTAGGGTGAGTGCTTCAGAGCGAGAGTGAGAGTGAGAGTGAGAATGAGAGCAATTAGACTTAAGGGCCAGAAGACAGAAAAAGAAGAAGGCAGTTGGTGAAATTATCGGACTCGACTGCGACCAGCGACGATTCCTTCTCTGAACCAGTTGAATTAAACAAAATGGTTAGCACGCAGTCACCACCACTCACCCCACATGGGAGGGAAAGCACATACATCCACGGGAGAGCCAACCATCCAACCCAGCATCCATGCAACCATCGAGAAACCATCCATCAACACTACCCGCCATTGCACATATCATATACCCCGGCACTATCGTCAATCCCTATCCGCCTCAATTCAACCTTTCGACTCATCCCAAAAAAAACTCGCTTCTCGATTGGGAGAAGGGATGAGGGGTTGCCTTGAGCTTGTTTGCTCAGGCTGCGAAGGCATGATTCGATACAGGCGACAAACGTATCTTTGTTACAGGAAGGAAACCATCATCAACTTGGACGGCAAGCAGGAAGCAAAGGCCGGTGATCACTGTGAACCAGATCTTTCGCCGGACACACCGATCAGCAAGCGTAGAGTTTTCATCTGGGCACCCAGTTTTAACTGTGTGTGCGGCGAACCTGTGATCCAACTCACGAATGGCGCACCCACAACCAAAGCACTTGCAACAAGCGCAACAAAGACTGAAACAGTAACAGGAATCCACAGGAAACAGGGGCTCTCACACCTCTCTCACAAAGATGAACCCTTGATCTCAGAGAGCTAATCACCACAAACAACCTTTTCCCTCTCGCTACAACTTTTGTCTGGATATCAATAGGGTATTGACATTAAGAAGCACCACGTTCGCAACAAGAACCGTCAGGCTCCCAAGTCCGAGGATGTCTACTTGTTGTTGCTCGTCAAGGTATGCAGAAAGAACGAGACGATGGCCTCAACGAGGAGGAGGAGGGGTGGAAGCTGTTGGCGAGCGGTGCAAAGCCGGAAGAGAGTGGCGGATCAAGAGCGGGAACTTAATGCGGAAGCAGATACAGGATCCTTGCAACCACGCTAAAAGCGACTGGTATCAACCGCACAGACTCAGTACTTCTGGACTACATACTCTAATAGCAAGCGACTCTACGGGACTTCAGTCTTTTTTTTTGCACGGGGACGGTCAGGACGAGCTCTGGCGACCCATTGATAACAATTGGACTCGTCATGCTCGCTTCGACAGTCCTGTGGGAGCCAGCGGAAGAGGTTTTTAGCTATTGCAACCCTACGCTGAGTGGCGGCCTTGGAGGAATGCAGGCGACAACGGAATGCAGGACTTGAAGCGGGCATACTTCTTTTCTCGACAGCGCTGATTCATCCAACAACTGACAACCATGGAACAAAAGACAGCAACCTCCCAGAACACACGCCACCAATAATATGCCTACTGAAGCCAGTAATCTACCAGGAGACGGCATTTCTATGTAACAACATCCAACTTACACCTCTCTACCTTACTCTCCTCTTGCACCTACTTCCTCCTCATAGCTCTACAGATTCCTTGCCCGCCGCACGGACTCTTCCTTCAACAAGGTCGTCTTGAAGCGCCTCTTTATGTCGCGCGTCAACCGCCCTCCCATGTCGGTCTCCCGTGTTGCCCGCAACATGATCGGTAAGGATGGCAAGACCGCCGTCATTGTCGGAACCGTCACTGACGACAACCGCTTCCTCGAGGTCCCCAAGTTGTCGATTGCTTGCTTGCGCATCACCAAGTCCGCCAAGGCTCGCGTCTTGAAGGCCGGCGGTGAGGTCATCACCTTTGACCAGTTGGCTCTCCGTGCCCCCACCGGTGCCAACACCATCCTCCTCCGCGGTAAGAAGAACACCCGTGAGGCCGTCAAGCACTTCGGCATGGGCCCCGGCAAGCACGCCAAGCCCTATGTCCAGAGCAAGGGTCGCAAGTTCGAGAAGGCCCGTGGTCGTCGTGCCTCCCGCGGCTTCAAGGTTTAAATGTGCAATTAAACCTTTTAACACCCCCTCAATACAAAAACCCATGTTCAAGAATAAATACCTGTTTTCGGTTACTTTTCTTTTGTTTCGATTGGTCATTCTTAGCCTTGAGGCCGTGGTGTTTCTGATTTTGTGTGATTTCATTTTGGTGGCGTGTCTGACCGTTGGTAAGCTTAACCGCCTGCGCCCCTCTGCGAAGAAGCTTCTATTTTTCTGATCAGATCAGTGATGGGGATGGACGCGACATTTTCGCGTTTGGATGAATGTACCGCGTTCTTTGTGGGCATATCTTATGTACCGAATGGTGATTTTGTCGACGTGCCTTTGAGACATCAACTGATAGCAGCAGCGCATACCCATGACCATTGAGAAAAAAAAGAAGGAAGCGCTCGTCCCGTTTCTTCTTTATTCGTTCGCTCTCTCATATCCTTCCCCCGAATTAACACTGTTCTCAACCAAATGCACCCTATCCTTGAAGACTCCTCACAAAGGAAATAGGCGTACGACCGCCGCTTATGCACCTTTTAGTGCCTGCTTGGATAGAGAACGGTCGAGTGCGACGAGAGATCCCCATCACGAGTTCATTTACTGGGAAGAAAGAAAGAGAGATGGAGCGATTGTTGTTGGTCATCCTCTATATTTATTTTTATTTCATTATATAGATTAAAGGCACCTTGCAGAAATGTTTGCTTGGACATTCCATCATATCGACGAGGTATTTTGAAACCAAAAAAAAAAAAAAAAAAAAAAAAAAAGCGAGCAAGTTGAATATGTCAACACCACAAAAAACAGGCGACCAAAAGAGTACAGGGCTGGGGGATCATCAAGAAAAAAATCAATCTTGAACTTGTACAACCTCAAGGAGCCATGGCCATCGTCGCAGAAAAAAATATGGAAAATCGGGTAAACTATCCAACTCATTCTCGGGCGTAGTCGTAATTTTGTTTTACTGTTGTACTATTTGTGTGAGTGCACGGCATGAGAGAAAAGAACAAATGGAAGTTTCTGGTACCTGGTCAATGATTCGTTCATGTGGATGACAATAAAAACGTGTCTTCTCCTATCTTTTTTTGTATCACATCGTCAACAAGGGTGGATACGGATGGCGTATCGAGTTCAAAGTATAATAATAATGAAAGCTGACGCGTTGATCCACAGAATTGCTGCGTTCTTGATGTGCCCAAAAAAAGACAAGTGACATGCACGTAGCGACCCAAGGACATGACGGAACCAAATGCAGCACGGGCGTCCTTGGTGATTATCCACATCAACGACAGAAATCATGGTGGGGCGTGTGTGTAAGAACATTGATAAAAGACTAGACACCGACGAATCATAACAAGTCCCAGTCCAATCGCTCATGTGCTTGACATACATATTCAAAAAGTCGAACCTAGGAGCGACATTAGCTATCGTGATGAGGGAGTTGTTTTGTAATATCGTCTTGTATTTGTAATATTCTAGATTGAACGTACGAAAAGAGAGCAAGCAAATGAAACGTGACTATCGCAAGGAAGCTCGCTAGAAATCGGACATGTACTTGTTCTATTTGCAAAACAATTCTAACCGCCTTGAATCGAGTGGAAAGAACATTAGTCGACATAAATGAATATTTGCAAATCCAACAGCTGTAAGCAAATCGCCCTTGTCTGTCTTCACAACACTTAAATGACAATCATCGCATCGTCCAATCCCTCCTGGCCGCTTGAAGAAAGATAAGCGCGAACGGGGAGCGATAAAGCTAATACGACCCTCAGTGTAGGTCGCCGTTCACCTTTTCTTTATGAATTTTTATTCGCATGATCAGACGTTGATTAAAGGAGGACAGGTATTTTTTTTCTTGCAATTGACTTTGGGCTACCTCACACGAAATGGAAGTAGGAAAGTGGTGGTCAAGGGATATCGGACATGTTATCTGAGGCAACATAAAAAACGCGAAAATTAGTAGTCAGGAGACCGTCCCTCGTTTTTCTCCTCTGAACTTATTACAATTTACAGCCTATATTCATAGCACAGATCCCTCACAAACCAAACATCCAAGAGAACCACAAAGCCAGCGAAGAAAAAAAAGCATGGCGGAAGACAACACGTATGAGGATTTCGAGAACTTTAATCCATCATCAGATGACGAATCCGCAGATGAAGACGAGTTGTTGGAAGCGTTCCCACAAACAACAAGAGCATATAGTCTTGGCGTTTGCTTAGACAGATATCCCAGCCCTGGGAAACGTCAGCTTACTCTTAGAGAATTCGCGAAGGTCATCATTGGTAGAATAGCAGACTTATACGCTAATGGTGTCGCTTTGGTCAACATTACGATTCTATACGAGAGTGTAAACTCGACACATTATCGCACATTTGGTGTTGAGAGAATTGCTAAGTATGATGATATATATGAAGTTCCCATCGACAGCGATTCATACATGATATTTGCTCAAGTTTTGATAAGATGAACATCGAAGAGGGTGTTTCCTATGTTCTATCGACTTCTTATTTCGAAATAACAACACATTGGTGGATCTGTTAAGACAATTACAATGGATCGTTTTGCGAAACACATCATTAACTGTAAAACTTACGCAATCAGGGGAACATCAGATCCATCAAAGATGAACAGGTCAGGAGAGAGCGATCGAAAAAAAGATAGGCAGTTGTGAGCACGGTCCATCTATGCTTGAAAAATCGACTGAGAAAAAAACGTGATCGCCACAACTCCATTGACTATCGAGCAATTTACTTAATGAGACAATCACGCAAGAAGAGAATGTCAGCTGCGACAAGGTTAGGTCATTCCAACCACCTCGTGAATCGCTGTTGCTGTTCCTGGTCTTTTTTTATTTCTTTTTTGTTCTTGATTACGCGAGTTGATCAATGGAAGAGCGAAGATCGATGCGGTGCGGATAATGTTACTGTACCAAGCGCTTACCTACAAGAAGGCATAGTCGAAACACCACAACCGTTGTTCAACCTCTCAATTGCAAATGATATAGCAAAGACGCAGATATGAAAGTGTATGAACAAATGAAGCGTAAAAATCTTCCAATTCCATCTAGGAGGAGGATCCCTTTAAGAGATGTATCGTTGTAAAAATGACAGAGAAGTGCTCCAATAAAACATCCATCCAAGGGTCGAAAAAGGGTGGTTAGACCGGTCCAATTACGGTGAATCCTCCCAGTTTGAAGGAACTGACATAAATAAAGGAAGATGAAAAATTCGTCCATCCATTTACTCTTTCAACTTGATCAAGAAAGAAATCAAAAAAGAGTCTCAACTGCGAGCATAATCCAAAGGAGTGACTATGAACAAATATAGAATCGACACACAGGAGGAATGATCCCCTTTCTATGATTTTTATGTATGAGCTCTTCTGTTCAAAGCGAGGGTATGCCGTTGTTGTCGTTGTCAGTGATCTTAGCTACCTATCGTTCCTATACTACCTATCGTCGTCATTAGAACAAAAACAAGAACAAAAAACAATACAAGAATGAAGCAGACGCTGATCGATATCCTTGTAAAATTTACATCTACAATAGAAAGGTTGTCCGCGAACGCAGGGCACGCGCATAGTGTTCTTTGAAAAAGGTGCAAACAAACAAGTCATTGTGCCACGCAAAAAAAAGTATTGAGGGCAAACGGAAGCCGAAGGAAAGTTTCTGGTCAGCCCACACGATCGCTCAAGAGAAACAGGTATATACCGTCCATATGTACTCGCGCCAGGGCGTCGACACTAGCAAGGTCAAAGTCCAAATCGCGAACAACTCTGCCGAAGCGCTGAAATGCGCACTCTACCTGTGAACAACCACACTGATCCATCATGTCGATCTATTATATTTAGAATCTCCAGTTTGCAAAAGTGTGAGTATAACAAGCAAAACGCACCACTGACCTCACAACGGATCGCGTTTGTTCTATCAAAATATTATTTGGAAAGATGAATGGCACTAAACTACTATGGTATGATTTGGGAGAGTATGTCCCAATTGAGCGCCATCCGATGAGGAAGAATGCCGCCATGTCGATGTGTGTGAGAGGTGAAATGTAGATAGGTATGATGGAGAAAGGATGAAGCGAGTAGGAGTGGCTCTTAAAGCTCAGGAGTGTACCAGCGCTCAAAGACCTCAGGATGACAGCGATGCACCGTCTCAAAGATATGTTCACCATTGCTCCAGGTTCCTCTTACGCTGCGGACCTCCCCAGTAACAACAACCTCCCCCTCAGCTCTCGCATCCACTTCATCGTGAATGCCCAAAGCATCCACCTTGTCCTCGAGCTCATCTTCTTCAGATTCCCACTCGGAAGCTGACCCTCCGATCAGCGATGAGGGCGACATTGAAGGAACCAGAGGCTTGGAACCAGTAAATAGCTGAGAAATACGGTGTGGGATCTTGGCGTCGACGGCAGGGTCGAAAAAGAAGGGGATGCTATACCGGTCATGGCCCGAGGTGTTGTTCAAGACGCGGTGAACCGTCGCATGGTACAAACCACCCGTCAACCGCTCGATCGCCTCGCCCATGGTAACAATGAATGTATCGGGAATGGGACGCGTATCCACCCACTCGCCCGTCTTAGGGTCCTGACCCTGGAGACCACCAACCATATCTTGGAGCAGGACGGTCAAGAAACCCGTATCCTTGTGTGCACCACATCCGATAGTAGCAGCCTTATCGACTGAGGGGTACTTGGCACACTTGAGGCGGTAGTAAGGCGACTGGCCAAACATGGTTCTGAAATAAGACGCGTCAAGGCCCAAGGATAGAGCGACGGCTTCCATGAGGTGATGTGACAGGGTCTCAAGCTCAGTCATGAAACTGAGGATGGTTGACTGAAACTCAGGGACGGCTTCAAGAGTGGTGACTGGCCATTGGTTGGGTCCCTGGAGACCGTGGTAGTTGGGCGAGATGGAAGGAGCAAAGCCGTCGAGTGGTGCCCGCTCTGGCCCGAATTGGAGCTGTTCACGGTGGTCGACCTGGTTGTTTGTGAGCTCTTTGCCTATGTCCAATGAGGCGGAGAGAAATAAATCTTAGTGGTTAGAGAAATGGAAGGTAATTTAATAGTCAAGGGGGAGGAGGCCAGGGTGCAGAGAAACAAATAAGGTCTCCTGAATGAATTCATATTCAGGAGGGACTAGAAAAAAAAAGGCACAAGGGGGAGGGAAAAATAACGGCCGGAGCTCACTCCATCACATGAAGCACAGAAGGAAATAACTACAATAAAAGGCGAAGACAAGACACCCCAAAAGTATAGGACCATAGTATGGAGAAGAGGACAGAGAGAGAGCAAAAACTAGCAGTAGAGAGAAAATGAGAGCCTACGAAAACTTACCAATGAGTTTATAGCCTCTGAAGTGGCGGCTGTTACCAATCATCATCTTCTTCTTCTCCTCGAGTGGCAACGAAAAGTAGTCTCGGGCAGTCTTCATGGCACTTGTCGTAAGTGACGTGGCAACACCGTGGTCCTTGATATAAAAGGTTCCGATCGTCACCAGCGACTGGCGCATTTCCTCCAGGAATTGCGTTCGTGTTTCAGGAGAGAGATAGTCTCGAAGGGACAGAGTCTTAACAACTGGAAAGGAGGTGTTGTTGGACATGCAGGAGGGGTCTGAGGGCGATGCTGCATCAATGGCCGTTGGCGTCATCTCCGACTTGAGGAGGGGCATGGCAGTAGCAGTGGCGGCGGCAGTGGTGACAGGAGACATCATTGGTGTAGTAGGGCGTTCGGGCGCGCGCACAGACACGAAGTGTGAAGGAGGATAAAAAAGGGTAGGGCAGGAACAGAGGGATATACAAGAGAGATGAGGCTAGGGTTGGCACTAATGTGATGGATTCAGGGATGGGGAAATGGCGTACGAGTGTGTGTTGTTGTTGCGCTTTTGCAAGAACGTGATCGGGGTCTGTTTAATCAGTGCATGCGGTCAGGGGTGAGATGGATGAGCGGAGGAAAAAGAAAAAAAAAAAGAAAACAAAGTTGCATAAGCTTGGGTCAGTGGGTCGTCCCTCAACTGTGTCATCGCTCAGTTACAATCGACAAAGGTGCATCCAGGTCCGTCCATTTGCGAGGGTGTCTCTTACCGTATTGGAAGAGAAGTACAGTGTTGTTGCTTGAAATGAAGAAAAGCAGAGAATGGGGATCTTGTATGTAGGTCGAGGGATTGGAATTGTAATGAATCAGATGTAGAGGGAAAGTGATGAGTGGGTGTGTGCATGTGTATGCGATGCTGGAAGGGGATTGACAGGAGCGTGTTGTTGTGCTATTGCTATGTTCGGGGATATGGTTTGGAAGATGGGCTACGGACTATGGGGGATCACACGGAAGGGGATGAAGTACGACAAAGGAGAAGCGAGCTGCCTTTTGTAGTGTTTGTATGGCTAGTCTTTGGTATGGGTATTTTTGCAATGGTAGCAAAGCGAAGTGAGGAAGAAAACAGACTGATGGTGGTGCGGCAAAAGGAGAAAACAAGAGATGAAAGCCGGGTGGTGGTCTGCCCTTTTATACCCATGGGCCTCGATCTAAGTCCATGGTCATGCAGACACTCGATACAATTGAAATAAATAGAAAAAAGGGTCCGTGGTGGAAATCTATGCACTAACGCACACACACACACACACACACACACACACACACACACACACATTCAGAGAGATGCGCACAAGGCTCTCATTTTCAATATTCACTACAACCAATCTCATTCAATTGAACGAAAAAAAAAAGAGGGAGGGCGAAGAAGACACTGGGTACTATCGTCTACTAGTCACCATGTGTGCCCCCATTCTCAACGCATCGTTGTTCGTTGTCGCTCGACGCTTTTCGTAAAGTGGCAATATCAATGATGAAGGGAGCTCCCATGATGAAATAGCCCTTTAATAACAGCGCACAATATCGTGGTTATTTGAGAGGAAGCATTCAGCATTACTCTCTTCCTTTGTGTGTGAATGAGTGGGCGCAACTGTTTGTTGGGCTCAGAGGCAGGATTGTTCCGACCCACGGACTGGAGGCGGGAAGCCATAACAGAGGGAGGGTGGGAGAGGGAGAGAGTGAAAGAGAAAGAGAGAGAAAGAGAAAGAGAGAGAGAGAGAGAGAGAGAGAGAGAGAGAGAGAGAGAGAGAGAGAGAGAGAGAGAGAGAAGGAGAGTGGGAGGTCTGTCCGCTTGAGCGCGAGTCAAGGGGCAAGTAAGGGGGAGGAGTGAGTGAACAAGTGAGTGAGCCTGTGCAAGAATGGGCGGGTCTGAGCCATGGAGATTGAGTGACTGAGTGACTGAATGATTGAGTGAGAAGAAGGGAAGGCTGGGGTTTGTTTTTTTTGTGAAATTGAGCTCAACATGGACAGAGCTTGTAGGAATGCATCCTGCACGTTGAGAGGGAACACAAAACAAACATAAACAGTCGGGCAGATGGGAAGAAGAGGGCTAGAAAAGCGCGCGAGAGGGAGAGGGAGGAAGAAGGAGGGTGATGGAAAGGACTAGAAAATGCGAGCGATAAAAATGAAAGTATGGACTTTCTTTCGTTGTATATTGTTAGGAGGGGAGAGGAACGGAGGATGGGAGGGAGAGAGAGGGCAAGGTCGATGAATCGGGTCAGGGGAAGGGGAAGGGGAAGGGGAGATGGAAATAAGGGACGATACAACAATGTATCAAACAAATCAAACAGGTATAGCAATAATGCAAAGTATGGAACGATCCCTCGTGTCTCTAGGATGCAAGTTGCAAGTCAGACAGGCACAGATCGATAATTTTTCGCTTTTTTTTTTTTGTTCTGTTTTTGTTTGTTCCGAATAGTCATATCTCGTCATCTCCCTTTCAATCAGATCGTCTATTCATTCAGCCATTACTCCCTTCGATGAAGGTTCAGCCATTTGTACTCTCTCATTGTACAATATGGACGAGTCTCACTCACATTCATCGCCAAAGCGAGTTCATTGACGGTGATAGTGGAAAAAGGCTCCAAGAACGCATTGCAACGGCCATCAAAAAAAATTGTCTTTTCTTTTTGCGTGGTACACCACACCATTATGTGTGCGTCCTCAACGATAGAATGCAAACGAACATGGAGGCAGGCCTAAAGAGGAGGAAGAAAAGAGGGATGCTGTTTCTCTGTCGAGTCCCACAATGTCTTTACATGTAACTCACACTTGTCGTCAATGCTCTTCGTTCTCTATTTTTTGAGGTCATTTCTGCGAACTGGATGTGCCTCTCTCTCCTTTCCATATTGACGTTGGGCCTCCCGTTTTTTTTGTTGAGCAACTGCACCCACGCACGTCAACACCCATCCGTATTCATTTCCCTCTTTAATAGATCATCGACGTGTGTGAGAATAGACTTAACTTTGTCCCCACTCGAAGCCACGAACTAAATCCGTCCGAACCATCGTTTCACCTTTCGCAGAGATGATGGGACGCGCCTCTCTCTTTTTCTTCCCTTTCTGTTGGAATAGAACAATTTTTCACTCCTTTTTCGTATGTTCTCTCTCCCTCCCTTCTTCATGCTCTCGATTCCTCGCGAACTTTCACCTCCTGGACTGTTCGCCATTGTGTTATTTTTAACTCATCCAAGCCAAGGACATTTATTCTTCAGCTAGTTTGCTCCATCCTGGAGGAAGGACGGACGATTCCTTCCTCCACGCCCATCTGCCTTTCATTGCTCTTTTTTGGAACACGCACAAAACATGTCCATTTTGCTATCCTCATGAACAACGACCAACTTCCTCGTTAAATGAACACTACAAGGTACCAGCTGCATGTGCGTGAGGAAAGTGAGAAGGCAGTAACACCCCACTTTTTTATGAGCCTCCCTGCCCGCCCCCGTCCCGTCAGGTAGACCGTTTGCCTCTCGCTCTCTTGTCACAACAAACAAAACAATTGGTCGGGGAACAGCAAAAACAAAAAAAAGGAGTGATATTTCATTCCTCACTTCAGATCTGCCTGTGAAAGATATGAATGAATCAAACTTGATCGGCGTTTTTGTACTAATTTACTTTTTTTCCTGTTCACAACCATGCTTTGTAGAAGTGTTCGCTTGCTTGCTTACTCGTCTATTTTTCATTTTTCATTTTTCATTTTAGGGCTCGCCCAAATTCATTTCCGCAATGCAGACTCGGTAGAGGACAGACGCGACATCAGTTCTGTGGTTTTGTATTGAGAGTTAGAAGACCCACTTTCTATCACCAACCTATCTCCTTCTCCCGCCACTCCTCCTCGTGCTCGTCAGATTCGGGGACAAGGAAAGAAGTCGATCATGCGACAAAAAATAATGAAGAAACACAATGCAAAAAAAAGGAGGGAGAGGAAGGATTGAAGGGGTGGGAGTTTATTTTTTCTGTCTGGCGAGCTAGATGTGCCTTTCTAGCCACTCGCTTTTCTATCCTTGTCACTATTCTATTCTGTGTAGTCTCAATTTCGCGTTCTGAATTTAAACAGAAGCACAGGTGCCCGGAATCGTGCATCTAGGCTGGAATTCAAACAAACACATAGAGAACGGGTTTAAGGAGAGGAGTGTTTACTGAGGCAGTAAACAAACAAAGAAAGATGATGAAAAGGAAACAAGGTGTGAACCGGTTCCTGAAAACATAGTACACAAAACATATGAAACGAATAACGCAGATGCACAAGGAGCGAAAAAATCATCGACAGAGACCCATTGGCACTATATAGTTCATTAGGCATGACCCGGCAATAGCAAAGAACCGAGATGGAGTTAAAGAGACAAAGAACACGCCTAGAGACCCTGTACTTTACTCCCTGAATGGAATGAACTTTGCCGACGCGTCATCAGTGATGGGCTCTGTGAGTGTCGGTGATTTGGCACATCAGTGACATTGACCCAACTAATGGCCACCTTCACTTCTTGCTTGTTTGTTGCCGCTGAGCATTGCCTTTTCTTTTATTTGATACAAAGGCCCTAAGCTACTCCATTTTAAAGGTACAAAATACTTTAAAAGCTCAAACTGGTGTTCATTTGTTCGCAAAAAGCGGCTGCTTGCTTCTTTCATGATCCATCTCAACTAAAACATCATCCCCTAAAAAGATTCGAAGAGGCTTGCTGTCTAAAAAAAAAAAAGAGAGAATCAGAGATAGCATAATGACGCGCCACAACGCGCACGCGCGACGCGAGCTGCACACCTATTTCGCGCATATATAATCTTTTTCTTTGTCGTCTCACTTTTCACGCACATACACACCTCCTATTCACTTACGTCCTATTTCAGTATTTTTTTCACCCTATCATCATCCTGCATAACATTTTTTTTTTTTTTTTGGAATCTGCAGCTCCATGCGTCGTACCCGTCATTCGTTCTAGCATAGCACTTTTTTCACGTCTTGGAATCGATGTAGCTATGCTGCAGATCAAGACCTTTTCTATGTTTTATTTTCTTTGTCGCAAGACCACTACGCTTCACATTCCTCGTTGAAAAGATCTTCCTACTCCTCCCCTTCGCGTTTACTGTTTTCACTGCAAAAGACAGGAGGAGTGTAAAAAAAAGAAGGAATCGATCACAGGCCACGTTTGGAAAGATTGTCCGATTGACAGTCGTAGAAAGCAAACCAACCTCGAGCGGAAAATAGAACGGGAGCGCAAGACCTAGACAAGGTCTACCTCCTGAATTGTTTTCGCTGGGTGTCCTTGATCTAGAAGCACATATTTGTTTTGTTCGCTAGAAGGGGAGGGAGAGGGAGAGGAGCATAGAGAAATCGTTTGAGAGCTATTCATCTTTTCTCCTTTCTTTTCATCTCTCTACCATTGTGAAATGCTGTGCTCAAAGGATTGGACTGCGATGCCCCCGTTCACAGAAATGAGGCGAAAGTGAAATAGCAGTCAGACCTTATTTCTTTCTTATCTTGACTTGCATGGCTTTCACTTGCCTTCCTACCATCCCTTCTCCCTTCCACCCTTCTTTCTCCCCTCCTTCCTAGATCCCATAGCATCTAGACTTGACACTGGAGAGAGCGACTCATTTACCCATGATCAGTCCACAAAAGAAAACTCTATGTTCTATCCCCTTCCCTCTCACTCATGACCTTTTGTTGCCTCTTTTTTCATCCAACTGTCCACTCTGCCGTCTTACCCTTTTTATCTGTGCTCACTTTGGTCAATGCTCATTTTAATGGACTCGGCAGTTCAAGAGCAACTTTCGCTTCACCCTCCCTTTTTTCCCCCCTCCTTGTCAGACACGGAGGGTCAAAATTTTACTACGCCTTGAGCATCCATGGCTCATGATCCAGCATACATCTAGTACTCTCGTCCCTTCTCTCGCTCTTTATATCCCTGTTTTCCCTACATTTTTCTTCATCCTCTTTCCTGCTTTCACGTTCTCTCATTTTTCGCCTCATTTTTCTCTACTTTCTCGGTATCCGTTCTGCCTTTGCTCAGACCCCGACCATGCTTGGTTTAATGGAGCCTTCCTGCAGGCTTGCCTTTTTCTTGGTCGAAGAGGCGAGAGAGTAAGAGAGAGGAAGAGCGAGAAGGGATACATAAGCATCCACTATATTCAATCCCTTTAACCTCGACCATTATTCTTTTCTGTTCTCCATTTGGTAGACACACATTTCATTGGACATGCGTTTTCGCTCGAGCCTACCGGGATGCATTTTTTTCTGCTGCTTAGTTTTTCCTTTGTGCACAACCCTGCCGATCCATGTCTCCCTCTCCCTCTCTCAATCTCTTTCTTTCATTTTTCCACGATATTACCCATGCGCAAAAACTACATTTTGCATAATTGGCCGAGATAGAGAGAGAGAAAACCCAACAAGAACGTGGGACGGTGCGCATGCTTTAAAACACAAGCAAGGGATAGCATAGCTCACATGTAAACACACGCCCCAGGCCGCCCCACCCTTTGAAGATAGATCTGAACCTATTGAGTGTAAAAAAGGGGGTTGTCCTGTCCGCGTGTTTTTGTTGGACTTGGAATCGCAGATGGAGAGCTGAGCAAACAATAGGAAAAAAAGAGGAAGGGAAGTGCACCTTGTCAGGCTGTTAGTATCCAAGACCACGACTCCTCCCCTCCCCCATTGTTATTCCTACCCTGCAGTTTTGTCTTTTGTTGCCTTCTTGACTGACTGGCGGTCATTCACGTCTCTGGAACTATCATGCAAAAAGGTCAAAAACAAGAGAGTGGCAAAAGTAAAGTGGCAAGAGATGGACGAACGGACGACCGTGCCCAACGATTGTTGACACTCACAAGAAATCTATGAAAACAGCTGTTTAATTTATTTATTTTTGGTGTGCCTGTGCAAACATGTTGGGTAGTTTTAGAATGGGAGCGAAAGATGAGTGGTTGTACGATGAGTCTTCTACGAAGGGTTTAAAAAAGTTGATGTTCTCCATATATCTGTCGCTCCAGCATAGTCCAGTTCAAACGTGAACGTTGTTGTTGCTTTTCACTTGGTGGTTTGAATTCTTTGTTTGTTGGGATGGAGAGTAGGGTAAGAGTAAAACGGTGACCGTCAAAACTCGTCAGGGCTATTGCTCGGACCGAGAGAGTGAGAGAGGGAGAGAGAGAGAGAGGTGGAACGTCTGTTAGGCAGACGATTAAAGGAATAAAATGATCTCGGTTGTCGCCATCATTCTCAATAAGTGTGATCCCATGCTTGTAAAAAGACTGTGTTCGACAGAGCCGACATCTGGGGCATCAAAAGAAGCTGAACTGGGGACCCTCCCTTGTGCCGATTCGCGATCGGGGTTCTAATTTTCCACTCACATTTTTATTAGTGGCAACTTGTCAGGACAAATCTCAACCTGCCTAGAACTTGCTGAAGCGAAGAAGACGAACGAGCCGAAAGGATGAACCCTGAATGAAAGAAAAAGACAGCCATTGAAGAGAAAACATAAACAACAACAGCAAAGGCAAAGATAAACAACAACAGGCCCTTGAGAAGGGATTGGGCTAAAGAGACTGTGACTGGGAGTGCTTAACATTAATGCGCTCTATGGCGACAGTGCCTACCAAAGGGGAGTGTCTGTTTGTGGACAAAAAGTGACAACCTCGCTCATGCCAACCGGGGCGATAGAGGTTCATGATAAGATCGGGAAGAAAGAATGGAAGAACACGGAGCAAGAAAGACATCTAGGACCAATGCACGCGTTCTCGTTCGATGTGTTCCTGTAAAGTAGATCGCATGTCTCCTACCCTATCATTTTTGAAAGTAGATATGGACCAAGCGCACTAGGGTCAACAACTAGGCACAGAAACAAGAAACCAAAAGGAAAGGACAGTCCGCATCGCCGAATTGGGATTGCTTCCCGACTCTGCGAAAGCGAAAGCGAAAGAACAGGGAACCGATCCCTGCGTTAGCAAAGGATATGGGAATATGCAACCATCTTTGCGTACGATGGCGCGCTGTTTAGCTTCGCTCGATACTTGGTAAGCGAGTGGAGCGCTCCTGATGTGTTTTGAGATAAGAAACAACTAATACGGAAAACAATAAAGTTGATTGCTGGACAACAACGGCAGTGTTGGGATGCCCAAAGAAAGGACAGTAAGGCTCCATGTAATGTTTTTGTTGTTTGTCACAAGCATGAAGCGAGCCGGGAAAATCACAAATCAAAAAAAGAGGGGGCCGGCTTGCGAGAAAGGAACCAACAAAAAAATGAAATACAAGCCTTTTGCACGTATATTTTACTGCGCTTCCAGGGCCTCGAAGTGCAATTGAGCCTCCTCCCTCAGTCTTGGTGGGAGAAACGGGTGGAAGGGAGGATGAGGTGCAAACGACAAAGAAGGACTGTTGAAAGATAACTCAATTGGGCGAAAGGGTACAAAGAAAATATTTTTATGTCTCCTCTTGCCCCATCCGGCCCAAGCGAGGGACAAACCAAAGCGACAGGATTGTAGGCCTCGCCAAACAAGATCATTTTTCCAGCCGCCACTCGGCTTGCTCCTTCGCTCAAGAATATGCTTCTTTTGAGTTCACTCTCTCACCCCACTCACATCACCCTATCCGATTCTTTTTTCATTAGCCTGCTGCTGCTGCTGCTTGTTTGTTTGTTTGTTTGTTTGTTTTGTTTGTGCTTGTTTACAAAGGCCCTTTGTTGACGGTGTCAACAGACACACATAAAGGGTGGCAGAAGTGGGGCATAAGATGCGTTCCTGTTCCCTTTCTTCCTCGAAGTGATACGACACTTTTCTTTGTTTCGTTGTTTTTGACGTTTGTCTTCTTTTTGTTTTGTTGCGGTTCCCTTCTTTATTCTTTTTTGTACCTTCTCGCCTCTCCTTCCATCTCCCACACAACTCATTCCTTGACACTTTCTTTCATTCTCCCAGCTGACACTTCTTTGTTTCATTCCATTCGCTTCAAAAAGTTGTTTTTTTCGGCATTCACAAGTTTTCTCCTGACTCGCTTTCCTCCATTCCTTTCACATTCAATTCCTTCACTGAAAAGCTTTTTCTCCTTCCTTTGCAACCAAAAAGTAACAACCACGACTGAGACTTTCTAGGTTTGTGATTTATGGTGCCTGGATATAAGAGACCATCAGTGGAGGGGCATCTAATCTCCTCTTATGCAACATTGAGAAGCACATTGCCATACAGATAATGAACGCAAGGGGGGAGGTGAAGGGAGAGAGTGTGTATGAATGAAGTGTAGGGGAATGTGGTTGAAGATGATGTGCTTGGACCTTTCCTGACAAAGGGACAAATATAAATCTTACTAACACTGTCTGACTTCTCTTCAAATAGATCACACAAAGACAAGAATGCCTCCGGAAAGACGCGTATTCGCATCCCCACCCCGGTCCCCCGACCTGGCTCCTATATCCCTCTTCTCCTCCTCCACAACAGCACCAACCGCACAAGACACACTCGCAATACCCACAAGCTTACATATCCTAGACTCCTCGCACGACACGCAGTCGTCAACGTCGTGGACATCGGGAAGTAAGGTTCAGCAGCAGCAGAGGAGAGCAGCCGCCAAGCGACAGAGCAGTAGTCAGACACATGAGACCCAGCCGAGGCATCAACATCTGACCCGGAAACAGCACCGTCGGTTACAGGACGCTCATGAAGAGTACCATCGGCAGCGAGAGCTCTTTCAGGCACAACAGCAACAGCAGCAGGAGCGACAACAGCATTATCACCACCATCAACAAACGTCAACAGAGCACGCCCAAAACCAGGAAGAGATATATTCACCACAGCCGCAATCTAGCGGCTTATCCTTCTCCTCCTCGGGACAATATCCTCCATACGCCGCCCCATTCGCGCCATCACAACGCTTCTCCAGTCTCTCACGGTCCTCATCATCCTCCAGCATATACCACTCCTCCCTCTTGGGTCCAACTGCAGACGCAACAGAGGCAATAACAAATCCAAGGTCCAGGAGGTCCTCACCAGGACTATCAGACCACCATCACCACCCACCTCGGCAAAGAGGCCCTTACTCTACCTGGACAGCCATCCGCGAAAATGAACGCCACCGCCTCCTCACCAACCTCTCAACCCTCCGCGAATCTCTTCAGACAGTCCCTCTTCCCTCACAAGTCGCCCGTGAGAACTTGGGTCGACTTCATCAACGGATACAACGTCGACGTGTTCGGGCCAGGGAGACGATTCTGTATGACTTGCATCAGGGTGTGAAAGTTGTTGAGGCCCAGGTGCATCGACAGGTGGAGATGGTGTTGAGTCGGTTGAAGGAAGCCCCCGCGTCCAAGTATGCGTTTGCGTTGACGAATAGTTTCTTGTCCCAGGTCATCCCACCTACGAGTGTTACCGGGTCACTTCTGGCGCAGGCTGCTAATGGGTTATTCTACCAGGCCGAGTCCCCCTCCTCTTCCACTTCGACCTACGCCCAACAACATCAGCAGCAACAACAACAAGAAGCCAATGGTAGCAGGAGTGAGACAGAATCTCTCACTGACGACTTTGACTCGATCGCACTGGCAGGTCAACTGGGTACCGATCGCCCCTCAGCACTTGCAGGACTGGGCGACCCGAACGGACTCTCGACAATAGTTCCCCCTGGTGTCGCGGCAGCATGCACACAGATCCTGTCGGCTGCACTACCGTCCTTCATACCGTCCATGGTCGCACCGCTGGTCTGTGTCTTCTCGTACCAGACGCCTGCGATTTCTGATCTGGTACCGATCCCTTATACCCCTTATCCTTGGTCCAGTGCCTCGTCTTCCTCGTCCTCGTCCACGGCAGCAGGAGCGTCGTCGTCAAGTAACACAAAAGTAGAAGAGCCCGCTCGAAAGGAGTTTGTCTATCCGTGGGGTCATCCTAATGAACCCTATCCGCCCCCTCCACCTCCTACCTCCCAGCTCACTCCGCCTACTACCACTCCAGCAGCCCGATCACCACCCTCGTCCCCATCCTCACCTACCAACGACAAGTCAAGAAAACAACAACAACAACAACTATCAACCACAGGAACATCACACCCAGACCCAGGAATAGTAATAGTCCACTCCAAGACCTGGACCCAACACGAACGCGAAGCCCTCTACCTCGCCGCAACCCGCTTCCGCCTCTCGGGTCAATGGTCCAAAATCCGTGAGATGATGAACCTCCACCGGACCGACGCCGAGATCGAGGCCGAGTACAAGAAGCTTTATGCCCACCGTGATCCCTCTGACAATCCCCTCCTCGACGATGACGAAGACGATATCGAGAGCCATTACGATGCGCGGCCTTCCATAATCGACGCCATGACCTACAACCAACAGAGCAATGTTAACAGCGAAGAGGAGGAGGAGGACGCGGACGACGAGACAGAGACGATGATCTTCATGAAGTTTGGGGGCGCTCGGTCGGCGAATCAGAAACGCCAGCAGTTGCAGCACCTCCAGTCGAGGAGGCTGCATTATGACCACTTGCATTTCCAGCCACCTGTCCCACAGCAGGAACTCCAACACGATCATCACCAGCAACGCCAACTACATCAACAAAACTACCACCACCAACAGCAGCAGCAGTACCAGAACAACGGTGCCGTCAATGTCCCACCTCTTCATGACACCAATACCCCTTACCAACAACAACAACAACAGCAACAACACCTTTCGAACGACCCGGACCCGATCCGGATCTTCAAGAAAGAGTTCATGATCGACAAGCGATTCTCTCTGGAGGAGATTCCCATGCGGATATAATTTCTTCGTTCCTTTTGATGAAAATGAAAAGTAAATAAATAAATAAACCCCCTTCCTATATACAGGGGTCCTTTCCCTCCCCACTCCTGAGCTTCTGAAGTTGTTATGATACAAGGTTGGTTTTTAATGCTAAAGAAAAGATGCTGTTGGTGTAAGATGTCGAACCATTATGTCTCAAATCCTGAGTGTAGCTCTAGTTGTTATGTGAAATTGCCACAGTGAACTTATTAGTCATCATCCCTCTCGTCCTCCATTTCTTCCACTGGCTCCTTGGGCTCCTGATCTTCTCCAAACTGGATAGCGTTATCGACATGGGACAAGATGGCAGTAATCGAGTCCTCGTCGTTGACGTTGAGGGGCAAGAACTGGACCATGTTGAAATCCTCGACAAGTTGTCCAATTGCTTGGTTCAGCTGGTGGTACTTGGGACTCGTCTTTGAGTTTACGTCCTCCATCAGCAGTAGCGGGTCTGGGTTGTAGTATCTAATATATATACGAAGGCGAAAAGAGGGTTAGTCTTCAGGTTTGTATGAACAAAGTAGCAAGGTTTCCCGACAAAGATAATGTGATCCAGATATCGGTGTTTGCTCATAGGTGGAAGGTTACCTTTCCAGCTCGGATGGCTTCATCTTGGGCAAGAGGTCCATCTTGCTCATGACGTTGATGTGAGGAATTTCTAGGTTGATCATAGCACTCATAGCACTCATGACTCCTGCAAAGAACTTTGACTTGTCTTCCACGAATTGCTATATATAACATTCACAAAAAAACATGTTAGTTTAGTCTTCATGGTCGTCATCACACTTCACATTGCGGGTAAAACAAAAAAGAAGCAAGTAAGTAACTTACAGACTCGAGCAAGTAAACACCACAGATGGCGATGTTAAGTCGTCCAAGGGCCTCAACCAACCGCTTCATGATATCGAAATGGGTATAAAGCTCAATCTGTCCTGGGCAATCAATGATCAGATAATCGTCCGTGTACGACCCCACTTCGTCCTCAAGCCAGTCAATGTTGTTCATCAGAAACTCCATGCAGTAGATCAAGCCTCCGTTGGGTCCGTATTGAAGCTCCTCCATGACATCCTCGAGTGAGATCAGGTCCTTGATGTCGATTGAAGGATCGTATTCGAATTTCTCGGCGGCTGGGTCTAGGTTGACGAGGTGGACGGCCCGGCCGATGTTTTGGCAGTGTGTCATGATTGTTGAGCAGTATGTGGACTATGGCGGTTGGGTTCAAACGAGTAGAAAGTTAGTATGAGTGAGTGAGACTGTGCGCGTAGAGTTTTGCGTAGCAGAAAAGCGCGTCGCCTTAGTTGTCCATGATTGTTGCGTGAGGTGAGCTCCTTGTTGCTGTTGTTTACCTTGCCACTTCCGGCTGGTCCCATGACTAATTGGCAGTAACGACCCCTGTTTAGGTACACAAGCAAACACAGTGTGGGTTAGTCAGAGTGTTCACTCCAAAGCACGTTGCTCAAGTTGTGAGAACCAAGGGCTGTTGCAATGTGACAATGAGGTTGACTGTCTGTCGATCGAGTGCGTGAGATGGACGTACATTGTTTCTTGTGTTGTGTAGTTTGTTGAGAGTTCCTTTGTTTGGTGGCGACTGCGGAGTGAGCTGTAGCAGAGGGTCGAGAGTTGGTCGTGTTTTGTTGCTTAGAAAGAAAAAAATACGCAAGCCAGAGCGCTCCTACAAAAAAAAGAAAAAGAAGTAGGTAGTGGAGAAGGTCAACAGCCAAGCCACTCGAGGGTGACTGCTCATTATTGGGTATTCCTGCAACCTGCGAGGTGAGACACAGAGCACAAGATCTGGACGAGATACATGGCTGACAGAGTGACCATGCACTTTCGTGGTGCTGCACCAAGGACTATCTTTTTTTTTTTCTTCTTGATCTTCAATCTTTCATTCTTCTTCTTATTCTTCCCTCCAAGTGCCAACTCTCCACTCCTCCTTGCACACTTTTTGTACATACTCTTTATTTTACAACCTTCCTGACTTGACTTGGCTTGACGTTTGTCGTCTGACCTGACTTTCAATTCACATTCTCACGCTCACACGTTATTGCAGTCCTTGTCACACAGAACGATCTTTCCTCCCTCTACCATCTTTTCCACCTCTCTACAGTACTCCGATGCTCTTGTCATGCACAGGATATCCTTCAGCCGCGGGTACCGCCACAGCAGCAGCATTCAGTCTCAGAGGAGCCCGTCAGCGTGTCGTCCTCCTCACCACCATCAGATCACGGACCACCACTACCCTCATCAATGCTCGACTACCCTTGGGCCGGTCAGCCCTCCATCTGCTACAAAGTGATCGATCTCACCAGACTCGATTCTTGTCCTCTTCTGCATATCTGATGTCGAGTGACAGACCCCCTCCCAAGGAGACATCTTTCTTTGCATCATCACAGCACCAGAACGGACAGGATCCTACTGGACGCAACAGCAACACAAATCCTAAAGAGGCGTGTGAGAATAAAGACGCTGGTAGATCGGCCTCAGATAAAAATAACAAAGGACAACAAGGCTCTTCTTCTGCAGAACAGATTCCTTTTGAGGATCGGATATTGTCCACGTATCACCTCAAGGCCTCTAAAGGTAAACAACACTTTCATAGGAGGACAACCATTGGTATTGCTGTGGTTGTTTGACTATGCAGTGCGGCTGTTTTGTGCTTTTGTTAATGGAAGAATAGTATGCCTCTTCTTTCTTCCCTCATTCCCTTCGCCTATTTCAAACTAACCCCTGGCTCAACAATTGACAAATCTCCCCTGCTTTCTATCCCTTACTTCTTTTTGTGGGTATTACAATTTGTTTCGTTCTTGCGTCGTGTGTGTGTGTTCATTGTTTACTTTTTCGATTAGTTTCAAATGGGATCCAAGCAGCCACACCGACAAACATTTTTCCAAGAGGAGGAGGAGGTGATGGTGGTGCAGCACCACCCCAGTTTCACGGTGGACTCCCGTCGCGTGATATCCTTGGCGGCTCAGGTGGGGGATCATTGTCAGGGACAACACCCAAGCTGAATCTGCCTCTAACAGCCCCTTGGATGGGTGAGATACAAAAACCACGGACGGTGAGTCAGTCTTGTCATTTTACACATTCGAAATGAAAAATGGAAGCCAATGCCACCACTACAAACAACCACCGTTGATCCGCCCTGAACTAAACTTTTGCATAATTCCCTTGCACCGCCTTTTGCCCCCACCTATGCAGATTGTGAAGCACCTGGATGAATACGTGATTGGACAGGAAAAAGCGAAAAAGATTCTAGCCGTTGCCGTCTACAACCACTACTCGCGCGTCAACGAAAACCTGCGCCAGCAGCAGATGCAAGATGCCATCGTAGCCTCAGCACTCAATGCTTCGAATAACAACAACACCAGTACATCGAATGTGTCATCGTCAGCTACTTCACTACCAACTCCGACAACGACCGCTACTGCTCACGGACCCATGCTGTACGGCTCTACGGCTCACCTCCTAATCGACCCTCCGGCCACACCTAACCCAATCCCGGATCAGCTGGCATCTCAAACAGTCACCAATCGCACAGGTACTTCTGCAACTATCAGACATGCAACATATTTGCAAGCAAAATTGCTGTTATTAGCAGTAACAACAAAAAACCAACCTGATACTTACATGAGCACGTTATTTGATCCTCATAGGTGACACAGAGTACCCATTGCGACAGCCTTGGAAACCCTCAGGAAACAACAACGAAACATCGTCGCCCTCTATGTTCTCGCAGACATTCGACACCTACAGCAGAGCCCCTCCACCACCACCTACGACTAACACAGCGGATGGGTTCAAGGCACAGACGACTATCTTTGACAAGAGTAATGTCCTCTTGCTGGGACCTACTGGATCTGGAAAGACTCTTCTGGCAAGGACACTCGCTAAAGTGCTCAACGTGCCCTTCTCCATGTCCGATGGTGAGCGTGCTTCTGTTGGTCACTTTGAATGGGAGCGCTGGTCGAAGGATACTAGGCAACTATGAACTAAAACTTATCCACTTAATAGCTACACCGTTCACGCAGGCGGGATACGTGGGCGAGGATGTCGAGATGGTGATCCACCGACTTTTACAGGTAGAGAACCATGTGGTTAACAAGTGGCAATGTAAAGGATCTAAATGCATACTAGAGAATAACATAAATTATATATCTCTTAATAACACTAGAACTGCGAGTACAATATCAAGAAAGCAGAATGCGGGATTGTATTTATTGACGAAATTGACAAGATCTCCAAGCGACCTGATACCATGTCGATCTCCAAGGACGTCTCTGGCGAAGGTGTCCAACAAGCCCTTCTCCGAATGCTTGAAGGTACAGTTGTCAATGTGACAGAAAAGAACGGGTCCAGCTGGAATGGGTCCGGTTTCAGTGGTCGCAAAGGAGGGCTGCCGGGTATTGGTGGTGGGCATGGGCCGGGAGCCAAAGGCGAGGTGTATTCCGTGGATACCAGTAATATCTTGTTTATTCTGAGTGGCGCCTTTATTGGATTGGAAAAGATTGTCATGGACAGAGTGTCAAAGGGATCAATTGGCTTCGAATCTGCGGTGCGAGCACCGTCTTCGGAGCTGGAGAGCTCTAAGGACCATGCTGCACAAGTCAGTCGACTCCTTGACCAAGTCGACCCCACAGGTCAGATCTCCCTTTCATGTTTGCATCTGCATGTTATCCCAGAGGCCCTTAGATGTGATACTTAACACGTTGCTTGTTTTCAACCTCGGACAATAACCAATAGATCTAGTCAAGTTTGGATTGATCCCAGAGTTCATCGGACGCCTACCTGTAGTAGCATCGGTCAACCAGCTGGACGAAGCAGCACTGGTTAGGATCTTGACAGAGCCCCGCAACTCGCTCGTAAAGCAATACCAAGGTCTCTTTGGATTAGGTGATGTCAAGATCCACTTTTCCAAGGCAGCCCTCTACGGTATTGCTCGTCGGGCGATCGAAAAGCAGACCGGCGCCCGTGGACTCCGTCGCATCATGGTTTGTCAGCCATTCAATTGTTTAGGGGAGTCTTTCAGTGTTGCATGTTTTCGTTTTTATTATTAACCACTTGACTTGTGTTGCAAATAGGAATCAATATTGCTGGATGTGATGTACGATGCACCAGGATCGGTCATCAAGCATATTGTGATTAACCAGGATGTGGTCGATGGCAAGAAGGAGGCTCTTTGTTTCTCGAGGGGTGCTGAGGAGGCTGTCTCTGCTGCCCTCGATGCCGACGATAACCCTTCTTCCCTTCGTCTTGACCAGGCAGCGGCCTCGAGTGGAGAGACGTAAAAAAGGAAGGAAGTGCCTATTTATTACTTGTTTTTGTGCTGCTGTGCTGTGCATGACCATTCGCAAAACGTAAAAATAAACCGATCGGAAATGAATGCGGTTCGCCACCATCTTCGTATTATTGTTCTTTACCCGCCAACTTTTGTTGTGGACCACTTCTTCGACGATCCAGAGGCTAAGATCGACCTGTTATTTTTATACCGCTCGATATTTTTGTCGAGACAAAGAGATTCTTTTTATCACCTTCGCGAAGCCTGCTCTGCCTCTTTCTTTGTCTTCATCCTCTCTTATCTCCCAGACAACAAAAAAGCAATCATGGACCACAAGCCCTGAAAAATACCACAGCTAATTTACGAGCCCAGGAGTGTGACCATTGTCCACTGCTCAGATGCTTAAAACCGACTATCCATGCTGGCCTTCTCTCTTTTTTTTTCTTTTCCTCTCCTCGCATTTGTGTTACACATCCTACTCCACTCACAAACATCACATCACATCACATACCCCACGAGTGCCGCAAACATCGATGCCTCCAAAACAAAAGCAAGGTACGTTTTCATTGTACCTCCTTCTGCTTCTTAGAGCAGCCTGCAGTTGGTGCACTCGCCAACACAACATATACAAATCTACTAACGCCCTTTTTCAACTTGACGTGTTGTGTACATAGAAGGTGACCGTAAAGGAAAGAGCCGATTGTTGTCATCCGAAACATCGGTCGTCTCGATTGTGCTTGAGCAACCCATCCAAGACTCAACCATCGCCTCTGGATTCTCTATCGAAGAGTCGTCTACTCCTGAGCGAATTGCTCAAGGCTCTTCAACTACATTGACGCCGTCATCGTCACCTACTTCGAAAATCCCCACTGTTGTTTCGACTCTCACCTCTAGAGCGTCTACGACCCCTGTCAACATTACCGCGACCAGTGCAGCCTCCTCCTCCTCCTCTCCCTCAACTCACAAGCCTCATGTTCGTTCTAAAAAAGTCCTCAAACCTATTGCCTCATCTACACCTCCTACCACTACCACAACAGTCACCACCACAAACAATGACCCTCCCTCCACGCCTCCCGAACAACCAGCCTCACCCCACATCCTCCTGAACCCACCTCCAACTCTATCGCAAGTCCGAAGCCGCCGTCGAAAGAATACCCGCGACAAGAGTTCGACCGCCACCACTTCAAATCGCGCTTCGTCGTCGTCGTCCGCCTTCGCGAATGGTTCTGAGAGAGTAGAGGTGAAACAGGGAAGGATATGTCCGAGTCTGAGGAACCACCCGGCTCTGCGCAGGATCTTGGGGGAAGAGATGCCTCATCTTGTTCCTCCTCCTCCTCTTCTTCCGGCCTCCGGTGTTGGCGGTTGGGGCGAGGTCTTGAAAAAAGAAAGGGCAACAGAAACAGACGATGAAATGGGGACAGCGACAGCGACAGGGACAGGGACAGCGACAGGGACTGACGCGAGTTCCTCTGCGACGAACTCTGCAGCAGGACGCAGGCGGTCACGGTTTGAGACCTGGGAGGAGCAAGACGAGAACGAGGATGATGGTGATGATGATGGATATGATGAAGGAACTGAGGACCACGATACAGGAACTGGGGGCCACGAAGAATCATCTACTTCTGCCTCTGTTACTCTGTCGGCTTCAAATTTGACTTACACCACCTACACGTTCTACCTCCCACCAAGAGTAGATCCAGCTTATCCTCATGGCTTCTCTGGGCTCATTTCCGTCCCAACCCCAAATACCACCACAGCTGCCACTTCTACTACCACTGCCAACGCTACCGAGGCTACCGCTGATGGAGCTACCTCGACGGATCCGACATCTAAAACCTCTCCTTCTTCAATCACAACAAACACCACATCTTCTGCGTCAGGATCAGATGACAGTTCAGAGCCGGAGCAAAGCACCGATCAGAGCCAGGGTCCACCAGCATCGTTGACAAATCCAAAGGCGACTGCGCATGGAGCACTAGCTGGCCTTGTGGCTGCGATCAGCCAGTACTTTCTTTTAAGCGATTCATCATTATCATCGACAGGACTCTTGATTGGGGATACATTTGTAGAATCTCCTTCAGACGCACGCCTTCGCCAAACGCAGTTGACTACTGCTGTCGGATCCGGATCGTGTAACGAGACGACAGCTTTCTTTACGACTCCGAGTGTCACTTTGCCAGTGTCAACCCGACCGAGTGTCATTGGAGGTGAGGGTGGAGACCTTACCTCTGCAACTGCCTATAGTGAACGTGAAGCCCAGAGGCAACAGCAAGATCGACAACGGAATTTGCCTCAGGAACTTCGATTGAGCATGACCTTTCAAGTCGAGCAGCGCGCAGATCAACGTCGACATGTTGTCCTGAAAGAAATTGAGGTACTGCCTGTGCTCAGGGGCCAGTCGGGCTCCCCGGCCACGTTACCGCCTTCTTCTTCGTCTCAGTCACCTGTCAGTGTACGCGGTCATCGCATGAAGCGCCAACGTGTCAACATAAGAGAAATTGTGTACGTTGTTATCACTTTTTCATGTCGCATACATTCTGAGAACAAAAAGTGAAGATTCACGCGACTAATTTTTATTTTACACGCTTGCAAAACTAACTAGGACTGACGCGGTAGGAGCGGTTGCTCAAGGGACGATGTTAGGAGGGCTCCTATGGATGGCTTTTTCTGACAAAGGGCACCAATTTGCTGGGTCAGTTTGGCAGTTGATCCAGCATAGACTGCAAGCGAATGTCTTGGGTCAGTCTAACCACCAGTCTAACCTCCACTCGCCACCATCGCCACTGCCTCCTTCTTGTTAGTAGAAAGAATGACGGCAGTAGGATGATTTAATCAAACAAAGTGAAGACAACACACATCGAAAAATAAAGAAGCCTTTGAACATTGACTAAAAAGTCTCGCATGGTCCTGTCCACCCGATGCGAAGAAATTCGAGTTTAATGAAGACATGGTACGAAAAAGAAGAGTCTTTTTTTCCAAACGTATGATCGATGTGTTTACTTTTTTTTTTTTCAATAGGTCGTGTTTTCTTCGTCCTACCACCATATTTCTTCATCCCGTCATAATGTTTCCTTTTCATTATTCTCGGTTCCCTTGGTGTTACCTATTTTTTATTCTTTCGCACAACTCGCACACACCATTTCCTCTCTTCTTTCTTCTACTATTCATTGCGGGCGCAGCGTCGTTAATGGTCATTCTACTTTCTGGCAACACGCGATTTATTCGCACAACAGGTGACTTCAAGTTAGCTGTACTTGTAGTGATATGTGAGTGAAGGAGAATTCTTTTGAATGTTGGAAGTTGCTGACGGACCTTCTTTTTATTTTCCGCAACCGCGATGCCGCATTATGGCGCAAAGACTTCCGTCAGATATTTTCGTGGTGGTGGCCTCAAACAAAATATAAAAAGCACTACGATCTTGACGTGTTCAATAGTGAGTTCGATATCTTATGTCTATGATTAAATAGAACACGTTTCTGCTTGCCACAAGATAAATGCGGGCGATGGGGATTGTCTGTTTTGGTTTGGTTTTTTTTCTTGACGGGCGATGAGGGCAGTTTAGAAGTCCAAAGTTGTCTCTTCCCGCGCCAGCCAGTGTTAAACAAGGCCCACTTCAATGATCAAAGAACGATGTTGCAGGATAAGCAAAACGATTTGGTAGCACCGGCCCTCTAACTGTTTATTCAAGTCGTGACCTGCAGTTGTTTTGCTCTTGACCGCGGCGCAAATGGCGAGGAGACACTCGTGGAACTTTTTGTGGTGCTCGTTGTGCTCCATCCATGTAAAGTTTCAACACATTTTACCCGTGCCAGTGCGTGGATCATCTTCTTCGCATAGGTATTCTCTTCATTGAAAAAAATTAGTGGAGATACAGTCTCCAACGGCAAAGGCAATAATGGGTCTTGAAGTAGCCCGCTAAAGCGATGTTGATGCAGGCATGGCTGTCTCGGCCACGTCGGCAATACCCAATAGCGAAGGAGATACATCCTGGGTTGGTGCATTCCAATGCACCGTGGATGGACATGAGCTTCGACTCACCCTTGACATCGCGTCTCGCCTTCGAGAAGAAGCTCCAATACGTGACAGGATGTTCAAATGCCTCCAGTCCACCTTGGTACCAAATTGTATTTGAGGAATTTGAAAAAGGGATACCACTGCGGATGAAATGTCAGAGTGAATATCACAGGAGGCTGTTCCGGCTGAACTTATACGTTTTACGCATTCGATGTCGTTCACCTTCATATTGCAAAATGCATCCATATACTCTTTTTGCTCGTACACCTCTGTCTCTTTTTACATTTTCATCCAAGGATGGAACAAGCGGTTAATCTCCTTTTTTTTTTACAACCGTCGCATTTTTTTTCGATTGAAATTCCAAGGCGATATCGAACGAGGGAGCCAGGAGCCTTTTTCATTATCCATTCAGAAAATGGAATTGACACCATTTTTTGTCATTTCGCGATGGTGCAAAACCGCACGCGCGTGGCCATTTTTTTTTCTTTGCGATTCCACAGGTGTTTGGTTCTTCCACGTTGTACCGAATAATACGTTTTGTCAAAAAAAATCTTGAACCCCCTGTTTGCCCACGGTCATGGGATACCAGCCAGTCGCACATTTGTTCATTTTTTTACTTTTTTTGTTAATAGCCTCTTCGTTCGATTTGTTAGGCATACAGAGACTGTCTAGACCCATTTCAATCAATATTATTTGTTTGTTTGTTTGTTTGTTTTTTAGCTATCTGCTCTACCTCGACCGTGTTATACAGTTTTTGTTCAGTTCAAAGTGGGCGATGAGCTTTTGCGGGTGCATGGATGGGCCCTTACTATTTTTCTTTCATTCTTCATGCAGAACGATTGCTTGATCTTCTTCGTCGATTGCACGCTTTTTTTTTCGGCCACGCAAAAAACTTGGATATCAATACATATTCTCAAATGGATTGTCCTTCGCACGAGATGATGGGGAGGATAGAGTCGCTTGCCTTCTCGCTGCCCGCGAGTATTTTTTTTCCGCCTTCTCTTCAGTGATGGTCACCTTTGGACCCGATGACCACGGAGGGATGCATACGTAGCGGAAGGTGTCCAAAAGTGCATTTGTGAACCCGATGGTTCGTGTCACGCGTCAAACGCGATCCTTCTTTGAGCCGACTGTAAAGAAAAACAACGGGACATCAGAGAAAACGTTCTTACAACAAACGCTACGAATTATTGGAGGGGTAGAAACACAGCGAGGAATGGATCATTTTAGATACTAATGAGAGTATTGGGCTGTCGACTCAATGATGAAAAGAAGACATGACTCAAAGGAAATAAGAGTCAATTAGAAGGGGGAGCCTTCTCTTTTCAGAGGAACATGTCGTTCAAGCTACCGTTGTGCCACTCAGGGTCACCTTTCTCAACTTCAACCGTCCAATCAAACTTCATCTTCCCAAACCCACCGTGACCAAACAAGCCCTCGCCCTTACCATCATCGCTCACCGTCGTCACCGTCGTCCTCACCCCACATCCTCATCCCCATACTCCTCCTATCGTCACCTTCGTCATCTTCGTCATCTTCGTCCTCCGACCAAACAACAATCAACTCAGTATCCAACAGTTTTGCGGTACTCCCTACAGATCAAACTTCCATCCTTCTGCCGACGCCGCTGGCTTTTCGAAAGCATCTCCAACAACCACGTCCGAGAACCATTAGAACACTTCAACGCCGTCATCTCTACTGGGGAGGAGGGGGAGGGGGGTACAACTCTTGCACAGGGGGTTTGGTGAACAGTCCTCCTAGATCCTCCAAACCCGCGCTAGGCACGCTTTGGTAGTAACCAACTTATTGAGCTGGTTGATGCTGAAGGCCATTCGAGTTTCGTTGGTCTGGTTGCAATCATAGCAGAAAAGGTTCTTTTTGAACGCTGTCGTGGTAGTTACTGAAGTGCGGTGAAATAAGAGTTTGGTTCCTCCGCTTGAAGGGGCGGATAGTTGACGCGGGTTGCTACCTGCCGAGGCGATGGTTCGAAGGCTCTGGGTGGTCAGGGTGAGGGTTTGTTGGCATGGTTGGGATGACCGTACCTGTCTTGGTCGATTGTGATGGTCGTAGTAGGTTTACTGCTGGTGGTAGCAGAGGTGAACGTGTGTGCGTGTATCATTGTGTCAAGGCAAGGGAGAGGTCGCCGATGATGCTCTTAGGTGAGTGGTAGGGTTGAAGTTGAGCGAGAGCGAGAAAGGAGGAGAGCAGGAAAGTAAAGAAAAGAAAGAAACCTGTCCATGCCTACCCTTCAATGCCAATGCCTGAATGAAGCGAACTCAGACTAGGGAAGAATAGGATGACAAGAACATATCACGCTGGCAATAGAATAACCTATCATCAGCGCAGTTGCGCATTGTTCTCGACTTAGTTGATGCAGAAGAGGATGCAGGTGATAGTCCCGTGCATCAAGCTAACAAGTATAGAAAATGGCATCTATCATCTCCAGATTTGTTGCATGACAAGAACGACGTATCCACAGACGAGTAGCCTGCCATGCGTGCCCACACCTCTAGCTGAAAAATCCCATTGCAGGTGCATTGTGCGGTTCCCGGATCCGGTTTATTGGGCAAATAGTCCTGGGATTCAAAAAAAAAAAGTCTAAGCGGGGGTGCTCTGTCCTTGTGTCCTGGAAATAATTATCGCTAGAATTGTACTTCGTGCGGTTGGACTATAAAGTTTTCGCCGTTCTCGCGTACACTCTGCCGGTTTACATCTCTCTTCAGCGGCTTTCGCATATCTAATCCATCAAAATTAATAATACAGACGATGAAGTCAGTAGGTGAGATCTTGGTAAAGAAACGATAGTATCCTTATCAATTTCTTGTGCCAGAGCTATATCTCTTACCAAAGGCGTCCTCGTTTTCAGTTTCGCCATTATAATATCCTGCAACAGTCCTGTAGATCGAATACCCTAGTTGGGTATAAAAGTCGATGGCGACCTTATTGGACCGTCTGACAAACAGATCGACAAAGTATCCGTCGTACGGGTATTCGGAGACACGTTCCAAAAGGTCCATCATGCCCTGGGCAAGACCCAAGCGACGGTATTCGGGAGCCACAGTGATGGCGGTGACGTGTCCGTGCCAGTCAGTGTCCTTGCCCTCGGCCTTTCCCATGACATAGGCCATCAGGTTGTTGTTGGGCGTGCATTGGACCGAGAACAGGTCGGGCCATCGGGCGAGGTATGAGAGGTAGAACGAGATGTTGTACTATTTGAAGGGGATGAGTGAGGAAGGTGATAAGTGCGCGGTCAGGGGTCAATTGGGTTCAGCTGGTGGAGATATGCAGAATGCCGAGAAGATGCTGCGCTGGATATCGATTGCTTACAGTTTCGGTCAACGAGTCCAAGTTACTGGTAGAAAGCGTAGAGTGACAAGGAAAGTATAGAGTGACAAGGAAAGAACATTGGAGTGAGTTGAGTGCGAATCCTTAGATGCGAACGATGTACATGGAGTGTTCTGTCCTGTCGAATCTGATCCTGAATGTTCACTGATCGTGTATTTTACATGGCGTTGAAGTTGAAGAGGTCCGTGGCCTTGAACTGTCGCAGGCTGCTCATGATGTCCGTGTATCCTTGAAAGGCTTGATTAGGGGTTGAATGAAAGAGAAAGAGGGAGTGTTTAGCGAGCGAGCGCGATCTTGAGCTCTTTGGCGAGGGGACGAATTGGCACGTGACATTTAGCGCACTGCAAGTGGGCGAAAGTGGAGCGGGAGCGAGTCGAGCGAATAGGAAGGGAAAGAAAGCATGCAAGAACCATTGCATTCTTATTTCGTCCTCTTTCTTCTTCTTCTCTCTCTACAAAATCCTTGATCCGCCCTTTTTTATTCTCACTCATTCCTTCCTTCCTTGCACATCCCAATCTCGGTCATCAACCTCCGCTCTCCTGGCTGAAGCCCTTTTCACACATCCACCTTCTTCACACTCACCTCCACTTTCTCGATTGTGACTGGTTGACTAGTGTGCCGATGGCAGTGATCATCTTACCCCAACCTTAGCGAACGTTTCCCTCTCCACTTATCCCCCTTTTTCTATACTTCTCTCTCAACAACACTTCAAACAATCCGCCCTAGAACACCCAACAGGATAGGAGAGACATCACGCTTTCTTTCAATAGTAGACATAGACATTTACAACCTTCACCTTGGCGCCAACAGGATAAAGATAAACGAAGAATCATGGCCTCACCAACACCCACCTTCTCGCCAGTGACCCAGGTCCTTGATGCCTCGGCCGTGACCGCACCTGAGGAACGAGTCTCGGAGGAACAATTCAACAACCTCCATGCCTCCTCAGTCACCTACCGCGACCTCTTGATCTTTGAGGAGAGACTTAAACTCAACATGTTCCGCCTCAAGAAGCGACAGCAGAAATATGAAGGTAACCGACCACAACAACCAGGAATCCCTTCTCCACAAATGCCTATTTTTTGCCACTTCTGTTTTATCTTCTCCAGTCCAGTTTTGCTGTGCGTATCGATTGTGGAAGAAGCACAAACGGACGGACGGACCAATCCCCATATCTGGGTATTTCAGCCTCCTTTTTTTTTTAGTGAAGTATCTTGTTCAGACGACTAACCATTATTCTCATGAAAACGGTATATTTGCAGCATTCCTGGGGTCCATTGTGGTTGCGATAGCCTACTGTGCCTTTTCCACCTTTTACCAGCCCAGTCAGGTATGAAGCCATCCTGACAAACAAGAAGCAGGAAATGATGGATGACGATAGCAGTAGAGGGAGAGGCATTCCGAGATCGATCGACAATAGGAACTCACGCCACTTCCCCTTCCTTCCCTTCACCTTCCCTCGCCCTTTTGTGGATATTCTCCCCCTCATCTCCTTTATTCCCCAAGAATTTCGATGAGCCCTTTTTTTTGTGAATGTGATTGTCAATCCGATACCTTCTCCTCCAATTGATCATTGTGTTAACACCTTCATCTTCTTACCACTAGACGTATTATATTCTCGCGCTGCACAAGTTCTTCCTCTTACTCTCCTGCACGACTCTTTTCCTCTTCTTTGCCACGGGCATGTACTCTGAAAAGATGCGCTACTCCTCAAAGTATTCATCTTCACTTTCTGATTTGTTTTGTTTGTTGTCCTGCCGTCCTTAACCCGACCCCTTTTTGTTGTTTGTTCCCTTCCGGCACAGAACAAAAACAAAACAATTTCACCCCTGAAAAAAACTTGACATCTTTACTTACTCCACTTCCTTTCACACCATCTATCCCGTAGGTTTGTCCCGCAGTGTAACAGAGTACTCAGGATCTTCAATATGCATTTCAACCGGGACAGCCGACCCGAATTGGCATTTTTTCGGAAAGTACCCAAAAAGTTTCAGGAGGGCTTTTCAGCCTACAAGGCCAGTTATTTCAGACGCAAGTCTGAAAAGAGGGCTGCAGCAGCTGCCGCAAAGGCCGCAGGTGGTCGTGTCGCAGGAGCGGCGGGAGCTACAGGGATGACACGATCGGCCAGTGGACAAAATCGCCGGTTACAACCTTCGACCCGTGGGAGGAGGGCTGGTGGTGGAGGAGGAGGCGGGTCGGCTTCAGGATCGGATTCTGGGATGCGGCCTACTATGGGCGGTGGCGGTGGAAGACTCAGTTCTTTGACGAGGACTACTCCTGGAGGAGAAGGGGTTATTCGACGAACCGGGTTGGCGACGACCAATCCTTCTATATCTTTGACCGATAGTAGTCGACCGGGATCTCGGACCACCGTCCCTGCTTCCGCCGGTCTAGGATAAACCACAATAATCTACGCTTCTTACTATTTTTACGGCACGATTTTTTTTTTTTTTTTTTTTTTTTGTATTTGTGATTATTTATTGTGCTTCTTTTGAGGGTTTTGCTGGATCAGCAAACATTGGTATGAATTGGGATTATAAGAGAGTGAAATTCTACAAGTCGAGTAATGCGAACGGCAGAGCTAAATTTACAGCTTGGACTTCTTCTTCTTGTCGGCGGCGGCGACGGTTCTGCCGAGGACCGAGATCCCGTACTGGGGAGTAACACGGGCAATGTCGCCGCTGTAAGAGTCGTCCTCGATCAACAGCATAAAGGCATCGGTGACCATCTCGATCGTGACCAGGGCGCCCATCTTGGTGACGGCCTCCTTGATTGGCTCGATGATCTTTGTTGGCGCGAAGCTATATATTGTGGAGGTGATGTTTTTGTGTTTATAAATAAGCGAGAAGATATCAGCGAAGGCGGTTCACGACATGGGGCTGGCTGCTGCAGGGGGTCATCACTCAGCATTTGTTCTTTTCCCCTTCATGACTTTTTTTTTTTTCTCTGAACATTCAATTTTTTTTTTTTTTACCTGGGAGCAACGGCGTTGATACGGATGTTATCTCCGAAATCCTTAAACGACCGCGTAAAGCCCACAACACCAAACTTGGCCGCCGAATAAACAGGCGTCCTGGGTTGAGGGTACAAACCTGCAAGCGAAGCCGTGTTAATAATAACTCCTCCCTCCCCACCTTGCTTCTTCAAAGCCTCAATCCCCAACCGGGTGCCTTCAACAACTGCCGAAAGATCAATATCAATGACCTTCTTCCAGATACCCTTCTCGTCCTCCCAGAGTGGGGCGTTTTCGGCGATGCCGGCGTTATTGGCGATAATGTCGACACGGCCAAAGTGGGTTTGGGCGGCGGTGAAGAGGGCTGCTTGTTGGTCGTATTTTGTTACGTCGCATTGGACAAAGTATGCGACCTCTTCCCTCTTGCTGTTGGGGGGTTATCATAGGGGCAGGAGGGGGGCAAAGTTGAAATAGTTAGAACAAAGTTAGGGCCTCAAAACTACAATAGATCGAGACTCGAGAAATATGAGTAAGCAATGAATCGAAAAAAAATGTCATACCCATAGTTCAGCTCGTTGGCGAGACGGAGACCGTCCTTGAGGTCAATGTCTCCAAGGATGACCTTGGCACTAGAAAAATAGAACGAAAAGAAACGATTGGTCAAAGAAATGTCTCCATGGTTCCCCGCAAGCTGCATGTAGGCCCGATCGATCACAAATTTTTGTCTGAAAAGACTAAAATCAAAGGAGTGTATTCTCTCAACGTCCAGTTGAAGACGAGGGGGTTAGAGACGTATCGATGAGATGAGTGGCAAGGAAGAGAGTGAAAGAGAGGATCCTTACCCCTTGCTGACGAGACGCTCAGCGAGGGCCTTGCCGAGACCTATGGAATGTATGATGAAAGGAAGGAGAAAAGAACGTCAAGTCAGAACTAGCGTGAAGAAGGAGTAGCGCGGACATGACGGAAAGGGCTGCGGCGAACAGGTTGCGTAAGAGAGAAAAAGGAGCGTACCGGAGGAGGCTCCGGTGATGATGGCGACCTTGTTTTCGACGTGCATGGTTGTTTTTTGGAATGAGAAAGTGTGTGGGAAGAGGAATGAGGTTGAATGAAGGAAAAGAAGGAAAGAGGAGAGATGTGAAGAAAAAGAGAGCGGGGTAGCTGGAATTTCTTGGGTGTGGAGCAGGAGTGACTGTCGATCGGTTCTGCAAGAATTTGAGTTGCGGCCACAGGAGTCGTTGGCCACACAGCGTGAAGCCCGACCAACCGGACTCAAGGCGGGCTCGACAGGGTCTCCTCTCCTCCACTTTTGAACCGCTACCGGAGAACACATTGCTCGTTCGCGTCAACTACATGTGTGATTATGCCTGTTAGTTTATTAAGGGAGCACAAAATGCAAATAGTGATATCTTGCGGCACGACAACAACAAAACTAAAAGGGATCGATCGACTCCTTCCTTCAGGCCTCTCCGCCGCCGTCACCATGCGAGTGCCGCTTCTTACCTCGCATGAAACCACCAATACCTCCCCCTCCTCCATTGCCGCTGTTCTTAGACGGGAACAAGAATCCTCCAGAAGACCGCCCAAAGATGCCTTTGCTACTTCCCTTGTTGCTGCTTCCGTCCATCGTCAAACTCTTCTTCATCTTCAAGTTACCATCAGGGGGTGGCGGAGCTGGTGATCCCATCGGCCGAGGTGGCAGAGCGAACGTCGTCGAGGACGCTGTTGAGATAGGGGACGGATTGGGTGGTGAGAGCGGCGCAAAAAGTGATGAAAGCGGTCGGGTGTTCCTCTGACTCGAAAATCCCATGCTGTTCCTAACACCGGGGAAACTCTCGCCGGCGTGAATGGTCGCACTAGGGAAGAGAGGCCCCTGTCCATCCAAAAGAGTGCTGCTGTTGCTGCCATTCGACTGACTGCTCCGCCGCAGATCAAACGTGGAACTCGACATATGCATCGAATGCGGCTGGTAACCCTGCTCATTTTCCATGACGGACGATCGACGTCGGAAGATGCCCTTGGCCTTGTTCTTGGACTTGTTCAGCTTGCGCTCTGGACGGACAACAATCACTGGCACGGTCGAATGGTGAAGACAGTAGCGAGAGACCGATCCAAGCAAGAATCCCTTGACCGAGCTGCGTCCACGTGTTCCCACCACCAGCATGTCAGGCTTATACAACCGAGTCTAGCATTTGCAGGAATGACAGGTTATATCCGTGTGAGAAGACCTGGACGTTGAATTGGATATCCTTGCGTTGTCAATTGGGGCAGAGTCATGTTGCTTACCATATGCTGGATGGTATCTCTGACGTTGCCAACCAAGTACTCGACAACAATGCTGATCTGTTTGTTGGATGTGTTCTTTTCACGAATCGTGTCCATGATCTTGGTTGCCTCCACACGAGCTGCTGATTCCTGGCCTTGGAATGATGGGATTTTCGTCTTTGAAACTAAGAGACACAATCGCGTTTGAACAGTTCATGGGGGATTAGTTCTCCTTCCTCCAACACTTCAATTTGGGTTCAATACAAGGTTTGCACTCCAAATCGGCCCAAGCCTTGGTCGAGAACATCCTTTTGGGACAGAATAAAGAAGGGGTTGCGTTGCTTCCTCTGTCTATAACGTCATGGTGTCGTAGCCATGCCCAGTTGAGTTGAACTCCTGTTGTCCAGACCAAGAATCTCGTCCATTCAAATGGGCCATCCTGTTGGCGTTAACGTTGTCCATGGTGGGTGGGTGGAAAATATCCTGTTGTCAGAAAGGAAAGTGTCTGTCTCTGAATCAAAAAGCGGGAAAACCTACGTGAATCTCGCAGCTCTACGGGTACAACTCTTAAGGCGACAACCTAAACTAGACCAAAACATAAAAGGGAAAAAAGAGTGGGTTGTATGATGTGTGGTCAATGGGTCAGTCAGGGTTTATTTTTCGGTGCAGTTAAAGGTCAGCCAGTCTGCCGGTCCGTCCGCTGTCACTCAGTCCAGTCAATAAACGGCTTATGGAGAGAATCTACCTTATCGGTCTATGCCGACCCTATTTTAGGGTTGGCTGCATGTGTGTCATTCAGAGTGCAGCATGCAATGCAAACGCATAACAAACGGCAGCCAACACCAACAACAACTATGTTTTTTTCTTTCGACAAACCACAACTCTTCTTGTTATCCCATCATTCCATCTCCTTTTTTTCGTTTCGTTACTCTGCTCTCACATGGACAAGCCTTTTGCAAAGGCTGAGCAAGTCAACGAGAACAACATGAGATGCGCAGATGGGAAGGAGTGCAGTTCCGATGCTGTCGAGTGTTTGTTGTTTGTGCTGTGTGCTGTTTGTGGTATTCCCGAGTAAAAAAAAAAGATGCCCAGCTCACCCTAGATGGATCGTTATCCTGCGAGAGCAACATATACTGTTTGTTCCATGGCCACGATGACTATACTTCTCCACACTTCCTACTAGCTTGAAACCGATTCTCGTTCAATGATGATGTATGACTCCACTTCTCCTCCACACCTGTGTCCATCCATATCCATGACACCCGATTGCAAAAAAAGGTGGGATATTTTTCTCTCAAAAATGACCCTGACCTGAATAACTCTCACTACTAGTGACCAATGGCATGCCCCCAATGACACATAGTCCCTGGGTGTTCAATAAAGTATTTCAAGACGACATGAATAAAAAAAAAACCTTACCTCATCACCGTCTTCGACCATGTTCTCCATCACCCAATGGAGTGCGTGGGCAGAGTAGTCGTTCAGGTCTGTCCCCACCAGAAAAGTCCTGCTATGATTCGAACGACTCCACCCGTCGGTCTTGGACTGGAGCGTAAAGGCATACTCGGAGGTGGTGTCGCAGCCAAGGGTATCAAAGCCAACGCGGGAGACGTAGCCTGTGGCCGAGCCTCTCCTCGAGGGCTTGGTAAGAGTGGCGGGTGTAGCAGGGGTGCGGGGTTGAGAACCGTTTTCGCTGGTGTTGGAGGTGGTGTTGGTAGTGTTGGTGGTCGTTGTGCTGTTGGTGCTGTTGGAGAGAGACTTCTTGTGGTGCTTTTGAGGAGGGGAGTAGGAGAAGTCAGCGGTGATCAGGGCGTTGGCGAGGGTGTTGGACACGGTGAGGGTGTTGTCGTCAGACAGGTCGCCTATTTTTGGCGTGGAGATGATCATGGTGAAATGAAGGAAGGTGTAGGGTAGGTTTGGAGTGTTGTTGAAGGGGAGGAGAGAGTGAGGAAAAGGAGATGAATGAGAAAAAAGAGAAGAGAGAGGTGAAAAGTGAGAAGAGGGAGGGGAGGGGGGAATAAATAAAAAGAGCAACAGCGCACACCCCTCCTTCTTGGGGCATGCAGAGTAGAGGCTGACCATACCAGTCTGCAGCACCTCCTTCCCTCTCACCCACACCTTTTGACTTCACCCGCCTAAAAACGTAAAACGTCAAGAAACCCTCTTTTGTGTTCTGCCTCGAGGTGTCCCAATGACCGCTTCAATCCGCGCCATTCCCGCCATTCACTACTGTGCGAGGGATAGGACAACCGTGTCTCACCCTTCAAAAGTAATCAATCACTGCCTGCCAGTCCGAGGTCCCGGACCCGGTTCCCTCACCTCACACTAGCTCGCTTTCTGGCCTGAACCACGTCCGGTTCCGGGGTATTTTTTTTCTTCTTTCTTTCTTTCTTTTCTTGTTTCTTTCTTTCTTTCTTTCTTTCTTTCTTTCATTTCAGCCTGTTTGTGTGTGGAGGAACCAATTGCTTCGAAATTAACTAACAGCACACATGTTCTCCTTTGTTGTTTGCGAGTTCGTCCAGGGATGCAAGAAAATCCATTTGTAACGTAAGGGGGTAGGCAATAAGAAGAGGAATAGAGAGGATCCATGTTCATGCACCTCCAAACATGGTCGACGCACTCCTCCTTCTTCCTCAGTGTACCCTTCTAACAAGCAGGAGAACCTCAAGTCTTTTAGCCTTATTGCAACGAGGACCCTGCCCATCTTCCTCTCCACCTCTTCCCTTCCATGAAAGCCTTCTTTTTTCCAGCCTTGTCCAGTCTAGCCCCCTACTCAACCAACGACAAATGTCCAATTTCCTCACGCGACCCAGTTTTCTATCTATTTCTAGCAAAGGATCGATCGTGTGCCCTTTTTTACTCAACATATTTGTTTGTTGCTGTTGTGAACGCATAAAAAGGCACGCTTTTTTTTTTTTTTTTTTTTTTTTTTCTCAACGGATCGAACATCGTCAAGAGAAGAGAAGCACCTACATATCCCCTACATAGCTGAGTTTGTGGGTCGCGGATCTTTTTTTTTTTATTATTTCTATTGCCTTGCGGTGTTTCCTTTTGGCTGAGTTCAGAGTTGGCATGGCTTTTGTACGTGTGGCTGACAAGTGACTTGCAAAAAAAAAAAAAAAAAAGACTTCCCACCACGGCCTTTATTTGGTAGGGAGCGAATATTTTTCTTGTTCCCTCTCTTTCCCCCCTCGTTGTTTCCCCTTCGTGTTCCTCCAGGCCAGCTCCACAAGCCTTTGAGTTCCTCTTCTTCCACACACGAAGGGTTTTACTTCTCTTGCATACACACAAACCACAAACCACCACTCTTAAAACAAAAAACTCCCTTTGCGTGTATCTTTTCTTCTTCTATGGGAGCGTAAGTACCCCCCCACACACACCTCCTACCTCCTCTACCCACTCTCCATTTCACACCTCATTCCACTCTTTGCATGCGTTGTTCCTCCGAAAAAAAGAACAAGAACAAGAAGCACATCAGATTCCCTTCCTCGCCGACCCGCCAGCCTTGCATACAATTTTCCTTCTCTCTCTCTCTCTGTCTCTGCTCTCACTTCTCGCCCCGACCACGCCACTCCGTTCTTCACTTTCAAATATGGACCCACTCGACTTCCAGCAAGGAAAAAAAGAAAAAGAAAATAAAGACAAAAAAGAACTAAGCCGAACAGGATGCACATCCCAAATCTCCCGCCACAATAGAACCCTGGCGCCAGTCCCAGGGCTCTTTTTCACTTTGACTTTGGAAGGACGGGGAAGAAAGAGAGAGAGAGAGAGGAGAATCGCCCACGTTGGAAAACTATATTTCTAACAAGACCCGATGTTCAAGGGTGTCAACTTGCAAATTGCTTGCTTCTCAAACTTGCTGGGGGGCTTGTTTTCCTCTCTTTTCTTTTCTTATTTCTTTCTCCCTGCACATGAGAGCCTAGTCCATAAGCAAATCGATGAGGGAAACTCATCCGCACACTAAACGCAAAACACAAAACGCCTTCTCATACCAGCACAACCCCTTCCTGGGTCTATTACTCTATCAAATATTACCCATCAGCCTTCAATTGGACCCCCAAGACTGCAGAGACCAGATCACTGCATCCGGGGCACCCTTCTTCATTCCTCTGGTTGCTGTTCAATTGCACAATAAGGAACGACAAGCAGGACAGCCAACGACTCTGTCCGGATCATACAACAAAAATACCTCGCCCTTTTACAACTTTGCTCACACTGCACCTCTTTTTTTTTTTTCTTTCTCCCGTCCTTGTCTTCGTCCTCTTCGCTTCCTTCCATTCCCCCCTATTCTTAATGTCTGTGTGTCTTTGTTGTTGGTCCCCTTTTTTATTTTAGCATCACACTTGTAGATACTCCTACGGAGATTGAGGGATCATTTTCCAACCTCAAAACCCTGTCGCAGGCTGAGGTACTTCACCGCCTGACATTAGATGCCGCCAGCCAGGGTCTTATCCAGCAGGACCCCGCAACCGGCTCCTTCTCAATCTCGGACTTTCTGGTTCCTGGCCTTCAGGCCAAGACCTGGGAGGACTGGCAGGTTGCTGACGAACTTAACCCATTTGCGTAAGTTGTTTGTTTGCTGTAAACACATGTATTCATCAATTGCTACAACTAGCCATGAAATGGCATATGTCTCCTTGTTGCCACAATCGAACTCCGAGAATAAGTATGCGAGCGCTTTTTGTTCCCTTCTTACTACCCCTGAAAACTGACCAACCGATCAATTGCTTTTGGTTTTTAGTACTACGGTGGATGCCCAGACTTATTCAGCCAATCTGGCTCCGATGCCCTTTCAGTTCGGACTGGATGGTGTAATGGTTGGCGGCGCCACTTGGGACTCTGCCACCGCAGCTGTTGCAGGAGGTTTTCCCTCGGATATGGCATACGACGAGTTTGTCTTTGACTTGTCGCCCTCGCACTTTTCGACCCCTGCGACCATCAATGTGGCTGATCTCATTGTCGGACCAGGCTCTGCGGCTTCCTCGACCGTCGTCTCGCCCTACGATCTGCAGATGCCCCTCTCCCACGACGCCTATGAGGATCTGGCCCTTGCGGACTTTTACGGCTTCACCGAGCAGGATGACACTTGCATCTTTGATTCGGACAGCGGCTCGGACCTCAGCGACGTCGACTCCTTCTCTGACGACGACGGGGACGACGACGAGAATGAGGACGATGATTACAATAAAACCTACGAGGTGGCTACGACCAGCACCAAGAACAGCGATCTGACTCCTGTTTCCGAGCAGGTCGTTGAACTGGAGGACGCCACCAGCACCTTGGCTCTCTCTGCTGCGAACGTCCCCGAATTCGCTGCTCACCAGACACGAGTCGCAAAGGAGGACCCCAACAAGCGCCGCATGGAGGAAGCCCTTGTCGCACGCATCAACAACGACCTTGGCCCCGAGCACATGTCTGGCCTCTTCAAGATCCTGAGAGGTGGCGATATCGAGGATGAGGACGAGGATGAAGAACTGGAGGTTGATCTGTCTCGTCTGGATGAGACGACCCTTGTTCAGCTTTACCAGTATGTCGAGACTTGCTGCATGCAAACTCTGGGATCGATCCTTGCTGCCGAGAAGGAAGAACAGGCACGTCAAAAGAAGGAAGCTGCCGCTGCCGCTCTTGCGGCGGCCAAGAAGGCTCAACAGGAACAGGAACAGGAAGCCCTCAAGTACACCCATACACTCGATATGAGATCGACCCCAGAGCTCTCTCCCTCGCATTCCTCCTCGTCCTCTTCTCCTTCGGTCTCGCCCTCGCCTCCTCACCAGTCTTCGTACTCTGCGATCGATTGTGGCTCGAGCAACAACAAGAAGCGTTCTGCGACCAACTCGACCTCGTGCACCTACAAGTACGAACGCAACGATGTGGAGAAGCAGGCTGAGGCTCTCTGGATGAACACCCAGCACAAATCTAAGCGGAAACGCATGACCAACAACAGCCCTGTCTGTATGGGTGGAGGCGGTACCGGGAAGGGCAAGAGGATAAAAAAGTCGATGATGATGGATCAAGAAGAACAGCAGCTCCAGCTCGAGCTTCAGCTTCAGCAGCAGCAAGATGAGGAGAGTGACGAGATTGGTGAGGACGATGAGATTGATATTGTTGGATTCTAATTAGAGTCCAACTTCATCCTTCGCACCCCTTCTCCTCCCTCGCTCCCTCCTCTACTTTACTCGTCTTCTGCCGGATTCATCTTTTTACAACCCATCGAACTTTTCCTCAGGTTCTTTTCCCCTTGTCCCCCCCCTCTTCACATCCATTGTAAAAAAATCTTCCGCCAGTACCCTTATCAACTTTTTTTTTCTTTCTCTCTCGTTTTCCTTTCCACTTTCCATTTTTACCACGGCTTCCCTCAAAAAAACATCTTCCGATCGTGATGACCTTTCGTCGAGATTATATTTTTTCCGGCCACCCCCCTCTTGTACTTTTATGACACGAACCGAACGATCTTTCTTCACGCCAATTCCATTTTCAAAGTTGTCCACTCCTTTTTTTCACCGTCTTTTTCGTTTTGTCAAAAAAACCCCCCACAACACAGCAAACGTCCAAGTAAATGGGCTTGCGATACCAAAAAAAAAAAAACCACAAATAAAACGATAAACTCCCCCCAACCGGTGGAAGAAAAATACACCGGGTGGGCAATTTGAAAATCTAAATCGATCATTCCCCTTTTCATATGTACTGTAGTTGTCTTTGTTTTATTCACCACTTTTTTTTTTGTTGATATGTTTTAGAGGGTATGCCTGAGGATACTGTCGGTGACGGCACAAACCCAGGTGCCTTGGTTAGGTTGTCCGACAATGAACCCGTTCTCGCTCGATCCACCGAACCTAGGTTGCTGTGCTGATGCAGATGTATCGTTTTCGTAGTGGTGGGCATTGGATCCTACAGACTCTAGTTCTTCAATGGTGTTGTTGGGGTCCGTTGCCGTGAACCTCATCGTTGTTGCACCTGAGAAAAAAAAATTCAGAAACATCAGAAATTTTGATATTTGATCAGTGAATTAATTCATTTTTTTGTTCCCCCCAGTTCTCTCACATTTGTGTCATCAGTTATCGCAGACATCCAAGCCCCACCCTCACCCCTGGCAATAAGCTTACCAGTTTGAATATCTGACGAGGCAAGGTCGTTATCGATATGTCCGTGGTCTTGGGCTTGGCCGTGATGGATGAACTGTACCCATTGTCCGATCTGGAGGTCGTGGACGGTATCGACAGCCATGTTTCCCTTGCTGGGGTCTCCTCCCGTGATCTTGTACACCGTTGCCTTTGACTAGAGCATTTATCGAAAGGAAACATAGAAGGTATGTCAGGAACAATTCGAAATACAGGATTGTAATGAACCATTGAGAGAAACAATGAGAAGGCATGATAACAGGCCATACCATGTCGACTTGAGCAGGAGATTCTGAGGTGGCGGTGGTGGGTTCGCCGGTGGCCAAGAAGTACTCTTTGTCCTTGGTCAATGTTGTTGACTGAAGGCGGTCGAGTAGGAGTCTTGTCGCGTTGGATTCATCCAGCTCCAGAATAATGTTGCCCCGGCACCTATGATTTCATTCGTTGAAAATGGACATATGCTCGTTAGCTGCTTTTGATCCACAAACAAAGTTGTAATGTCACAATTCGCCCCCAAAGTCCAAAGTGTGAAAATGACTTACCGAGTGATCTGCATGGCAGGTCCCAAGGGTGACATGGAAGGATAGGTCACATTGGTAGTCTCCTGCTTTGCGGCGGGACGCTTCAAGATTGAAACACCCAAAACACCATCCTGAACCAGCTGGCCATCATAAAACATGGTTACTGGCCGCCCAGTGATAAACGGCGTCGAACTCGCCATCAGACCAACCTTGGACGCTGCAGGGTTAGCTGAATCCAGCGCCTCCAAAAACTGATGCACCTCCATATCCGAAATCATCATAATATCCTGATCCGTATCGTTTGATCCTGAAGCTGAGGCTGCAGATGAAGAGGGAGGAAGAGCCGCGGCAGGGACTTGGACTTGGTTACGGCCGATGGAGATACTTTTGAAGGAGGACCAGGCGTCGGCGGTGTCGAGGCTTCGCTCTTCGATATCCTGAGAACGAGCCCATTTGCCGACTGATTTCTCCTTGAGGCGTTTCCGACGCGATTCTGCGCCCGAAAGGTAGAATGGTTGACAGTCCACCAGGCGATCTGATGCGGCGTTGGCGGCGGTGGCGGGTGTGAGGGTGAGGGTGGAGACGCCGTGTCCGGAGGGGGTCGGGACGCGATCGACGACTGCGCCGAGGATATGTCGGGATTGGGAGATGTGATCTGGGATCTTGGAGGGGAGGGTGAGCAAATCGGAGCCGGGGTAGGAACGCGAGGCGAGGATGATAGTGACGCCTGACTTTTTGTTGCTATCAGTTGTCTTGGTTGTCACTGGGGAGGATGTGGAAGAAGATGAGAGGCATTGGGAGAGGGCGGTTGCGAGGTCAGGGTGCGAACTTGTAGCGGCGGTCCAGAGGGTCTTTTGGTTGAGTCTGTGTCCGAGTGCTGTTGTCGTCCGGGTGAAGAGGGCTGTTCCTGCTGCTCTGCAAGTTGTTGTAGTGGTGGTGGTGGTGGCGAAGGGCACGACCTTTGTGAATGAGCGACTGAGGTGCATTGTTGGCTTGTAGTCCTTGAAGGTGGTTCCTGGGAATGATTCGGAAATAAAAAATAAAAAAGCAAAGCCTTGGGTGCCCTTTGTGCGAAACAACACAAAAGATCCGGATCGTGACTACTTTCTTCGAAGAACTGGATTTTACTTGTCGCGTTTTTATGTTCAGGCACACTTCTCTTCCTCTTTGCATTCATTCACAAAGGCGACACTCACTTCGCCCAAACCCTCACCCAGGAATTCGCTCTACAGGACCTTTTCCCATACAACACACAAGCCATGACCGACACGAACTTGCTGAACGTCGAGTGGCGCTTCCACGAATGGATCATGGTAATCAACCAACCAGCCTTCAAAGCAAAGTGATCTCTTGTGGCAACATGCCGTTGTGGACCCTTACTTCTCTCTCAAGCTTACCATGCACAACCAAGACTAAAGCCTTTGTTTGTTACTTACAAAAACAAATGCTTATAGGGAGTCGGTGGACTGAACCCAGACAACGTGTTGGACTACTTTGCCCAGTCGCCATTCTGGGACCCTTCGTGCAACAATGCCATCATCAGGATGCAGACCCAGTTCAACAACCTCGGCGAGATGACTCAGAAGCTCAAGTACGAACTACAAAAGGATTTGAGAATAATAACGACAATGGCTTTTTTTTTTTCGTTCTTCCACATGTATCAAAGTGGCAGAGCACGCAGCAGCATTCGACTGACATTATTTGTGTTTAATTCGCATGAACAAATAGGGAACAGAGGGGCTTGGAGTTTGCGTTGATCCATGAACGGTACCCGACACTCTTTATCATTCAGAAGCAGGAACGAAAAGGCCCAGACTGGGGTAAGGGACCGGTGCGAGGAGTTATGGAGGAATGGTATCGACATAGGCCTTGCGTTTACACCGATTGACAGTCATACTTACTCTGGATCTTCATTTTACGTTGTTCTACTAGTCCTCCCAATGGATATCTACTACGTCCTGAATGGCAGTATCTATATGAACCCAGACGTGCAGACTCTTCTTTCAAATCGGATTGTAAGTCAACATATGTTTCAGGATCATAGCCAAAGCAACACGGACAGGAAGATCTTATTGAGCCACCATTGCCGAAACGAAAATCATCCGCTAATTATTTTATCATACTACCAATCTACTTGATAGCTTGGAAGCTTGTTCTATGTGGAGAGCGCGTTCAACGAGGCGAGGACAATGACAGATTTTCACCCATCGACTGGTTACCACTGGAAGGCACCGGCAGAAAGCACATCAACAACAGCACCGGGAGCGTCAACCCCGGCCATCCCCGGCCTTGCCGCCATCACAGCACCAGGCGCCGCTGCGCCAGCAAAAGCAGGTAACAGCCACACTTAATGTCTCAACATATACCGCGTCTTTTAATGTTACATGTCAAGAAATGGATGTCTTTGCTTGATTCGCGAGTGTTTTTCTAACATGCTTTGGTTAATATCTACATTTCACAGAATCAAAGGAGTTTCAGGTGGCTGTGGACCGGGCGATCAAGAATTTGGAGCAGCAGATGCATATGAAGCAAATAATGCAGCAAGCAGGAAACGCTGCTGCTGGTGGTGGCGCGGCCGGAGGTGCTGGAGCTGGAGCTGGTACAGGGGCAGATGCTAAGGTCAAACAGGAAGGAGCCGCTGGTGGTGCTGCCACTAATTCTGCAGCAGCGTCAAAAGGCACGCCCAAGAGCACTGCCAAGAGGCGCAAGAAGAGTGAGGAGGCTTCAGCTGCGGCTGCTAGCATGGGCATTAATACCAGTGTTGCGGCTGCTTCTCAGAGCCGAGGACCTCCCTCAGCTGGTGTTACGCCTGGCGGTCCTGCTACGCCTACCTCTGCCCCTGTGAGGAGACGGAAGAAGACTAAGAACGTCGACCCCAAGTAGGCTCTTTGTTTGACTTGCACCATTGCCTCAGCTTTGCAAAAAAATAAAAAAACCAACGCTTACAAAAATTGATCGTTGACCAATCGAAAGTCACGCAGTGTGGTGGCAAAAACGTATAAAGTAACCATTCTGCCTTTCACTCACACAACAACGCAACAGCAAAAAAAACACAGAAGAACGACACGCATCATGCAGCAAGAAGAAACACCCAGGGAACGATTCCTCGCCAGTCAAGAGATTCTCTCAACAGTCGAATGGGTCGACGACCTACAAGACAAGCGTACATGTGCCGAAGCCATGGCCCTTTTCGAAATGCACACTGCCATCTTGCTCACAGGTACAACAAGCTTTTTATTTGTTGCCTCTTGACTCTCCATGAGTACAAAAGGTACCGCGCCTTTTACTATGACACTTCCTCTCGCCTTTGCACTCATTTAATTGGTTTCCGTACTGAATATTATTTAGCCCTGAAGGACATCAAAGCCAAAAAGTTCTCACGGTTCTTGAAGGACGCGGTGCTGGCGATCTCACGTCCCATCAAGGCTATTCACCGCCTCAAGGAATATATTGCAGCAGACTCGTCGACAGACGTTGCGCAGCGCGCTCGCGAGGAGCCGGGCTTGTTTGTTGACCTTGAGGAGAAGATCTCTAAGGCTGTTCAGGGCTTGGTCACACTGGTCGTCGACAAGTGGCCCGCAGATCAGGTAAAAACTTCATACTGCCACGTTATGGACTTCACGCGTCCGCAACAGCAAGAGCTTGTTTCTGCTCTCAATACTAAGACATTATATAATATCCACCGCTGTTACTTTCTAGGCGTTTACGTTGAAGCTGAGCCCGGAGCAGGAGAACGAACTCAACAACCAACACTACCTCCTGGTGTATCTGATCCTGATGGTTCTGGACCAGTGGGTTGCAACAGAGAACATGGACGCAGCCTCCACATACTTTGAATACACCAACCCGAAGTACAGGCGATTCTCTCCGCGCGGACCAAACCAACCACCAGTACCCAAGGAGAACACTGAGGCTACTCTGCGCCACCTCCAATGCATGATGGTAACTGCTAGCATCAATGGCGATTGTTTTGGCGCATTTTCTGACGGGCAATGGACAGTACGGAACGTTAGACTCATCGAGAATTTCGACTCTTTCTCTTGTAGGACTTGTGCACAAAGTGCCATCTTTCAATCGAGGATCTCCTTGTCTGGAAGCCTACTCCTGGTGAGAACTTTGTCATATTTGAACCGGTTCTTCCGCTCACGGGAAAGTAGAAATGTCCGTTCGTATTAACGAGTCCCTGTGCCTTGCACTCCAATGAATAGTGTTCTCGACGGGAGTGAATGAGATGGATGACAGCTACGACGAGGAAGCAATGGTGGAGGACAACTACCCGTTATCGGAGACAGGAATCACAACAATCACAGCAGGAATGATCTACGCTATGATCAACCCAACAAAACTTGCGACTCCTTTCACATTCCCACTGGCACTTGCACAGGACTGGGTCTTTACGACAGCAGGAGGACTTGCCAGTGGATTCCTCAACAGTGAAGAGTCTCAGCTCCCCATGGCGGACAAGGCCCTCTTGGTGCTGTTGTACGCGATTGACAGGACGCCGTTGGACTCTTTCAAGATGGAGGGGCTGGACTATTGTACCAAGGACAGTGCTATGGATCGGATGGGATTGTTCCAGATCTTCCAAGTCATGGTCAACTTTGCAGCAACTTGCTCGTCGTCGAGCCATCGGTTCTTTTGCTTCCAAGGACTTGATCGATTAATCCAGGCATGCGCGGATGATGTCAAAATGGTTCTTCTCGAACAGCTGGTGTCACCCAAGTGCCCATTCGAGTCCATGAGAGCAGCAGCGATCAACTTGGTCAAGGGAGTAGTCGAGAGAGCGTTTACGGCTTTGGAGAAGGCTAGAGCAGCCACGCAGGAAAACTTGAAGATAGGCAAACCAGCGGTGCAGCACGCGATGAGTCCATTCATCAGTCCGTTATTGCTGAGTAACTTCCAGGAGCATGTGCTACGATTGGAGATCAAGCCTTTCCAGCACAGTCCGCTGAAGAACGAGGGGGCGTGGCATGACAAGTATGATACTTTTATGCATGCCCTCAACTTTTACCTGTTCCTTCTCATGCGCGACTCCAAGGATGACAATTTGGTACGTTATTTAGTGACTTTTTAGTGTGTCATTGCCGTCACATCTTCTTTTGCGGATGAAACCCATGCAACAGATCACGTACTAACTTGCATTGACGTGCCTTGTTACTTGATATCGATAGACGGAGGTGTGGTCGACATCGAACCTCAAGAACACGCAGAGAGAGTTCTTGGAGCCGTTGATGACACGCGTTCAGGACTTGAAGGAGGATTACATCCAGAGACTGGCCAAGGTTGAGATGGAGCAGGATGCAGACTTTATGGACGGCGTTCAACAGGGAGGAGAAGCCCCGATCGCAGAAGGGAAGATCCGATCCAAGAACGGAGTTGTCAACTTTGACATTGATATGGATGAAGACGACTGTGATAGCGACGATGATGATGGTTTGAAGGGACCTCCCAAGGACACTGCGCTCGAGCTGAACCAGAGTATGATGAAGCTTGAGTTGATGGATGAGTTGCTTGAGCGGATCCAGGAACTCACTTCTGTGCGCGTTGAAGAAGGGGAGGACGATGATTAATAAACTCAACGCAGCGGCAGCATCGTGTCGTCTGCTTGCTTTATGGAGCATTTGGCCGTTATTTGAGTTTTTGGTTTGGGGTAGGACAAGTATTATGTGATGGAGGGATCTAGACTCTAACCCACTCTTGGTGTGAATAATTCGCCAATTTCGTACGTATACTTTCAAAGGACGGTTGATCGATTAATGGAGTTAAAAAGGGGGAAGGAGCCACAAAAGTAAAACTTTCTTTTTTTTTTCCAACAAAACAAAAAACAAACAACAAACACACCACAGCAATGGGAACCGACGACGCGACCAGCACAGACGCGTCCCAAGGACAACCAACCTCCAAACGTCTCACCCCGCTCGAAATCCCAGAACTCCTCTACCACATTGCAAGTTACCTCACGGATGATCACATGACGCTCGGAGAAGCGGCTCAAGTCTCTTCCTCGTTCCATGCAGCCTTCACGCCGCTCTTCTGGCGACGGATTGTCCTCGATGGAGAAGACGCTTCCGAGATCTGGGGGTCGCATAGGGGGTTTCGGATGGGGATGATTCGGTATGGTCGGTTTGTTGAGGAATTGCAGTTGACCGGGTTGAGTTCGGTTCAGGATGGGGATGTAGAATTGATGGCCGAGAATTTTACGAGGCTGAGGGTTTTGAATTTGTCCGGGACTAATGTTGCTGAGGAGACCTTGAGGGTTTTGATTCATAGTGAGCCTTATCGGCTGGTGGACGGTGGTGGTGATGGAGGGGGTGGGGGAGGGAGGAAGAGGAAGGCTGGGATGGGGGGGTTGCTGGCGAAGAGGAAGGGTGGGCCCAGATCGACAGGTGCTGCCATACATGATGATGATGAGGAGGAGGACGAGGAAGAGGACGATAACGAGGTAGTGGAGGAGGAGGGGTTGGATGGAATTGGAAGGGATGGCGCGGTGGATGCAGAGACAAGGATGATCAAGTATAGAGAGTACACCGAAACCGAGACCGAGCACGAGTTTGACAGCCAGTACGAGTCCATGGGGATCCTCAACCCCTCATCCACCGCAACCGAATCTGAACAGGATCGTCCTACAGGAAGCATTCCCCATGGATCAGCATCATCATCATCATTAACAGCAGCAGCAACAGGAGCAGCCAGAGGCGTCCGGAAACTCGCAGGAAAGATCCCCCTCCATCGCCAATCGGGCACGACCCGCCCCGCAAAATTCAAGGGTACCAAGACCCAGTTCCCTTTCTTCCTCGAGGAATTGGTCCTCAACCGCTGCAGGAACCTGACGGGCGCCTCGGTCCTCAAGCTCGTCAGTCGGTTGGGTCCCCAGTTGAAGCGGTTGCATCTGAACCATGTTGCAGAGTTGTCGGATCGGGATGTGTTGGACTTTATGAAACATGTTCCTCAGCTGGTTGAGATTAATGTCAAGGGCACGGATGTTACGGATACATTCTTGCAGGGCCTTGCCGAGTTGACTGCTGGAGCAGGATCTGAAGCGGGGCCGGGAGCGGGAGCAGGAGCAGGAGCAGGAGCAGGAGGAAGAGCAGGATTGGAAGCGCTGAATCTCAACATGCTAAACGTCTCGCCTGCTGGTCTCATCCCCTTGATCAAGGCCAACAAATCGACATTCAAGAGCCTTGCATTGGAGCACAATCACGCTGCCACCAACGAGGTTCTGTACGCGTTCATTGAGGTTCCCAATAACGACAAGAAGGCAACTGCGGTAACCCAAAAAACCCAGTCGACCAAGAAGGGAGCTTCCTCGATCCCGTCGCGAGCGTTTAGTCTGAACACTGTCCTGACCTCACTCCGCGTCTCGTACTGCACCACCCTGTCGGAAAAAGGGTTCGCGATCCTGTTCACTGCGGCGACGGAGCTGCAGACGGTCGAGATTGATGGCACCAGTGTGGGTGACGAGTCCCTGTTGGCGTTGGCGGCGACGTATCGGGACCGGATGAAGCGACTCGGGTATGGAGTCCCTGCGAGCTGGCGTGAGTTTGAGATTGCAGAGGATGAGATCTTGATTGCCGAGCATGCCAAGAAACCTTCCGAGGCTGGGGCGGCGGCGTTGTTGAGGAAGACTCTAGGGTTTGATCCTACTCTCAAGGTCTATTCGGGGCATACTGTTACTGGTGGGCTGCGTCGACTGTCGATGAAGCATTGTCCTCGGATCACCAATAAGGGCCTGCGAGCGATTGTTCGGTCCTGTGTTAACCTTGAGGGGTTGAATGTCTCCAACTGTGGGCGGATCAGTATCGAGATCTTCAATGGCCCCTGGGCGTGTACACAGTTGGTCAACTTGATGATTGCCGGGATGCCCTTGGAGTTGATGCCTGGAACGACGACGGGATATACGACGTTGGTCAAGGAGGAGACGTTGGAGAGACAAAGGTTTCCCTTGCAGGAGGAGGAGTTCCCGGCCAAGTGGGAGTTTAACTATCAGGGATATTATGATTATATTGTCATCCCTACACGGGAAAGCGACGGTTTGGACGATGAGGACGACGAGGATGAGGATGAGGGAGATGATGAGGAGTTGTTGGACGACGCGTCGATCATAGCTGCCATCAAAGCCGCCGTTGCAGCCGTTGCAGCCAAGCAAGCCGCCAAGAACAAGGCCAAAAAGGCGGCGTCGGCCAAAGCCGAGACGATCCGATGCAAGTTCCCCGCCGACGGCAAGACCAGAATCCTCCGTCTCCCACCCCTCAAAGACCGCAACACCAACGCCCAACGTGCGCTCTTGAAACAGTTTTACACCAAACTGGGTCTCCTCAAGAACCTCTACTACTTTGACATGTCCCAGTGCTGCTTCCGTGTCCGCCCCAAGGACGGGCTTGATCTCGTCTTGCCTGGACTGCAGCAATCTCTTGATACTTGGAACTTGTACCGACCACCTGGGTATACGCTACATGATTCGGATCTGGAGTTCTTTGGACGGTATTTTGGCCAAGGACGTGAGGACTGTCCGATCAAGATGGAAAAATTGGATATTGTGGAGCAGGAACAGAGGGTTGTGGATGAGAAGGCAAAGAAGGCGGAGAAGGCAAAGGCCAAGAAGGCGGCAAAGGCCAAGAAGCCTGCTGCTGCTGCTGCCGCCGCTCCTGCAAAAGCCAAGAAGGGCAAGAAAAAGGCTGTTGCGGAGGAAGAGGATGATGAGGATGAGGATGAGGATGAGGGTGACGACTTGCCGCGGGTTGCAAAGTTGGACCAATTGATAGTATCCAAATTTGCAATGGAGGATGATCTGGACTATGAGGTCTATGAGTGGTTCATGGACCAGGATGTCGATCTTGTCCAGATCGACGAATTTGACTATGATATGATGTAAGAGGCTCCCACTTTTCTTCTTCTCTCTTTCTCTTTCATTTTTCTTTTCCACCGAATAAATAAGAATGAGAACCCAAGATACATGAGTATGAAAAATATGTTGATATTTTTTTAATAGTACAAGGCGGGTAAAAAAAATTATATCCGGAAAAAAAAAAAAGCAAAGTATACAAGAACAAGAAAGAAAAAACACAAAATATAAAAGTAAAGTAAAGGATCTCTACTTGCGGAGCATGGTGAGGGGGTTCCACTTCATGCGGCTGCTAGGGCTGGAAGGAACAGCGCCCTGAACAAGGCTCTCCGAAAGACTGTGGACATCTCTCCACAATGGCACCATCTCCGTGGGCATCTTGCTCGAGACCGCAGGCGACGACGACGAAGTCGTTTCCATATCTTCAGCCTCGACGACCTTGGAAGCAGGAGAAGCAACCTCGACAATACCGCTCATCCGCTGCCACCAACCCTCGCTCTGTTGGACAGAGACCTCCTTGGCCAACGTCTTACGACGAACAGCACCAGTCTCACCCAACCAACCTTCCAACAACTTGATCGCCTCAGCCTTACGCTCCTCCTTCCTCCGGGCAATATTGGCACTCTGCATGGCAGTCGCCTGGGAGTGGTGATGGGTCTGGGTATCGCCACCCTTGGAGGCCTTGGCCCAGCGGATGGCATCCTTGATCGATGCCTCATCGTTCAACAACAGGTCGTTCTCAATCATCCACTTCAACGACTTGATCCGACCGTAGTACGCCGCATAGCAGAGTGCAGTTCCATGGGGGTAAGCATCCTTGGAGGACTTGAGTCTCGAATCGGCACCTCGGCTGTACAACTCCTGGACCATCAGAGGACAATCGCGTCCAGCAAGCAGACGCATGAGGGGCGTCTCCTTCCAATGGTTCTTGACATCAACAGCTGCGCCACGGTCCAACAAGAACCGCATCGCCGCCAACACATCCTGGTCATTGGCCTCCTGATCAGCCTGGGAGACAGCAACAAATGCCCAATCATCCTGGCAGAGACCGCCCTCCTCACACAAGGTATGCAGCGCAGTGCGCTTCTTGAACGTATCCACACTGTTGATCTGCGCACCACGCTGGACCAAGTACTCGACCAACTCCTGCGGCTGACGGGAAGCGCAAGCACTGGAGAGAACAGCACGGCCATCAAACTTCCAGGCGGCATTGATCAGGTGAGGCTCCTTGTCGAGGTGGTACTTGACCAACGACAGGTTACCCTTCTTGGCGCACTGCCAGATGTTCTCCTGACCGCCCTTGGCACCAAAGCTGGCCTGACGGACAACACTGCCGACCGAGGCCCTTGACTGGGCCGCAGAAGAGGTGGCCGAGAGAGCCAAGGTCGACATGGTGGGTGCCAACGACATCATGCCCGTCGACTGAGTGGCGACGGTAGCAATCGACAAGGGACGCGAGCTCGTGTGGAGAGAAGACCGGCTTCTAGAGGACTGGTGATGACGGCGGTGGTGAAAGGCCTGGTCAAACTGGGTAGGAGCCGAGCTCGAGAAGGGAGGTGGCGAAGACGAGAGCATCAACGACGAAGGGGAGGCGGACGACGAAGACCTTGGGCGACGGACTGTCGAAGCTTCAGATTCAGATTCCGAACCAGATGCCAAGGAGTCCTCGTCAGCAGAGTCTAAGGTGGCCCTCTCGAGGAGAGCGCCAACAGAAGCCTCATCATAGACCTCAGTGGAGACGGTAATCTCGGGAGTGGGCTGAACAAGCTCAGACTCGGCCAAGTCAATGTCGCAGAGAGACTTCAAGAGAGTCGACATGACAGCGGAGGGCTGGACCCTCAAGGTCGCGAGACGATCGATCGACAACATGGCACCAGCCTGGAGCAACGCCTCAGTAGCCTCGACATTGTTGGCAAAGACAGCATAGTCCAAGGCTAATCGTTCAAAACATGAATAGTGAAAATATCAGTAAAATAGCCTCAAGCTACGATACAAAACGTAGTTAAGCAATCAAAAGGTGTTTACCAGTGAAACCAGAGTCGTCCTCGATGTCAAGCTCAATGCCCTCCTCAATCAAGATGTTAAGGCCAGCCTGGTAGCCCATCATGACAGAGTTGTGCAACATGGTCGAGCCGTTCGACTGGCTCTGGCCCGAAATATCGGCCGATGGAGGAAGACCAGCAATACGCTCAAGGAGCGACAAGTATGAGCCTGCATCGCCACCCTCACCGTCCTGGATCAAGTTTCTCAGCAACTGCTCCATATCACTCTGAGCCTGCTCGTCCGTAAACTCGTAGGTCTTGTCGGTGGGCATGTAGTTCTCGTTGTGGTACAACCAGATCTGGACAGTCTCGGTGTTGGGGTATCTTGGAGTCGTGCATTCGATGTAGAAGGGGTTGATGTCGACCACGGTACCGTACTCACGTCCGAACATGGGCACCATGCCGCGAGCAAAGTTGGATCCAATGATGATCACATGGTTCTCGCGGCAGATGGGTCCCTTGCGGGGCTCGAGACTCCTGATAGTGGGGGGCATGTCGGTGTCGACCATAGGAGGGGTCATGGGTGCCTCCTCTCTCCGCTTCTTCATGGGGCCCGACTCGTACTGGCCAGTCAAGGCCGAGGGCGAGCTGGGTGGGCTAGAAGATGCAGTCTTTGCAGGCGAAGGTGGGCCTGACTGGTCACGGAATGCAGGCGATGATGATTTCCTAATTAGCGTGTGTTCAATAGTAAACAATAGTTAGTATTCAGGTTCTAGTTATGACATCATAGACAAGTCAATAAAGCGCACGGATAAAGACGACTTACGAGGATTTATCGTTGAGCTTGCTGGCGAGGCGAGCACCCTTGTCACGGCCATGACTGGCGTAAATCTCGACCTGGTCACTGTGACCTTCGTAGATCAAAAGGGGCTCAGCCTGGTAGCGGTTAAAGCTGGTCAACTCGACGTTGAAGCTGAACTTGGTGCCGGGACCGCGGTGGTGAGAAGTACTGGCGCACCAGGCAGAGGCAATCAACTTGACGTGTCCGTCCCTGAGGGCGACCATGCCGTTCTCGTCAATCATGGGCTTGCCGTTGACGCCAGGGTGGAAGCGCAAGATCTCGGGAGTCTTGTCCTTGCAGCGGCCACAGGGGATGACCACACGGTGTTCGGGCTCCAAGAAGGTGGTAAGCTTCAAGGCCAGAACATCCTCCTCCATTGTGCTGGTAGGGGCAGACATGGCGTCGGCGGACCTCTTGCCGGAGGCGTTGAGACCGATGCGGCCAGTTGCGTCTGCTCTGCAGGGGAGGACGATGTTTTCGGTGGGGATGCGGAGGTAACGATAGCGTTCGCGGTCTTCCTTGTTGAGCTGGATGTTGAGGTAGAACTGCTGACCTTTGCGGAACTCGCCGTTGTCGTCCTTCTTGGAGGAGGTGAAGACTTCGAGGGTCTTTGTGGCTGTGAAGGGGATATCCTCCTATTGTATTCAATAGAAATGTAAGACATGGAGCACGTGAGCAACAGAATAACCGTCGACTTTTCCCTCTCTCTCTCTCTCTCTCTCTCTCTCTCTCTCTCTCTCTCTCTCCCTCTCTCTCTGCTCTCTCCATTGCTCTTTGCTCTGATCACTCTTGCTTCTGACTGCTCCAAATCACCTGCATAAACACAACACAACAACTAGGCTTGGCTTAGCTTACCCGTGGACCGTCGTCAAAGCTCGTGTGTGTGCGACAGGGAGTAGCGTAAATATCTTCTTGCTGATGTGAAGGCGTGTCCTCCCATGACGCTATATCGGAGAGACGGAAAAGGGACAAATCAGAAAAAAAAAAAGGAGAAAGAAGCAAAACGGCATTGTTAGGACTCTATTGGATTGGATGGTGTTGGACACTCTCATAAACAATGACACCTGGATTGGAGACAGACAGGCGAAGCCAGGTGGCAACAATAATAAAAATAATAATAATCATAAACAGAGACAGGCGATCAGGTAATAAGAGTGTCATCTCCGAGAGGTCATCATCCCCTCAACGCCCTCCTTCTCAGGGTTAGGCTCAAGTTGACAGACAAAGAGGTAGAGGGGCAGATGAGCACAGATAGTCAATGCGTCTCCATTAAGGACTGGATATGTAGAGTCGAATGGGAGCAATGGTGTGGTGGATCATGATCCCATTGCGGGCCATTTCTGCTAGGGATAGAATGCTTCACCCAGACACACACACTCCTCATGTTCCCCCTCTGTCTCGCCAAGCATGCAATCGATTGGTTGCTTTTTGTGGTTGCTTGGTTGATTGGTTGGTTGACTGGTGGGGTCGTCCATTCGTAAAGGCGAGATAAAGAGAAAAGAAAAAAGAAAAAAGAGAAAGAGTGGGAAAATGATCATTGGGATGTGGTCGTTGATGCTGCTGTTGATACTTACTCCAAGAGAGCTGTTGCTCAACAGGGGATGCCTTGATGGGCATCTCAGGTGAACAGCTCGTCTGCAGATATCCGGGCATTGTTGATGGCGAAGCATTCAACTGCTGGTTATGTTGCTGATGCTGTTGCTGTTGCTGCTGGTGCAAGACATTCATGTCCGATATCGTAGGAACAGTGGAGGATGATGTGAAGATGTTGTTGTTGACAGCCATAAGCTCTTGCTGTGGCCTTGCCTGTTGCTGCTGCTGTCTATGTTGCTGCTGCTGCTGCTGCTGCTGTGGCTGTTGTTGTTGCTGACCCTGACCAGGGGAAGGGAATAAGAGTGGCCGTTGCATCATGAGCGAGGTGTGAGGGGTGAGTCCATCAAAGTCAACAGCTGGGCGAGGAGCAAAAGAGATGTTCTTGGCACGAGGAGCGATCTGGACAGGGGGAAGGTTGCCGAGATCGTAAGTGTCCCAGCGAGGGCCGAGCAATGAGCCGTCTGGACCGATCTGGAGGGCCATGGAATGGTCGATGGCGTTGGGACCCGTGAGAATATCCCAATTCTGTTTGTTGGGGACGCTAGTAGGCGTTGTTGTTGTTGTTGTATATTGCTGCTGAGCATTATTGTTGTTGTTGTTGTTGTTAAATGGTGCAGAAGAGGCCAATTGTTGCTGCTGCTGTTGTTGTTGGCGACGGTGCTGGATATCCTGTTGGAATGGTTCGAGCATGAGAGGGTCTTGGGGACCGAGGAGATGTTGACGTTGCATGATGGATAGGTGGGATTGGGGGATCTGCTGGGGCTGTGAGTTGGAGGGAGGAGAGGAGGAAGAGGTGGAAGTAGCCGAAAGGGGCCCGTTGTTGGAAGGGATGAAGTGGTGGTGGGGAGGGGCCATTGTGGCGAGATATGGATTCATGTTGGAGGAGTGCGGGGGTGAAGGAGGGAAGGAGGGAAGGAGGGAAGAGGATTGAGTAGAAAGTGCGGAGATATGAACGAGTGATATGAATGAGGTGTGAGTGATAGAGAGAGGAGAGTGGTGAGGGTAACTAGAAGTAGTAGTAGACTTAAGAATATAGAAAAGCGTGGGGATAGAAGAGAGAAGAGAGAAGAGAGAAGAGAAAGAGTTATGAATTGTCTAGTTGAAAGATCATTCGTGGGTGGGAGGGGATGATGAGCAGTTGAATACAAAGGAAGAAGGAAGAAGGAAGAAGGAAGAAGGGATGAATCAAAAGAGAGAGAAGAAAGGAGAAGGAAGAGAAAGGGAGATTCAAAAAAAGAAAAGGAGGAAGAAAAGGGCACGGCACCACTTTGGGGGTAGGGAGGGTCCCGTTTATTGGTTTTATCAAGGGAGGGTGCGAAGCAGTGGTAACAGGTGGAGAGACCGAACAAGTGCAAGGATGTAAGAGTGCAAGAGTGTAGGAGTGCAAGAGGAGAGTGTGAGAAAAGAGTTCAAAAGAGGAAAGTGCGAAAAAAAAATATAAAAAAAAGGACCGTAAATAAATAGGAACAGGCGTTTGTTTTGTTTACGCTCTCCTTGGGATTGGGGCTGTCTCTTCTTCTTGCTTTGCTTTGTTGCGTACTGGATGAGTAACATACCCCTGTGGTATTATTCCTGTTCGCTCTCACTCTCGATATGCTATTGCTGCTGTTGTTGTTGTTGTTGCTGTTGACATGGACTTCACACAAAAACAACACGAACATTGACCCTTTCGCTGATTTGCTTTTTTACCTTATCCCCTGCTCCTTTTTTCCCGCTCTTGTTGTTGTTTGTTTGTTTATGTGTCGTCGTTGGCGCTGTTAACGAGGGAGGGTGGGAGTGAGATGAAAGAGAAAAAGATCACAGTCCGTACTTCCCTCCAAACGGTCGGAAAAGTCAAGAATAGAGCAAGAATCAAAGGGAATGGAAGGCACGGTGTCTCGTCATCATACCACAAATGAACCAAGGTTACAATCAGACAGCCTATTAGATAAATAACCCTCCATGTTAGCATCGGACAGAAGAAGGCACTAGGGGTGTCCAATTACTAATGGCAAAGAAGCCAAGCCTCTTTCTTTGAACTTGTTTATGTGGCCGTGCCAACATGTCACCAAGCAACCAGAAGCGAGAGAAGAACAAACAGAGAAAACTTTTTTTTTTGGATGAACCAGATCGGTTCAATATCTTACTGTTCCTTCTTCCGTTACCTTTAGAGGGAAGTGTGTGCTCTTTAATTGAATGAACCTTTCTGTTCGTTAACCAAGTTTTTTTATTAATGACTAATGTTCTATTTGCGGGCGGGGAGAGGGAGAGAGGGAGAAGGGGTGATGAAGAACGAAGAAATAGGGTGAGCAAAGGGAAGTACGATGACATGACGGACAACGCACAAGAAAAAATAAAGGAGGACAGAACTACAATAATATTACGAGAGCTGTAATGGGAGGGATGAAGGGAAGACTTGACACAAGGGTGTGACAAGAGCATGGTCCTCTTGTTATTGTTTAGGTAGTTGTTGATTTGTTCTGTGCTACACACTTGTAAGGATGGAAAAAAAAAATAGATAATGAAAATCGATTTACTGTGTACCTCTCAGGTGGGGAAAAGCAAGCGAGCAAGCAAGCCAAAAAAGACAAAAACAAAAGGCGGAGAAGTGTTCGAGGGGAACGATGGTCCATGTACTGTAACGTCTCTTTACTTCACTACAGCTCAATCACTTTTAGTCCCTCTCTCTCTTACTCTCCTTCTCTCTTTTCTTTCTTCTTTCTTTCCTTCCTTCGTTTCTCGTTTGTTGGTCTATGTACTTTCGAGCACATACCCAGAAAAAAGAAGACCCAAAAGGTTTTTCTTTTTCCAACTTATCTTACACTACCCTCATCCACCCCTTTCACTCTCTCCGTCTATTTTAAAGTTGTAAAGTGATATTACTGCGAGAGTCGAGCCCAGCCCAACAGAAACGAACACAACAAAGGGACGCACAAAAGACAAGGTTCTCCCTTTTTTGTGGTCAAAACACCACAACAAGACATAACGAAGCACCCCCAACCCAACTCAGCAATGGGATGGATCATTTTACTTTCTGCTATTTCCTGCGAGCCTCTCAGCTCCTAATTGAGTATGCTTGTTGTTGTTCGCTTGCTTTTGTTGTTAATAGGAAATCGAGCACCAAAGTCTGGTCATGAAAATGTAAACAATTGAGCGGCAAAATGAAAGAAATGAAAAAAGGGTAGAACGGAATGGAAGAACCTCCTTGCAAGAAGAACTAGAACATGTTGGCTAAAGTTCTTTTTTTTTGTCCGAAAGGAAAAGCGGTGCGTCTGCCAGGGACAGCAGCAGCAGCAGCAGCAGCAGTCATCATCCAAACGACATCGAATGACTGGTTCAACTGTTACCCCTCGTCGCCAAATTGTACAATTCAATGACTACCTAGACAAAGAAAACTAATAAATGATTCGTCTCTTTCCTTTGTTTTTTTGTTTTCTTCCTCGGACTCTTTTTTTGTCGGTCCTTGACTTGTTGGCTCAGGGTGAGTCGAATTGGAGTAATTGAACACGGGATGCAATGCGATGCGATGCAATTGAAGTAGAATTTACAAGCAGACGACGTTCATGATCTAGCTTGACCTCTCTCGGCGCGAGGGGGTGAGTATGGAAAAACGGCGTAGAAATGAGGAGCATTAGCATTCATTAACAAGGCATTCATTCATATCATTCTCTTTTCTCCTTGTCGTGCCATGTCATGTCATGCCATGTAATCTCTCTTTTCTTTCATCTTTTCTTTCATCCTTTCTTTTCTCCTACCTTTTGAGGTCATAGGAGTGCCATTGGACTCTCAAAACCTCCTTCCTGTCCCTTCTCTCCCACCCACCCTCGTAAATTAATTTCATCTCTACCGCGTTATTTTCCCCCTAAAGTTTTTGTTTGTTTGTTTACACTTTTGCGCATTGTGCCCTTCCGCCTCCCTGAAGGAAGGCAAACATAAACAAAGAGCAAATTATTTCTCTCGGGTGCCACACCCGTCAGTGCCCAAGGAGACTTCAGCCCGCAGATATGACAGTAAATGAATGAGGCCGCAAACCCAAGATTGGATACCCTGTCACCCATCATCATCATCTCCCACTGTTGTCATTGTGGTTCATCTCTTGCCATCTAAAAAATTGTGGGGGTAGTCTATGACAGCTTTCCTTCTTTCGGCGTTGTTTACTGGCGGTGCAAAAATGAAGGTGCATAGGAAGGGAAAAAAAAAAAAAAAAAAAAGACACAGACCATGTCCGTTCGATGCAATATACTTTAAAACATCGCTAGCTAACATTGGAAACATCCCTAGATTGCAATGGTAATCCAACTATCGCTCATATCCCAAAGAATCGACTTTCAAAAAAGTCTCCCATCCACACTTCCATCCACCCCCTTTCGCAGGGTACCTGAGATTAGCCAACGATCCAGCAAGGTACTCAATTGCGTAGCTCCAAAGGCTCCTTGAATTATTTTAGCAAGAGCCGTTAACTTGGTCCGTCTCTCCCTTCTCTTTTCTCTTTCTCTACTCTTCGCCCTCTGCTCCATGGGAGCATCTCGCCTAAAAATAAAAATAAAGTCCTGGAGTTCCCGTGTCGTGTTCAAGGAGGCCAGTCTTGATCCATCATCATCTCGGCTCCCTTCTCCTTTCGTCTCTACCCTTTTCTCCTTTGCCTACTTTCTAGGTTCTTGTTTTTTTCTAGCAAACAAGCAGTCCATGCATACTCCTCCTTTTGTATGTACTTCTCCAACAGGTTTTTTTTGCGGTGGACGATGTACCTTTTACCCCACTTTTCATGTACACTCGTACCCTTATTCACATCACTAATCAATCCCCCGCGGACGGCGCGCGCAACCCGTCGTAATCGCCACTTCTTCCCAACCCTATTCGCCATTCTCCATCTTCACCATTCGTAGTCGATACACATGGCTGTTTCGCTTCCTTTCCCTTCGATCAGTCTTGGTTCCTTCCATCTCTACCATACGTACTGTACCTCTCATTCGTCGCTAATAATTGTGAGCGCGCACCTAAAGAAACTAGTGTACAGTACCATCTCTTCTCGCTTCCCTCGTTTGTTCTTCTTTTCATTTCAGCCTTTTCTACCCTGCCGAGCCTCATCCCTTGTGCTTAATTCCACTACTACTCCTGTACCTTTTCGTCCCTTTGGCTGTTTCGAGCAAACATAGGTGCAACAAGTGACAAGCAACAATGTAAACAAATGACGAGAAATTTCGCCCTTTTGCCCTCCATCTAACATTATCCATGTGAGTAATTTCTCCCTGAAGGGGAATATTATCCAAAGCAACTGCCGTCATTTGGTTGGCAGACTCGAATGAAATGCAACACCACCACCACGACCACCTTGCACGTACAGAACAAAGGAGATTGCTATCAGCGAAGAAGAAATGAGCCTTAAAGAGTCAGACATAATAGAAAAAAAAGGACAACCAAACAAAACAAAAAAAAACGTGTCATGAAGGGTGTGCCCTAGTTTCTCTTCACCTTCTTACTTTCCTTCTCTTACTACCACCACGAACTCATATACAGTGCTAAACAGGGACCCAGGTTTTTTATTTTCCTTTGCTCCGTGTTATCTTTGTGCATCAAAGGCTCACAAGGATAATCATCACCTTGCATGGTATCCTTCTTTTACTATCCCCCATTCATTATCGCATCACATCAAAGTGAACAAAAAAAACACCTTGTCTGGAACCATCGGAGAGGCTGCTGCAGTGTCTAAAAGTATCACTCTTTGTAAGAGAGCATCTTGAGGGGAGAATGAAAAGAGAGAGAGATAAAGGACGCGTGTCCATAACTCACATTAGCGACCGACACCCGACCTGCTTGTCTATGCATTCAGCATCACTCTTGTTCCTGTTCCTCCCTACTCCTGTCTGGACCTTCTGCTGGTCGAGTGAAATGACGATGAGAGAAAGAACGAAGACTCATTGATTGAATAATCAAGTCGAAACCAATCCTGCCAAGTGTGATGACATTTCTTTCTCCTTACACCTTCCTTCTATCTACCGGACCAAAGACGATGTCAATTGTGATCTCCGACCCGCAGGAAAAACAAACTGACTGCTTCCCTCATTCCTCTATTCCTTCATTCCCCTCACTAGTCATCCATCCCATATTTTAGCCAGGGCCACCCACAACCCACATCATCGTCCCACCAGAAAAAGAAAAAAAAAAAACCGCAACAAAACGAGACCAATGTGGGTGTGGGTAGGTTTGTCTAGACGGAGAAATTAACGACCATAAAGTATCCACGCAGAGATCGACTGGGGTTCTTTGTGTTCTCAACCAATGAGTAGTACTATAACAAGAACATGCCAACCACCACAACACTCGGACCCTCACCTCCTTTGACTTCCTTTTCTCTTTTCTTCTCTTTTCGGGACCCCGGTTCCTCCCCCCTCCCTCGCCCTATCTAATCAATTAACAGTCCAGTAACACCCGACCACCGACCAACCGACTTAACTCAATACAGACAAGTACTATAATTTCATTGACCTTTGCTTTGCTTCAAACAGCGACAAGAAAAAAAAACGAATGACAAGAAGAGGACATCATCTCGCATCTCGGCACTTCCCTGCCTCTGTCAACTCAACTCCTCAGACCAATTAATGGGAGGAAAATTAAGGTTCTGGCGACTGAAACAGGGCCAGTCTCGATCAAGAGTCGTGTGCCTTCTTTTTCTTTAGGAACTGAGGAAATGAGTGGTTCCCGAGTTTGCCGACCTGGCTTCAGCCCTGCTAGGTTCTGGGCAGTGCAACAAAGTTAGCGAGATACAAAAAAAATGAGGTGTGCGCGAAAATGGAACGAAAACAGAGAGTGGCTTTGCACTTGCAAGAATAGGAAAGTCGAGTTTGAACACATACCCAGACAGGCTTATCAATTGAACCCCCTTGGCCAGACACGCCGACAACAAGGAAAACCATGTAGCGGGAAGAGTGATGGTAACAGGGAGGAAAAAGAGTTTAGTGGTGTCTATGTGAAAGACTGAATTGAGGGATGAGGCGAGATGAGATGAGAGTAGGAGAATAAAATATATAAGGAAAAAAAGGTTGACGATCCGACCTATCCGTCGCCACCTCTTTCTTTCTAATCACACACATCCACGGGGGGGGGGGAGAGGGGGTGTCTTATCCCAGCCCAGCCCAGTCCCAGCTGCAGTTCTAGTTCTGGCTCATTACGACAGCCTAGGCCACCCACTTCTAGGTTCTCGTCCTAATAATCCTAAAGAATCACCGGCTGACATATCTATGCAATATCCATTCGTGAACCTTTTTTTTTTTTCTTCTCTCTCCTCTCTCTGGCTCTCTCCTTATATCAGTGCTGGCGGAGAGAGGGGGGGGGGGGGGGGGGGGCGATGAGCTGATGGGTAAAGAAGGATTGTATGGAATGTTTACTATGTTTGTTTTCTCTGTTCTTTTTTTATTTTTTATTTGCCCATTGTTGTGGTCCTATTATTCCATGTTTTTTTTTTTCTGGGTGTTCGTACCTCGACTGTCGTAGTCTCTCCTCTTCGCGCACTTTTTCTTCTTCTTTTCTCGCTTTTTCTGGTCGATCATGTCTCGCCTTTTTTTTTCCGTTACCCATGGATCCATCAAGGGCTTCTTGAAACAACAAACATACCTCTCACCCCACACATTTACTCCTCGCGAAAAAGCTCCAAAGAAACACCTTAACAAAAAAATAATATTATATGTGTATATAAAATCGCGCTTCATGAATAATAATTGTTCATCCTCTCCCTCCATCACCACCATAAACAAACAAAACAAGACAAAGACAACTCACAAGGAATGAAAAGAAAGTGCGGAGACAAAACATGAAAGGGGCACTCGCCCCAAGGTACTATGCTTCTGGTAAAGTCGCAACTTGCTCTCTCTCTCTCTCTTTTCCTTCCCGCTTTCCCTTGCATTAGCTTTGTTTTTTGTATGCATGTGTGTGTGTGTGTGTGTGTGTGTGTGTGGTTTTCTGGGTCGGTTGGTTGGCTGACTGGTTGGGGTGGGGAATGGGGGGACTGGAGGAACAAATACCGACGGGGAGGAGAGGTAGAAGATTAACAGGCTACCTTGCGCCATGTAGGTTGTTATTGTTGTTGTGTTTTTTTTCCTCCTGTGAAACATGGGTGGTATGTAAAAGTCCTACAGCCCTCTCTAATACACCTACAATATCCATGTTGCAACTGATAGCAAGTGGCGTCAACAGAACTATTCACAAAGGGAGTTTGAAAACAACAACACAGTGAGAGGAATGACATGCTTCCGCAGTTCATTGCGCGCGCGGCGCAGATGGGAAGATGACAAGGTAGAACCAAGAGAGTTGATAGAAAAAAAAGCAATTCAATGTTTTTTATTGTTTTTGGAGGGTGATGTTGTTACAACGGAAAAGGGGTTGGAGGAAGCGAGAAGGGGTTGTTTTTTTTTACAGGTACAATAAGAAAATAGACAAGCAAGCAACAAGAAACAAACAAACAAAAAGGTTTACAAGAGAAGTAAGTAAGAAAGAACGAGATCGCAGACAAGACAGAAACGCGTAAAGTACAGAAACAAGAAGGAACGAAAAGAAAGGAAAGCAAGAAAATCAACAAGGGGGGTATAGTTTTTTTTGGTTGTCGTGTAAACAGGGTCAATGACTGAACGTGAGCCACGAAGGGTGTCAGCGTTCATCCTTGCTTCCTGAGTCGGCGATGTGTTGTGGAGGGATGTTTTAAGGATGAGTTGCTTTTTCCTGAGATCTTTTTTTTGAGAAAGGTTGAGGGTTGTTCGTGTTTGAGTACTTTGAAGAATTCCTGATTGTTGGCGTCGAGTGGGTTTTAAAATGTTTTTTGAGAGGTAAAAGGTACTTTGCAAGTTCGCCTACTGTTGGTCCTGAAGGGGGCGCTGAAGATTGTGTTTGTTGCTGTTGCTGTGGTGTTTTTTGCTAGATTGTGGTTTTGATGGTTTGGGCCGCTTGTCCATTGTGTAGAGGAAGAAAGAAATTGCTTGTCGATTGGTGTTGTTGAGCAGAAAAAAGGGTGGTGTTCAAGAAGGATATGAAATCCTGCAGAGCTCACAGTAGAGCAAAAGTTGACAGAATGTGAACACTTTAGCATGTCTCGACGACGAAACGGTTGTCAGTGACGGACATCTTGCCAAAGTCGCCCATGACCTGGTGGCCAGCCTGGATCTCCTGGACGCCTTGCAAGAAGGCGGCGTAGTGGTGATCAAACTCCTCACCATCGGGGAAGGACGCGAGTTCGTCCTCGTCCTCCTCATCGGGGTAGTAGTCGACACCCTCGACCATCTCGACAATCTCGTCGTCGTCGTTCTCGACATCCAATTGGTGTCCAGAGGAGGTGGGAGAGGTCTCCTCCTGGTGTCCCCAGTGAAGGCTCTTGAGGAACTGGTCGACACCTTGCCAGGCCTGGGGCTTATTGGCGAGGACGAGGGTCTTGATCTTGTTGACGACAGCGTCCCAGGGCATGTTCTCTGTCTGGTTGAGTTGGAGGGTCGAGAGGATGTCGATATAGAGCTGGGTGTCTGCGTGAATGACCTGCAGTGCCTTGTCCAATGTCGATGTCGTGAAACCTAATTATATCCAGAGCGCGTGTTAATCGATGATGTTGTAATTAGTATACAAGTACAGTGTGAATGTTTCGCATATAGAATGCGAGTGCATGCATGTGTAATGACGAGAGAAAATTACCCATGGAGTCAGAGGCTTCTTGCTCGGCAAAGACTTTAAGGATTTGGAGACGGATGTTTTCGGGGAGATGGGAAAGGAATGTTTGGAGGGACTGCATGACCTGGGTGTGGGATGCCGAGGGGTTGTCGAGTTTGAGGGCGACGATGTAGTTTGAGAAGAGCTCGGTTGAGTTGAGGATCTGCTGGACCTTGATGAGGAGCGGGGTCGACATGACGACGGACGTCAATGTGGTGAGGAACTCGTTGTCCTATTAATAACCGTATCAAAGGGATAGCAAAGGTTGTTAATATTAATAAATTGCGTTTGATGATTGTGTTTGACGGTACGTAGGTGATACGAAATGATATCAAACAGATATGATCATGTCGTACAACATATCCCATTCATCAAATGCGTCCGTTGGTCCGCTCTCAGGGAAGGCATGAATGTGACTGTTCTTAAGGATGACCATGAGATCATGAGGGTCACGCGCACTCATGCTTTCAAAGAAAAAAAAAGGGGGGGGGGAGCAACAACTGACTGATACTGACAAAGTAGAAGGTGGGGGGAGAGAGCGTGGGCATGCTTGACTTTCCTCTCCTTGACACTTCCTTCTTCTTCCCCATCGACAAGGCGTAAAGACTGACGAGAACAGGGGAAGGAAGGGAACGCAAGAAGTCCTTTTGTGTTCGTCTCCGGATCAAGTCCAGTGCACCACTACTACATACTCCCATGCAAACAGAAATATAAAGGGATACGTGGGAAAAAGACACATAAACAAATGCATTCCGTTTGGTGCACTATTGTTTGGAGGAAGGTAATACCTGCTCAGCAAAGCCCAGGTAGCGGTAAAAGATGGGCAGGAGACGAGGGGCATTGGCAAAGAAGGGAGCCATGTTGTATGCAAACTCGGGGATGGGTGCGTTCACCGCGACCATGGCCTGCCAGGACTCGACCATATTGACCCAGTCGTCCTCGAACAGCGACAGCGACAGACTCTTGAAGAGGCAGAACTGGCTGAAGGGCGTTGGCTTGGTAGTGATTGGTTCAGACATTTTTGGTAGTGTTGTTTTGTTGAGGGTTTGAGTAGTGGTGACAAGGTGGGGAAGTGGTTGTTGGTTGTTAGTGTTGTGGGGAAGGAGTAAGGAGTAAGGAGTAGGTGGCGGTGTGGTGGTGTGATGTGGTGGTGGGAGTAGTAGTAGACAAGGAAGAGAGGGAATATGAAGAGAAGAAGAGAAGAAGCGAAGGGAACAAAGTAGTCGTCCATATTTATTTAGTCCACGTCTTGGACGTATACGGCAAAGAGGACAAATCCACCCCCTTGAGCCAGCAGCATGCCCAGCATGTTTATTTTTACGTTCTCATCCATTCGTCCACAAGGACACACAGCAAGGAACACCACGACGACGACACTCTCTTTCGCCGCACCTTTTGTTTTATCGTCTATCCTTCACCTTATCGATTAGAAATGCCCATTATCAAACCATTGATTTGAGCACGACAAAGTTATTGGGCTAATGGTGTTTCCTTTCTATCCGTCATCACCAGAGGAATTGCGTTGCTCTCTTTCACTTCCTTTTTCTTCGAATGAGAGTACGGGTAGAAGTGAGTGATTGTGAGCAGAGACAAGGGTAAGCTTGCTCTCAGCATTGTTGTCAAGAATTCCATGGGTGCTTTTACTCACTGCTCTTCAAGTTTTTGAGGACGATTCCACCTTCAACTAACCACTCCTTGTTCCTTGCTTGCCTGCTTTTGCACTCTTTTTACGTTACTTTCATTCACTTATTCGACTCGACCACAAAAACAAATGGGCGGTGGGATGATGCTTCATCCATAGACAATGAAGGAGCTTGCTCGAGAAAATACTCAGCTAGAGGTTGTCTTCGTCTTGTTCTTCTAAAGTAGTATCCATAATGGTGCACAAGGCGCCACCCTTGGTTGGCGTTCGGTCCCCTTCCTCCTTGACCTCCAGTCGCTCTGTGTTGCACAGGCCCTTTCTCTGTTTCTGCCATACACACAAATACACTTCTAAGCAAGACAAAAACGCGTGACACGCAACACTAACTTTTTTTTTTATCCGAAGGCAACGCCCAATTCAGACAGAGAGACAGACAGGCCATGACCTGTTGTTCTGTGGCACTATCTCTCTCTCTCTCTAGTGCCCTTTATTCCCTTTCCTGTTTTCTTTCTTGACCCCTCTTTTTGACTTCCTTTCCCTGTACATCCTTCCCCTTTTCCGTCTATCGTCTTTTATTCTATCGTGCATCAACAGAGAAACTTGACGAAAGAACACCACCTAGCATCTCTTCAATCCTCTCCCCTCTTTTCTTTTTCCTTTTGGCGCGTCAATGGTTACAATCACAATCTCATCATCCTCAAGATCTGAGATCCCGTTATCCCCAATCCTGGGTACCTTCCTTCTCTACCTTCTTTTCATTCTCCTAGTTCATTTTATTTTTCCTTCTTATTTCCTTCCTAAGCTTCCTCCTTTTTCCATCATCCATTGCTCCTCGAGTGACAGTGACAAAACGCGTAGAAAGACAAAAAAAATGGCATTTCCTACCTTGTCCTTGTATGCATAGCAAAAGGCGGAGAGTCCAAGAGCTTATCATACACGCCGGAAAAAAAAGTCAAACAAAATACGGAGAAGGTGCGCTCAACTCCAAACAACTATCGCGTTCCTATTTACGTCGATTCCTAGAGAAGAGAAGGCCCTTGGTTATAAAAAGATGCCGTGCACATGCGATGACGAGGAGAAGGGAAGGAGGAGGAAGGGGGGAGGAGCAAAAAGAAAGGTGTGGAGCCCAGCAGACAAGACAGGAAACGTAAAACGCAGACTGGATAATGCAACTACAACAACGATACCCTCACCTGCTGTAAGTATTCTGAATGGCATGTCATTTTCCCACTTCATTATTTTCATGGACTCTGGGGGTACGATGATTGTTGCTGCCAAAGGATAGTGCCAATGGTAAAGTGGACTCATGGCGCGAGAAAAATGAAGGCGTCTAGTCTTTTCCTCCGGGATCTACCCCTACAACCACACGTCCTTCCATTGATACCCCAAAAAAATCTGCAATTCATGCAAGCTTGGCTGACACGAGAGGGAGAGCATGGTCGTCCTACGCCCTTTCCTCTTCTGCCACATCTGGTATCGCTCATCATCATCGTCGCCTCCCTACTCGAGTCACCCACCCCTAGCTCTCTTTTCCTCGTACTCCCTCCCTCTCGTCTGCACTTGCCATCCACCCACACACAAAATACACACCCACAAACAAAATACACACCACCAATCTTCTTGTACCCCCACCCCCTACTTTAGCGTTCAAGAGTGCAATGGAAAAGGGAATCAAAATCCCTCTTTGCATTGGGCGAAAACAAACAACATACAGACGCAAACATGGAGCTGCTAGGATGTTGTTTTGGTTCATGCCCTGCCTTGCAAATCGCAGTAACTACTAATGCTCTTCTCGAATGATAATACAGCATTTTAGACCCAAGCCAGGATCTATCTGACTATGGAAGACAAAGGGAGAGGAGGGAGGGGTGAAGATCATAAAAGAAAAAAAAGAAACGCCTTCAGGATAATTGTTTGAAGGGGAAAAAATCTAAGGGCACAGAGACCTAAAGGCATTCGAGGGTTGTTCGCGTCCTATCCTTCCAAGACAGCGATGGTGGCCTGGTTTGTGACATGTTGCAGCACAAATCCAAACACGCCGTAATTGCGTACAAAAGACATGCATGCGCTAATTGAAATTGGTCAGGTCCATGGGGAGACATGAGAAGAAAGAAGGAAGACCAAAACAAGAGAAAAGAACGAGAGTGCAGAAAAAGATAGATAACCCATCATTAGGGACCCAGTACAGACCCATTGATGCAGCAACCAGAGATGATGCCCTTCTTCTTTTCTTTCAAACATGAGAAATGAAAGGTCCTTTGCATGCCATGAGCATTCAATTGATGCAGCAAATGCGCGACGCGCGAATTGTTTGTTACAACAACAAAAAAAACGGGTTGCCATGCATGAATAAGAAAAAGATATACGCGTGCCTATGAAGACGCCTAGCCCAGTGGCAACGACAACGACAACAAAGCTCAGGTTGTAATGTGTCCAAGGGCTGACAAAAATATACCATGAGTTAAGAGCACAATCCAGGGATAGACACTTTTTTTAGGGCAAGGGCAGGGCAAGGCAACAGGGCAAGGCAACAGGGCTCAAAACACTCCCCCTTCATTGCACCCAGAATGGGGATGCTATAATGCTATCATTATTCTTCTGCCCTTTGCCTATTAGCTCTACGTTGTGTGTTTAGACGCGGGTTCCCAAGCTGCATATGTGTGTGCTTGTCCGATAGATATCCAAAGTAGCCCCCCTCTTTCCTGTCTTTCCCCCATTTCCCTCCTTACTTTTCTCTTCTCTTGATGTCCCTAATTAGACCCCCCTTCCTTCTCTCTCACCCCTTCCTTCTCTCTCACCCCGGACACCCTCTCGTCTCTCTTCTCTTTGATGCATTCAATTCACGCTTACACCCCCTTTCACCCTGCCCTTCCCTCATTCATTCATTAGGCATCTCTTATGTCCTTGTGCGGAGATAATTCGCTCCTTTGTCTCTTTGCCCTAAATGCCAATTGCAACAGCAGCAAGGGAATCGACCCCACCAACCCCTCGCTCTCTTTCTCTCTCTTTCACTCTTTCTCTCTTCCTCTCTTCATCCTTATCCAACTGAGACACCCCCTTCCGCACACCCCGCTTCTTTCTTCTGTGTTTTGTCTGTGTGTCTGTGTCTGTTCTCGTGCTTTTTCCTTCGTTCAATCCTGTTCGTGCCCTGTGTTTCATGAGCATTCCTTTGGGTGATAACCAAACACTTCTTAGCAGTAAGATATAGAGCACTGTTTCTTTTTATCTTTCTATTCCTTTTTGCCCTTTTGTCCTACATCTTCTACCACACCCACACCCACACCCACATACACACACACCCCGGAAAGATATCCTCACTTTCTCAACTCTTCCGTCTTTTCCATTCCTTTTCTTTTGTCCCTTCTTTCATCCATCCACCCATTTCCATTCATTATCCCTACCGATCCTTTGCTTTCTTCACCCTTTCCTCACCCCCAACTCCATCTTCATCTCCACCATCTCCACCTCACCTCATAGTCTTTTCCACCCTCAGCCTCAGTCATTAATCACCATCCATTGGACACCTCTCTCTCTCTTCTCTCTTTCTCCTCTCCCTCTCTCTATAAATCAATCCTCGACTCCACTCGATCCTCCCCTTCCTTCAAAAGCATAGCCCCATCGCGTCGATTATTTTATTTTTGTTTGTTGCCTTTGTTGATTTTGTTTGTTGAGCATTGACCACCATAGGCCCACCAACCAACCAACCATTCAACTCGTAAGCAACCACTCTCTCCATTCACCTTCGTTCTCGCCATTCCGGCTCACTTGTTATCTTCACACACTTGAGCACGTCCATCCTATTCCCCAATGCTCTACCCATAGCTATCTTTTTCTACCTCGCTCAACTCTCCCTGTTTCTCTTCTTCTCCTTTCTCTCCTTCCTTCATTCATTCTTTTCTCTTATACATGACACCATCTCGCACCTCTTTTTTCTACACCACTGTGATGCACCTGGATTGATTTTATCTGTCGTAGTCATCTTCCCATTACTATCCCGCACCCAACGAACACACCGTCGCAACCGCCCTTTCTCACTACAGGAGACGTCTTTTCATCCTTCTTTTTCTCATTTGTACATAAACAGAGTCGCAGCTTGACCTTTTTACGGTGTACACAGACACTAGCGAGCCACACTCCTTACGCTCACAACAACATTACGGCTCCCCTAGAGAACATTCTGGTAAGCCTTGAAGTTGCTGTCATTGAATCACAATGCTCCCTTTGCTGTTTACTCTCGTTACTATCCCTCATCCCTCATCCCTCTCTCCGTTTCGCCCGAAGGTTTTTGTTATTGTAATTTCTCTTTCTCTTTTGCCTTTGCAATTGCTCTGTCTTGTCTCCATCCTCTTCCTCAACCATCTTTTTATTTCCTACACATTGAGGTTTGTTCGCCCCTTCCTTAATTCTTCTTTTTGTGTCGCACAGCTCCACACCTCCATCTTGGTTCCTTAATGACCCGCCTATCAAATATTCAAGCATTCAATGGTTAGGTGGATTGTTTGGTTGTATTCAGCATTATCATTGAGCCCTACGGGCTACACGAATACACCCAATGGTTCCCCTCCTCTCTTTACTCCCATTCTCCTACTCATCTCTTTCTGTGAGTGTATGTGGTGTGTTCCATCTTTATTTCTTTCCCCGTCATCACCAGCCCATATTCACACAAGGGTCGTTTGTTTTCATGGTTTTCAACTGGGTCCAGAGCCGACTGACCACACCCTCCTCTCCGTTTTTTTAAAACGAAAAAGCCGATATCCCTGATTATTATAATTATTGTATACAATCTTGCTTTCTATTGCCGCATATCTTTGGAGCATCTACCAAGAGGTCTAATGGAGAATTGAGCCGTGAGGGTTTGCTTGTTTGTTTGTTTACACACAACACACACCAGTACCCATTTTTTTTACGTGTGTGTTTTTCTTGTTGTGAGCCAGTCCAGATTGCCTGGGATTGGCGATGGCATTGTGCATGTGCAAACAAAATTTTACACATCGTCCTTCCTGCCCCTCTGTCCGTTTCGTTTGCTTATTCGTTCGTTCGTCCTCTATTCACTCCACCCCCCTTCCCTCTTTCTCTTGTTCTCTCCTCCTTTCCTCAATGATTCTACGTTCAAACAGACTGAGTAACTCTTGTAGAAAAGCAAGGAGCTTCAATTGAACAAAACCATGGTGGTACTATACAATTTACAGTAATAATACCTCCTGCCGCATCATCCCATCCCCTTTGTCTTGTCTCTCTTTACCATCCCCTCCTCCTTTCCCCCTCATTCTCTTTTTTTCTGTTTGTTTGTCACATTGACAGCACCACCGCCACTTCCCATAAGGATCCCATCTTTATTTTGGGTATATCATACAGACAAGAAAAACCCGTTTGTATCCCTCAGCTCCTTGGGCACTTAGATGAAAAGGGTGGGACATTTCTCTACTAGTCTCAGTACCTGATCTCTTCGTTTCTTTGTTCAAAGGGGTGAGGGGTTGGCTCCTGGATGCGGTCCTCCTTTTTCTTTACAGTTTCCCAATGTCCCTACTTTGGTGTGTCTGTGTGCGAGTTATGCACCCTCTGAGCCGTGTCGCCAAGAACAACGATCCCGCATGCCCTTTTTTACCCCAGTTGAATTGCACTATGTCTTTGTTGTGCTCTTTTGGACATTCCCTCCTGATCTTTCTCTCATATCCTTGTCGTGTCCCTTGAAGCACGCTGGCGCTCGTATTTTATATTTGAGGGCAACAATGGGAAGTGTAACACAGAGGGATACTCGTTTCAATATTCCTTTAGTGTACAATGCTTCACACACCCACCCCGCCCTTTTTTGTCCTCTTTTTTTGGCAGTCGTTTTCGGTGTTGTACAATGGTCTTTGCATTGCATTGACGCATTGTGTGTGTGAGCAATCCGCGCGTCTATATCAAGGGTCCAAAATGCTGAGTCGTCTCTCTTTTTTCTTTTCCTTTTCCTTTTCCTTACTATTTTCCCGTTCCTTTTCCTCTTCTCTTCTCCTCTCCCTTCCATCCACGCACACATACACACACACCCCTTCTTTCGTTGTTCGCCGTCCATATTCTAGCGTCTAACTACCTTTTCTTTTCCTCACTCTTTCTCTCTCCTTGAACGAATTGTTTTCCTCGCTTAGAAAACCAACCTCCCTTCACGCCGCCTCACACCCCTCCTCTTTTCCCTTCCTCTTCTTGACTCCCTATTCTCTTCCATTCGTACTTCTGCATTTTACCCACTTCCATCCCTTGTCCATACCACATCAAATAATTGAGAGCATTCCCCCCTCACTTCGCCCCCTACCTTCAACAAACATATCCCTTCTTCTCTCAATCCACCCTTTCAGCACCTTCCAGCATCATGTTGTCTGCCCTGTCACAGTCATCCATAGCTAACAGCAACAACAGCAACAGCAGCAGCAACAACAACAACCAACCTCCCCAATCAAGATCCCAGTCCCCGATCAAAAAGAGCTCCTCAGCATTCAAGACCGAACCAGAGCACGATATCCGTCGCATTAACGAGTTGCAAGAGGAGGAGAGGCAAGGTTCATCATATGGCGATGCAGCAGCAGCAGCAGGAGAGGACGAGTCTTCTTCCACATCCAACTACGACAGCAGCAGTAACAACAACCGCATGGATTATGCAAACGACGACTCTGTCCACCCTCTCGCCCCTGCACAACACTCTTTGGAATCCTCTAGCAGGCGGAACTCAGCGCATCCATCGCCGTCAGTTTCGGGTCAGAGCAACTACTATACATCCTCGCCTGCGATCCAACCACAGCAACACCAACAGCTGTTGAAGTTGAAGACTGAGCATGGCCTTTCTACCGCCCCTGTACCTGCGCCTGATAATGCTGGCCTGACCCACAACAGCGAGGACATAGATGAGCGATTGGCTGGTACGAGCCGCCGTGCTTCGTCTTCAGAGGTCAACATGGGGGGACCCAACGAGTCAATGATGGTTAGGGACGACCGGGAAGGCCAAGGGAACGAGGACGAGGACAACGACGATGACAATGGCCTCGACGAGGGGAGCCACCGCCTCGTTGTCGACACCTCGTCTCCTTCAATGCGCCATGATGGCATGAATACTTTGGTAGGGACACCCGAGACTGCATCACTCAACGCTGATACACCGACTACCATGACTGGCACAACTGCGCCTTCTTCCCGACGAGGATCCCTCAGGACCATGACCGCCACTTTACCCCGGTCTGCACTTCAAGAAGAGACCATTGCCCTGTTTAAGCAGTATCGCAACCTCATCCCATGCGCCAAGTGCTTCTGCCGCAACACCATCCAACGCGACGGCATGTCAGGTAAACGACACGTTTTTTCATTGTTGATCTGTGATTGGAAAGATAGTGGGTGAAGTACATTCTAACATGGTTTATGCGTTCATTTTTTCTTTCTTTGCAGATGGAAACCTGAGGTTCAAGTGCCGGCCACCAGTGTCCATGAGTCTGATCTGCAACAAGTCGTACTCGGAATCCAAGATCCGCAACATGATCGCAGGCGTAGTTTATGGCCACTCCCTCCCAGATACAAACGCTTCGGGCGGAGCGACCAGCCCCGGCGAGAATGTCCTTGCCCTGGCACTACCCCCCGTGGCCAAACCCTCCCGTCGAGCCTCGACCAAGAACGATGGTAGCCCACGGCTGGGAGCCGAGATCACATCTGAACGGCTGCAGCGTCTGAAGGAGGATCCTGAGGAGCAGCTGCCTGAGAACCCGCTTTCGATGGAGATTGTCCCTGATGATCGTGGTATGGGTGGTGGTCACCACCAGCATCCCTTGGATGCTCGTAGACCTTCTCAGCCTTACCCACACCAAGGGTCTATCAGTCGTAGGGCTTCTATCCAACAGCTCCGTCGTCCTTCTCTTGTCGATGATGATGGTATGATGATGGATTATGAGGACAATGTTCCTTCGGGTACTCATCCTGCCTACCTTCAAGTCCCTGGTACTCCTCCCATGGACAGTGAAGACTCTCGACACTACCGATCTCGTACTAGTTATAACCAGCCACCTCGCTCAGTCACACCCACCGGGCCCCCTCATCCTTCCTCTGGCGGTGGTCCACCTCCCGCAACCTCTGGTCGCCAAGGTGGACAGAAGCTTCACCATTCGCATTCCCACCCCAACATTGGTCAACAGCGTCACCAACAGTACTTAGAGCAGCAAGAGCGTGAGCACAGAGGTAGTTTCAGCGGACAAGGACATCCTAGCCAATCGTCGTCCTCGTCACAATCTCAGCGTCTCTTGCAGCGTCCTTTGGCCAAGCGAGAGTCGATCCATCAGATGGGCGGTGGTCCTGAGCGCAGGTCGTCTCAGCCCTCGCCTAACCCTGGGTCAAAGTACCTTCCAGGTCCTGGAACAGTGCACGAGGCACATTCGCCCGCTATGATCTCGTCCCCAAGGTCGTCGCCTGGTCGTGAGATGGGTGGTCATCATCATTCCATTGGATCGTCGGGCCACGAACAGTCTGGTACGCCTACCATGCGCTCCATCCCGGGCAGTGCATGGTACGAGGACAACAACCAAGGATACCTCTCTCGCAGGATGAGCCAACCTCATCCAAGCTATGGTTACAGCGGTGGTCACTCTGGTCTCCCACCAGCGATGCCCTCGCCTCTTGCCCACCCTTACGACCGTCGTGCGAGTGAAGTCGAGGACTACCCACCAGTTCATCGCGAGAAGTATGAGAAGCTGAACGCGAGCACCTTGCTGCCTCCTGGTCCTAATGGTTCATCTTCTGGATCCTCGTCATCGTCCTTGTCGAGACATTCTTTCCAAAAGATGAAACCCTTGGCCCACCCCGTCTCGCCCAACAGCACCTTTGAATCGCGGCAGCATCCACTTGACCCCGCTGAGCCTGAACCTATTGAAGAGGGAGGATCCCGACAACCCTTGCCGCTTTACTCGAGATCTGGCGGTCCTGGTAGCAATAGTTCAAACCCTGGATCTTCTTCGCCTTGGTTGGGCAGCGGTAATGGCAATGGAGGAGGTGGAAACGGCAGTGGACCAGCAACGCCTCAGTCTGAGCCCATGCGTTACTCGCACTCGATGGGTAACGGCACCACTACCACCAGCAACAACAGTGGTGGCGGGGTTTATCCTAGTGGACCTCGTCCTTCGTTGAGACATCAGTCTTCGCTGTCCAACATTTACAACCAGACACCACAACAAGATGATAGAGATCGATTTGAGGGTGAGAACGAGATGGATATGTCACCCGACTACCATGATGTCGATGCCGATGGTCGTAAGTTTACTATATATTTTTTGTCTCTCCCTTGCATTCCTTCGTGTTTCGGATTGTTGTATGAGGGCTTTATAGTTTTTATTTTTTCAGGACCATGCACCTCCTGCATTGGTTGCGCACTTTGTAAGGAACGCATTGAATTAATTCGCCCAATGATTTTCTTTGTAGGTCCGATTGCGAGGATGCGCCACCAAAGTCTGAAGCGCAAGAGTTTGGGTCAGCCCCTTGGACGGTCCAACTCCCATCAAAACCTCTACTCTGCCAGCATGCAGCAGCAGCAGCAACAACATAGTCATTCCCACCACTCCTCGCATCATTCTCACCACCATCCTCAACAGCAGCAATCTCAGCAGCGGGACCATCATGGTCAACACCACCACTCTTCTCACTACCAACATCAAGGCCAGTACCGTGAGCAGCAGCAGCAGCATCCCATGTCGACAGCTCCCCGTGACCACCACCACCATAGCCATCATCATAACCAGCATCAACAGCATCAAGACTTGAATGCGGCGTTGCCTCCGCCACCCAATAACATGGGTATCAAGATGACCTGCTTCCCCAACGCACTCTCCAAGACCTCGACCCATCCCTCTCCAACCACCAAGACCATGGATTCCAATGAACATATGGCCCTCCCACTCTCGCAATGCTCCAAGATTGTGATTGAGATCCATCAGCCCCGTAACGCTCAAGCTTATACCTCGGCTGTCTCTCTTGCACCCACTAGTGCTAGTGCTACTCAGCAGCAGCAAGAGCAAGTGAATGGCAAGAAGGAGTCGGGACTCCCAATTGAGTTGCGAAAGACGAGCGCGGCGGCTGCACTTTTGGCTCGTTCGTCGTCGTCGATTATTGGACACCGTCGGTCGGCGTCGAGGGATCTTGTTAGTTATGGAGCCTGTAAGAAGCGACGGGCGGATTCGGTTGATGATGCCAACGGTCTTCGGTCTGAGAGGGATTCCCTGGAGGAAGAGGACGAGGAGGAAGAGGAGGATGTTAACGGAGATGAGGACGAGAAGTCGACGGATTCTGTCGCAGAGGCTGCGGCTGCTGCTGTGGTCGCTGCCGCTACCGCCCAGGCCAACGCCAAACAGTCTGATGTCGATGTTGACGAGGAGAGGAGCAAACATGAGATTTCCAACGGTGCTGGTCAAGATGCAATCCAAGTCTTTGGAATCGACTACCTTGCCCAACACCAACAGCAGCCCGATAAGAAGTCCACCGGTCTCTTCGGTCTCGGACTCGGTCTTCCCTCATCGTCATCTTCATCCTTCGACAAGACAGTGGATGCGTTGCAGGTCGCAAGGGCGTCCTCGTACGTCGTCCTCGAGGATCAAAAGGAGATGGGCATCGACTACTCGCTGTTCACAAGAGTTGAGACGGCTGGTTGGAGGATCTTGATCCCTCCAAATGTGGTCGCCTCGTTCCGGTCTGAGGATTTTGGACTGATGTTGAAGCCCAAGGGGTTGGCGGATGCCGATGTGCAAGACCAGCATGATGCCGCTCCTACTCGGGAGCAGGAGCACCAGCATATGCAGAAGGAGGTGCTTGGAGAGAGGGTGTTAAGGAGAGAAGATGAGGAAGAGCAGGAAGAGGAGGAAGTGTTGGCGTTTGAAAATAACGAAGAGGACGATGTGGGAACTGAAGGTGTGCGCAGGATCGCATTAAGGGATGATGATTCCCAGGCAGAGGAGAGCGTTGCTGCTGTCAAGTCTGTCAGCTACTACCATCGCCACACTCTTCATCAACAACAGCACCACGTTGCGCAGGATTTGGAGATGCAGGACGATGAGACGACGGCGGCGGTCGAGACCATACAAGCGACAACCTCTGCCCAACACCAATCACCACTGCCATCGCATGAAGGAGAGCAGGGTCAGGAAGAAGGACAGGGGGTTGTGAAGGAGACTGAGCAAGAAAGGGACATTGAGATGGATAGGGAGTGAAGGAGGGGATTGAAGAAAGGGATACTATCGTCCGAACAAGGGACAGTTCGCAATAACCCAGGTCTTACATACCCCCCAATGCCCTGGACCCTTGACGAACACGAAAGTAAAGAAGTAATAGTCATATCAACATAATTAAATGGTTTTAGGCTTTTAGCGACCAAGTTTTGGTTAGGCAGTGATATCTCTAAACAGGCATAGAGACTCCCTTCGCTGACGCAAAAAATGGATTCCACAACGCCACTGCACTGGAGGACGAGAACTACGATGCCAAGGCCACAACAACAAAAAAAAAAAAAAAAAAAAAAAAAAAAAAAAAAAAAAAGGTGCAAGCCTGGTGCCTGGGACCCAAGACCCTCCAAAGACTGTCCTCTTTTTTTTTTGCGTAGTCAAAGGCAGACACGCCCCTTCCTACCTCGAAGTCGGGCTCTTTATGGTATCTGACAGTAAACAATGGGTACAAAAAAATAAAGAAGTGTGGGTCGCGTTTGTTGTCGAGTTCTGTGTTTCCACCCCTCTCTTCTCCTGCACCATCCAGCTCTGTTTTTGCTTCATATACTCTTCCCCCACACCCCACACCCCACCCCTTTCCTCTCTTTTCACTCCTTTCGCTCTTTGGTGCGCAAGTATTGGGTTTACGTCTATTTATGTTCCATCGCCCAGCGGTCGGTAAGGGGTTGGTTGATAGAAAAACTCTTGGCACAATGGCCATGGCAACAAGAAAATTAGAGCATCCGAAAAATGCAAAGCATGCGTCCTTACATTCTCATGCGCTGTTTTGCAAAGAGTCTCGGTCTTGGGAAGCATGGATGGAGAGAAGGAAGGAAGATAGGGAGGGGAGAGGCGTTGAAGGTCTCTTCTTTTTCGCGTTTCATGAACAGGGGTTACATACTTATTTTTTATTTCCTGTTCATGCATGCATTTTTTTGGAACCTGGACATAGCCGCAAAAAAACCCCCCTTTTGAGCATCGCCCTCACATCCCTACTCATTCAACATTTTTCATGCTCGTCAAGTAACTAACCTCTTTGTGTTTTTTGGTTTGTTTTGTTTAAAGGCGTTGAGTGGCCAACCTCAACTCTTCCTCTTCCTTCGACCCCTTCAGCGAATTCCTTTTTTCATTTTTGTGGCTACCTCTGTCTCCGTTTTCCTTTTGCTCTGAAGGCAAATGAAAAGAATTGGCCAAAGGTTTTTAGAGGAGTGTTGTGTTGGCGTCGAGTAGAAGGATGAATTCAATAAATAGAAAAAGTGAAAGTCGAAAGGGAGGATGCGCATGCTAGGGAACAGCCATGCATAATGGTTCTGGAAATACGCGTTTGGGGGAGGTTAAAAAAAATGGACTACAAGAGCTGCGCGTTCATGCACCTTCCTTCCTTTGGCCCCCCGTAACATCTCATTTGAAAGTCAGAGCATTGGACAACTCTCGCTTTTATTTCATGGCACTTTTTTCATTCGTTCTCCAACCCCACAACCCCCCAACCCCCCTTCAGACGAGCGAGGAGAAAATTATAGGCAATAAGAAATAAGCAAGAGAGGAGCACTATGCGAGGAACTTTGCTTAGAAGTGCGCTCGAGCGAGCGAACAAATGGAAGGAACACCACCTCAGCATGAACGAATGGACCCTTTTGTTTTTTTTTATGATTTTTTTTTTCAGAACCATGCACAATGCACTTTTCGTTTTTCATTGATGTCACCAATCATCAACAATGGAGGAGGCAAAACAGATCGGTTTCTCCCCCTTCCCTCCTTCTCCCCTCCTTCCGAAATTAGGGGGCATGATCAATTTGGCACGTTTTCAGGGGAAAGGGGGAAGGATGGCTGGTGAGCTGAGTCGGTGGATCGGGTGTATTGTTTTCCTTCTAGACCATTTGTCGTTGGTTCGTGGTTGGTCCAAGTGTTCCTGCAGAATAAAAAAATAATAAAAAGCGATCAAGGGGTGAAGAAGAAGGGAGGAAATGGTGGGGGGGAGGGCGAAGGATGGTAATAAAGCGAAAAATGAGAATGAGGACAATACATGAGCACAATGCTGATTTGCTTGACAACTACCCTCGCATCTGTTTACGCCCATTAAAGAAAAGAAGAAAATTCAACTCGAGGACGCTTCAACCAAAGCTTCCCTAGGAAACAAAGGAAGCGAAGGAAGCGAAGGAAGCGAAGGAAGGGAAATTGGGATGAGCAATTGACAAATATGTTTTATCTTTGCACTCTATTAGGGGGGTGGAGGAGAAGGGGCATTGGCCATGAATCGAGGATTGAGTAGGGTGGAGCTGGGCAATAACACTCGCCTAAACAAGAACAACCACAACGAAGAGCAACATGGCGGTCTGGATCTAAACTTTTGTTCTTTGATTTGAACAATGCAACTTGTCCGTTGAAGCATACTTTTTACTGATAGGGGCTTGATCCAGGTGCATTTGTCCATGTCTGCGTGCTTCTGTTGCTCAAGCTGGTCTTGCTTGCTGCAATGAAATGACACTGCAGTTATTCAGCTGCTATGCGCATAGCATTTCACATAAATACAGACACCATCGGCACCACGACCTCCGAAAAGAAGAAGAAGGAAGCGAACGATCGCGATATCTTTCCTCTCTCCTGTCTGCCCATCTTGCAACAACTGCCTTATACCTGTCTTCACGCACACCCCTCACTTCACTCTTCCCTTTTGTTCACACTTACATCTTACTAATTCTTGTCACTTTTTGACTCCACATCCTTACTTGCCCGCTGTCCTTGTCCTCATTTCCCAAACACACACAACCAACAAAGGCCTTTCCTTCAATCTCTCCTTCAACTCCTATCCTCAACACACCACGTCTTCGCCTTCCACTTCACCAATACACAAGCAAACGTCCAGCTATCCACTCCGTTTCCTTACCCTCTTCCTCCAACACACCCCAACATGTCAACGACCCTTCCGAACGAAGGTATCGTGGTCCCTGCACATTCACGGATGGTGCCCGATGTCGATGGTAAGTCTCCCCTCTTTCCCCCTTTTCATTTCTACCTTTGACTCTTTTATTTCCCTTTCCCTGCCTAACTGTCTATCAATTCAATAATATCACCCACTCCAACTCCTCCCTCCTTGAATTCATCACGCCTCCAGAAACGATCTCACTGCTGGTCTCTCTGGGGTGCATCACCGTCATGTCAACCTTATTCGGCCGCAAGACAGCAGGCACAAAGATGACCAACATCAACTATGCCCGTGGTCTAGTCATCGCGCTGTACCTGATCTCGTGGATGTTCTCCCTCATGGCCACCCAACTCGTTCAGACCAACGACTACAACATGGTCTCGTGTATGATCTCCATCTACACCTGCATTGCGCTCTATGCAGGGTCAAAGATCATCATCTATCTTTTTCTTATGGAGAAGGTTTATGTTGTCACCGCCGTCGGACTCACACGATCCAACTTCTGGGTAAGTTGAGTTTTGCTTTGTGTCTCTTTAATCGATCTTGATTGCATTCTGTTACTCTGTGAAAGATTCATAACCTAATTTCGATCCACATTGCTTCCGTACCTTCCTACAGTTGTACAAGGTTAACCTGATGCTATTGAGCCCGTACCTTGTAATCGTCGCCCTGATGATCATCTTCCGAGTTCACAACATCAACGCGGAGGGCCAATGCCACATCGGTCTCCTCCGCCCAGCCGCCCTCCCCCTCATCCTCTACGACGTGTTCCTCTCCGTCTGGCTGACCGGCCTCTTCATCCAACCCCTCATCAGCTCCAAATCCATGCTCCAGGGTCCCTCCAAAGGTCGTCTCCGTGAAGTCGCCCGGAGAACTCTGATCGGCGCCCTGATGGCGCTGGTTCTCAGTTCTGCCAACATTTTTACGTTGGTATACTTTGAGGGTAACGAGCGTGGGCTCGTGTGTCTGTCCTGCTGCACCGCCGATGTGACGCTGAATGCGATTACTATCCACTGGGTCACATCCCGTGGAGCCTTGCAGATGGACGAGACTGGACATGGGAAACGAGGTGGCGGTGGTTATGTCCATCGCGGCGGTCATGGTGGTGGTGGCGGAGGATATGTCTCGCAACATTTGATGTCCTTCTCTGAGAAGCAGGTTGGACCTGTGGAATCCCATATCACTGTCGAAGCCTATGTGGATGAATTCCATTCAAGTTCCTTCTACAATAACAATAAGACCAGTGGTGGAAGTAATGGTCTCCCAAGTCGTGTCGTCATTTGAATTTCGCCCTTTTGTTCGATCGATGGGTATCCCCATCCATCCTTCTCTCTCCACGTTGCCCTTCTCCAATTCATCTTGCATCATTTATTTTGTGTGCGCATGCACCTTTTTTCTCTTTTTTTTTTTCCAGACCTGTCAGACCAGCCTAATAATACCTGTTTCTATCCTATCGAACTCACACACACACACCCCCATGAGATACCAGTTTGATAAGCAAAAAAAAGAGTCGTTTCTATATCTGCGATGGTTTGCCAAGCAAAGCGAACAAAGGAAAAGGAAAGAAAACAGGAAAAAGAGGAGATAAAACGTGGAAGGGAATTGAAGGATGCGGCTGTCGGAGAATGAGGAGTTAGATAAGGCAAATGGAACTGATCGAGAGGAAGCCGACAATGCAAAAGCGTGAGAGAAGGAAGAGAAAAATAAGCATGGAAAGCCAAGGAAAGCCAAGCGTAGGCCCATTTGCCTTTGCGTGAGGGAAGAGGAGGGTTTACCCTTCTTTTGCATAGGAATTGCCCACGAGTCGGCTGTTGAGTTCTCTTGGTAACAAGCAAGATCTGGGGTGCTTTTTTGCATCATGTGCAGAGAATCGGCCAGGATCTGGTCACGTTGTTCTTTTTTTCTCTTCTCTTTCAGCGCAGAAAAGAAGGGGCGACCCGAGCAGGCAGGGGATCGAAGAAAAGAAAAAAGAAAAAAAGAAAAAAGAAAAAGAAAAAAGAAGCTGTCTATGAATAGGGCTTGTGAGCTTGTTTTGTGTTGTCCGAACAAGAGAATTCATTATTATCCTACTTCTCCCTATTTCTTGGCTGCGTGGCTTTTGCTTGGCATGCCAAGAGAACCATCAATGAAAAAATTATTCATGTCTCTCATCCGAGTGGCTGGTCACTCATCCATCCCTATTTCCCTTCCACGCAATCCGGCCGGCCGTGTTGCACAGAAGGAAGGCTCAAAAGAAAAAATGTGACAGAAGAGTCGGAGGGACAATTTGACTCCCCGTTCTTGGCAAGCCAAGAAAAAACAAGTTTGATTTGTTTGTTGTGTGCTCTTTGTTGTGCCGACAATGACGGTGGTGGACACCCATACATATGAAAAGCGAAACAACAGTGGTTTGTGCGTTTCTTACCCCATTGACGTTTCTATCTTTTTTTATATATAAAGACAAGGGTGCCCCTCATTCTGAAGATCATTATCCAGATACACATCTACTCAAAGCAACTCAAAGCAGCAGCTACAGCTACAACAACTACATCTCACCAACAACTCAATTGATCATCATCAACATCAGCAACAACAGCCACAACAAAATGACCCTTACTGCCAACTACTCCAGCTCAATTGCTCGCAGCACCATATCTTCTTCCACCTCTTCAACAAAGAAAATGTCCGTCAAACCCTGTGTCGCCAAGGGCCACCGCGAGTGTGTCCAGGGGTTCCTTCGTGACCGCTGCTGCAAATGCACCAAGGGCTCCATCCCCTGCGGCATGTGCCCCACCGACCCTTCCTCCTCCAACTCTTGTATCTTCTGCGTCGATGGTCGCAAGGAGTGCGATGACTGCTACGGTGCCGGATTCGTCCAGCGCATCTGCCGCGACTGCATCAAGCAACACTACCGCCAGCAGCAGCTCGAGTCCAACACAAACTCGCTCCTCAAGGTGACCGAGCAGTCCAAGACCGTGGTCTCAAACTTGTCCGAGTCCTTTCTCCAGGCGACCGTGGGTTTCGTCAAAGGTGTCCATTCTCAGGCTGTTTACAGAACTCTTTCTCATGATCAGAAGCACCGATCGGGCAGTTCCGTTTCTCTTCCCGAGTCCATTGCTTCTTCTGAACACTCGACCGCATCCGCTCCTTCGCCATCTTCATCCAAGGGCGGATTCTTCATGAAGCGATTGAGCCTTGATCACGAGCGCTCCGCAGCTTCTCCTGCTACAGCCTCCTCTTCTAGCAAGAAGTCTCATCGCCGCAAGTGGTCCTGGTCTTCCATCTTGACCGCCGCCTAAACAGCATATCAGACCCTCCTTTCCCTTTTTTCTACGCCTGTACTATAGTCTTAGCATACCCATGACGCACACCTGTATTTTTAGTTTATGACTCCTCTTTCTCATGTCCTCTCTCACATTTTATGACCTACCGATCTCCACCATTTGTAATCTAGCCGACCCTTTTTTCTATAAACAATCATCAAAAAACAAAATTCAAACGTTTTTCGCAACATGGCAAACGCATACCCTCTGCTCTTCCACCTACTGCATGTCGATCAGGGTGAAAAATGCTGATCAGGACGTGACACTTGATGAAGGGAAACAGGTATTCTAGGAAAGTGAGTGAGTGAGTGAGAGAGAGGATGGATCCGTTACATCTCGAGGCCGAGGATGAGATTTGTATTTTTTGTTTGCTTTGTTTGCGAGTGGTGATTTTTGTGCTTTCTTGTCCAAACATGAACATTGGCAAAGCAAGAACAAAATCTTGTTTTTTATGTTCGCTCTCTTGATGTGGAATCAGGGACAAGAATAAGATACGAGATATTTTTTTCGCGCACAATTTTATTTCTCTGACAAACAGCACATAAAAGTCATTTGGAGGTAAAAGGGGACCACAGACCAAAACTCTACAGTACACCATCCACCAGTTGCAGTCCGGTCCAGAATCTGGTTTTGCACAACAATTGTCGCTGCTCTTCACAGCTTAAACGGAGGGAAACAAAACTAGATACGAATAAAGAGGATTCTTCCCATTCTCTCCATCATGGACAACCTCCTCCTTCCTAACAAACTCTCCAGCAACCGCTCTTCGGCAGCGCGTGGGTCCCTGGTCGCTCCAGGGCACGCTCCACCCTCATGTGTGGCTAGCAAAGCTCCACGCGGGCAGAAACCATCACGGGTGATGTGACCGTATCCTTGACTCCAGTCACCTCGGGGGCTTGTGTACTTGGATGTCCTTGGCAGAGATGCCTCGGGTCTATTCCGACGCGATCGTCTCGGAGCACCGAGGTTTCCAAATTAGCACCGAGGCCTGCGTCTCCAAGTACCCAAAAACTTGTGCAGGACCAACTTAGCGATGGACATTTGGGTCTAGAAGACCGCGGACCATTCCATCAACATGCTCGCGGGAGTGATGCCGCTGAGGAGATCCTACGCGCTCCTCGTTGGGGTTTCGTCGCGATTAGGAGGAGGACTACCGCTGTGCACGGCTCGAACTCCACCGACGGAGGAGAGTCCTCGTACATGATCCGCATCCGAAGGGGGTCGCCAGTGCATGGGTACTGGCCTCGGTACTTGACGACCTTTGTCCACCGCGCGTTTGTATTCCCGTTTCCTGGCTGAGTTGTAGCTGTTTGTCGCCTGCACACACTCGTCAATCTTGCCCATTGCCTCATTCCAGATTTCAGTGGTGGTCTCAGCTGCCAAGGAACATTTCCAGATATGTTCGTTATCCTCTTTCTCGAGCTCGCATCGTCGGCACACGCATGTTGGGTAAAGGTTGGGCTTGCGAGCCTCCATGGAGTTCAGAGTGGGCAGCATTTCATGCAGCTTTTCGATGTGATGTGTGCGTTGAAGGGAGTCTTTGCTGTTGCTGTAAAAGGTGAAGACTGCGTGCCTGTTGTGGAAATAAGCCAAGGTCGAGGTCCATTCTATGTCAGGGATCGTACTCTTGACTCGTCTCTGTGACGTTGGTGACGGATTGTCGTTTGTTGTTTGAGGAGCTGACGTAGGTCGATTTCAACAAGCCCGCCGTAACGATGTGCAAAGGTCATGATATTCGTCTGTTGAGTGAGATCCACCATCAAGTGCACCGAACCACAGGATTTAATTCCTGATTTTTGTCAGAGTGATCAGCGGTCAGTGATCCATGATGCCATCAAAAGGAAAATTCTGACCTAGCAAAAGGAAATAAAGAAGGTTGATGGTAGACGAAATGTAACAAGGTTCAGTCAACATCAACGCCACAAAACAAAACATCAATTGATCGAGGGTATGAACAAAGAAAAACGATAACCTTGAATCAAGGGATATAACCATTCATCCATACAGAAACTTTATTTATCGTTTTTCTAATCCCGGTCCAGCTCATCCCTCTTTCACCCCCCTGTTTTCCTTAACACATGCGTGCTCTGTGTTTTTGTTTTGTCAGCCAGGCTGGAGTCTGGCCTGCCTATATAGTGTAGCCCCACTTTCTACTTGTTCTCCGGCGGCGTCCGCTCCTCTCCACTCGACTGGACTCTTTTATTGGTAACCCAGCTCCTGCTTGCTCAGCTCAGCCATTTTGGATATTTTTTTTTGCTTGTAATAATTTAAGCAGCTGGTAATTGGATGAGATCCGCATAGCTGGACATATTCAAGGTCACTGACGAAATGCAGAGGAGCGGTTATCCCTGTCAAGTTTTGTCAACACAGCAAGATACTCACGCGCAGATACATATCAAAATGAAAAAGGAACCCCTACTGGTTTACTGACACCGGCTGGCGAACCGACCCGAATCATCGTTTGCCATGAGGGAGCCAAGACTCTCAAAAAACCAAGAAATGAGAGTGATCGCCCTTGCTCTCTTCATTCGTGGTAGATATCTCCTTGGCCATACAACTGAAAATAAGAGGGAGGGAATGACAGTCAAAAATCAAAATAAACAAAGAGCGAGGGAGTAGACAAAAAAGCGGTGTCGAGAACTGGGAACTGGAGGAAAGAGGGGACTATGCAGGTCAGGGGTCTGTCCGGGAAACGTAGTTTAAAAAAAAAAAAAAAAAAAAAACAAGATCAAAAGAGATGATGCATGCCTGCATGTTGGCCTCCCTCCGAGGAAGAGCACCAAACCAACAGACCATCAACGACACCAGTAAAAGAAGCTGCAGCAACGTCCAAAGGCGGGAAATTGGGTAGATATGCATGACTGAGTACAGTACTGGTATGTGGATACTACACGCCGCTCGCTTACTCACACACACACCCAACTCCCAACGCCTCATTCACCCCAGAAATATGTGTTTTTGTCCCTCTCGGTGAATTATTATCCAAGTATGGGTATGAAAGTGACGATGGATGGGGATCAAGAGGTTGAAATATATGGAGCTGAGAAGTAGAAATAGATCGAGAGAAGGAGAGTCGAGAATGCGAGAGTGCGATGACCGTATGAAGGAGATGAGAGCCGGTTTGGCTTCTCAATAGTCCATTTGCAAAGCCTTTATATACTGTATAAGGAAGTTTTGGAGTGAAGAGTAAAGAGTAAAGAGTAATGAAAGCCTGAGTTTTTGTACAGCTCGATCGCTGTTATTTTAGGCGGATCCTTCAGGCACGAATTGATTAAGAGAGAGAGGAAGGAGACTCTCCCTCCTCGGGCAGACACACAGGCGCTAGAAGTTGGTTCTTTACCATGTGGTGGAGACGGGGTTTAGATTACTCGTCAATGGTTTTTTTCTATTTCTCTCTTTCTCGGTCCGATTGATTGATTGAATGAATGGAGAATGGTGTTCTATTGAATACTGGATGGTTAGCAAAGGGTTGTTCTTTACTGTTGATTGGGCACTCGAGAAGTCAAACTTCGCTCTCAAGAAAAGATAGAAACGATGACCCACTCCTGTGGAAAAATTGTTGGTACGGGTTTGAATGGATCCATGAACACGTTGGGTGTTGTTTATCTGTTTACTTGCACCTGACTTTTTGTATGGTTGACATTCATATCTCCAGTACCGGACAGTCGAGTTGTCTTCGCGCTCTCGAGCAAGAGTAAACAACCAAACCACAACTCGTTCGTGTTACTACTACAGGACATGGTTCAGGGTACAGTAGGAAAGTGGGCCAATGCAAAATTCTTATTCTTATGTGCTGAACCTATCCTTTCAGCAGCAGCAACAACAGCAACGACAGCGTCAAATATGGAGAAGGAATGGCAAAGGAGGAGCGATGGCGAGCACAAGAAAAAATTGAGTGGGAAAATAATGATGAAAAGCAAACCCAGCCAGGAAAAGAGCCAGGAAGACAGCCATCCAGCCAGTTAGCTTCAACTCCTTGCGTGAGGAAGTGTTCCTTTGCTGCTCTTCATAATCATCATCTTCATCAAGGTTCGTCCCTGTTGGTTCTTTGGCGCGAAAGCAAAAAATGCAAAGAAAACATAACAACGAGTTAACCCTACTGAGGGCCAATTGCATTGCGTGCTTCGCTTTGCTTTTTTTTGCTTCGCTTTTTTTCCTTTCTCTGCCATCAGCATCAGCATTTCTTTCTCCTCTCTTCATATCTCTCTCTCTCTCCCTTCCTCTCCTATTCTCCTCTTTTCTTCTCTTTCCTTTTGTTCCTTGGTCAACCCTCTCACTGCCACCCTTCTTTTTGCACCCACTCATCCATACCCACTCACGATTCTCACGCACTCTTGTCCCTCTCACTTTTCATCCTTCCCTATCGCGCCGATCGATCACCCACTCCTCTCCTCTCCCTCACTCGGGCCGGAACTGCTCCTCTTTTCCCTGTCCCTCTCTCTCAACTCTCAACACTCTCGTCGATCCCTAAAACGACAACTTCCCTCCCTTTCTTCCCTCTCAGAAAAATAACGATAATTCACCATGGCAGAACCGCTCTATAAACCTGACTGGGAAGGTATGTCCTTCTACCTCTCCGACCATTCAATCCCACCCTTCCGTCCTCCCCACTTTCACACTACCGCCTCCTTCTTCCGTCTCTTGCTCTTTTTTCTTCCCCAGCATTGCGGATCAACAATCGACGCCAAATGAGAGAAAAGTGAATGGCGTTTTGTCGTTGTTTGACAATGAGACCTGACCTCTCTCAGCAATGCAAACACACGACTCTTGTGAACAGACAAACAAGAGGACAGTGCTAAGAACATATCCCTGCGAATAGCATCCTTGTTCGATGCCCCTTTTTTATGCAATGCATTCGACTGTCTGGATGACGCTTGGACGTAGACTGCCCTTCCTCTTCTCTCCTCGAATGCCCCAGTTGCTTAGGGTCATATATACTTCCTCTTCCTCTCAACGCTAGTTCAGAAAAGCTAACTTTCTTCGTATCCTTCCCTTACCCTGCCATGTCATCTAGAATCTGTGTCCTTGTTCATCTCATTGACATGTATCTCCGTCATGGCTTTGCTGTTCGGTCGCAAGACTGCAGGAACCAAGTGGAACACGATCAACTACGCCCGTGGTCTCGTTATCACTCTCTACATGGTATCTTGGGGCTTCTCCTTCATGGCCACCATCCTGGTCCAGACCAACAATAACAACATTGTCTCTTGTGTCATGTCCATCTACGCCTGTGTTGCTCTCTATGCCGGATCCAAGGTGGTTATCTATCTCTTCCTGATGGAGAAGGTCTATGTCGTCACTGCTGTTGGTTCAACCCGTCGAGACTTTTTCGTAAGTACTGTTGCTGGACTACTCTCACCTGAATGTAATGTAGTGCCACTTTAACACAATGTTTTTTCTGTTGAACGGTCTGCTCCAATCTTTGATTATGGCAGCAGCGCCTACAGACCTGGCTTTAATTATTGTTTGCGAACCCTCGTTTTGCTGACCACCAAAATACTATTCTCCTCTCTGCCTTTGTACAAAATACATACATAGTTGTACAAGGTCAACTTGATTCTATTGCTGCCTTACACTGTCGTCATATCCCTTATGATTGCCTACCAGAACTCTGAGCTTCGTGCGGAGGAAGGCGGAAAGTGCTACATCGGCCTGGGACCCCAAGCAGTCTATCCCTTGATCCTTTACGATATCTTTATGTCGTGCTGGTTGACCTTCTTGTTCATCCGCCCCCTCATGAGCTCCACCTCGTTGCTCCAAGGCCCCTCCAAGGGCAAGCTGCGTGATGTTGCCCGCAGAACCTTGATGGGATGTGTCATCTCCTTGATCCTCAGTACGGGCAACATCTCGTCCTTGGTCATCTTCAAGGGTTACGAGCGTGGCTTAATCTGTTTGTCGTCCTGTACTGCCGATGTGACTCTGAACGCCATCACCATCCATTGGGTTACCTCCCGTGGTGGTGGACGTGTTGTGGGCACCGCCAGGTCGACGAGGGAGAGACCCGGTACCGCTTACAACGCCGGCAACAACGGCGTCCATAGCGGATACCACCTTACGGCCGCCGATAAGCAGGTTGCTCCTTTGGAGTCGCACATGTCGGTCACGGTCGAGTCCTATGTGGAAGAGTACCATCAGATGCACTATGGCGGCGGTTCAAGCAGTTCGACTGTCACCTCGCCACGGTACGGAAACACTGGCAGGGACCGGTATGGTGATGATATCCTACCGGCCACGACGCGGTATGGTGAGACCAATACTTCGCGGTATGGGGAGCCTAGCTCATCTCGCTATGGCGAGTCAAGTTCTCCTCTTTAAAGAAAGTTGCTAGATTATTATTATTCCCCCCTCTCTTCCCTTACTGTTCTTCATACTTCCTTCCGCCCTGTAGTCTCTCTCTCTCACAGCCTTCACGCTCCCTTCCTTGCATATACACATCTTTCTTTTCTTTTCTTTGCATTTACTTCTAAAATTAATACACAATACACATCCAAAAAAAAAAAAAAAAAACCACCACGCTCACAGGCTTTTTCTGTTCGCGCACGTTTCGTTTCCACTCATTTTGACTCTCTCTCCCTCTCTCTCTTTTTCTCTCTTTTTCGCTGCATGCATGCGTCCAAAGAGCGATGAACACGCCTCTGGTTGATTTTGTTTCCTATTGTACATGCATGTTTTAATTGTGTGGCAGACAAAAAGAGATGGAACCCGAGAGGACGGGCGAAACAGCCCTTTCTTAATTTTCACTCCTGTCTGTCCATCTATTTTTTTTTTTTGGTTCTTTTTGTTTGAGATTGTGGTTGTGCTAATTGCCGCTGCTGCTCTTGGCTTTGTTGTTTTGGGTTGATGTTAAGGGATGATGATTGTTGGTTGGCACTAGAAGAATCATAGAGGTCGCGCCAGTAAGTCTTGAACTTATATATTTCGGGTTATAGAATACAAATGAATTGAACCCTTTTGGGAATAGGGCATGTTTTTATTTTGCACTTGGGTTGAGAAGAAGGCGAGAGACAAATGATGGCTGTGTTGAACATTTCAAAGGGTCGCTCTTCGGGCTCTCCAGTGAGAAGGTCGTTCTAGGGTAGTCGGGTTGGGATCGATTATGGTGCTGCTGAACATAGTGAGGCTGATGGAGCGATGAGGGGTCGAATGTCATCCTTCAAATGAGGGAACTATATCCACCATCAATTCAAATTTGCTATTTTAAAAATATGTAAGTTCATGACTTATTGGCGCGGCCTCTAACCGGTTTATTTTGTTGTTAACCTGAAGTAGGAAACTCTTCATAAGTACCACGCTAACATACCACATTAGCAAAATCAAAAAGATGAACCACTGGCAGATCAAAAAAAACAACAAAAGAACATCAGTATCAAGGGTAACGTGAGAGAATAGGGTCTGCTTGTAAGCTTTTTCCTCGTAAAAGCTCGATATACATTTTTTTATATGTTTCCGTTACATCCGAACGTTGGAGAGGAATGGGCCGGGGCTAGCTTGGAACTGTAATTCTTGTGCTCGCATTTCTTCCTCGTTTTATTGTGGGGAGACCAAAGGTAGGCAGCGGAGATAAGTGAGTAGAATTGCAAAGCAAATGGTCAAAATCAACTTTGGAGAGGAGAAGAGAAGGAAGAACTCGTTCCTTTCTAGTGCCGTTTTACGGATAATCTATGGTTTCCTGTACCGCGAAGAAAAATACGATGTTTATACTTAAGGAGGAGGACGCAAGGACGATCAGGGACTGTAGAAGGGTATATCATCCATCCACATTCCTGTCGACCCCACAAATGGACGATGAAAGGGTTTAGAAAAGCTAGTGTTATTTTTAACAATGCTGGAATTGTACTTTCTGTACATGTACGTTATGGAGGTAGGCGGGGTTACCGTGTGGGTACGGATCGTTTTGGAGGGAAAGTAAAGGGACCAGGCCCTCCTTCTACATGTCTTTCTGCTCCTTCGGCGACCCTTTGGATTGGGAGATGATCGTCATAAAATAGGGTAATGAAGCTATGAAAAACTGGGTTTGATAATACATGACGCAAAAAATGGGGTCTGTAACAAAGGTATTGGTCCCATGTGTTCGAACGTCCTTATCAAATGTACAAAGACCGAAGTACATTTTGTGTTTTCGCATGATTTTTATTAGCTTTTGAGTTGAGCAAAGGAAGGAAGTAAACAGGTTTTTGGTTCTTGAGAGAAGGGGCTTCATTACCGATACTTTGGTCCTCATGAAGAAGAACAGGTGTAAACGTAGGTAGCCGAGCAAGAAACATCAGTAACAACAACAACTAGAAGGCTGCGACTTCGAAGGCGCAGACATAAAAAAGTGCGATTAATGAGTGGTTCCTAAAAATAACTGATGGGATCAATCAGGGTTTGGATGCATTAAGAGTTGTAGCGTTGAGTGATCAATACTGCAGAAGGGGCAGAGTGTTCGCTGATCGAATCTCGATACGTTTTCCTCCTATTCCTACTTTGCCATTTAAATGGCTACCCGCCCACCTTGGATTTTTGAACCAACTAGGACAAAGACGAAGTTGGCACGAGGTAGCTCCCTTACACTGACTTGGTGTCCACCTATCGACCCTTCGTAGCATACACTTGGGTGCCGTTCCGCCTCTCATTGTACGTGTTAGTGATGAATGGTCACGCAAAATAGGAAACGGGAATTCGGATTTTCGTTGTTAAAGTAACCATGATCATGAGGCTGGAAGTTCGAGTCGTAGAATATCGTTGCCTTGAAACAAACGCCAATGGTGCTTGCTCCCCGGACTACAATAACGAGTCGATTATCCATTGTCGTTGTAGATACTCGGGGTTTTGACATTTACCATTGGTCAACCACCCAAGCGTTTTATTGTGTTGTATTGTGTTGTGATATCTTTTCATGAACTGAGCATTCAATTCAATCGAATGGTTGGTTCAAATGGATACGACACCCCGCTGAAGAAACCAAAAGAGGTACCACTGTACGCGCGTAAGTGAGATGGGGAGCAAACTGACGAGTAAAAATACAGCCAGCTGAAAAGGTTTGTGGTGCTTGTTGGGGGTGATCATCTTTTTTGTGGAAACATTTTGCTTTGCTAATGCGTTGAGATAGGGGGGATAGGTAGGGGCTGCAAGTGCGGATTGTGTTCAAGCCTCAAGGTGTGGTTGTTAATTTCCTCCTCGGACTGGAGGACAATGGGGGTCACGCAAAAAAAATGAGTGGGTAGTGCATGTAGAGGGAGAGAAAGGGAGAACAAAGAACAGAGAAAATGACAGGAAGAGAGGAGTGCTCTCATTTTTTCTTCTCTCTCTTTTCGTGTCTACATTTGGGGGTGGGTGACGAAAGTATGGGACGTTTTTCTGTTTGAGTCGGCACATTGTGCGTGTCTGTTTGTGTTTATGTGTGAATTCAAACAGGGAAGAGGTTAAAGTTTCTTTCGCTTTCACTTCTCTTCTGCACAAAAGAGAGAGAGAGGGTATGAACGAATATGGATGAATGATAGAGAGCGGATGTTGTTCTGCAATGATGGGAGAGGGGAACATGTGCGTCTCCGTTCTCTAATTGTTTTCTTTGCCATTCATTATCTAGTGAAAAAATGCTGACTGAGAGAAAGGACGTGAGGAGTAATAGGGGAGAGAGATAGGCGATCCATCCTCTTCTCTATTCTCGCCCCTTCTCGCCCCTTTTCGCCTCTTCCTCCGCTCCTTCCTTCGCCATTTCGCTGTTGAAATTGACATATTTCATGCAGCAGAGTAGACAATGAGAGAGAGAGAGAGAGAGAGAGAGAGAGAGAGAGGGACCGAGAGTAAGGGCAACTCCGTCAGTCTGCAAGTGCGAGGTGTCCCGGTCCATCGAACCCAGCGCCCTTGCATCACACACACGCACGCACGCACACCCGCACAGTTTACAAAAGAGTCGCAGATGCATAAACACACCACAGGCCTAATTGAACAACGGGAAAAAACAAAGTATTCTATCTTTTCCCTCACCTCAGCCTCAATTGCTCTCTCCTTCCATTGACACGCACACACAAAAGTATGTTTTCATCCACTCTTCTTTCTTTCTTGTTCTCTTAACTTTCTTATTTTTTTTCTTTCTCTCTCTTCTTTCGTCTTACCACTTAATCCTTTCCTCTTCTCTTTTTCCTCTTTCGCCTTCACCTGGGACGGAACCCCTCCTCACCTCACCCTCTTCCGATCCACTCTCACAGTTCTCTATCTCCGCATTCATTTTTCACCCTCACCCACTCCCACTTCGGCTTGTGTGAGCACACTCCCGCTCCCCTGTATTTGCAGGCACCCAGATCTCACAACTCTTCCTCACTACTCGATAAATAGCCTCTCTCATGGCTGAATTGTTCAAACCAGACTGGGAAGGTATACCTCGACACTCAGTCCTCACAAACCCCTCCACTCCTCTCTTCTCATTACACCTTCAAACTCATTCAGGAGCGAAACCAGGAATGCCAAAGTTGTCTTACCCCGACGAGGGTTCGACATGAGACATAGCCTGAACTGCAACAACAGGCACACACGGCTGACACTTTGCCCACTCAGCAGCAACAACCCAATAATCAACGACCCTTCAGCCTCTGGTTCTGATAGTCGAGAAATCGACATCCTTCAATGCTTCAACCCACTATTTTTCTACTTAATTGGGTTGTCTGGACGACACTCCGCCCTCACATCCCTTATGAACAGACATCAACAAAACAGCATAGTAACAACAACAACAACAACACTCCCTATCGATCACTCGGTTACGCAAGAAATACAATTCCATGAATACATAAACACAACAACAGACTCCACAGCAACTAACTGCCAACAAATGCGCCGCGTTTGAGCCGCCCCTGCATCCCAACCTTTGAGGTACAGGAACGGACCCATGCCAACAACCTACCTCTAACGTTTACCCCCTATCCCCTGTTCCTCATCCCTGCCTTCCCCCTACCCCCTTATTGTCCACTTAGAATCCTTGTCGCTCTTCATCTCGTTGACATGCATTTCGGTCATGGCCTTACTCTTTGGTCGCAAGACTGCTGGAACAAAGTGGGGTACGATCAACTATGCCCGTGGTCTGGTGATTGCCCTGTACCTGGTATCATGGAGCTTCTCCTTCATGGCCACCCTTTTGGTTCAGACCAATAACAAGAATCCGCTATCCTGCAATTTGTCGATCTTTGCCTGCATCACCCTCTACGCTTCATCCAAAATCATTATCTACCTCTTCTTGATGGAGAAGGTTTATGTCGTTACTGCCGTTGGGTCAACGCGTCGCGACTTTCTCGTAAGTCCTTTCATACCTCTCACTGCTACCGATTCATACAAAACTATGAGGAACTTGTCAAATAGATGTTGCGTAACTGAATATCGCTCATTGCGTCCTCTATAATCAAACAGCTATACAGAGTCAACATGGTTCTCCTGCTGCCATATATTGCTGTCATTACTCTCATGATCATATTCCGACACGCGCGCATCAACCAACTGGGCCAAGCGGACTTCGTCCCAGAGCAGCGGTTAGGGCACTGTGATATTGGTCTCGGAGAAGCGTCCACCTACCCCTTGATCATTTACGATATCTTTGTCTCTTGCTGGTTGACTTTCCTCTTCATCCGGCCATTGATGAGCTCAACCTCAATGCTCCAGGGACCCTCCAAAGGAAAACTTCGTGATGTGGCCCGCAGAACCTTGATGGGATGTGTTATGTCCTTGATCATCAGTACCGGCAACGTGGCATCCTTGATCACCGCCCAAGGATGGGAGCGCGGTTTGATCTGCCTCTCCTGCTGCACCGCTGATGTCACCCTGAACGCCATCACGATCCATTGGGTCACCTCCCGTGGCGGTGGACGTGTCTCTGGAACCGGACGGTCAACCAGGGACAGGAATGGAACTGGAAACCGTGGTACCAATGGCATCAACAGCGGCTACTATCTGACCGCCGCCGAGAAGCAGGTTGCCCCTCTTGATTCTCATTTGTCGATCACGGTCGAGTCTTATGTGGAAGAGTATCACCAGATGAGCCTTGCTCGCAGCGCCGACAACAGCCCTTCATTGTCTGCCTTTGGCGCTGGCGATACCGCCTCCCGCTACATCACCGATCCTCTGCCTCCTACACGGTATGGAGAAGGAGTCCGCTCATCAAGGTATATTGAACCAGTGACCCCAACTCGGTTCGAAGTGCGGTCTTCCCGATACGGCGACCCCGGTTCCTCTCGCTATGTTCCAACCTCTGACGAGATTTCAACCCTGTAGATCCCCCCCCCCCCTCCCTCCTTTACTCCTTTTGACACATAGCCGCGACAAACTCCATATACCATTCTTTTGCCTTGTCAGAAAAACATCCAAAAAGCGATCGTCCATGTGTTTACTGGGCACCTTACCTCCCTCCATTTCTGTCCTTTGCTCCTCCCCTTCCTAACCATTGCCCGTAGCCCATTCTGCATTTTTTTTTCTAATTGTTCTTCCTTCAACTAATACCTGCTTGTTTGTAACAAGCTTTGTCGAATAAACTACAACCAAAAATATCCAAAAATCCAACAAACGAAAAACCACCCGCTTGTTTGGCGGACGTGCGTGCGTGCATGATCTCCTTTTCTTGTTGTCGTCACTTTTTTTTTACCCTTTGAGCGATGAACGTGCATTTGTTTATCGGCTGCACTCTCTAGTAGAAGGTGATGGCAAGTCTATTTCAACTCTTCCCCCCCCCAGCTTACCTTACTCTCACATATGAATAACCACCTTTTGACGAGAGCGTTTCTTTTCACTTTTGAAGGTTGATGCTGATGGTTGAGTCGATTATGACTTGAAAGAAATATCAAAAATTCGATCCTACGGTTGTTGATGGCTCGGCAGTTTATCATCGCGACTGAACTGTGACTGCCAGCGTCAACCGCGTTTGTCCTGCTCTTATTTTCACAGCCACGATCAGCCCTTCAACACAACCAAACTGCCAACATCACGAACCAGGAACCAGGAACGACATGAGCAAACAGCAACAGCTCGCACGGCAATTAATGTCGCTGAATCTTACACGACACCACCAACTACACATCCCTTCGTCTACAGCCATCGTTACAAAGTCTCGCCCATGGATCCACTTACTTCAACAACAACCCGTCTCCCGATTCCATCTCTCCGCAAGACTCGCAAAGGATCAACCGCGGGCAACTTCGTCTGTCGTAGAGGCTTCGTCCTCGGCACCAACGCGTGGGCCACAGTCGGGCCACAAGTTTTCTAAACCCGATACTCGCAGGAAAGCACAACGACCCGAAACCACCAATTCAACAACATCATCCAAGGATCACGCCTCACAGCAGCCAAACTCTGTGACAGGACAGGTTCGCTTGAACAGGGCAATGGACAGCAAAGAAATCGACAAAGAGATTCTCCGACTCGTCCGAGCAAGAACCGCATGGAAGGACATCGACGCCGCCTTGAGCCTACCCCATTCCAAGGCCCATCATCGATACCATACCCACCTCGACCCGGCGCTGAAGGCCTGGAGACTCCCAAACGGACAACCCAATCTGGCGTTGCAGGATCGGTTAGTGTATTTGGTCGAGGTTGAGAAGTTGTCGTTTGCGCAGATTGAGAAGTATAGGCTGATGGATGAGCCCTGGAAGACCCCAACTGCTTTTGCCCCTGCTGAGGTCTTGGAGGCTGCGGGCATCGCACTGGAATCGACTGAAGCGGGAGCAGTAGCGATAGAGGATCCATCGGTCGAGCGTCCTAGGAAGAACTCTGGAGGGCCATTCAACAGGGTCAGGCTTCAGTGGAAATACAACAGTCTCAAGTCTTTGGCGGCTGCAAACACTCTGCGGGAGAACGATCAACTGGTCCGGAAGGCGATTCAGCGATCGGTTGAGTTGTATGGCGAGAACTGGAAGGCTGTTGCGGCACATTCGGATTCGTTGTTAGACCAATGGATCACGCCTGCGTTGCCCAGGACACCACTGACGCCTACCAAGGTTGCGACAGAGTTTAGGATCTTTCAGCGGACGGGGGTTGATTGGGGCTTGGAGGACGACGTGGTGATGACTCGCAAGATCTTGGCTCTAGGTCTAACCCAGCCTGATATCCTAAATATCTTGACCAAGCCCTTCAGTGAGAGCAAGCAAGGAGTAGTTCTGGATCAGGAGCAACAGAAACGGTACTGGACCGAGATCTCGGTGGCCCTGGGGAACCATTCGCCTGTGCAGTGTCAGCGTCGGTGGAAGGGGCTCTGGAACCTGCATGATGGCGACAAGTCGGCTCAGTCCAAATCCTGGCATCGGTTCGAGCGGTTCCAATACTGGATGATGTGGAAGTATTTCAGCCAACAAAGGCGCGACGTCAGCGGAGCCAAGTTGACGAGCGCGGAGGATCTGCAGGCGGCGTGTGAAGAGTTGTCACATTCCAAGGAGATTGCGAGATGGATGCGCCACAGGACCGAGGCCCAGTGCGACAAGTTTTTCCGATCCTCGATTCGGTCTGTTCTCAATCCCAGTCAAGACAAGCTCGCCACCATGCTCAACAACACCATTATCTTTATCCCGTCGTCGTCGTCTTCTGCACCAACATCCCAAGTCCGGTTGTTCGAGTCCAAGGAGGCACTAGCGAACGCCATCGTCACAGAGCTGGCAGACCCGCTCCTTATCAAGATGACCGTCGTCTCGACAGAGAGCCAAGAGTCGATACGCGGGGATCATCAACAACCCCTCATCCGTTCTGAATGGACTCCTGACAGAATTCGGACGTTGAACGAGATTGTTCTCCAGGAGAAGCAAGGCGTCCAACGGGCGGATCTCGAGCTGGACTGGGATCAAATCGCACAGGCGCTGGAGCAGAAATATGCGGCCGGATCGTTGAAAGATACCCCTACCGGAGTGACTATAACAGAAAGCACGGGGAGTTTGATCGCTCCTCAGCCCAGCCTGCCTTTCACGCCCAAGCAGTGCCAGAGCTGCTGGGAGTACATTTCCACCATCCCTAAAGGAAACAAGGTAGTAACAGCAGGTTCGGTCTCTGATCCATTTTCTACCGTGTCTGGAGATCTCGAGGGCAAGGAGAGCCCTGTACAAGGATGGTCTGAGAACGAGATTTTGTTGCTGCAACAGGGTGTCAGGAAACACGGCACCCTCTGGGCCGACATTCGAGCACAATTCTTGCCAAACAAAGATATCTCGGATCTCCAACGTGCTTGGTCTTCCATCTCGGGACCGAAGTCTGAGCAAGGAAGTGAAACTGCGTCAGCGGCGGCGGCGGTGGACAGACTTTCGGAACCAGATTATGTGGGTCTGTTGTCGGCGCTGGACAAGGTCGGAGTCAGCAATAGCAGCGCAGGCGGAAAGGATAAATAAATGATAGAGACGTTTTCGTCCGCGATGGCAAAGCAATACTTTTATTTTGTTGACTGAGGAGTGTTGATACTAATTTGTGATGCAACGTAGCAAATGCACAGACGTTTTCCACCATTATCTCGCCTTAACCATGAACCTAGGTGGGCGGTGGCAGGTGGGGAACATGGGCAAAACACTTTTCGACCAGCGAGACGAAACCCACTGTGTTTCCTTCGAATACACCATACGGTTCGCATTCCCGTACGAGAGCTTTTTGATTCCTTCCAAGGCACCCAGCTCGGCAAGCCCAGACTCCAGCGTGAACTCGAGGGTGTCCATCCGTCGTGGCTTGTTCGCAGTCTCCCGCAAGGTAAAGTGCAGCTCCTGCAGTCGAGTCAGTCGCGCCAGTCGTTTGTAGACCTTCCTCTGAACCATGTGCGAGATCCACAGCTGCTCGAATGCCTCGGCCTCGTCCGCTGTCAGCTCATGTCCACGATTCGATAATCTCTCCCGCACCTGTTCGATCTTGTCCTCTGTATCTGGTTCCTCCTGATTCGAATTGCCGAGCGTGTTGGTGTTCATGAAGGTGAGCAGTTCTGCGTCAAGGTCACTGATGCCCTTCAGTAAACCCTCCTGAGCCGCAGTCAGTCTAGGGACACCAACAATCCCGATATCCAGTTCCCTCAGTTCGACACATACCCACTCGGCACTCTCGATCAGGTCCTCTGCAAGTACAGCGTGTCCCGCTCCGCGGCACGTCCTCAGATTTGGACATCCAACAAAGAGGTCGATCAGTCCTTGGGTATATCCTTCCTTCAAATCGATGACCACTTCTTGGATGTTCTTGCAGTTCCTAGCGACCTCAATCATGATGCGTCCGCTATCCCATACTCCGCAAACCCAAAGTTGGGTCAGAAATGGCATCTGGGCGATGATGGAGCCGAGGTCGAAGGCGGCAGATTCCCAGACCGGATGGAGGAAGTCTGCAGGGTGGAGGATCAAGTTTTCAATTGGGTAGTTCCTGCTCTCCCGAACACCCTCATCCCTACGCAGAGGCCTCGTCGCATTGTCGTCACTAGTCATAGATTCGTACCGCTCCAGCGCCGGAAACATCCAGAAGAGTTGCTGAAGTTCCTGTGCGTTGCGTACGAAAACCGAATGGCGGAGCTCTGTGATCCGAAGGAACCTGACTCGACAGCGCAAGATGTCGATGCAAGGCTGACCCACGATCTCTAAAGTCTTCAGAGAGGAGTGCTCCAAGATGTCACGATCCGTTGTGGCCTTGGTCAAGTTGGCGTCATAGCTGTCAAGGAGGCAAAGAGGCACATTAATCGAGAGGCGGGTTAATGCCGGAAAAGCCACAACAATCGCGCGTAGCTCTCCTGGCATCATCGATGCTTCTCTAAATTTGAGATCCTTGAGGACACTGTGAGCTGGCGCCTGCTGAAGAACCACAGGGTCGAAAGTCGCTCTGTCGACATGAACAAAGGATACGAGACTGGGCAGGAGTGTGGCGAGGTTGCAGAGGAGGAAATTGTCGGCATCCAGGCCCATCTCCAGATGTTGAAGTCGCCATAATCCCAAAAATGCACCTCGCAAGAAATCCTGTCCCGCCGAGCTCAAAACAGGAGAGGCACCCGCCTTTTTCTGAATCGAGAAAGAATGGATCCCGTCTTCGATATCAGCGCGTTCGAGACAAAGTCGACCCAAGTTAGGATTCAAGAGGACTAGCCGCCAGAAAGCTCTAGTCAAGGTCAAACTCGATCCACCTCCTGAACTGCCGTCGAATGCCGCGATTGGTACTGAAATGTCCCACAAACTGTCAGACCCTAGTGCCTTCATCCTCGAGTAGATCTTTCGTGTATCATTGACGTCATTGTTGCCACTGTCATCGCCATTGTTGCCACTGTCATCGCCATTGCTGACATCGTCGTCGCCATCACTACCACCGTCGTCATCGTCCGGCTCCCAAGTATAAGAATCGAGCGTCAGCGAGAGAAGTCCCGTAAGTTTGGCCTCGAGTGCAGCAATGAGGACCATCTCCCTCGTGACAAGCAAGTGTCGAATGTACTGTTGCCCAACTCGCATGACATTCGAAAGTCGGTCCTGTCTGTCCTTGTATCTCTCTCTAGTCGACCTTCCTGCTCCTCCGACTGCATGACAGCTACTGCTGCTGCTGTCGCTACTGCAAGACTCGACAAGGCGATACCATGGCTCTTGAAAGTTGTTAAAGGTACGCCAAAAATATGGGGTGAAGTCGATGCGCCACTGACGAGAGACAGTTGTGCAGGCGAGGAGTGATGTTGTGTCAAGGTAGGATGCGATTTGTTGGAGGATCTCTGGGATGTCGATCATAGTTGTTGTTTGTTGAGATGGCAAAGGACAGGAGTAATGTTAGTGGAAGTGAAGGCCAGCGGGAAGAAGGGAATAACACTTCCTTTAAAAAACGAGAGCAATAAAATCTAATGTGCGCTTTGTTTCAATCCGATCCATCTTTCCTACCCTGTCCTGTCATCCTCTTTCTCACTCCCTCTTAATTCTCTGATGGACCGTTCCCCTTTTTGTTTATCTTTCTCTATTGTATTATCACGGTTGCCTTCACCAGAGTCTATTCGAGCTGCAAGTGATGTGAAAGCGAGTTGTTGTTGACAGGGTCCTTTCTTCTATCACCGTTTTTTAATTTGATCAATATTATTTCTGATCCCTTTGTGAAACGGATAAAGTGGTCAGTGATGATGTCTGGGGCTTTGTTTCACCATGGCCTCCATCACTCCCTGCACACTTTTTATTTTCTGTGAACGCCATTTACTAATCGGTAAAATGACATTGATCCAGGGGTGAAGGAGGAAAAAGAAGATCGAGTTGGAGCAAATCAGTCATGCAGCAAGGCAATCGATACTGGTAACCATATGACATGTATAACAAATTGAAGAGTAGTTTATTAGGCGAGGTTACTTTACACCTCGCTGATACCATCCTCGTCTTCATTCTCCTTGATCTCTACAATCTCATTGTCCTCATCTCTCATCAACATGTTGACAATACGCTCAGCCATCTCATGAACCTCGTCCACCAACTCTGCTGCATGCATCTTCTGGATAACGGGGTAAGTCTTCTTCTCGCGAAGGTAGTCACGTCCCTCACGGGTTGATGTCAACAGAATCAACCCCTCCAAGAGTGTTTCCCGCAAATGAGCGTCCGCCTCACGGGTCTTTGTTGGAGGCAAAAGCTGAATATCCTCGGGCATTCCCTCCATATCCTACATAGTCCATCATGCATATAATCAAGGTTTAGTGTTTTGTGTCCAGGGGTCACAAAATCCATCTTGGTTTGCAGAAAAAAAACTCCCACAGGGGTCATAGCGTGGTTCACTTACGTCAATGTCAAACTCCTCGGGACCACAGAGAGGAAGCAAGATGTAAGGGAGGACGTTGATGTCGCTCTCGTCCAGCAAGGCGGGGTGGTGCTCAACTGCGAAACTGGCATTCCTGAGAGACAAAAAAAATCAAAAAAAGAGCAACACGAATGATCAGTTTTTCAATAGGTCCAGTTCAAAACATATTCGTGTTCATGATTAGTCCAACAACAGTTCCAGAGGTTCGTACTTGATGGTGGTGATGCAGCCTCCGCGACGGATCAAGTTGGGGTGCTCGGTGAAGCAGACAATCTTGGAGAGTGGCGACAGGTTATTCTCGTCCTTGGTGAACAAAAGCGAGCGTCCAAGGGGGAGCTATTGCAGAGAACAAGGTCCAATGGTATCAAAGAGTCAGTCACACAATCACAAAGAGTGATCCAAGAACATGGAACAAATAGAAGGTCGACCTTGACTTACCGCAGCCAAAGTAGCAAAGACACTGGCCAAAAAGTCGTAAGTGCAGTTGGAGTTGTAGCCCTTGTCGGTTCCCTTCAAAAAGATATCGGCCAATTGAGCAACTGCGGTGGTTCCGGTGGTGAGTCCAGCAACAGGCTTGCCCTCCAAAGCCAAGACCTTGGCGGCAATGGCATCGTTCTTGCACATGTTGGACAACAACATACATCCCAAATCCGATAAAATGTTGGTCTTGGACTATGTTGTCGAAAATAAGAACAGAGGAATGTCAACGATGTTGAGAAGGTCGAAGCATTTCCAGTCATGGTGTCCTGAATAGTCCTGCGAATCTTTGTCCTTACGATGATGATGTTGAAGATGAGGAACTTGATAAAGTCGTTATCATCCAGCTCAGTGCAAACAACAGCCTCTCCTGAAAGGTTGATGAGGGAGCGGAGAGCATCGTGGGCAATGGTCTACGACGTTCATGAAAATTTGAGTGTAGAAGATACGATTTAGTACTTCAGTACCGAGAGACACTGCCTTGCTGCGGCGGTCAATTGGAATATCATAGAACAAATTCCTGACAAAACATAATCTCTCCGAGGTGTACATACCGTGTCATCCTTGACTAAAGTCTTCAAATCCTTTGTCAAAGACTTTGCGTTCTTCACAAAGACGTGGAAGTACTCTGAGGACGGGGTTGTGAAGGAGACGATGTTGTGGATGGCGATTTGGCGGACCTATTACATCGTGAGAAAAAAGGATGCAGTATCTTGTCAATCAACTGAGCGCAGAGAAAAGTGTCAATCGCCTTGTTGCCAAGCGGTCTTCCGAGGTGGAGGTAAATAAATTGTAGGGTGCATGAATTACCTCCATTCTGCCGTCGTGCAAGAAGGGCAAGAGCTATGTGAGCGAGTTAGGAGTGGGCGAAGCAATTGGATAAGTTAGTCGCCTTGTTGTTGTCTAGCTTTTCCAAATGATCTCCTTGTTGATGTTTCTGTGAAGACTCCTGTGCTTGTTGTTGTTTGCTGCACACACCTCGATGATTTGTGCTTCCATTGTTGATGTGGGTTGTGGTGAGTTAGTGGGTTGAATGAATGAACAAAAGAATGACAAAGGAAAGTTCGAGCAACAGAACTGATAAACGACGGACGGCGCTTTTTGCAATGTTCACTTCGAACGACATGTTAAGCCACAAATGCAAACAAATTAAAGGGTCAATTTGTGGATTGGTGCGAGCGAGTGACGCGAGCCTGAGGTAATTTTGTGTACGACGACAACGCAGGATACGAAACCTGGACGCGCGATCGCTTTGTTCTCCTTCTCTCTTTCCTTTCCTTTCTCTTTTCCAAAACACACACTTCATCACATCCAACCAGCAAACAGCATCACTCGTCCTTTTCACCCTCCCAGCAAGACCCACCCTTCCTCTTTACTGAACAACGAAGCAATTCACTCTGCGGAAAAACACAAACAACAAGGACACTTCATCACCAAGCAAACTCAAAAGCACCTTCAAAAAAAACATACAAACGAAACCAAGGAACACAACGCCGCCACTATCCATCAACAACGGCCGTTGGCAGCACTCTCCGCAATGTCGACCAAACGCAAAGCGTCCATCGAAAAGTCGACACTCCCAAAGAAGGCCAAGCACTGGTTCGCAGAAGGTCTTGATGAGTTGAGCTCCATCTTCAACCTCAAGTCCTACGCCTCCCTGGGTATGTCACCTCTTATCGACGGAGGGAAGGCGTGAACGACTGATCAATGGGTATCTAACCATCTTCTATTCATATTATATAATACTAGCATTTGAGCAGCAGAGAAAGAAGCGAGACTGGGTTGGCGCTTACCCTGACCCCAATAGCCCTGAGCCAACATACACCGTTCGGGGCAAACCAGAACCAGTCAACGCGGATCGGGACAGTACACTCCGCCAGCTTTTTTACGCAGACTCGATCGCATCGTTGGGGTCAGACGAGGACCAGGATGTTGTACAAGGAAAACCCTACCGACTTGAACCCTACACCAAGCTGCCTAATTTCACACCTGTCGACTATCGGAACCGGTTTTCACTGTTCTCATCTTCTACAAACGGCGCTGCGCGGAATGGATCCGTATCAAACGAGACGCACTCTCCCTCCACTTCGTCACCTCCTTCCAGTAGTGCTGGTTACCGTCTGCAATCATCAACTCGATTTGGGGGACTGGGTCAAAGTCGCTTCAACGACAAGTCATTACTCAAGGCTCGCCCACGGATGTACGCCGTCAAGACGCAAAGAGCAACGTCACATTTTCAGTCCGTCAAGGTAAACATCAAGGATGCTGGATAATATACGCCTGCACAGCAGTTACAATTCGTGCAAAAGGACACTCGCTGGCAAATATGCTGACCAATGGTATATGGTCCTCTTTTCTTTTGCATCTAGTACGACAGGGACGACTCTCCTGCCCACACCCCACCTCCCACCAATGACGAGAGTAAGGGCAGATCGCATCAGAAATGACCCCTGGATTTCTATAATACATCTGGGCCAAGTTTTCTAACGTACGTTCTTTCTCTTGTTTCTCATAGGCCGCGTAAAGCAGGCTTTGGATGCAACCATTGGCGCCTTAAAGTCGGACAGAGAGTCAGTGTGGGGCTCAAGGAGAGGATCAACGTCTTCATATGCCGATGAGGTCGCCGAGAACCGCCGCCTCAGGGCCATTAACCAATCGCTGGATGGAGATGACTCGGACACGGAAAGGCGGCCTGGACCTCGACAACCAGCATGGCTCAGAACCAAGGTACGGATCAAAATACAACATGCTCCTTTGAGACAGCTTTCATAGGACTTGGATGTCGCCGCATCTTAGTCCTTGTAGCGTCTTGATTCTCACAATGCATTTTATTTTTTGCTGCTCTAGTACCAAGGCAACCGAGAGCCGGCCTGGCTGCGGAACATCAGGAATCTTGTGAGCAGGAACCTCCCAAGGTGAGCAATGGCAGTTCCTGGATCTATCGGAGTACGGTGTACTAAAGGTCACGAGCTGCAGGGAATTGTATCTAACTTTATCGTCTGTTTTCCAATAGTATCGAGAAGCAACAAAGAACCCCTGGCCACCAAAGCCTTCTGGATGAGCACGATAGAATCGAGAAGGAGGTACACACCACTCCTTCCATACCATGTCGGATTAGTTGGCGTTTTAAGCATGAACTTTATGCAATTTCCGATATTAATGATGTCTTTCAAATCCTTATGCACAGCTTGCTGCAAGGAAGAAGGAGGAGGAATTTGTTCCATTGACAAATGATGACGAAAAACAGGTAAGTAACAGTATATTCAGGACTTTTGGACGTTGCGGTTGCGTTACCAAAGAACGCCCATTAATCGATAACATCGTACGTCCCGTTTCTTGCTAAACTAGGTTGCTGTTGCGTTGGCGCCTGGAAACGGAGATGATACTATTGTCCAAGGATTTAACGTTGATGTCAAGAGGAAGGATATTCAAACGCTCTGTCCTGGAGAGTGGCTAAACGATGAGGTCATTAACTTTTACGGAAACTTGATCATGACCCGGAGCAAAAACTCGGACTCGTTACCCAAGGTGCATTACTTCAAAACCTTTTTCTACAAGACCTTGAGCGAGGTCGGATATGAGAAAGTGAGGAGGTGGACCAAAAAAGTAAGGATGATCATGCACTGTTATATCCGGCTTTGCTATGGTCCGTGCTGTTAATTACGATAGACTAACAATATGTGTTTTATTATGCACGTAGGACAATATCTTTGCGATGGACTATATCTTGATTCCCATCCACTGCTCAGGAAACCACTGGACTTCGGCAGTCGTCGATATGAAGAGGAAACGCATAGCATACTATGACTCTCTTCTGGGAAACAATCCAAAGGTCTTCCTGGTATGTCCTTCAGTTCGACTCTAGCCTTTGTCAACTGCTAAGAACGAGGACAGATATGTACATAATGACTAATCAGTTGTCATTCTATATACCTCTGTCATAGATTCTTCGGGACTACTTGGATATGGAGAGCAAGGACAAGCAGAAGAAGCCATTTGACTTTGAAGGGTGGGAGAACGAGTGCCCGAAGGATATCCCAAAACAGCGCAATGGTTACGATTGTGGTGTGTTCACATGCACATTTATCGAGTTCAAGAGTCGAGGTGCGGAGACGTTTGAGTTTTCTCAGGAGGAGATGCCGTACTTGCGGAAGAAGATTGTTCTGAACATAATAAACAAGAGCCTTTAGAGTTTGGGCATTCACGACAATATCAAATCCTCAGCTCTTTTTCCGGACCTGAGATATCCTTGGGCGAAGCCCCGACCTGGATCACTACAAATAAATCACACCACGTGATGAAGACAAGCCACCATATTTTGTTTACACCTTTTTTCTTTTTTTTTGTTGTTGTTGTTGCTGGTTCTTTTGAGTGCACAGTTTAACATACACCTGCTGGTTTGAACTTTGCATCACACACAAAAGCTTGACCCTCACTCCGACAGACACCCTCCTTGGCCTTCTCCTTTGCCATTCATTACTCCCTCCTTCACACCCGCTCCTAAACTCTTCAAAAAAAGGAACAATGGCAGCGGACAAGACGATGCCCGACGAGGTCATGCTTCAGTCCTTCAACGAGCAGGTCCTCGACAAGCCCGAGGTCTTCCTCACCAAAAACGAGGCCTCTGCCGAGCAGGCAAAGTCAGTCACCAAATACCTCTACGATCTCGGTAAAGCAACAGCAACAGCCTGCCCGGACAAAACGATGATCTTCAACAAAATGCGTGTTATCAGAACCTTTCTGAGGAACCTTCCTCTAACCAGCTAGGCTACTACCTCTTACCCTCTTGGCCTGTCATCATATTCTAGGAAAGTCGACTGAGACTGGATCATTAAAGAGACAAGGCTCCATGCTGGAGGAGCTCTTTGTTGACGGATTCGACAACGACCAGATCTGGGAGGAGATTCATATGCAAAACACGCCCTTCCTCACGTACCTCAAGTCAGAGATCAAGAACTTGAAGTTCAGCAAGAAGGCAGAAGCACAGCCAACATCTGATCTCGAGGACGAGGACCAAGACGCAGAGGACGAGGAGGATGAGGCTGATATGAGCCTGGGTCTTGATGAGGATGATATGGGCTTGGAGATGGACGACACAGAGGGCTTTTCTGGCGAGGACGATCTCGAGGAGGACTCTGGATCAGAAGGATTCGGCGAGGACCAGGAAGATCTGGAGGAGGGCGAGGAAGATGAAGATAACGAGGATGATGAGGAGGAAGAGGAGGATCTGGATGACCTTGAATTGCCCGTCAAGAAGAAGTCTAGGACCTCAGAAGTTGACGATGACTTTTTCAACCTTGATGAGTTCAACGCCATGACCGAGAAGCAGGAGCAGGATGACTTGGACGAGAAGGAGCCCGATGAGGAAGAGGAGGAGATTGACTACTTTGCCGATCCTGATTTGATCGACAGTGGCGACGATGACTTTGATGAGGATATGGAGGAGAACGAAAACGAGGTTGATGCTCATGGTACGTCAGCATGTTCTTATTCTTGGTCTTGAATGCCAAACCATTTGCGCGTTTGGTTTCAAACTACTCACCATGTAACGTCTACTTGTGTACTTGTAAATAGATGTCGCATACAAGGACTTCTTCGCACCTGTGGCAATAGGAAAGACAAACAGGCCCAAGCCCAATCGTCGACCAGAGCAAAAGGACAACTTTTTCGGAAAGAAGCCCAACGAGGAAGTCAAGGATGAGGACATGGAGATGATGGACGCCGAGGAGGAGGAGGAGAACGATGATGCCGCAGAAGTGAACGAGCTTGGAGACAGAGTTTCTAACCTCTTTGGACTCGACAAGGAGGAGGCCGAGTCTGGTGAGTTACTCTTTTGCATGCTGTCCCGTGAATATAAACCTGCACACTGGCACTGTCAGTATCAAATTCACTAACTCGTGGTAATCTCTATTGACTATGTTATTGTAGAAAACTTGTCAAAACACGAGCAGATGCAGAGGAAAATGAAGGCGCAGATTGAGGCATTGGAGAATGAGAACGTGGCAGCCAAGGACTGGACCAAGAAGGGAGAGGCTTCATCTTCAGATCGCCCCCTGAACAGTTTGTTGGAGGAGGATCTCGAGTTTGAGACTGTCGCCAAGCCCATTCCCGTCATTACCGCAGAATCGACACAAACCCTCGAGGACATGATCAAGGAGCGCATCTTGGCCGGTAACTGGAACGATGTCGTCCGCAAGGCTGCTCCCAATGACAAGGCGTTCAACCCATCCTCCAGAGTCGATATCTCGGACGAAAAGTCCAAGAAGTCGCTTGCCGAATTATACGAGGACGACTATGTCCGCCAGACATCGACGGCTGGACCAGTGATGAGCGAACGTGAGGCGGCATTGGAAAAGAAGCACGAGGAGATCACAGGACTATGGCAGGATCTTTGCCAGAAGCTCGACTCGTTGAGCAACTGGCATTATACACCCAAGCCTGCCAAGGCCGAACTCACAGTTGTTACCAACGCACCAGCAATCAGTATGGAGGAGGCGATCCCTGTCGGTGTGGCAGATGCCGCTATGCTGGCACCCGAGGAGATCTACTCTGCAGGCAAGGCACCAGTCAAGGGCGACACAGAGCTGGAGCAGGCAGAGAGGAAGCGCAAACGTTCTGCGGCCAAGCGGGCCAAGAAGGCCGAGAACAAGGAGCGGGCCCAGAAGGATGCCGAGCGCGCAGCAGAGAGAGAGGCCAAGGACCGGCGGTTGGGTCGCCAGGTGGGCGACAAGGGCAATGCCAAGACGATTGTGCGCGACAAGATGGATGCGGTCAAGACCTTGTCTGGACAGAAGGGCGTCAGCTTCATCGACCGCGACGGCAACAAACGGTCGAGTATCAAGGGTGGACCCAATGCCGAAGCCGACAAGAGTGCAAAGCTCAAGTTGTAAAACTCTTTATCTACACTTTCATTTATTTACTTTTCTCTTTCATTGCTTTTCATCCCTTCCACCCTTTCACCCTTTTACCAGCATTTTCTCGATCGGCCAACCCCAGTTTTATCGCATGTTCTAGATATCATAGTCTTGTTTCTTCATCATAAAAAAAGAACGAAAACATATACACTCTTACTGTTGCATATACTTGGGCTTGTCACCGCGTAGCCTCCTTGCTGTGATCGAACCTAGCGAATTGGGAGCCGTATTGAACTTGCGGCTGAAGCAATTTAGTACCCTTTTTCTTTCGTCTTTCTCCTAGGAAAAGTGCGCAGAGCTAGCAGGCCTACCTACGTGACTTTAAAGAAGAGATAAACAAGGGGAGAGATGAGGCTGTATTGTAGGACGGGGAGAGAGATAAGGAGAGGCGAGTAGGCGAGTAAGCGGGAGAGAGGGAGAGTATCTTGGAACTTTTACTGCCCTTTCATTTAGATTGACGCGCACTATGAACAAGCCAAGTGAAAAGAGACAGCAAAAGATGAGTGTCGTCATTTGATTAAGGAAAAAATACAAAGCAGGGATGAATGCTCTTGGTCGTATCGCGCTGCTCGCTGGATAGTTGGAAAAGGAAAAGTGCAGAAAAGGAAGGAAATGCATGCCTAGGAGCGAATCCAGCAGAAAAAAAGAAAGATTTCAACCCCTGGAAAGAAGTGTTTGAACAGTGGATCGTAGTGGAGATTGAGGAAGAAAGGATAACATAGCTGTGAGAATAGACTCAATAGAGTCATGTCCTTTTTCGGATTGTTCTTTTTGTGTGTTTGTGGCAGTGAAGGTTGTTGTTGACACGCCTGCACGACTTGCTCGGCTTAGCAGAAAATTGTGGCCACACAAGCAACCGGACGCTAAACAACACTAACATTGGGAAGGCTCTTGGCTCGTTGAGCCGAGGGAGAGAGGAAAAGAGAGTGAGGCGTTATGCGAATGATTCATTCGTTTAAGAAGCTTGGTGAACGAGTGAATGGTGAATGTGTGTTGAAGTGCTTGTGGTTTTAGGGTTTTACTCGTACAAGGCTGACGCTAAGTCGTCTCAGCCTTCTCTGTCGTGTGTTTCTTTTTCTTTGTACCTCTCGACTCATCCACGGTTTATATTTTTTCTATTATTGTCTTTTTCTTCTCTTGATCAGATCCATTTCTCTCATCTACTTCCTTCCTTCCACCTCCCTTTCATCTCATTCACTTTCACCTTGACTCCTCATTCCGCCCTCTCCCCTCTCTTCCGTTCGCCACCCTTTTTAACTGGCTGCTGATAAAATCCCATTTAGCCTAGACCATTACTCTAAATGTTTCACTCCAGCCGCCTTCGGGTTAACAACGGCCAGCGGAAACCTACCTTGACTCCAGCCAGTTGTAGCTTCTTCTCTCTCGCCCTTTCGCTATCCCTCCTCGTCACTCTCTTCACAACACCAACACTAGCACAATCACCTTCACCCGTCCAGGAAATGGCCTTCATGCGTGGCGGAAACTACCTCTATGTCCAGGGAGGCAAGTTTGTCACCAACGACGTCCAGATCTCTGTCTCCAACCAACTCGCCGCCCTCGACCTCTCTAAATCATGGTCAACCAGTGCACCCGTCTGGAACATACTCAACCCCGGCCCCGCCTATAATCTCTACAACGGAGTTTCGACAGCCGACAACCAGACCCTCATCACCTTTTACAACAACCAGGCACTCTTTGTCAACATCTACAGCGTACAAAGCAACAACTGGCAGTACACCTCTGTCAAGCCCTCTGGCGAGCTTCTCCAGGCGATCCGGACAGTGATCGACCCCAAAACGGGGCTAATCTACATTAACGGCGCCAGCAACATGATCGTCTTTAACCCTGCCAATCGAGGTCTATCATATACTGCTATCCCACCCGGAGTGTTGAATGCTCGTTTCTTTGCGGGCGCAAGTTACCATCCTACCAGGCGGTCAATCATGTACATGGGCGGCGTCACAGGAGGCCTCGCGTTCGAACCTACGACCTATGTCACCGAGTTTCTTCTTGACAGCCAAACCTGGGCACCCTTTGTGAGTTCCTCTTCCGTACTAGATTTTGGCGTTGTTTGTTTGTTTGCTAGTTGTTCTGTCATTAGATGCTAACCATTGATAGTTCTTTTTTGTTCTAGCCCACAACTGGTGACCTGCCAACTCCTCGAAGCGACCACTGCATGGTCATCAGTAAGTTCAATCCTTCATATGGTGCCAAAATCAACCACAGCCTTGGTCGCACAGCATGAATAAGATACGTTGTACTGACGTATTCTTACTGTACAAAACAAATAGGTGAAGACGGCAACACGATGGTGATGTTTGGAGGCAGGACACCACCCCCAGGAAACTTCACCGGCACCTTCTACATCCTCGACGTGCCCTCAAAAATATGGGTCCAGGGTCCCAGCGCCAACACACGACTTTACGCTGCCTGCGCTATTGTCGGCGACCAGTTTGTTGTCTGGGGTGGCTCTGACGGGAAGGACACTATTGGCGGAGCGCCCATTATCTATAGCTTTTCGCAAAAGAAGTGGATCGAGCAGTATAACCCCCCGGCCTATTTTGCTTCTACGCCTGCACCCACCGCCCCAGGAGGAGGACTCCCGCCATCGTCGTCATCGTCAAACTTGGGGGGGATCTTGGGTGGCACGCTTGGAAGTCTGTGTGTGTTGGCGATGGCAGGAGTTGTATACTTGTACATGAAACGCAGGGGCGACAAGGCCATGTACGAGTCCCAGGCTCAGCAACGTATCATTCGACAGGCGGTACGGACCAACAAAGCCTCCGGTGGAGGAGGAGACGGCTCTGCTGCTGGAAGCGCAAAGTTCATGAGGTCTAACCCTCAGGTCGCAGCAACAATGGCTACAGACATCAACAGCTACTTATCAGCACGCAACCCACAAGATGCAGTCGCCATGGGATTACATTTTGGACCACATAACCGACAAGACCCTCAGCTCTTGCCTATATCACCGCTCAACACTCCCATGGGTCCTGGATTTCAACAGCAACAGTTCAGATCGCCAGTTTTTATTCCCACATCAGGATCGTTGACACCGACTATTTTCGACTCCTCAACTATCAACTGTATACAGGGAGGAGGGCCTGTGCCTGTGGTGAGATATACGACTATCCCTGTACAGACGACAGCAGGACTTGCATACATGTCTGTTCCAGTCCAGAGCACTCCCCCATGTCCAGGCACCGTTGGAGTTGGTTCGACAGGATACGGATACACATCAGTTCCAACCCAAGCGCCCGTGCATAACTTTAACAATGGAGGAAGGTACGCATACACCTCTGTGCCATTACAGTCGCCCACAGGACAATACTTGCAGCCCGGTGGAATTTCAGGAGGTACACCGACCATGGGGTATGCAGGTTTCTCGCCCGTCCAGGGCAGTGATCATGACAGTAGCCCCGGATCAGTCCATCGTCCCCTTGTAGTTTCTGGTAGTAGTGGTGGTGGTACTGCAGGGCATTCTTATCCTGGCACACCTGTTACTTCTAGTGGCGGTGGCGGTGGTGGTGGAGACTATTACTACCCGCCTCCACCCCACCCTGCCGCCTCTGGTCCATAAGCACTGTCCAGTTCAGGATGTTTGGTTTCAATATTTTAATGCATCGTAATTAAAAGCCCTTGTGATGTCTGAGTGGGCGAGTGGGTTGAAAGATGCGCGCCTTTGGGCTGTCTATATAGCATCAATTGAAAAAAGTGTGTGGAACTCTAACTTGGTGACAGCAAATACGTCGACTTTGCTAGTCCCCTGGAAAAGGAACTGTTCGGTGTTGACAGACCAACACCCTTCGGTACTAAAAGCAGCCAGCCCCCACTTCCTTCTTTCTTCCTTTCCACGTACAGGTTCCCACTCTTGTTTTTAGGGTCGCCATTTCGTTCTATTTGTACGTGACTTGGTTCAAGATGAGCTGAGATCGTTCAGGGCCTGAAGGCTTTAGAAAAACTAAAAGGTGGAACGATAAACGCGACAGCCAATCAGAGCGCAGGAGCTCGAAATCAGCCCAGGAACACGATTTGTTTGAACGGGAAAAAATAAGGAACTAGACACACACGAAACAAAAGAAAACATATCCTGTTTGTCCTGTCCGCTTCAGAATAGCTCTTTTGTCTTCTTCGTTTTCCATCTGTTGCTTCGTGATCGAATACTAGTTGGTTTATAGGGCGGTGTTCAATTGATTCTCGAGTAATGGAAGGATGGATGGTGAGATGGATTTATAAGAAGAGGCGCAAGTATGTCTTTTTTTTTTTTCGTGTGAAGTGATCGAGAATTGGCTCGTAACTTTCGGATTATCGTGTACGTGTGAGTTTTGTTTGTTGATGGGAGTCCAAATGCAAACAATCGAGAGAAAAGCGAAGGAAGGAAGGGAGGGAGGGAAAAAAACGCACTGGTGTATAGGTTGTACGCCCATCACAAGAGAAGGAGGGGGGATGAGCCGGTAAAGGACAAAGAGCGGAGAGTTCTTGATGTGCCAATGCTATTTCAGATTAGGTTGCATTTGCTCGAACTGGCTTATCTTTTGCCTCCCTTTGCTATGAAAAGAATTTCAATGGACCGTGGTAAAATACAAACTTGTTTATGTCCTTTTCTTTTGACAGTGATAATGATAATGAGTGAATGAGAAGCGTTGTTCTCCAAGCAAGGCGGAGGTTGTTGTGTCTTGTAATATTCATGAGAGGAGAAAGGGACTGGCAGTTGTAACACGGCGGTCAAGTGTGATTTGAACGAATGGCGGGACGATCGCGATGAACAATGGACGGGGAATTGTTGTAGGCAACAAGTAACAGAAACAAACAACAGGATGGCTCCAAAGAGAACTAATGAAAAAGAGAAGTGGGGGTCGGTTCAAACACAGCGTGAGTGCTCGCCCTCATTAGCTCGCTCAATAAAACTTGCAAGGTTCGTCTTCTTTTCCCTTTTCTTTTTCTTTTTCTTTTTCTTTTCCCCCACTCTTCTCCTCGCCTCTATCCCCTCTCCCTCCCTCCCTTCCCCTCCTCGATACTCCCATCATGGCAGTGCAGCAGAGGAAAACCGTCGTCACCGAGACGACCACCACCACCAAGAACGTCGACCACCAAGTCGGCAAGACCTGGGGTCGCGATCGCGGTAAGCACCCCTCTCCGTCCTGTTCTTCCCAACAAAAACAAAAAACAAAGAGACAAGACTCTTCTTTGCAAGGAAACTCTCGTCAAGATCTCTTATTCAAAAAACTAATCACCTTGTCCTTTTTCATGTTCGAATGAATCAGATGTCTCCTTCGGCACCATCTTGATCTCACTCGGAATCTTGGTCATGTCGCCCATCTGGGTTCTTTACACCTACATCTCGTGCAACGGATACCAGTGCGCCATGTCTGCCCCAGCCCTCGAAATCTACAACGCGCCTGATGCCCTCATTGCCTTGAAGACCCTCTTGGCCCGCGAGTTGCCCACTTTCTCGCCCTATGCTGCTCGTCTCTTCTTCACCTGGTTGACCTTCCAGGCTGTTCTTTACGCTTTCTTGCCTGCCCAGATCGGATATGGTCAGCGTACCCCTGCTGGACACTTGCTTCCCTACAAGGTATGCCTCTTTTTTTTTTGTGTGCGAGTGTTTCGATTAGTTTGCTAGTTGTGGAGGAGGGTAGTATGTATGTATGTATGTATGTCAAGAAGGAATGGGCTGCAGAGCATGGACGATGTCAATGTGGACGAGATGAAGCATCATAGGCGGGCTTTTTTTTCAATTATTTGATTTTTGAACATTCAGGACTCAGGGCAGCCAGCAAGTAGAAAAGGAAACAAGGAATCGACAACACAACAGAGGAGAAAACAATAATTTCGATCAAAAGATGTACAAGATAGCTGACGTCTCTTCTTTTTACTCGACAAATCATCGAATAGGTCAACGGATTGTTGGCGTGGATCATCTCGCACGCTATCTACGCTGCCGGCGGCCTCTACTTTGGCTGGTGGAAGCTGTCAATTATCCACGACAACTGGGGTGGTCTCTTGATCGCCGCCAACGCCTACGGATACTTCCTCACCTTCTTCTGCTACATCAAGGCCCACCTTTTCCCTTCCCACGCCGCTGACCGCAAGTTCTCCGGCTCCTTCATCTACGATCTCCTCATGGGTATCGAGTTCAACCCCCGTTTCGGCAAGTACTTTGACTTCAAGCTCTTCCACAATGGTCGCCCTGGAATCGTTGCCTGGACCATGATCGACTTGTCCTTCGCCGCTGCCCAGTACCAGAAGATCGGCTATGTCAGCAACTCGATGATCCTCTTGAACTTGCTCCACGCCACCTACGTCCTGGACTTTTTCTACAACGAGGACTGGTACCTCCGCACCATCGACATCGCCCACGACCACTTTGGCTTCTACCTCGCCTGGGGTGATTCCGTCTGGCTGCCCTGGTTGTATACCCTCCAGTCGCACTACCTCGTCCGCAACACCGTCGATTTGACCCCCGTTCAGTTCGGCTTCATTTTCGCCGTCGGCTTCACCGGCTACTTCATCTTCCGCTCCGTCAACCACCAGAAGGATATCGTCCGCTCGACTAACGGCGAGTGCATGATCTGGGGCAAGCCCGCCAAGGTCATCCGCACCTCCTACGTCACCTCCGACGGCAAGACCCACAAGTCTCTCCTCCTCTGCTCCGGTTACTGGGGTCTCTCGCGTCACTTCAACTATGTCGGTGACCTCTTGATCTCTCTCGCCATGTGCATGACCTGCGGCACCAAGCACCTCTTGCCTTACTTCTACATCATCTACATGACCATCTTGTTGTTGCACCGCATCCAGCGTGATCATACCCGCTGCAAGGGCAAGTATGGCAAGTACTGGGAGGAGTACATGAAGGTTGTCCCCTACAAGTTGATCCCCTACGTCTACTAAATGCGCTTGGTCATAGCTTGAGCCTTCTTTTTTGTCAATTAGTTTTCCTCTTTTTCTTTGCTTTTGTTCATATTACTTTCATATTACTTTCATAAACGATTTTCATCATCCAACTATGTGTTCCTTGTACGAAATGTGAGGGAAGTACGACGAATGGCCTTGGTCCACATTCCACAGGTATTCACCTCATTGCTCTCTATCGGTCTCGTTTTGTACAGGGTACAGGGTACATGTCATCATCATTATTATTAGGAAGGAAAAAGAAAAAAAGTAATCTACTTGGGTGGAGGAACGTATCCTAAATCACCACCCGGCCTCGACGTCGTAGGCATAACAGGAGTAGGTGGCACAATCCCCTGGGGCCCTCTTGTACTAGCAATACTAGGAGTGCCAAGGCTTTCAATTATTGCACTAATCCCAGCAGGCGTACCCCAATTATGTTGCGAACCCGAGTCGGAGCCATGGTATCCAAGCTGTGCCGAGGGTTGCATGGCTGCTGTAGGTGTCAGGGGTGGATGTGGGGGTGTCGATTGTGTCTGGGATGGGGTGTCGTAGACGCTGCCTGTCCATGACTGTGGGCCGTGGGCGACACTGTCGCGTTGTTGGTAATGTGTCTGGTATGGTGGTCCTAGCTGTTGTTGGTGTTGCTGGTAGGGCTGGACTGTGAGGGGTGCAGCATTAACCGCTGCTGCTGCCGCGGCTGCGGCGCCATAATCGTACGCTCCAGACGGGTATCCTGATCCTCCTGCAGGCGAGTATGCCGTATACGGCGTCAAGGGTGTCAAATTTGTTACAGGTTGATGTGCGGGTGCACCAGAGACGGGCGCGACGCCCAGACTATGATACAATTGCTGCTGGTGTTGCAACTGTTGTTGAAGATCCTGTTGCTGCAGCTGGTATTGTTGTTGTTGGTATTGCAACTGTTGTTGACGGAGTTGTTGTTGATGGTAGAGTTCCGGGTCGATGGGGCTGGCGCCGCCCGAGGGGAGTGGAGGTTGGCGCAGATGGTTGTTGTTCACAGGCATGAGGGCAGTGTAGTCGTTCTCGGAGGTTCCATGCGTGTACGCGTCAGAATACGTAGACTGGATCCTAGGTGCTCCTCCTCCTCCTCCTCCTCCTCCTCCTCTTCCTCCCGATGATCCAGAGTTGGCCGGTTGGGCTTGAAGTGCCGCTGCAGCCGCATAATGATCCATAGCACTCATCTGTCCCGCGCGACCAGAAGCAGAATTAGAGGCACCAGCATCCGAATAGGTGGGTCCAGACGCAGACCGTCCATAGTGATCCTTGTCCTTGTCGACCGTGCTGACGTGCATGTAATTTTTGTGATGAGCAATAGGATCAAACCGGTATTCGAGTCCCTGGCGCTCATCTTCATCCACTACTGAGGCCGCAATCCTGGCTTCCGATTCAGTTGCCTCCTTGTCTCTGTTCTGACGCCTACGTCTGAAAATGAAAAACGCGACCACACCAACCAGAATTACAGCAACAACACCTCCAGCAGCGCCAGCAATGACTGCAGTATTACTCTTACCACCGCCGTCACCACCTCCATTACCGCCATTGCTTCCATTGCCCCCATTTCCACCGTTGCCAGTTGGTCCAGCGGGGTCATATCCAGTCGACCAGACATCCAGGTCGAGATCATAGATGATAGGAACATTGTCGTGCATGGTCGTCTCACGGTTCGTGCCACTGGACCCTCCAAAGGCCACAAACTGTCCTGCCATGAACCCACATGCCATGCGAGTTCGGTAAGCTGACGCCGATGTGCCTTGACGCCAGACTCCCGAGACAACATCGAGGACATAGACGGTGTCAAAGAAGGTGATCGAGTCCAGCGATCCTCCAAACAGTACAATCTTAGAGCCGTCCTCCGCTAATGAAAGGGAAGGACATAAAAGTATATGTTAGTCCAGCGGACCTGAGGAACAAAAGACTCCGAAGTTAATCAATTGAGCCCCTCCATCGTCTTCCAGCCTATATAGCAATGGAAAAATAAGGCCAGCGCAGCAGGCACCCCAAAAGTTCGGTAACAGACATCAATCACTTACAAGCTGCAGCACAGGAATCCAAGCGGCGCGTAGGGATATTGCCAGTCGTTGCCTACATGATCAGCAAAGTGGCACATAAAAACGTGTTGTGCGATGGACATGTTAGCAAAAAAAAAATTCGATCATGCCTGGTCACCCCCCCCTATACAATCCTGTTTTCCTGACTTCATTGACTTCAACCCCTTTTTGTCTTTCCTCGCCTCCCTTCCCCTAAACATTAAGGTTTTTCTGTGCCATGAGTGTACTGTACCATGGTCTTCCAGATCCTGGAGGAGGGGTCGTACTCGTTCAAATTAGCCATGTCAAATCCACTGACGGCAGTGACAGCTCTTGACCCACCAAACGTCAACACAGTTTTGCGCTTTGACGACCAAACAGCCGCCACATCCGTCCGGTTGCTCGTATTCGTTGCCTCCTGGCTCGACACAACAGTCGCCGTCTTCGGGTCAAAGACTGTCAAGAGATTCTGGGTCATGTTTCCATAAAACCCTCCCACAACATACACAAGGCCCGTGTCCGGATCCGCAACCACTGCGTGACCCTCCAGACCGGTATAGTTGCCAGGCAAAGGTGTAGGGATGTTCTTCCAAGACCCAGCCTGGAAATCGTACGCCGTCCAGAAGGCTCCTGGAGTTGCAGGGTTGCCTCCAATGGTCAACAGGTACCCCTGTGTGGCACCTCCGAGTCCGGCGCCGTGTTCGGGTTTGACAACGACCATGGCGTGATGAGAGGCGGCAGGGCCGACTGCGAGGTCGGACCAGGCTGGAGTGCTGGTCTTCCAGGCGGTATTGAGGTCGAGGGAGTTGAATTGTCCGATCGCCTGTTGTGGGGTGAATCCTCCTTGGATGTAGAGCACATTGTTGTATTGAGTGAAGGCCACTCTCCGACGGGCTGCGGGAGCCTCGGCGCTGACTGTTGCTGGGGTGGCAAGGAGGAAGATGGCGAGGGAGAGGAGGATTGTGGCGAGGAAGGCATTGGGTCTAGACGAGGTCCTTCCTCTGCTCTGGGAAAGGCTTCTACTGTTCATGATTTTTTTCCTGGGTTGAGGCGAAAAAGGAGCGGTGGCTGTGGGTGAACTGGAGGGAAGGTAGGAAAGGGAAGTCGTTAAAGAGCCATGCAGGGGTGTCCAAGAGAGACACTTGACCCAGCGTTTGCGTAAAGAAAGTGAAGAGAAAGAAAAAAAGTGGGGTGTGGAATGAGGAGGAATTGAAGGAATGGGATGGATGGAGGAGATCAGGAAAGACGAGGAAAGAAAGAAGCCAACGAGAAAGAAGAAAAGTGCGGTGGGAACGAGAAACAACAGGTACAAAAAAACGTTATCAGTCTTTGGCTGTCTCTATCAGGTTCCATCGCCACGGTCTAGTGTATGTGGCCAGTGGGTGGGGCAAGTCCTCCTCTGTAGTGGTCCAAGAGAGATCGAGTGGGTAATGGCGCTCTTCCTGTCTTTCTCTCCTCCAGTTTGACCACCTTGTCCATGGTGCTCTCATACCACACTGTGCATCATATTTGTTGTCTTCTATCCTCGGCTTTATTTTTTAACAAACCAGGTTGCACTGCCCAAAATCTTACAACAGTTTGACTCTCCCACTCCGCTCCGTTCTTCTTTTTCTCTTCTTGCACTTGGCCCTGTTGTAATTCACCTTTCTTTTTTCGCCTCTACTCCCCATCGACAACGCTCAGTTGCTCTCATCTTCGCCTCTTTGTTTGTGTCTTTTTTCAAGTTTCTTGCCAAACACTCCCCTCTATTTGTTTGTGCATTTGTTTATTTTTTTCTGTTTTTGTGTATTTTTTTCACATTTCGAAGGGCGATGTTCACCGCGCCCTTGACATTAAAGCGAGATCGGCTCTTGTGTTGAGTTTTCTATCCTATTCAATTAATTCAATGAGTTTTTTTTTTTTTTTTGAGAAACAATTCCCAGACATCTACGCCATGTAACTACGTAACATAGAAAAATCAAAATGGTCATCTAGGCCGTGCAAAATAGAAATATCCAACTTTATTTGTATGTTGCACAGCCTAGATGACCGTTTTGAATCTATCTTACGTAGTTACATGGCGTAGATGTCTGGGGATTTTTTCTCAAAAATCTAAAATCTAAAATCAACATTCATTGAATTGAAATGGGTAGAAAACTCGATCTCGCTCTTATGTCAAGGACGCGGTGTGCATTGGCGTGCATACCCGCTTTGTTTACATGCACTCCTCTTCCACTCACTTTCATTCTCTCATTCCCTGTTCACCCAACGATTAACTTATATACTATTTCGAACCTTTCTACTTATCCATCAGGAATGCAAAAAGTACGAAACAAAGTAGAGATACATCCACTTGTCGTCAAGGCGCCATCACACACTCAAATCCTACGCCATACTTCACTATATCTTTTCGCCAATCTCCAGCCGTCGTTTCAACCGACGGTCATAATACAGCGTTCTATCCTATCTCCAATTGGTTACTGGTTTTTATTGGTGCTTGTGGGCCTCATTTGCCCAAGAAAGACAGGAATGGCTCTGATATGTTCTGTTTTTTCCTTGCTCTCAATACTCAAATGCACAGTACTTCAGTACTTTAAGGTATTTGACCAACTGTAAACATGCTGTCATAAGGGACCACATGCCGCACTGTTCTCTTTTTTCTTCGTGCCTGATGATACTTCAGCCTTTTCGCTCCATCGAACATAGCCCACTGCTTTGAACCAAGTCTCCTCAAACCATACTTACAAAGAATACTATTTATTTATTTATTATACAATTAGTTTAGGGGTTTCAAGAGTTGTGGAGAGGATGTGTAGGAAGGAGGCGGATTAGAGGAAGAGTCTGTAGAGGAAGTCGTCGTAGAGGGTTTCGAAGTAGCAGAATCCGAAGATGGCGACTCTGTAGGAACAGAGGGAGCATGCCGCGAAACATGTTCAACCTTGAAGTCGTGAACAACTGCATGCGGTCCACGGACATCCAGTGGTGTGAGGTCGAAATCCCACGAGTTCATCCTTTGTGTCATCGACGGCGCCAACGGTCGAGTTATTTGGTAGTGGTGTCGATTATCTACAACGTTGCTGCCGCCGTTCCAGTCTTGTGGCGACGACGGCGTAGGCGACACTATGAGTTCCTGGATCCCCTCTGGTGGCACCCACTCTTGGTTGGTTTTAATCGTCAGCCCTTTTTTCTCTTTTCCTCTCCGGCTGTCTGTTCTGTTCCTGCGACTGCTGCCCGTACTACTGCATTCACTCTCGCTGTCGCTCCCGATATCATGATAGCCTGCGGCACATGAGTGTGGACTTCGGAGTGAGAGACCGCCAATCAGATGAGGGTGTTGTATCTGGAGTTGCCGTTGCTTCAGGAGGAGTTGTTGATAATACAGCGCCGGATTTGCCTGAACATCTGGATCCGAGAGTCGACGCGCCTTGCTGAGGTCTGTCGAGTTGCTGCCGTCCGAGACAGAGACCGAGTTGGTATGGGCCTCCGAGATCCAGGATTTAGGGCTTTTGAATGCCGAGGGATGAAGTCTCTTGCTGGCCTCCTCCAGAGCCGCCTGTGCCGCCGCATAATGATCCGCTGCTGTCATGATCTTGGGGGCGCGCTCCTGCTCTTGCTTCTCCTCCGCAGCCAGCATTGCCGTAGCTCTGGCTTCCGTGTCCTTGACCACCTTTTCCCGGGCGAACCTCCTCCTGCGGACCAAATAAACTCCCAGAGCAACCATCAGCAAGACAATCACTCCTGCAACGCAGCCAATAATAATTCCCAGTTTGCTCTTGTCTCCTGGAGGACTGCTGTCGTTGGGGACAATTGCATCGCCACTGCCGGGGTGAGCTGGCGAGGTGGGATTGCCTGTACTGGTGGGATTTCCTGCGCTGCCAGATCCAGAACTTGGCGTAAAAGAGCTCGCCCAACTAGCCTTAGCGACATCAAAGATGAGAGGCTCAGCGCCCGTCAAAGAGTTCATGTTCGTTGCGTTGACGGAGCCCTCAAAAACAATGAACATTCCTGAGTGGAAGGCGCACGTCGCCTGGGACAGGACTCCTATCGAGGGAGGACCTGCAGTCCAAACACTGGTTGTCACGTCAAGGATGTGGATCGAGCTGAGGAATGTGTTGGCGTTGGCAGCGCCTCCGTAGACAATCACTTTTGTTCCATCGTCCGCTATTGTTGTTTGTTGAACAGTTGAGGGATATGATTGGGTTAGAGCGAAGAAAGACCTAGATGTTTGGTACACAGGGCTGAGGCGAAACAAGACCAACGAAGACCTAGTCACTGGGGGACTTGGGAAAAGTCGTAGGCTTTCGTAGGCTACTTACAGACAGCGGCGCACGCGTCTAACCGTGCTTGGGGGATCGCGCCTGATGTCGTCTATGATGAACAGGGGTGCAGTAGAAACAATTGTCAACGGTTAAATTTTTTGTAAAAGAACACACTAGGAAGATAAAAAAAATCAAATGGGGTTACAGCAAATGCATAATTGCTTCAGGTACCGTATTGCTCCACGCCTTTGTGGAAGGGCTATACTCGGTCAAGACAGTCATGTCTAGTCCATTCACAGAGGCCGTTGCCACAGCTCTTGATCCACCCAGCAGCATCACCGTGCCCCGCTTGGTCAACCAGATGGCATTTGCGCCTGTCAAGCTGTTGTCGGTGGTCGCACTCTCCTGCGAAAGAAGTTTTCCTGTGTTGGGATCAAAAATCGTCAACAAGTTGGTTACTTGGGGTAGGGGTGCGTTCGAAACCAGTCCATTGAATCCTCCAATGACATACACCAATCCTGTCGTAGGGTCTACCGTCGCAGTATGGCCCTCCAATTCGACATAGGGCACAAACGACATATCTGCAGGCTCAACAGTGACATTCTTCCACTGCTTTGTCTGGACATCAAAGGCGGACCAGAATCCTGGTCCGTTGGCGGGCGTGCCCCCAATTGCGAGGATGTACCCCTGGGTGCCTGTACCGAGCCCTGCAGAGAATTTGGGCTCGATGGCGACCATGGCATGATGCCAGACCCGTTTTCCTGCAGGGAGGATGGTCCAGGGCGCAGCGGTTGTTGGCCAGGTGGTGGTTAGGTTCAGGGAGTTGAACTCGTTTGAACCTGTATTGATGGTTGGGAGAATCCCTCCATGGATGTAGAATTGGTTGTTGTAGACTGTGTAGGCGGATCGTCGGCGAAGGGTCGGGGTTTGGGCATGTACTGACGGGGAATTGCAGAGGAAGAACAGGGTTATGAAGAGAAGACAAGGAAGGAGGGGGAAGGGTGGAGCAAGGAAAGGTTTTGTTGTTGGTGTCATGGCATCGAATAAATGCGCGTTGGTTAAAGCAAGGCAGAGTTCGAGACGTGGGCAGTTGATCTCTGTCAAGGGGAGAGGGATGAATGGGACAACCCTGTTGAAGAGGAGGAAGGGGATGTAATGAGAAGTGATGAGCGAAGAGGAGGGAGGGTGAATGGGTGCGAGATGAGCCGTTGGCAAGGTAAATGGGAAGGGTGGAGCGCTGGGTTGCAAAGGAAGGAAACGAAGAAACGCACACAAAGGGTGAAGGAGAAGGGTGAACTGCAAACAGCCAAAGGAAGGGAAGTGCACTTTCAACTTCAGTCAAGCACCCAAACAAACAAACAAGCAAGCAAGCAGGGTTTTCATCACGCATGGATCGCCCGTCCTCCCGTCCGTCTCGGCGCCTTTTGTCGCTGCATTGTTTTTGTCACATTGCGCTCTTCGTTTCTTAATGCCGATTAGTCAAATGTCCGCACTTTCTCTGCCTATTGCCTCTCTCTTCCTAATTCCTTTCTCCACCTGTGCTTTCTTTCCTTTGATTGTCTATTGCAAGAGAAATGAAATGCATGGTTCCTCTTTGTTCTTCGTCGACCCCTCACTCTCTGAGACAGATAGAGTGATCAACGATTGTACCTTGATGGGATCGACTTTCTGTTGACAACCAGTTATCTGTGAACTGTCCCAACCTTCTTATTTTTATTAACACCGCTCTCACTCATCCCTTCAATTGCTCTCTCAATCCATTCGCTCACCTGTTAGCCAGATCCTTTCTACCCATGGACTCTTTCCCTCTCTCCTTCCGTCACTCACACTTCTCTATTTCCTTTTTCACAACCCAGGCATCCCCTTTGCGCGTTCCTGTTTATCCAACCTTACTCACCACCAATGTCATCTCTTCTTTATCTCGACACCGGCAACCCAAAGAACAAAAATAACAAGCCAACCCCCGCCTTGGATGCGTAATGTACCTTATGAACACATCGGAGTTGACAAAAAGAATTTTTTACTTGGCGGTCGGTACGACAACATCTTCCAACCTCGAATTAGAGTAAACAGCACCAATTGCAGTATGTGGTGAACGCCGGGCTGAAGTAGGCGAGATTGACGATGGCGATTCTCTCTTGACAAAAGATATAGCCTTCCCGGCACTCGCTGCTGCTGTAAATGATCCATCTCCATCTCTGCCGACAGTGCTGCCTCCAAGCAAAGTCTTAGATTCGTCCTTCTTGTCAGGATTCGAATGTGGGCTGCGGGGAACTCTATCGGACTGCTGTAGTCCCATTTCAACAGATCCCAATGCTTGGGGCTCGCCAACTGTTTGTTTAGCGGCATAGTGCTCAGCAGCTGCCATGACCCGGTTGTTGTCGTTGCTGTTGCTGTTGTTGTTGATAGCCTCGGCAACCTTCTTGTGAATCGTCTGACGGCGGTCACTGTAACGGTCTTCTCCATTCGAGAGCAAAGCAGCCGTTCTAGCGTCCCTCTCCACAGCCTTCCGAACCCTCCTCCGCTTCTGCATCATATACCCCAAAACCACGGCACAAACAACAGCGACCCCCACACTTGCACCAATAATCAATCCCATGTTACTCTTCTGCGAACTTTCAGTACTACCGCCTTCACCGGCACCGATACCAGCACCGATACCAGCACCGGTACTGTTAGTAGAAGGGCTATAGTACTCAACCCACTGGTTCTTGCTGACGTCGTAGACAATGGGCTGGTTGGAATAAAGACCCGCGGTTTGGTTGGAAGTTCCTCCAAAGGCAATAAAGAGTTCAGAGTGGTAGGCGCATGCCATCTGCGTCCGAGCTGCGGGTGCTGGTTGACCCTGAGTCCATTGTGCAGAGTCGACGTCGAGGATGTGGATGGTGTTGAGGATCACATTCGCATCGGCCGCCCCTCCGAATAAGATGACCTTTGATCCATCATCCGCTGTGTGTTTGAAAAGACAGTATTATGTATTGTGTTATTACACCAGCGAAAAAATAAAAAGAATGAGGATAGTCATCATCACTTGGCTTACATTCAACGGCGCAGGCATCCAACCGAGGCGATGGGAATGTACCCTTCGTTTCCTATTGGTTAATAATCAAACGTGATAATGTGTCTTAGCTCCAAGCCTTTTCAAACGTAAAAATGAGTCTTAGCTCCAAGCCTTTTCATCCGTCATTTTTCCAGGAACCAAAAGTGAAAAAGATCATCTTGCATCCAGCACAAAACATCAAAACTCTTCCCAAACTTACAAAAGTCTTCCATTGACCGACAGTCGTATCATACTCCCGAACGGCAGTCTGCACAATCCCTTTTACTTCGCCTGTCCCAACCGCCCTGGATCCCTCAAACAACAGCAAAGTTTTCCGTCGGGTCGACCAAACCGCAGACCCGCCCGTCATATTGTTGGCATCCGTTGCTTCTATGCGTTGCATAACCGCTGCTGTCTTTGGGTCAAACACTGTCAACAGGTTACCGACCTTGGGGGTGTTGTAGAATCCACCCATCACGTAAACCAGCCCCGTAGTTGGATCCGCAACGGCGGTATGGCCCTCTAGGCCTGTGTACGGGGATGGGGTGGTAAGGTTGGTCCAAGATCCTGTTTGGAGATTGTAGGCGGAGAAGAAGGCGTTCAGGGGAGGAGGGTAGCCTCCAACAGATAGGAGGAACCCTTTTGTGCTGGCAGAGGCCAGGCCCCCAGAATGTTCCGGTTTAACGGGGACTATGGCATGATGCCAGACCCAGCTTCCGCTCGCAAGGGTTGTCCAAGCCGCGTTGGTGGTTGGCCAAGACGAGTTCAGGTCCAGGACACTAAGGTCTCCTGTTCCGCCAGCGACTGCAGGGATCCCCCCGTGGATGTAGAACTGATTGGTGTATTGGATGAAGGCTGCTCGGCGACGAGACACAGGTATCTGGGCGTTTGTTGGTATTGGTGTTGTTGTAGTTGTTGTGAATATAATAAGTGATAGGAGGATGGAGAGGTGGACGGTGGGGAAGAGGTATGGGATCGCCGCTGAGGTGGTTGTGGTTGTGTCTGAAGAGGAGTCATCTGTCCGATCTGTGTCTTATTTGTTTGTGCGAATGGTTGGCGCAAGAATGATCTGGTTAGGCGTAATTTTTCGTGTTCTCGTTACTAGGGTAGGATGAGGAGGAAAGGAGGGTGGGCTAGTGAACGGTTAGGAGACTTTCTGTAAGGAAATGGAGGTGAGGAGTTAGAGTTGATGTAGTGAAGTGGCAAGAAAAAAAAGATGAATGAGAGTGTCGAAGAGTAAGGAATGTCCAAAAGAAAAATAAAGAGAGGGGGGAAAGGGGAAAGAAGGCAAAGGCAGAAGAGGTGGCCTACATTCTTTTTTGCAAATCTTTACTGAATTAAAAATTTAAGTGTGTTATTCAGCCTTATTTTTAAATTCAGTAAGGATTTGCTTTTCCTTATGAAACGCAAAAAGGAATGTAGACCACTGAGGTCAAGAAGAAAGAGAGAACATGGTCGAGCAGAGAAGGCTAGGCCACTGAGTTGGACCAAACCAATGCTGTCTTCCTTCCTCTCCTCCTGCATATCACCCATCTCTCGCATCAACATCTCCGATTTCACTCTTCTTGTAACGCCAACTGAGCCTATTTTTCCGCCAAAACGACACTCTCCTACACTGCCACTTCGTTTTGTGTTTTCACGTCAAGAGTATCAATCGCCTGCAGGAAAAAAACAACTGCATGCTGTTGGTCTCCTTCGTAAAGGCAGAACTTTTCTTCGTGCTCTTGAAAGTGTTGAAGCAATGTACACACCAAACACCCAACATCTTTTGTCCAACTTTTTCCATCCACTCGTGCGGATGCACGCTGTTCTCAGGGTAAACAAAACATCCACTCACACCCCCAGAAAAACCAACGGAGTTTATCAAACCAAGGTCATCCAAACGCACAAAGCAACAACAAGCGGAAAGATACTAACAAAAAATATTATTATTGTGTACAAGAATAAGAGTGTAAACTACGACTGAGGAGGACGGATGTAATCTGAAGGCGAACTAGGAGAAACAGCCTGGGGACCGCGAGCGGGTAACGCCGTCATCATGTTGGTTGAATATCCGTCATCGGCATATTTGTTAAGTCCGCCGCCGTTGGTGCTGTCGACAGCAGTCCCCACACTATTGCTGCCACCCCAACCCACTGGGGAGTCGAGTGGCGGGAACCCAGGAGTCGTCGGCGTCGCACTGGCGGTGGGGACCCCGTAGTACCCGTTCGAGGGGACCCAAGGCTGCTGCTGCTGCGGTACTACTACTCCACCGTTGTAGGTGATTGGTGGCACGGCTGGGATATGGCCGCCTGCTCCGGAGACCGGTTGTGTATCGTAGTAGCTTCCGGTCCAAGAGTGAGGACCCTGGATATTTCCGTCACCTTGCTGGATGAGCACTGGGACACTGTAGCCCCCCGCCACAGAAACCGGATAGCCTCCGAGGGTGTTGGTGGGAGATTGGTGCGGTACGAATGAATGAGGGGGGGTTGACAGTGAGTGCGCAGGGGAACCAGGTGTCATGTTGCCATATGCAGCCTGGTCAGCATATTGTTGCTGTTGTTGTTGAAACTGCTGTTCGTACGGCTGTTGCTGCAACTGCATTTGCTGATAGTAGTACTGGGCGTCAGGCTGAGAAGCAGTGTCAGAGAGAGCTCGAGCACTACCCACGGCATAGTCATGTTCCGAGACACCCTGCGAGAACGCGTCCGACTGTCTGTAAGCGGCATGAACAGAAGGTGAAGCATTCGCGCCTTGGAATGCAGCTGGGCTCATGGAACCGGGTCTGCCATAGGCATCCGAATTGTCACCGTTGTTGTACTTGTCATGAACAACTCGCTGACTACGGCGGATTTCGTCATCGCTTTCAGTAACCAGCGCGGCCGCCTTTTCCTCAGAGTCCTTCGCCTCCTTATTGCGCTTGGCTCTCCTACGTTTAACGAAGCAAAATCCACCGACGGCACAGATGATGAGGGCAACGATACCTCCAACAGCACCACCGATGATCGCCCCCTTGTTACCAGTGCCACTGCCATCAGTAGCTCCGTTGGGATCAAAGTTGACCGACCAGGCGTTGGCATCGACATCGTAGACGATGGGGAGGTTGTTCTGCATGTCTGTCATCTGGTTGGTTCCTCGAGAACCTCCAAAGGCGACGAACTGGCCGGAGTGGAATCCGCAGGCCATACGTGCTCGATAGTCAGGAGCAGCTACGCCTTGTGACCACACACCAGAGACGACATCAAGCGTGTATATTGTGCTGAAGAAGGTGTTGGAATCGAGTGATCCTCCGAACAATACAATCTTGGAGCCGTCGTCCGCTATTGTCCATGATATAAATAAGAAGTATGTGAGTAAGTGAGTGAGCGAGTGGATGAGTGCGTTATAGTCCATAGAGATGTAAATAAGGCGACCCTTGGTATGATAGCATTGAGTGGTGCAAGTCGACCTTTTTTTTTCCTTCCATCGTCATATAAGTTTTCGACTTACAGGCTGCAGCGCACGCGTCCAGCGCACGTGTCGGAACGTTTCCCGTCGTGGCCTATCAATAATTGGGGTGCAAAAAAAAAGGATCGAAAAATTACTATTCCGTCCAAGCCCCTCTTCTTAAAGCCTAATGCAAGATGCACACAAACGACATCCAACCGGTACGAAGAAACAAAAAAAAAAATACAGTCCGCCAAATCGGCGAAAAAGGTTATTTTGCCTTACCATAGTCTTCCAGATCTTGGATGCCGGGTCGTACTCGTCAATGGTGCCCATTTGTAGTCCACTGACAGCCGATGAAGACGTAGCTCTGGACCCACCAAATGACAAGATCGTGTTGCGTTTTGTTGACCAGACGACAGCCGCACCAGTCAAGTTTGTCTTGTCTGTTGCTGCCTGCTGCATGACCACCGAGTTGCTCGTTGGATCATAGACCGTCAGGCGATTGGCGACTGTGGCATTTGTCGTGGCATCAGTGTAGTATCCTCCAACAATGTATACCTGCCCTGTCGACGGATCTGACACTGCTGCCTGTCCTTCCAAACCAATATAGGGCGCTGGGGTGGTGAGGTTCGCCCATGTACCTGACTGGATATCATAGGTTGACCAGAAACCACTGCTCGATGCTGGGTTGCCTCCAATTGAAAGCAAATACCCCTGAGCACCACTTCCCAAACCGGCAGAATGCTCGGGGTCAACAGCGACCATGGTGTGATGAGACACCCAGTTGCCTCCCCCGAGCATAGTCCATGAGGGCGAGGCTGTTGACCAAGGCTTTGTCAAATCGAGTGCGTTGAATTGGTTGGAGAGGCCGGCTTGTGCGATTCCTCCCTGAAGGTAAAGCTGATTGTTGTGTTGAACATAGGCGAGTCGACGACGAGCAACTGGTGCTTGTGCATCGGTTGTCAAGGCGAGAAGAGCGAGGAGGAGGGTGGAGAGTGCGATGAGGAAACTAGTGCTGGTTGTTTTGATGGAGGAGGAAGTGGGGCAGTAAGAGTGGTGGGTATGGACTGGTGGCCAGGTGTTTCCTGTCGTTGAAGCCATTGTTATGTTTCTGCTTGAATGAAAGAGGCAAAGGCGGAGAAATGAGAGACAGGAGAAACAAAGGGGTGAATGCGCCACTGGAAGACAAACGGAAAATGTGTCAGTGTGTGGGCAGAAACAACAGCAATACCAAGGAGGGAGAATGCTGCCTGATTGCCTCTTGTAAGGTGAGTGGTATGAAAAGGATGAACTGAAAGGGTAGGGTGAATGCGACGTGAGTGAGGGATGGGTAAAGCTAAGAAGATGAACGAGAGAGGAGAGAGAAAACAAAACAACGCAAACACAAACAAAGACGCATGCGACAAATTTTACTTTTTGCATGGCCCATTCAACCACACATGCATCGAAACTCAGATTAAACGCCAGTGAAGGAAGGGAACGAGGATAATCCTCTCATACACACAGCCTAACCTTCTTCTTCCCACTCCGATATACATACATACATACATACATACATACATACTACAGCAGATGCAAACGACACAACAGCATCATCATCATCACCATCATCCCAAAAAAAAAAAAAAAAAAAAAAAAAAAATGGACCCATTGGCCAAGCCGGGACAATGTCCCGTCAGTTTACTGTGCTGTACAAGATGATGCGCCATACGTTGCCGCTTCAATTGCTCATCCCTGTCTGTCCACTCCCACCCCCTCTTTTATTGTCTATGTCCCTGGCGTCGCTGCTCACACATCCCAAACCTGTGTTTTGTGTTTGCTGTATGTTTTTTTTCTTTGCTCTCATCTTTTTACTGTGTGCACATCAATTGAGATTATTCACAAAAACACAACAGGGAAAAAACAAGAGGTTAGCGAACCATCTCATACTTCTCATTCTCCCTCGGAGGGGTCAGTTGTACGCCAACCTTGGATGTGGATTCGAACCCAACAGAAGTACACTCGTTCATACCTCTGGGAATCCTATGTATGGCATTCAAGAGAGGGCAACAGAAGTACACTCTGGGAATTATATGTATTGCACTCAAAAGAGGGCTACAAACACCATCGTCGACCCCCTTTTCTCTCACACTATGCAAACCAATGCTTCCATGGCTCTATTCTGAGCTATTTACACTTAAGGCTCCCTTACAGTCCATTCGCCACACATTACTTCTTCAGCTTAGATTATGCTGCCATGCTCACAAAAACCACCTAAAATCATGAACGTCATTCCTTCCAAAAGAAATAAAAGTTGCCACCAAAATCGAAATAAAGCAAAAGTGTGTCCACGAATAGGGAACGCCAATTTTCTATCATCACAAAACATTAAAGGCAGAGATACGATTGGGGCGCATAGGCATAGAAAGTTACCGCGTCTTTACGAATGCTTGCTCCCGTAGACACCAGCTCATCGGCGCAGTGATAGGTTACTGTCGTGTTCAAGGAAACAATACAAATGATTGCACCTGAACAAAAAGTGAGCTTGTCTTCACACAAGTGGATTTGGCGTGAAATGTTGTCGAAGAGAGTGGAAAGTCCATTGCGACCTCAGAATGAAAGACAGGAAAATTGAAAGGGAAAGGGATGTGTGTGTCAGAGAATGAGGAAAAACAAAGAAGAAAAATAAACGTGGACCAAAGCGGAAAACGTCAACGAGCGCCACAGAAATGCGACAGACAAAATCATAGTCTTTGCTAGCTTTCGTCTCTCAGAAAGAACGTGGCAGGTAAAACGCACTGAAAAGCGTAGTAGCCCCGTCGACACAGTGATCGTTCAAAAATAACTGCGCTTTTAATGCGATGAGTAGGATGAAGAATGTACCTGCGAATAGCCTGGAATGCGGACACAGAAAAAGACCCCCGCAGGGCAGTGCTCACGACACCTCCACCCTCAATCGAGCAATCCCCTTTCTTCTTTCCATTGGTACGAATCAATTGCTTTTATTTAAAAAGACCTCATCCTACTATCCCCCTCGCATCACTAGTTCTAACAACCGTGATAAAAAATCTACTTGTTAGACTTCTTCTTCTTGTTCTTCTTCTTCTTGGAAGCGCTGGAAGCAGGAGAGTTGACCGCAACATTGTCATCAAGAGTAGTCGTTGATATCAGTGTCGAGGTCGATTCAGATCCAGGCAATGCACGGGCGCCGCTCGACGAAGTAGTCGTCTTCTCTGTTGGCTCATCCGTCAACAACACCTCTTTAGGTCTCTCGGCCTCGAACTGGACTTCGGCCGATCTTGGGGTCACCTCCTCTACAACAACTTCCTCCTCATCCTTTGCAACCACTGGCGTAGCAAATGTTTCGGGAACGATCTGAGCCTGGGTAGTGACAATATCTCCAGCAGCATCGGCAACAGCAGCATCCGAGGGCGGGTCAATCGTGTAGACACCACCACAATCAGTATCGGGCACCTCGATCGTCACAGACCGCTCCTGAATATCCTCCGGGGTATCCTTGCTGGCCAACTCCTGAACCACCTGGACCTGATCCTTGAAATTGACCACGGGCGAGTCCTTGTTTCCATTGGCAGCAGTGGGCTTGGGGTTCACAACCGTCGACGACGACTCTTCTTGCTCAGCAGGGGTGGCGGAGATGTGAGCATTGGCGGTGGTGTTGATGTCGGTGGCTTTGGCCACGGCAGCGTTATCCAAAAGCGCGACCGAGGGGTTACGGAGCAAGATAGTCTTTCCAGTCGCCATATAATTGTTCTCAATCGGTATGGTGGCAGTACGACGATCCGATACAGTACCCTTGTTACCCAGAAGTGGCGACGCGTCACTGATGGCGGGCGACTGTAACAACGACTTCAAGCTCTTGATCATCTTGACGTTCTTGGAGGGCTTGCGGATGACTCGGATCTTGTTGTGGATATCGACATAGACATCCGACTCGTCCACAATCTCCTCGCCCAAAAGCTCCTCAATCACATCCTCGAGGGTAATCACGCCCACGGGGTGACCGAATCCGCCGGGCTCCGAGGTAACAATCGCCATGTGGGAACGACCCTCCTGGAAAAAGTTCAAAATATCAAGACAGCTGGTGTTGGGGGCGGCCTCAGGGAGAGAGTTGATCTTGAACTGGCGGACAGGGATATGGTCCTCAGGGTCGTAAGTAATCAAACTCTTGACAAGAAGCATTCCAATAAAGTTGCTGGGATCGTCGTGGCGGTAGATAGGGATACGCGAATGGCCTTTGTTGACAATCTCCTCCATCAGCTCCTCGTCCAAGATGGCGTCCTCACTGAGCGCGAAAACATCATCGAGGGGGGTCATGACTGTTGAGATGGCCTTCTCCTTGAGATCAAGGACAGAGGCAATGATCGTAACCTCGTCATCGGTCAACTCGCCCATTCCATCGACCTGGTGCAACGAGACCAAGGTCTTGAGCTCGGTTCTGCGGTATGTCGTTCCGTGATGAACGCCCAGCCACTTATCCAGTAACATGGCGATAGGGTACGAGACGGGCGACATGATATACATAAAGACCAGCATGGGCTTGGCGCAGTACGATCCAATGGCGAGACCATAACGAGCGCAGGCAGCTTGAGGGATAATCCTATCAATTGGAATAGGAGAGAAAAAAGTTAGTTCGATTGCCAAGTTGATGTTCAGCCATTGTCCTTCTTCTCACAACGGCAGAAAAGGTACATTCAGGTGAACGTCCAAGTACTAAGCACGAAGAAAAACACTTACTCGCCAAAGACGACGATCAAGAGGGTCGAGATAAGAATGGCGAACACTCCACCGCCAAGTTCCGAGTCCAAGACAACAGGAAGCGTTTCGTTCACGATTACATTACCCAGCAACAAGGTTACTAAGGTTAGCAAAGAAAGAAAAGTAGAAAGGGAAGAGGTGCAATTGGGCGGTTGGGTTGGGTTAGCTTCGGACTTTTATTTTCACGGATCATGACCATAATCATGCAAAAAACAAAGGAACGAGACCATATAAAAAAAAGGGAAATTGGGAGCGCTAAAAGGGAGTTGGATCTTTCCTTTTATGGTTGGAGCACACGACCTCAAAGCGCACAAAAGAAAGCAGATCGATAACAGAGACACAATAATACACTGTAGTCCTTCCTTCTTTCATCATTATGCGAGCTCAAGCATGCAGAAAATATGCAAGGGCAACAAAAGACAAGGCAGGGGAAGGATGTAGGGATAGAAGAGATAAAAACAAAACACAGGACAACTACGACAGCAACAAAAAAGCACTTACCCAAGACCCAATGCTTTCCGCGCGACAGCAACTTGTACACCGTCTCGGCATGAACTTGTTCCGTTGGCGTGCCGGAAGCCATCAACACCTGAAGGTTCGTCTCGTCCAAGCCCATTAGACCAATCGTCAATCCTGTATTGGTGCCAGGTAATAGCAAGAGCAGGAACAGCAAGGACAGGAGGAGAAGATATAGTAAGAAAGGAAACAGTCAAGCAAACAGAGATGCAGAGAGGGGGTTCAGCATTGTTGAAAAGAAAGAGAGAGGGGGGGAGGACAACAACACACGGACCAAAGGGGACGGGATAGTAATTGAAAACCGTGCAAGGAGAGAACGAGAATGAACAGATAATGAAAAGAAGCGACAACGGTTAGTGACGATCCTCAAGCGACATCAAAGATAAAAAGTACACTCCATGCCTCCATGCCATTCCAATCCAAACGAAGAGGACAAACAAGCAATGGAACACAACAACTGAAAAGAGAATACTTGCCTGCAAAGACTCCACCGATCAAGACCAAGAACATGATCAGGGCCATCTTGATCCAGAACTCTGGCGTAGAGGCATCGCCGCCCTCGTGCTCCCCACCTTCACCTTCGCCCAGGGTAGAACAATCACAGTTGGCGCCCGCAGCATTAAACGCGCCCACGGTATTATTGTTGCTGCCAAAGGACCAGGTCGAGAACAACCTTGAGCAGAGGAGCAAGTTGACAAAGAGGAGGACATAGATGACCATGTTCTTGAATCCGAATGAGCGTTGGACGGAATGACTCTCCTTGGGGGATCTTGCATTGGGTGCCGAGTCCTTCTCCATGGTGATGACGACGGTATTACTGCTGCTGTCGTTGTTGTTGTGCTGCTGACGCAACAACGGTTGGTGATCCATTATTTTGTTGTGTATGTCTGCTTCTTTTTTTTTTTTTTTTTGGTGTGAGGTTGTTGGAGTAGATCACGGAGCCAAGGGGGTGGGTGTTGTTAAAAAGGGAAAGAGACAAGAAAGAGTTGGAGTAAGGAAGACAGAGATGAGCACAAAGGCAGCAGTGAAAAAAGGGATCCAGGACGAAAGAAAAGAAAACGAAACGAGCTCGTGTCTCTCGTTCACACTCACACACATGCTTAGCTACTTACTGGTCGCTCCCGCGACAAATGACGAATGATCACGTGTGGTACGAAGAAAAGCAATGCATGTTTATGACATAAAAAGGGTATCGGGTTGTCTATGGTTGAAGGCATGATAGTCATAAGTGAACAGAACGATACTCTAGATGTCAAAGTTGAAGCGCGACAGCCGCGTGCCTCCTCCAACTGCCTCTGGTACTCGTATCTTCTTGACCTGGTGCACAACCACCTTGTTGTCACCATCATCATTGCTGTCGTTATCAAACTTCCCCTCCATCCAGCTATAAACATCACCCTCCTCAATCAGCGGCGACTGCCCCGGTGGCAGTCGTGGTGTGGCCGGAGACCCGACTGTTGAGACCGAGAAGGTTCTTCCCGGGGTAGCAGGGCTTGTGGGTGAAAGCACCGGTAGAAAGGTTGGGGATGTACAGAACATTGACGCGGTTGTTGTTGGCGTGTCGCCCAAGGAAACAAAGGACGAGACATCGGTCACGATCGTCTCGGGTTGTGAAGAGATGATCGACGGGCCCGTAGATATGTTGGAGCTGGTGTAGGACAGTGACGGTGCTGGGGACATGCTTCGTTCAGATCCTGCTTGGCTTAATGAATTTGAGCGAGATCTGCGGGGTGGAGGGAGGGTTGGTGGTGGTGGTTTCACGCGAGTGCTGTTGGTGCTTGAGGATTTATTTGACAAGGAGGATGGTGTAGGGGAAGGTAATGGACTCGAGCTTCTGTGGATAGGAGGATGTGACGGTGACCAAGGAGCGTTGGCTGAAGGTGTAAGAGGATGAATGCTTGGAAGAGCCTGTCGTTCTTGTTCCTGGAATTTGGACTGAGACTGATAAAGTTGGTCAGCTGCATCAGTGGCACGTCGAAGTGGACGCGTGGGAGGAGTGATGTTTTGGGCAACAGTCTGGCCATCACTTGGCGCAGCAGGATCTCTGGTATACTTGGGGGCGACAGCAGGGACTGGGAACGGAATATGGGCCGCCAGTTCGGCAGGTGTGAGGTAAGGTTCCAACACCAGTTGACCAGTGTCGAGCCCAGTCACTTCATCGTCGCTGCTGTCATCGTTCACAGCTTTCTTGGACTGAGGCGGCGGAGGCAGAAGGGGAAGAGTGAACTGTGCATGCTTGAATCCTTCAGGAAGGATGGCTTGAGGCGCAGGTCTGCAGAACTCCTCCTTGGACATGAACGGATTCTCATCGGACTCATCGACCATATCTTGTTCCTCGGAGATGGGGACTGGGAATTGGATTGCTCCTTGGTGATGTGGTGTCTTTTGTTGTTGTATTTGTGTTTGTGCTTCAGTTGATGCTTGTGATTGCGGCGTTTGAGTTGTTCCAGCTTGGCGACGGGTCGATTCTCGTCTCGCAGTGCTCTTGGCAGGCGGTGTCGCTTTAGGCGACGCAGCAGAGGCGGACGACTGCGAGTGGGCAAGCATGCTTGTCCCCAAACCCAAGGCCATCAAGACGGGACTCTTGCCAATGATGACCACCGGAGGCTCGATAGGAGAGTTAGTGTCGTCGTTCTGGACAACCACCGGAACACCCCGGCCGATCGTGGCAACGACCTTGGAGGACGGAGTTATCGACATGTCGGTGACGATCGGCCGTCGCAGATGTAGTGGCCGAGGAAGAGGCGAGTTCTTGGTGTGGTAACTGGTAGCCGCTCGTTGGACATTATCGCCATCGCAGTTGTTGCGAGAACCGGATGGCAGTGCGGTGGGTTCTTGGGGTCGCATCATAGGAGAAAACGAAGGGGAGGCATGGGCTGTGTTGTTGTTGAGTAGATCGGGGTTTCTTCGGGAAAAACCTTGCTGTTGATAGGCAACGGGTAGCGTCGATAACTCGAGGAAGGGGGACGCTGGACGGAGGCTGGGTGATGTTTGAGGACGGTCAACCGGCGGTCGGTTTCGTTGCTGCTGTGGCGAGGTCTGTGGCTGTTGTTGTTGCTGTGGATGCTGCTGCTGCTGCACTGAAACAGCACTCACCATGTTAGCAGCAGCCCTGCGATCGTCGTCCTGATTGTTATTTGCAGCAGTGTTCAATCGATGTAAACTGCGATTGCTCTCGTTAGGATGGATGTAGGGGAAACCGTTCTCATCTTCTTGTTGTTGTTGTTGTTGTTGTTGCTGTTGTTGTTGTCGAAAAGAGGTTGGATGGATATGTACTTCAGAAAGAGGTTGGATAGTGTCGACTTCGTCAGGGGAAAAGTGAGGGTAGGTGTAGAGTCGTTGTTGGTTTGCTTCGGTCTGTTTCTGGTAACGCCTCCGTCGACGACGCTTTTCTTTTAAGTCTCTTTTTTTGTGGCAGATGTAGAGGATGGTGAAGACAAAGATTGTAATGAAACTGGCAGCAATAATAACTGGCAGGAAAACCGCCATTGTGCAGGTAGAATGTGAGTGATTGAGAGGGGGAATGAAGAATGCAGGATGGAGAGTGGAGTGGAGTGTAAGAGGAATGGGCAGGTGGAAGGAGGCGTGAATGATACAACGGAGGGAGGGGAGACAGTGGATCAAAGTAGGTCTATCCTTTTAGAAAAATTTGTTAATTGTTGGGAGGGGAATGCTGAGAAAAATGCTATGCTTTTATGAAAAATGAAAAAAGGGAGGAGGATAGAAAGATGAGTGAAGAGACAAAAAGGGGGTGTTTAAGTAGAAAGAAGAAGCAGAGTGAAGATATGCACTTGCTCTTGAGTATGAAAAAAGGGCATCACTCTCTCCATGGTTGGAATGGGGAGTGACCACACTCCCTCGTCCTCATCTTCGCCTCCCCTTCTCACTCATCGCTGGACCTTGTTGTCGCTCTTGGCCTTTTACCCTTGAACACAAGAATCAAGGCAATTGGCGAATCCATTGGTCGAGAAGTGAGGTTGACTGGATTGGGTGCATGCCATTGGCATTAGAGCAGGCATCACAGCCGACCAACCATCCAGTCTATTTTTTGAATTGTGTGGGTGTTTGTTGGCTAGATTGTTGTTGTTTTCTGATCTCAAACCTCCATCATACAGACAGAGAGAAGAGTGAATGCATCCCTCCTTACGGAAGAAGATGAAGAGTGCTCTCTGGAGAGAGAAGAGAAGAGAGAGAAGAGAACAAGGCAGGAAGCGAAGGAAAGATGAGAGAGAAAGGGGCACGTTTGTGTCACAAACAAGGAAGGAAAAAAGAAAAAGCCAAACAGAACGCGGCCCATCAGAAGTAAAATCAACAAAATTCAACCATGGTTCATCTTCCAGGGGTTGTGTTTTCGCCGTCACTGTCTTTTCTCTCTCTCTAAACACAGGTGAGCGCACATCCATCGTCGATAGGTGGCGACTTTTGGCCGTTTTTTCTCTTTGGTCTCGTTTCATGTTCGATGGTTGGAGGATGCGTCGATAGTCCCCTCATCTGTGCCTTTTCATTTCTTTTTTTTGTTTGTTCAATGCGATGTTTTTTTTGGCACTAGTTTTTCATTAATTCTTCTGATGTGTGCGTGCTGTTTGTATTGTTGTCAGCATTGCTGCAAATCGCTTTCGTAAGACTAGTTCTGCGCGCCTGTTCACATTCTCGCCGAAAAATGTTGTGACCCTTGTCCAAGCACCAGCATGACTGAATCGCGAACAAAAGTCCCCTCTTATTCCCCCTTCGCGAATGTACTTTGGCTCTTACGATAAAGAATTTTTTTAGTCTGGGCTGTGTACGCGAAAGTAATGAACGACAATGATTGACAACAAGAAAAGAGATGCTAACGCCTTTTCGTTCCCCTCCTTTCTTCTTTTTCTTTCCTTTGTTGAGCCAAGGAAGTCGTAATGAACCTTACTTTTCGCAGTTTTCGAACTCAATTCCTTCCACTGCCCATTATGAGAAACAGATAAGGGTTGAGAGTTGCGTGAAGAGTCGAAGACAATCCGAGGAGGCAGAAAAAAAAAAGACGAAAGATACATACATTGGACATGTGGACACCAAAGCTATGCTCCCAACAACAACACTAATTGCATGCCCTCTTTTCCTCTCAATTGCTCATTAATCCCCCGCCCATCCTCTTTTCTCTCTCTCCGCCCTCCTTTCTCTCTCTCTCTCTCTCTCTCTCTCTCTCTCTCTCTCTCTCTCTCTCTCTCTCTCTATCCATCCTCATGTTGCATAGTTAATAATGGCCCTGCATCAAATAAACAAAAAGCAAACATTTCTCACATGTACACAACCGAATTGCCGATTATTTTTTTTTTTCAAAAATAGTCCTGTTCACAAGCATGCAACAAAGAGTAATACAAAAAGGCACAATCGAACAACGTGGTCGGTTGAGAGTGCCAACGTATCCCTCAACCCCTATTATTTCATTTTGAGAACGAGGCAAAAACAAACAAAACAAAAGTAAATGTCATGGCACCATCAGAGAGGGGTGAAGGTAAAATTAAAGACTGAGACATGTTGTTTTCATCTCATTATTTTCGCCCACAATTTTATTTCTCTGACAAAGAGCACAGAAAAGGTATGAAGTAAAAGGGGACTACAGACCAAGCTCTTCAATGCACCATCCACCAGTTGCAGTCCGGTCCGGAACCTGGCTCTGCACAGCTTAAACGGAAGAAAATAAAACTAGATACGAATAAAGGGGATTCTTCCCATTCTCTCCATCATTGACAACCCCATCCTTCCTAACAAACTCTCCAACAACCGCTCGTCGGCAGCGCGTGGGTCCTTGGTTGCTCAGGGCAGAAACCATCACGGGTAATGTAATTGCGTCCTTGACTCCAGTTACCTTAGAGACCCATGTATTTGGACGTCTTGTCTTTGGCAGAGATTCCTTGGGTCTGCTCCCACGCGATCGTCGCGGATCTCCGGGGTTTCCAGATCAGCTCCGAGGCTTGCATCTCCAGGTGGCCAACAAACTTGTGCAGGATCGTCTTGGCGACGGACATAGGGGTTCGGAAGACCGCGGACCATTCAATCAACATGCTCTTGGGAGTGATGCCACGAAGGAGATCCGACACGTTCCACTTTGGATTGTCGTCGCGATCGGGAGCAGGAATACCGCTGTGCATGGCTCGAGCGCCATCGATGGAGAATTTTCGTATGATCCGCATCCGAGAGGAGGCCTCCAGTGTATGGGTACTGGCCACGACACTTGACGACCTTTGTCAGCCGCGCGTTTGTGTCCCCATTTCCTGACTGCATTATAGCCGTTTGTAGATCGCAGTGGTAGTCTCAGCTGCCAAGGAATAGTTCCAGACATGTTCGTCATCCTCCTTCTTGAACTCGCATCGTCGGCACAGGCGTGTTGGATACAGGTTTGACGTAATGTGTGAGCTTTTGGGAGTCCTTGCTATTGCAGTAAAAGGTGAAGACTGCGTGCCTGTCGTGGACGTGAGCCAAGATCGAGGTTCATTCCACGTCGCCGATGTCAGGGATCACCCTCTTGACCCGTCTCTGCGACATCCAGGCCTGGCGGTGACGGATTATGGTTTGTCGTTCGAGGAGCTGGACAACAACAAAAACGAGGGTCAAATGCGATTTCCCTGGATTTAGAGAGAGGAGGGGTGAAAACAAACAATCAAACTAGCATCCGTTTCAATTCAGAGAGGGCACGCATGATGTGTCAACAATCAACATTCAATTGTCATGACAAGGCCCCTCTGTAAAGAGAATTGTCATAAACAAAATTATAAGATTTCATTTTACATGGTTGCCAATGAACAATACACGTTATGCTTGCCAAAGCGCTACAGAAAGATGCAATCAGTATGGCTCGTAAAAAAAGAATGGAAGTTGACAGAGTGAACGTGATACTGAAAGGACAAGTCGAAGAGAGACGAAAGTAGAAACACGATCGCGATTGAGGCGTTGATGCTATTGTTGTAGATGTTGTTGCTGTCTCTGTTTAGATGACTAAAACGTTTGGGAGATAATCTTAGCTGCCTCGCGTCGGCCAGTCATCAATGCACCATGGACACTGGCGAAGGAGGTGGCAGTGGTGTGTTCTCCCGCAAAATAAATCCTTCCCTTTGTCGCATCATTCACTCCGATCGTTTTGACGACCGTAATTGCGGTAGGAGGGGTCGTCTGTTTCTTCCTGATCGAAGGAGGCGAGGTGTAGGGTGAACCTCCCTTGGTGTGGTAAACAGCAGGGAAGGACGACATCAAAGGCTCGACCAGCTCTGAAAGGAAAAGTCCAGCGGGACTGGTGTTCACCTGATCTTGAACACTATGACGACGGTGAACAACGTGATGGCTGTGGAGGCGATTCCGATCATAATTGGCCGTGGCAACAGCAACGAGCCCTCCAATGACCGATCCACCAGCGCCGCCAGAGCTAACAGCAATTTCGATTGCGTCGTCAAAGCCGCCACGATAGTGGGCGCGTCCTGTGTCGATCGACTGCTGACGACGGTGGTGGTGATGCATGGGGATATCAATTGCTCCAGGGATGCTGGCACGATGACCGACCTCGCTCATTCCACCGATGCGAGGATGACTGGTAGGTCGACTTCCGCTGGCACGGTGACTGGCAGGGTTCTCGCCAGTCATCTTGGCAAGACTGAGATTGTCGGTCGCCAAGCTGATAGTGTGGACACTTTCATAGTCCTGAGAGGGCAGAAGGCAACCCTTGATGGGGTGTCCAGGGAACCCTTCGTTCGAATCCTTAGGGCTGGTGCCAAGAGCGGCATAGGTCACAAGCCCGCTCTTGGCGCTGGGTTTCCGCTTATCGTAGGACATCATCATGATCTGGTGTTTCCTGGCGGCAGCTTTGAGCGCAAAGGAGGCATCAACTTTGTCCTCGGTCTCCACGTGATCGCTGCTGGAAAGAACGGCGACCGATCGGGCTCCAACAGGGATCTCAAACTCGCAAAGGTCGGATTGGTGCGCACCAACTGGGATACTGGTGTACGAGCCGCGGGCATAAGGATCAGCGTTCCAGCGAGTCATAAAGACACGAGTGGGACGCGAGTTGGCGGGATCCTTGACGAGGATGGGGAAGTAGTGCGACAGTTGGCAGACGAGGACCTCCATGGCTTCTTGCTCCGTTAGCTTTTCAAAGACCTCGGCCGACTCGTTGGCGGCATAGGCAATCATGATAGGCGCGTTGTGGACGGGCATGAGCGAGGTGTAGTTGGCCAGATCGTTCATGTAGGTCGTCAGGGCAGCCATCTGTCGCTCATTAAGATGGCGACAGAGCTTGGGATTGGGTATACTCGAGGGTATAGGTAAGAAATTGATGAAATGCTTATCCTTGGGCCAGAAGCAGGTGGGGAAATAGAGGACAACCTTGACCATCGTGCCAAAGCCCAGACGCTTGATCGCGGTCTTTTTCCTCTCGGGGAGGGGAGGCGAGAAGGTCACGGAGCCAGACTTGAGGACACCGAGAGGGAGGGTGACCAGCACCACGTCGGCAGTGAAGACGCCCTTGTTGGTCGAAATCTTGACACTTGACTCTATGTAGGGTTGTTGTTGGTTGTGGGGAGAGAGGTCAAAAACAAGGTTTTTCTGAAGCGGTTACGAGTATTGCTCCATGTCAGTTCCAACATCTCAACTATCTAACCATCAAGCTATGTACATCCTTTTTGGTTCTACGAAAACTATGAAAAATGGACAGGGGGGCAACTCACCATTGTACTCGATGCGGCTAACAACGTGTTCCAAAAGAATGGGAACTGACTTCATCTCCTCGCAGAGGACGTCAAGAACGCGGTCATAGCCATTGGCCATGATGCAGTGGTCACCGGGAGGCATGTTCTCGGCATCCATGTACTTAAGCGAGACCTTGTTAAGGGCGATGGCGTTCTCGTCCGCCCAGAACTGGGCCAGCAAGGGGATGATCTTGCGCTCCCTGGGAGACATGTAGTTGGGCAGGGCGGGATCCCTGCTCTGGCGAGTCGAGAGGTAGTGGTCCAACCAATTCCTGAAGGAGGTGTGGACTGAGATGCGATTCCGGTTGTCGCGCGAGAACTCTTGGGCCTTGCCAAAGATCTCCCAGAGGACGGCCCAGTAGTGATTACTCTCGTCCTGCTTGAGGGCGGGCTGCCCGGGGTGATGGTAGATGACATCACTGTTGGTGGCCTCGAGACGGGCCTGCGCAGTCTCGGCAAGGGAGACAATGGGGTTAGAGGGGTCGACTCCGTGAATCCAGGACGCGCCAAAGTCGATAGGGATGTCCTCGTGCTCGCCTTGGACTAAATTCCGATGGGTGTCAAGCCGACCACCGATGCGATTTCTCGCCTCAAGGACGGTCACCTGAATCGAGGAGGGATGTTTGGACAGCTCGTGAGCTAGGATCAACAAACCATTTTATATACATATTGACAACATCATCATCATTGCAACCGAAAAGGAATGGGTCGATAGTGGCATGGTCGAAGAGTAGATGGAGAGTAAAAAGGGAGGGAGAGGAGTAACAACATAATAAAAGGTACGGAGAAAAAGAAAAAAAGAGAGGTTTGAATGCTTGGTACTTTTTTTACGCAGCGGGCCTGTTCGAGTCTGACACTCACACACCACCATGGGGCGGCCATGCCTGTACCTTCCTCTGGAGAGAAAAAAGGGAAACAAGAATGGAAGAGACCAGGGAGGATGGGGGAAATATCGACCGAGAGGTGGTCATTTTGTCACATCTAGTAACGAGCAAAAGAAACAATAACACCTTACCTGCGGCGAGGCCAGAGATTCCGGCGCCAATGATTACGACGTGCTTCTTAATGATTGTCATTGCTTCAGAAGAGGGTAGGGTGCTTGTTGGGTTGATTGTCGGGTTGGTTGTTGGTTGGTTGGAGTTGCAGGGTTGGTTGGAGTTGGGCTTGGCTCAAAGGATGTGTGACTGGGTCTTTCGAAGGAGACAAGGAGAGAAGGAAAGTGGTTCTATTGTGTGTAACAAACAAACAGGGCAAGGGAGATGATTGAATGCAAGCAATTGTTTGAAATGGGGTGTTGATGGCAGGTGAGGGAAGTGAGTGAAGTGAGTGAAGTGAGTGAAGAAGAGTGATGAGGTTGTTCGGAAGGAAAGAAAAGAGAGAAAGAGAGGGTGGAAACAAGAAGGAAGAGAGAAATAAAAAAACTGCGGTTCCAGAGCTATTTCAAGGTGAAGGTGGTGCAACGCACACCTCACCACAACACGCTAAACTCTTCCTCCTGCTCCTTCGCTGCTTACTCGTCCACCTTGTACTTTCTCTTATTCCCTCCCTTGTTAGCGTGACGAGGCAGTAACTACAATAGCGCCGATTTCATTCAATCGATTGGAGGACTCGGCGTTGAAGCATGATGGAAAACAAAGAAGAAAAAAAAGTGAGGCATTTGTCCTGCACTGTAATTGTCGCTCTAATGCTCATGATTATTTCCTCACCATGTGCGTCTGTCGCACTTGTCTGTCACTCTATCAACTGTCGCTGTTGGCGATTGTACCTGAGCTATCAGGGCAAATCTGTGCCATCACAGCCAAAAGATAATAATACACACATATACATTCCTACAGAAGAGAGGGAGAGACAAAAGATGGCCATGCAATTAAACCCCTCGTTCACCCCTCTTTCTTCCCCTATCATTCCTTCGCCTTCACCCTACCCTTGACTCATTACCCATTACCCATTGACCTTGTGCTCCTTATTCCCTCAGAGCACAAAACAATAAGCAAGGAAACCTCTACGCGGATGGGTGCAGATACAGGTACAAAGAAGCAAGGTTGGGGCAACAATTGGGTAAGTCCGCTCATCAACAATGAAATCCTAGGGTTTTTCTGCTCTAATGAGATACCACGCACACACAAACACCTGGCTACTGCCACCTTGGATGACTTCACATCCCGCGGGTTCTTCTCTTTTAATGTATGCTTGGAACTACTGTACCACATGTTACTCACAGAAGACATACTCGAGCAATTGAAATCTCACGGACTCCTACACTTACTTACCCTTGTAACCTTCCATTTAATGTGTTGAAAGAAGTGACCCCTGTCACCCTTGCCAATCCATGAGCTTTCCCACAACCCTTCTCACTTTCCAACTTGCCTGCCTTCCAGCCTTATCCTCCCTTTGTTCGAGCAATAATGAGAGCGAGGGGAGGAAGGGGGCAGGAAAACAAAAAATGGTATTCAGGTCATGCGTCCAGACGTGTTGGCCTGATTGGTCCTTTTTTTATTCGCTTTTTCTTTCTTTTGATGTATTGTGCTCAAAGGGGTGCAGGCGGGCACGCTGGCAGATAAGCCTGTGTCTTTATATTTTCATTTTGTCTGGAGAAGAACCATAAACCTATGCCCACTCAGTCAGCCGGTTATGTGGAAAGACGGGGCCACGATGTCTGTCCTCGTCTCTTCTCTTTTCTTGTGTATGACAAAGTTGGCGAGACTCGAATTCAAAAAAATCCAGGCACAACGAATTCACATACAAAATAGACAAAAGAGCACTCAGCGCGCGTCGTACCGAAATCTACGTACTTTACTATGAAAGGTCCCAGCCTAAGTAGTTCCCTACCCTTAATCGCACACACCATGTTATTGCCTCATTCATTAAAGCATCAGATAAGAGCCGATGATGTCTCCTTCGAAGAAGACATGGAGCGCAGGTAGCTGATTAATAAGGACAGACAGGTACCACGGTGGCTTTGACTGGAAGAGTCCTTGGAGTCATTGCGCTGCTCATAGGCAATAGGAGGACTTTCCGTAACACGCTCCTCTCTTTTCGTTTACCTCATCCATTGTCGACTCTGTTCTTTTTTTAAGGTCCTCTTCCATGGTTTCTACAAAGACGATGTTACGCCATCTATCGTCATGGGTTGTGAAAGGAGGGAAACGCCACACAAAAAAAAGTAGACAAAGCTCTACACGTCATTTAGGAGATAGTTGGGGCGCATGAACCATTCCGAGCTTAAGGGCAATCTACGCTTTCATCGATCATCACCTGAGAGGCTGAGACTACTAACCATTGGTGGCGGCGCCACGAAACACATAGGTACAAGAAGACAGGCAGGGCAAGGCGAAGTGAGTAAAGCTACTTCTTTGGAGATAAAGAAGAAAGAAGTGTGATTACCTTTAGACAGTCAGTCGACCAGAAAGCAACGAATGAAGAAAATCCTCCCTTGCCTGGTGATGGAATCAGAACATTCCTTCTCTCCTTCCTTCCCTCTTCTCAGTCTCCTGCTGTCTGTTACCCGAAACGATTATTTCATTTTCCTTCATAACAATTTTGGGTCATCAGGTCATGTGGAATACTCCCTTCACCCGTCTCATCGTTGTTCATGCGCAACCATCCCAGAAACAACAAACAACGATCACAATGACGCTCATTCTCACTCACTTAATTGGACAACCAGTACACTGACAAACGGACATGAGATGCTGAGTTGCACCGTAGTCTGATCTCTCTTCCCTACTCCATCCATCAACACCAACACCACCCGACCCCTCACTTCATACTTCTACTCCCCTTGCCCTGTGACCAAGCCCAGATACCCTCCTCCTTCATCTTTCGACCTCCTTCCGTTCATCTTCTATTTCAACATACCTCTGCAACCTTAACCTTCACTGCCTCTACTACACGCTCACACGACGCGACTCCTTGCGAGACTATGCTACGCCTTGGCCGACGCGGCATCATCTTGTCGCTCTTTGTCAACAGTCTCAACATCGCACTCTATCTCATCATCCTCGCCGCATCCTGCCTCAACATCATCGAGGCCTCTGTCAACTTTATCATCCTCAATATCTTTGCCGCGTAAGTCAACACAGCGGGATCGTGGCAAATGGGGACTTGCAGGGCACGCTATGAACGTGCTCAATACTCGATTTCTCTCCCTCCAGCAACCGCCTCAGCACGTCGGTTACTCATGTTGTGTCATCATTATTTGTTCCTAATCAACGACACCATAGATCCTTTGCCTGTCTTCTCATCGTCTCTGAGATTCGGTTGCCACAATTGACTTATGAGTATTTTCGTTTCTTGGTGAGGAGAAAGAAATCGATTGTCGTTTTTTGTTTTGCATTTGCATCAGTGTGAACCCCCCGAACGTCAAACACTGACATTCATCATTCTAACCCTTTCATATTCACAGTGCACATATCGAGGCAGAGGACTGACCTACTTGTTGTAACGTACACAGTTCACCATCATACACAACACATACCAATGCTGCTTCCTGAACGCAGGTCCAGACCCGATGATCCTAATTTCCCGCCTCAATTTTCATTTTCCTTATTTGACTGGACTGGCTTGCATTGATTCTAGTTTTGGCTGTCTGATCGCCTCCCCGATCCCATTCAACCTATTCGGAGGGATCATCGTCGTCTGTATGGGCCTGGCATTCTTTATGCTCTCCTACGTCAGTCTCATCCCCCCACTCGACGGTCTCATCCTCAACTACAAGAAGCTGGACCAGTGGAAGGAGCAGAAGCATTTCCGCGTCCAGTTGGAGGCTCAACGGATATACGAACAGCAACTGCAGCAGGAGCAAAATTTGACGAGGATGATCCCTGCACACCATCCGAATTCTATGACGGTCCAAGGTCATATGGCTATGGGGAGTCCGAAGCAAATCCGTGCATTTTCGGCTATTAATGCGGGGAGTGCTTTGTTTAATGGCTCTGGTGGTATGATGGGCTGTGCTGGTAGTGGAGGAGGTTATGAGGGGGGTGGAAATGGAGGCGGCGGATCTGGTGGTGGAGGAGTGTCACTGACGGCCATGTTTTCTCCGCCTATTTCTCCTTCTCGACGGATGGGTCATCATCCACACACTGGATCACCCTTGTCAGGACAGCACCACTACTCAGAGAAGGAGGTTCAGTTCCCTCGACACCAGCCACAGAGTAAACTGCAAGGATCGGTCTCCAACTTTTTACCGTCAGGAGCAGGAGGAGGATATCAGACCACGCAGCAGTTGGCTGCGGTTAGTCATGATAATATGTCAATGACAAGCGGTCATCATGACCCTGCTTCTAACAGCCTGCAGGATCATGCTTCGATCGCACAGAGTAAAGGGCACCATTCTCTGCAGCATGAACAAAACATGTCCACCTACGACGACTCAACAGTGCCAGAAGGACGGGGAGGTAGGCGACAGTCAGTCGGCGCTCATACTGGAGCCCAGGACAAGAGTCTCCCTCCCATCATCACATCAGGAGTCGGAGCAGGCGACCAACAACAGAACTTTGCACTTCCTGCCACACTTGCGCTTTCACCCCCACCCATCCGTCGGTGGAGTAACACCACCTCAGTCCCTGGATCACCCCTGCAGTACCTCTGCGTCAACAACGACGACTCTACACCAACACCATCCCAAGCCAGCGACTTTAACAATCAGTCTGAGGCACCTACTCCAGTCTTTGCTGCTACTACCGTATCTGTATCTGCTGGGAACAAGACGGAGCTCAGGGATGAATATGACTATGCGTCAGCCACAGAGAACTCGATCCTCAAGTCATCTTCTCAACACCAACCCCCTTCTGTTCGTCAGTACGGAAACAGTATGTCACGCCGGCCTGATCAACAGCACCAGCAATCACAACACCAGCTCCCCTTGCGGACGACCAACAAACCAACACCACCACACGACCCCTTTCGTAAAACATCTCTCTCAGGCGTCAGTCGAGTTCCCTTCCAGAGTCAGTACCAACCACCTGAGCCTCCGCTTCAAGGCGACATGGGCAACCATTCCTTGCCTCAGCAGCCTACAGCATACTACCAGGACTCAGCTGTGCATGCAGGAGTGCCATCAATACCCACATCAGCAGCAGGGATAAGCTCCATTGGAGCGATCGGTGGTGGAGGCGGAGGCGGGGTAGGTGCAGGAGGGGCGGCGGCAATGACGGCGACAGGTCGCATTCTCTCATCGATAGGTGGTATGTCTGGTTGCTACGGGATCATAGGAGGAGTTCCCCAACCTGCCATGATGATGGGAGCCGGTTTGCCCACAATGACGACCACCGCAACCTACAGAGGATTAAGCTCACCAAGCAGCAGTTCCAAGCAACAACAGCGACAACTCCAGCACCAGCAACAACAACTCCAACGAGAACAACAACAATTGCATGAAAAACAGAGACAGCTACAGCAGCAGGCATCCAGTACTCCTATATATGGGAGCGGGGTCATTCATGCTACTTCACACCAGCCAACACCATCCACTGCCACCTCTGCATCGACAAGGACTGCAAGGATATCTTCTAACCACAGCACAAGCAACAACAGTACTGGAAGCAAAAGGATAGGCGATAGCAAAGTTGGCAATTTCCAATCTACTCATATACCCACTTCTACAATCAACCCTGGACTGAAAGCTGGCTGTCGCAACACGGGGAATCAACAGCTACAGTACATGCCAGATATTGTCTTGACACTCCCAACTCCTGCAGACAATGGACTTGTCGCACGGAAAGAAGGGTACTTTGCTATGTAGACTTTCCTCTTTTTATGCGGAAAATAAAGTCGCTACGTAGAGAGAGAGAAATGAAAAGCACAAAGAAAAAGCAGCAACGTGTCAAAGCCTTGGTGAAGGTGGTAGCTTGTCGAGAATTCGTCACAAGAATCCTTGCGAGATAGATACCTTTGTTTCGTGGTCCTATCCATGATTGTTCCCTCTCTTTCTTTTCCCCCTCATTGAAGATTCATAGCAATCACACAGACACACAACCGCCCACACGGATCCGACTTCACCTCTGGTCGCACAGCCTGTCATACCAACCACCAAGCCTTGCGTCGAATCGACAAGACCTACTGGAAAAAAATTATCCTCAGCCTCATGGACGACTACTCGTGCGCTATCAGAGAATACTGTTGTTGTAGAACAACTTTTCAAGACAGCACTGAAGGATCCACATGACCACGAGGCACTTCAACGCATGGCAAGCCGCAGCAGTTGAAAGATCTATGAGACATGCAAGATAACTTCATCTCTCTATCTCTATGACCTGCATGATGAAAGAGAGTGCGGGAGTCCTCTTTTTGACCAGTGGCAGCACGTGCATCGTTCACTAAAAATTTAAATTGTAAGTCTTTCTTTCTTTCGCGCTTCTTTCTTCCCACTTGTGTCTCATACTCGCAGCCCAAATTATTTTTTCCTCCTCCTACACTATTTTCTCATTCACATTCACCTTCTCTCAACCAAAACATATAGCAATGTCATCACCACTCTTTCGAGCAAAGGACATCGGCAAGAAGAACAGCGATGGGACATGGCTGTTCCGCAATATTGACATCGACTTTAGTCATGGAGTCATGACCATCACCGGGCCATCTGGAGTCGGGTATGACGACAACAACGTCACTATCAGACACATTGGCACTGTTTTCTTCTTTTTCAACTACCTGTGTAATACCAATTCGCTTTTCTGACCCCATTGTTTTATTCCATCCCTTGTGAATAGAAAGTCGACCCTGCTGAAGTGTATCAACCAGACGATCGTCATGGACGAAGGACAAGTCTGGCTCGACGATAAGTAAGTATTAACAATGGTACACGCCCAAAAAAAATTAATCAGAATTGGTTTCATCAGTTTCCTGGACGAGGTGATAAGGTCTTGCCAAATATGGTCAAATCAGTCCGAACCTCCCTCTCATCTTTAGCTCACCATCTCCTCTTATCACTTTTCTCATACCATTTATTTCTACCTCTCTCCTGCGAACAGAACGCCAGATCAATGGGGAGTCCCGATATGGCGTAGCAAAATCATGTACATCCCCCAGCGGACCACCATCATGGAGAGCACACCCCTCGACTTTCTTGAAGAAGTGCGAGCCTTCTCGACCCACAAGCGCAACAAGGATTCCTATGATGATCCCGTCCAGATTGCACTCGAGTAAGTCCTTTTTCCTTTTTCCTTTTTTTTTTCTTCCTTTCTTTCCCATACACAATCATGTTCACGCTGCTTGCGAAAATAGAAAAAGGTTGCCATCTCAATCTATCTTCACTTCCTCCGATAGCCTTGCATACAAGAGATGGAGCAACGCAGATACATCATCAACAACAGGATATAGCAGAAAAAAAGCCCTTCCTCGATTCCATTGGACATCCTAACACGTCCTTCTTTCGTTCTAATTTTTTTCTTCTTCGTTTTGATGATAGCTGGGGCATCCGACCGCATCTGTGGCATAAAAAATGGAACACCCTTTCAGGAGGCGAGATGCAACGGATCTCCCTTGCCATCGGCTGTTCCTTCCGCCCCGAGATCCTCCTCCTCGATGGTACACACATACATACATACACACACACACACACACTCTCTCTCTCTCTCTCTCTCTCACTCGCACTTATACATCTTTCCTCTCCATCTCTCATCTCTACTCTAGCATACATAAATACATGCCATCTACTAACACATCCTCACTTCTGATTCTTACCTCATTTAGAACCAACATCGGCATTGGACGAGATCTCGTGCGAAAAGGTCGAAAAGACCCTTGGGCAGTTGAACTGTCTCTGGGTGACACATAACCCCCAGCAAGCACATCGGATCAACAGTGCAGGAGAACTCGTCATGCGTGGAGGCGATAACCGAGAGCCGCCCTTGGAGGTCTCTATCGACGACGGCAACAACAATAACAGCAAGAAAAAGGATGGTGGTTGGGGTCAGGATGGAGAAGGAGAAGAGAGCCAGGGAAAGACTGCGGGAGCAGGAACACAAGGAGAGGCTACGCAGGAGTCGTCATCGTCGTCGTCCGCCAAGACAATTCAAGCTGGGAGACACTAGAATATAACAGCGAGCAAGAACGATGATGATATTTTGCTGAGATACCAATATGGAACCCAGACCTCAACAATAAAAAAGTGCTATGATTGTGACCATGGACCAACCGCGCAGACTGTAAATACTTTTTTTAATTGTAGCAAGAGATTTCTGTACAAAAGGAACGTCCTTTTTTTTTTGGGGGGGGGGGGGGGGGGAAGGCTGAGGATGCAATATCTAGGAAAAGGGATCGTTAAAACGGTAAGGGAAGAAAGGAGGGTATTGAAGAGAGAAAGAGAAAACAATGAAAGTAAAAAAAAGAAAGAACTAGCATCAACGAGTTTAAGCGTTGGTGGGCTTGAACTGGTAGACCTTGGCGTTGTCGTCGAACTTGACACCGAGCTCAAAGAGCTTCTGGGCGGCCTTGGCGAAATCCTCAAAGAACTTGTCAGAGTCCTTGGCGTAGATCTCGACCCACTTGCGGAACTCCTTGTCCTTGGCCATGGCCATGTCGGCGGGCAACATCATCAACGACTTGGACTCCTTGTCCTCGAACTGCTTGGGGCCAGACCACTTGCGCTCAACCCACTTGCGGCCCAAAAGCTCGGTGTAAAAGTCGTTGGTGAAGACGGTGGGGGAGGCGGTCCAGGGGCCGTCGAAACCAGAGCGGTCCTTGTGGCAGCGTCCGAGAGCGTGGGCGCCGAGAAGGGCGACAATCTCCTGATCGTTGAAGCCCATTTTGTAGAAGATATCACGAGAGTGCTGGCCGTCAGGGCGAGCAGCGTCGGGGAGACGACCTTCTGGAGGAGACTGGGTCTCCTCGCCATCAATGCGTCCAGCTCTCCAGTTAACAATGGGACCACCCTAATAGCAGTGAAAAGTTCAATTGCGAAGCGTGTGTTAGTGTAACATTCAAAAACAAACGTGTGAGGGATGAAGTGCCATCACGCTCTTGTTGTGGCGTTTTCCTTGAAACAGAGAATGATAAAGTAAACAAAGCAAACAAATAAGGAACACATCGAAAAAAAAATCGCATGACCACTCCAGCCAGGTCAACTTACCAACTCCTGGATGGCGGCAACGCCGGCCAAGGTCCAGAGATCACCGTACGAGATCTCGGGGAACTGGTCCTTGACGCGGTTCAAACGCTCACGGGCAATTCCCAAACCGGCGTTGGCACCGTGACCGGCCTCGGGCTTGAAGCGCATGGTGGCAAAGTTGGAGCCACCATCCTTGGTGTTGACGTCGTAGGTGCCCGAGGCGTGCCAGGCGAGACGGAGGAAGACGGGGCCGTACGAGCCGTCGTCGTAGTTCTCATCCTCGATAATGGCAGCAATAGCGTTGTAGACCTTCTGGTAGTCGAGGGGCTCCTTGGGCTTCTCAGCAGCAGCGACAACGACGGGGAGAGTCGACTCTAATTAATGGTAACATGGATAAAGAGAGATATGATGAGTATTTTGAATGATGCGGATGCAGGTGTGGATGAGCAAACACCGAGCACAAAGATAGCACGAGAGAGAGAAGTGGGGATAAGCGAAAGACTGACAAGGCAGAGCGACATTCGTCGGAGTCTGAGAAGAAAAATGGACTTAAAAAAAGAGTACCCAGGCCGTGTACGCTTGCCAATGATTTTAGGTTTCTCCGAGATGTGTTAAAGCGGACGGGAGGATCGAGTGAGAAGAGGGGAAGGGTGACACGTCGGCTCAAAGCAAACGAACATATGCGAACGAAATACACCATTCTCACTCTCATTCTCACACTCACTCTCACGCTCGCTTCCGGGACACACGTCTCCCTTTACTCTTTTCCTCCTCCTTGCACGTCAACAGCTCATGCTTTACGACATATTACAAAGGAAATATAGATTCTCATGCTCATTTTACCAAGCGTACCCATGCGAAAAGCCCCCCGCGTGTAAAGAAATGTTGTGTCTCTTCTCTTTCTTTCTTTTTTCCCCTCACTCTCACTCTCACGTACCCGCACCCTTTCATGCCCTTTCCTCTTTCCTTCTCATCCAAGAAAAGAAAAAGATTGAAATAAACTTCCCCGAGAAATTATCTTTCTCTCCTATTCTCAACGGACTCTCTCCGTGGGTGTCCAAAAGGCGCTCCGGAAAGCACATCCCTCTCTCTTCCCAAACACGACTAACCCACGTACATAAACAAGAAATCAAGGCTGGGCAGGGTAGAAAGAATGGAGAGAGAAAAGGAAGAACGAAGAAAGTGGCACAAAAAAAAAAAAAAAAGAGCGCAGAGGGGGAGGGGAAACAAGGGCAGTGAGAAAAGACAAAAGTAAACCGGAACCACACTCCAATTGACAACATACACCACCAACGATGACCTCTTCATCCTCGACCTCTTACCCCTTCACGTTCTATTTCGTCCATCGTCAATGTCCTTTCACCATTGTCGTCCAGATACACCCCAAAACTCCGAGACGCGATCGGACAAAATAAAAATGAACTTAAGAAAAATCATAGCAGGTCTGCGCAGTTGTCCATAGTCTACGATTTTTTGGTGTCTGTGGTGGTAGTAAAGGTGGTGGGTCCCTAGGGAACAAGAGTCGCGATTTTGCATCCGAATGCAAGTAAAAGAAGAGACTTACTCTGGGACTCGGCGTAGAAGTGGTAACCGGCAGCTCCGGCACCGGCGGCAAGGGCGGCGATGATGAGGGACTTGCCTGCTCCACCAGAGGAGGGGGCGGCCTGGGAAGAGGAGGGGGCGGCCTGAGAAGAGTAGGAGCGGGCGGCAGTGGCGCGGACCGAGGAGACAGCGACGGCACGGCGGGCAACGGTAGCCAAGGGGCTGCGGAGGAGGACACGGGAGGCAATCATTATTAAACAGAAGAAAAAATGGTGATGGAGTGGAGAGGAGAGGAAGAGAGATGAGGAATGAGAATTCGAGGAGGAAAGACGAGACTTAAATAGGGCTCGGTGTCTGGGCTCAGAGTTGAGAGTAAGGGGAGTGTCGTCGCTTACTTGCTGGAAAAAAAGGCAAGGGTGAACGAGTAAACTGGATTAAAGGCTGGTTGGCTCCTGGATGGCTTAGAACACTCCGAGATCACATGCTGTGCCTGCCAATCCCCTTCTCCTCCGAAGAAAAATGAACTCTCTCTCATACATCAAACGCGTTTGCGTTATTGTACACAAATTACTGCCCACTTGCAAAAAAGGGTCCACTATCGACAGAAAACCATTCATTCTTGATCTTGATCCTGATCCGCACACACTGCTGTTCTTCTTTGTTATCCATGCTTTCGTCCTTTCTCTCTCACCAGACCTCAATACAACAAAATCACAACTTCCTTCTCTTCTTTCCTTCTTACTCATCCGTGCAAGCAATCAAATAAACAAACTAAAAAAAAAAAAAAAAAAAACAGGCAATCGTCTGTGCGTTCCGATTCGTCTTCTGCCATCAAGCCATGCCTTTTTAATTATTGTACAAACTACAGCACGTAATACAAATACAACGAGAAGAAGTAAACACGATGAGTGTAAGATGAAAATGGGTGCTAGCAGACAAAGAAGATGAAAAAAAAGGCAAAAGAGAAAGGAAAAAAAAAGCCATTGGGTCGTCCAAGTTGACGTCTATCCGCCACGGCGAGAATCACGGCCACGCGCATGGTTCCCGAGATGAGGCCCATTGGAGAATCCTTTAGGTCCAAGGTGGATGGGTTGCTGGAGTCCATTATTAGGGGTGCGACTCGTCCTCGATGCTGGTCCTGAGCCGGCACCTGACGACGACCCTCCTTGGATCTCCATGTCTCTCAAACTCTCTCGCAGCGCAGCATCCAGATCATAATCTCGGTTCAAATGTAATCCTGATCCCACGCCGGCTGATCGTGGTCCACCTTGCAAAGACCCAAGGTTGCCACTGTTCAACGTTAACGTCGTTGGATTTCCTAGGCGCGTGTTGAATGCGTTCACGGAGGCAGACATCACTGTAGGCGAGGAAAAGAGAGTGCCTGACGATGATGAGTGTTGACTGGAGTGCTTCTGGTGTGTCTTGAAGAACGAGCTGTTGCTATTGCTGTTGCTGTTGCTGTTGCTGTTGCCATTTAGGTGGTTTCCATTCTGGTTGCTGTTGATGCTTGCAGGAGAAGCTGGCCCTGGATGGATAAACTGCGAGAGAGCTCCAGGAGACGAGAATCCGTTCATGGACGTATGTTTGCCGAGGGAGGTTTTGATATGACTAATCGATCCAGAATTGGCGAGCCAGGATGACCGTGGTGGGGTATCTGCTGTTGGGGTGGAGGGCATTGACGCAGACTGCGTCAGAGTTCGGGGTGGTTGCGTCAGCTGAGTCAATGGTGGTGGTGGTGGTGGTGGTGGAGCTCCTTGAGCCTGAACAGGAGACTGCGCATCAGCCTTTCGCTGGTACTCGACTAAAGCCTGGAATAGGTTAGCAACTTCCTTGACTCTAGAGAACTGAACGCAGAAGCTCTGCAGAGCATGGTAATAGCCTGGGATAGTAATAGCTCCGCTCCGCAGAAGAGATTGCAAAAACACACAGAGCTAAAATAGTCAAGAATAAATTTGGTGGCGTTAGCGAGAAAAATGAGTTCCACATTATTGCGCAGCACACAAAAGTCAGAAATGGTGGCAAATGGGACCAAATACAGCGGGTACCAAGCTTACCATGCGAACAACGCGGGCCTGGCCAACCTTGTCCTCGACCTGTTCACAGCAGCGAATGGCGTTCTCGATATACCCATGCAAAAAGCGGGGAGAGAGAGTGGTTGCTCCTGTCAAGCGATTCACAACCTCCAGCGAGTGAAGAGTCAGGCGCTTTGGCCGAGTCATCATATCCAGATAGCCGTCCACCATTGATGGCTCTGGACTCGCCGCTGTGCTATTCTTAGCGCTTCCCTTGGCGGGGCTGGACTTTGCGCCGTTGGATTTTTGAGCCATCTCGGTACTGTCACCGCCTTCCAGATCAGATGAAAGTTGGATGAGATAGAGGAGTAGGTTGAATGCGATAGTAGGGTTGTTGTCCACAATGCCTGGAAGAGCCTCCTGGGATGGCAGTGGAATATGAACTCGCGTTGCATCCACGGTAAATTGCGACAACATGAACTAATAAATGAAAACATCAAAACAATGGGTCAGTGCGTTATCATATAGCTCCATTACATACTTCGCCAGCACCGCCAGCATCGCCGACCTGAAAATAGCTTTGAAGCTAGAAATATACCTGTTCTTGGTCGAAAGATAATGGCTGAATGACTGCCTGTTCCATGATCGCGTTCATCTGCTGGCGATTGTAAGTAATCTCGGCAGCCTTCTTTGATTTCTGGGACGTCTTGACGGGTGGTGCCGGGGCGATTTCATTCGAGTCCTGAAGATGCTTCTCAGCTTCAATCTCCCACTCTTCGAGCTCCTCCTCGTCATCATCTTCCTTCTGGTCATTGTGCGACCGTTTGCATGCCGCTGACTCCTCGATCGCTGATGCTCCAGATCCTACGTTTGGGGTACCCTTTGCGTCACCCTCCGTTCCAGCTAGGGCTTCGATTTTCCTTACTCCATTGCGCTCCGATTCCGCTATCCCTTTCTTCCATCCCTCAAGCACCTTGACAAAGTCGCACGTCCCGCCTCGTTTTTGCTGCTGAAAGGTTTCCCAACCAATGCCAGGTGCAATTTGATCTTCTATCGGAACTTCGGGCAAGAAGAGTGATAACGAGTCCAGATCAACTCGTTTAGACTCGACTTCGTCTGCTATTGCAATCAGTTCGGAAGGAGTACTTGGAGCCAACTAATACAAAGTATTTTTTTTGGGTTTCAACAAATGATTCTTGTGAGCAAATGTGTTTCTCCATGCAACATGTTCAATCCAATTTACAGACACATCCTGTAGTCTCCCCACCCCCCTGCACCTTCTTTTGAGTACTGTCTTACCTCATCTCCATCCCCGTTTAATATCACACTGATGACGAAGCGTTCAGGACGGTGCTGGTCGTTTTGAAGAGCTGACGTGTAAATATCCACGAAGAGACAAAGGAATGGGTTCTGGTGGATCGGTAGACTGCTGTACAGACTGTAGAGCAAATAAAGCGATGTTATCCGGACCTTGCGGGGCTAAAATATTTGAAAGAAGGTTGTGTCGTCGTAGTAATGAGTTCTTCCATGCTTCGTCTGTCTGTAATTCTGCGGCATGAATGAGAAATGATAAATATCCGTACCTCTGACGTAAGATCGCCTCGGTCAGGGTTATTGTTGACATGCCGTTCCTGTAGGACTACTTGGAGCTGCCGTTGAACCGACTGGACCGAGTTGAGAACATCCATTAAAGAGCAGGCAGCCTTGAAGTGCCGTTGTGCCGCCACCGACTGGACAAAGTCCAGGCCCGCTTGCTGGAGGACATGGTCGAGATGGTTCCCGAGAAAAGCGGCAATCTCCTGGGAGGGCACCGTGATCATTATTCCAATCGGAAGGGTTTCGAGATCAGTCCACGGAATCGACTTTTGTGGAGGCAAGGGGTGGTGACAGGGACAGATGGAAGGCGAGGGGATGACGTGTCGACGAAGATTAAAGAGGCAGAACTTTCTCTAGAGTTACTTGTCGACAAGGGTGTGGGCGGTTACTTTTGGTGCCTTTGGGGTTGCCGAGCAAGAAGGTACCGGTGACGAAGTGGGTTAGGTGGTAAGTGGAAAGGAACAAAAGCGTCGTCTCTCGGATTCACAGTTGGGAGTCCAAAGGGAACAGGAACGATTCAAGCGAGCGCCAGGCGAAACGGATGCGGACTATTAAAGTCTTTTTCTTTCCTTGAGAGTTGGTCCGACCTGAAGGAACAAGCTCGCGGTGAAGTGCTATTGTTTGTCGACCAGGCTGCAGACTGCTGGGGTTGTATATTGTTTGTCTAGTTACTGTTGTTTGATGATGGTTGGTGAGAGGGGAGTTAACAGAAAGGCGCAAGCGTCTGAATGTGTATTTGAGAGGGCGCGCTTTTTCAGTTGCGTTGTGCGGGGGTCGATGTCAGTGTGTGAAGTGGTGACGGAGCGCGAGTTGGCGGGAAACAAATAAAAAGATAGACGCAGAAAGAGGGACGCAAAATAGGGAAGGCGTAGCTAAATGTGTATGTGCGGAGGAGCGTGTAAAAAAAAAGAGTGGGAGAGAGTATGTGTGGTCGAATATGACGACAGAACGGTGTGTGTGCAAAAGAGACGAGAATGAAGTGGGAAGCACGAGCGAGCCTGTATATTTTGGGTCTGAGTGTGTGCGTGTGAGATAAAGGGCGGAAGAGGGAGTAGGCTGAAGATTGATTCACTGTTGGAAGTAAGTGATGAAGAAAGATATATATATGCAGATGAACGTCTTATTGTTGTTGCTGTTCGTGTAGAAAGTAGATGTAGGGTTTTTCTTTGTTCTTCTAGATGTTATTGCTGCTGTTGTTATTGAACAGAGGATGGAGAGGGATAAGGGTTGATGATGGAGAGAAAAGAATAGAACCGATGATGGCATAAAAAGGGGAAGACGAAAAGTGAAAAGCCACACTGACACTGGTCAAAGGTCGAGCTATTGGGCAGTCACGGTCACCATTTCACCATTTCACTGATCATCAGTGATCAAGGGCGCGTCTTCTGCAATTTTCAAGGGCCAAGCTATACGTTCAAGCAGGAAAACGGTATGTACTATAGGTGCCAATGCATTGATGGCTCATATGCGTCAGGAAAGTTGACTAGGATATGGAGAAGAGAGAGAGAGATAGAGAGACTACCCTAAGTATCTAAAGCACAGAAAAAAAAAGGTAGCAAACAAGGAAAAAAAATAGCAAAAAAAAACTACATGCGAAGAATGACACATCCGAGAGCGCGATACGTTTTACAAAGACAAGGAAAGATGGATAGTACAAGGAGAAAAACTAAACTAGAGAAAGAGAGAAACGAAAAAAATAAAAGGCAACGAAGACATAAATTCTACGCTTCCTGTCATGGGGATGCGCTGTGCTGGTCGTTCGACTGTTGGTCATGCTGCTGATCTGAGATGGGCCCCAGAGCAGCCGAGCTCGAGTACGACGAGTATCCAAAGTCCCCCCAGCTCTGTGTGCTTGGTGGGAGAGAGTGGTGGTAATGCTGCTGTTGAGACGAAGGCTGAGAGTGGCCAAGCTGGGGCGAGTCACCCGAAAACCCGCCAAAGGTGCTTGAGGTTCCAGTCGGTGCAGGTGATTGGTAACCCATTGTGAGACCAAACTCGTGAGATGTCGAGCCACTGGAACCAGGATTGGGGCTGGCCATCATCATTACCGGTGATCCGGCTCCATAATGACCTGGGGGCATGCTGTGCCTATGGTGAGACATGTATGACTGCTGTGGCTGCTGCTGCTGCTGCTGGTGATGGTGAGACTGTTGGGTGGGGTGCTGGGTCTGGGACGTGGGGGTGGACTGAGAAGAGGCTTGGGTGTGGTATGGCAAAATGGGCGCGCTGCGGGGGAGGTATCGAATTGGGGGTGGGGTAGTTGTCGTGACATCCGAGGCGGCACTGGGGACCGAGTTGTAGCCGAAATTGGACGAGAAGGGAGACGAGTGTGAGCTGTAGGAGTGGGAGGTATTGTGCTGCTGGGGCTGGGTGTTGGCCAGGTGTGTCAGGGTATGATAGTTCTGCTGAGGATGGAGAGGGTGGTGTGATTGCTGGTGGTATGGCTTGGAGAAGACATCGAGGGAGGTGGATACGAGGTCGGGTTCGATCTTAGTACGAGGGTGATGGCTGAACCCGTGCGATGAAAAGTCGGTGCCGTTGGTGCCCATGGTGTGGGTGAAGACTCCACTGGGGGTGCGGGGGCTATGGTTGGAGACAGGCGAGTGCATGTGGTCGGCGACTGATAACAGAATAAAAAAAAAAAAAAAAAAAAAAAAGGATGGGGTGAGAAGGTGTAGAAGAATAGAAAGTGTTTCTAGGTTAGTCTCAGTGTACAGATAGAGGGGCAAAGACATGGTGGAAACGTCGAAGGAAGCGGTAAATGATTTGTAGATCTCGGTAGAAAGGAAGATCCACGACAGCACCATCCATGAAAGAGTGACAGCAACACAAGGAGGGGCTTGTTTGAGTAAGATAAGAGTTGGGTGGAGTGTCGGGGTTATTTCAAGGAGGAGGTTTTGTGTGTGAATGGATGTGTCAGTGAGTAAGAGCTTACGGTGGTCATAGGACTGCTCGACTGTGGGTGGGATTCGAAAGTTTTGTTTCATCAAGAACTCGGGGCTGATCTCCAGGCTGGCGAGTTCAGGGACCGAGGACGGCGTACGAAGTTTTCCGGCAAGGACATCGTCCTTCGTGTAGTACGAGATCATGTGCTGCGGGACCCCATTCACAACAATCGACATTGTCTTCTTGATCAGCCCGTTTTTCTTGAACCGGTACGAGTTCGTCAACGACCCCACAAGCGCACGCTCCTGGTTCTTCTCAATCGCCGTCTCGTTGTCGCTCGAACTCGACCGCTCGGAACGGTCAATGGGCGACGCATCCTTTTTGCCGCTGTTGCGCTTGTCGAGCTCGCGGTAGACCAAAAAGTTGCCGAGTATGCGCGATGGGGACCAAACAAGACCATCCGTCCACCGCTTGATGCCGGACTCGCGCTCATCAAAGACAAAGACCGTGCCTGACTGGACAATGCGACGCTCCTTCTCCTGCAAACGGCGGCAGATGCGGGGCAAGAAACCGCGGCGGCATGCCTCAAAGATGAGCAGAGTGTCCTGAGTGGTCTCGATATAACCGTGGAACGTCTCGACGATGCTCATTGTATTCACTAAAAACGTAATGATGATATTGAAGGTAGAAATAGAGTTAGCAAGTGGATGTTACAACCAAAGCAAGAAAAGGGACAAAGAGTGTGAGGAAGAGAAGCTAAGAGTGTGTGTGTGGAAGAGAGTGGACGAGAGAAAAGCGAGTTTCCTGGAGGAACGTTTTGTATGGAACAGCACAGAATCAGCAGCTCTTTTTTTTAATTCAAGGACCCTCCCGGTCAATCAAGTCGAAATTGCTCCCACTCATAACAATGCAGTAGTGACAGGAAATAGATCGGCATCGCGTACTGCACAAGGACAACAAAGCACTCGATGGGCGGGGGAAAGAAGGAACAACAACATCAAAAGGGGGGAGTGGTTCTGACCCCTGCGAAGAAAGAAGGGAAGAAGAAGAGAAAACGAAGAAGGCAAGGGTGAAGAGCGAAACCTTTAATTCAGGTTTTTTCCCTTTGGACAGAATCAGGAGTTTGGAGTGACATCCTTTTGTCGATTTATTCTTTCTCTTAGTATCAATCATGTCGCGTACCTCTTTCTCCCTTACTCCTTTGGAACCCCTGGAGGGTCTACTGCCAAGTTCAGGGGTGAAGGCCCCCTACACCCCACACCCCTCTGTTTGTGTTGTTGTTACTCTTTCCTCCTTTCTCCTTTCAAGATTTTCTTGACAGACCATTCGTCGTTCTCGGATTCCATTTGAGCAAAGGAATGAACTGCATGAATATTGTTCAAATATCATATCAGATCGCCGCCAAAGGAAAAAGAGAGGCAACGAGAGCAATTGGAGAGGCCATCTCTTTCTCTCCGGGTTGGTTGCACAAAAGTATGAATGGAGAAAAAATAAAGGAAGGCCGAAGAACAAAAAGAAGAGGAGGGGAGAATGGAAGGGAAGAAAGGGGAAGAACTGGACAGGAAGCGTGGGATCGGCCATGTTGTCATTCTTGAGATAGTATCCTTCGATTCAGGCACAAGAGGTAAAAAAAAAGGCAGCATTCATTGATTGATCATTGGGAGGGAGTGAAGGGGGGAAGGGGGAAGGAACAGATCACATCGGCCAACGCGTGTAAAGTTTGGGTGCCAAAAGAAAGAAGGGGACGAAGGGAAGGGATGGAATATAAAGGTATGTGAGTGAAAGACCAACCTTGTGTTATGTGATGTGTTACGTATCAAGGATCAAGGGGTGAGGGACACAAAAGAAAAAGAGTTGGGAGAGACAGCACAAAGGTTGATCAAGGTGATGTCGGGAAAGGATGGAGACAAGAAAAAAAGGTGATGAACGAGATGATGAGGATGAGGCGAATAGAGTTGTTTCTTGAAACCAACAGGTACTTTTTTTGTGGAAGAAGCAGGGAGACGGAACGAACACAGAAAGTAAAAACGAGGGGAAAGTTGAGGGAGATGAGGAAGAGAGAAGAGTGAGATTCGACAAGAGGATAAGGAAGGGAGATGAGAGAAATGAACAGAAAAGAGGTTGATGAGCGAAGAGATGTTCGAATGAGAGGGGCAAAAAGTGAACAGAGAAAGGGGAAAGGGCGGAGAAGAAGAAGAAGAGAAGAGAAGAAAAGAGAGGAGAAGAAAAGAGAGAAGAAGAAAAGAGAGGAAAAAAAGAGGGAAGAACGACGGGAGAGCAAAGAGCCGTTTTATTTTTCTCTTTTAAGCGTTCCTTGTGTGAGGGTGGGTGAAATAAACGGAAAAAAAAAATGAATTGTACAGAAAAGGATGGGATCCAATTGGAGAGACACGGATCCAGATCCATGTAGACAACGGACGGACTGCAACAAAGCCGACCAAACACAGGCTGACCTGACTGGCTGGCTGAATAACTGACAGGAACGAACAGATCGACTGTATTGGACCCAATATTCTCAAACAATGAACAGTGAATGAGAAGAGGAAACAAAGGAGCCAACCAGGTCGCAGAAACCCATCAACCCCGTCAGGGGTCACCAGTCAGGAGGCAGCTTTCCCTGTAATAATTGCAATAATAATAATCCTTCCAAAGGGTTCCACTGCTATTCAATTGCCTGGATTGTATTCGCTGCTACTTTGTTTTTTGTATCGATGGGAGACTATATCGATGAACGATTCGTTCTCTCTTTCTCTCTCTCTCCGTCGCATGTACACGCCACAATCATTCCCACCAGCACCATCTCATTCATCAGACCCAATTCACCCTATTCGCACGAATACAGTACATAAAACAATGACAGCCTCTACAAGAGAAATAGAAAAATAAATAATGCGTGTACTGTCGGATACTTTTGAACTACAGTCGTTCACGGCTATGCTTCCGCTGTGCTTTGGTTGGGGTTTTTTTACCGTCCGTTGTTTGTGCAGTTGTTTTGCTTTTTGAGTTGACGTTTGCTTATTTTTTACTTTGCAAGATTGCCACCCTTTTTTTAACAGCATGGTTATAATTCCCTTTCTAGTTGCTCAATCATGTGGTATCCCACCCAAAGAACGCCCAAAAAAACAAAAGTGACGATATCTTGCCACCAGAATAACACATGCAATGCAATGCACATTGCTTTCGAGTCTACCCAGAGAATACTGCAGTGGCAACCCGCGCTGCTTCAATTGCCCTTCGTTGTCGACTTTTCCCTGTGTGTATGCACACGTCCACCCTTTTAGGTTGGCGTACATCTGCACAGGTACGACAGCACAGGTATCTTTTTTCGCCATCGATTTCTCTTTTTTTTTTTTTTTTTTTTTTTCGCCGCGGAAATCTGTTGCTGTCGCTGTCGATACCTCCACCAGGCCAGACTGGCCCTACTTTCCATCCAACCTCCAGCGGCAGTGCAGAGTCAGCGGAGAGTGGTACCAAGATGTTGAGTATGTATCTTTTCTTGGCCTTCTCGCTTTTCCTGTGCTCATTTTTTCCCATCGTATTCCTCTCTTTATTTCAAGAACCGGTTCTGGCGGCTTTTTTTTTTTGCAAGCGATGGACTGGCGCTTGACGTTTTCTTTCTCTTTCACTCTCTCGTCGCATTAGCGCGACAGTGGCTGACACGTACCACGCTTGCATCCGTTTTTTTTTTTTGTTGCCGCATTCCCCTCAACCTTGACCCTCACTCACTCACTCACTGACCCCATCTTTCCTTTTCCCTCGTACCATCTTTTTAGTTCCTTCTATCATATCGACCAATTTTTCAAAACCTCAATCGCACATCCCACTCCACCTGCATAGCCTCCATCGGACCCAGCTCTCGATGCTCTCATCCTGCTTTTTGTGCCTTGGTTCTCTCACTTTCGATTTTGCAATTTCTCCTTGATTCTCCTTGACGCCTTACTAGATACTCATCGTTCATCAACCTTTGTTACGGAAGGGAAAAGGGTGGGATAAACGGCGCATAGTGTTAATTGAGTGTCTGATGACCGGAAGATGTCCTTTCGTCCCTTTGGTTTTGATGGGGCTGGTTGGAGTTGTTTCGTCCCTGAGTACAAGTAACCAAGAGCAGAGTTGAGTTCGATCCCAATGCTGAGCTTGAGTAACAAGCGACAAAGACGAGGCTGACATGATCTGCTACATCAAATATTTTGGTGGCAAACGGTTTTTTACCTTTCCAATTTACCCCTGTCGCCTTTCGTGTTTTTTTTCTCACCCCGCAAATTGTCCTTCCCACCTTCCTCCACCTCTTCTGGTCACCGTTTCTTTGCACCAGTGGTGTCACTCAGGTTGAGATGGGATGGCTTTTCATGAGCCAATTTTGCTCCAGGTTTCAACTAGACAGGCCCTCCCTTGACCACTTGCGCTTCAAGGGCAGTCGCTCAGTGGTGCTCGCGTTTGTCAGATTCAGGTTCGGGTTCGAACCCTCCAGCGCTGAAACCAAAAGGAAAGACAGGCGTCCTTCTTTTTGAAGTTTCTGATGTTTCTTTCAGAACAAGAAAATAGAACGACGCTTCGGGAAAGACGTAAAGAGAGGCGACGAAAGAGACAGTATCAAGGCAGGTATTCAGAATATCAAAGAATGAAGAGAAAGAAGGCGAGCATTGACAGCGTAAAACATTCTAGTATGTTGATTTATTTCTCTTTTCTAACATCGCTTCACCTCTTCTCCGTCCTTTTTTGGGGTTCCTGGCTCCCGACTCCCTTTGGTTGGCAGGCTGGTTGGCTGGTTGGTTGACCCACATCAAACAAGGAAAATAATCGAATATGTTGCGACAGCTTCCCGCCGGGGCAGCGTAACCATCGACAAATATTCTGCCTAACTTGACCCTGCACGAGCAAAACCCTTTTAGTTTGAAGTGTCCCTATTAATTAATCTCCACAAAGCAATCATCAAAGTGAAGGCGATCATCCTATCAAACTCCCTTTGTTATAAATGAGGGACGACAGGGGATGAAGATGAGATTCTCCTGGTGGGCGAGTAACAATGCTGCTCCACAACACCAAACACCAACATAGTCGTCACGGAAGAGTGTTCTTGCGCTGGTATCGGGTAATCCCATTGGCCTTGAACGAAATAGTTTTGGAGATAACGCATGCCCTATTTTTCTCCAATCAGGCAGGGAACAGTAGATGAAAGAGGAGCGAAGAGGAAAGTCTTTTATTATGGCTCGTTTCTTCCTATAAAAACACTCTTTTTGCTAGGCGTCCTTTCGGTCTTACTCCTATTCGACTCCATTTTTTTTGAGGATATGTACGAGAAATACAACAATGAAGAGTATTTTTCGTTGACAAGAGCATGGCGGCTGTAAAATCACACATTCTTCGATATGGTTTCTCTCTGGGCAATCAATGGGTTCAAACCTTGGTCTTGGAAGTGATGAACGGAAAAATGAGAAAAGGTGAATGCGACAGGAAGTAGGATGGAGTAAGAGAAGTGGACAGCAAAGTTCAATTAGTCAGATGGTGCGAAGAAGCTTTTGAGCAGCCGCTATGCTTTCCACACGAAAAGTTGTAAGAGTACATGAAGGTGAGGATGTAGATTGGACAAATTATGGCTGCTGACCTTCTTGGAGGGAATGATCTCGCCACTGTAGCTCGCGAAGTAAAGGTACTGTCAGGGCAGAGTTTTACGTTTCCCTACTAGGTATGTAAAGGCGCACTCTCATTTGTCCTCCAAGGTTACCATGATGTGATTGCAGGCTGGTTTCGTCAGCTTCAGTCCTTGGCATTGGCTGTTCGTCTTAAACAACACCAAGAGAGGGACGGGATGAGAGGGTATCTGAACTTTCTGTAGTCTTGTCTCTATCGCATAGATGCATTTAATGGAAACCCCCTACTACAAAAGTGCACGTTATGTTTCTCTCCACCTCCCCTGGTTTTTTCTTCCTCTACCAGTTCGCTGGATGCTGTAGGATTTCTACTCTTTCCATCAAAGATATCCGGATAAAGAAGAAATAACAAACAGTGCCTGAGCGTGATAACTCATTGTTGGATGAGCTCACATTGTTCTGTGTCGAAACACATTTGTTTGGTCTCTCAAACATTCCAGAGGTTCCATGTAGCAGAAAGGAGGGGTTGGTGAGGGGGTTTGAGACATTGCCAAGAGAGCGATGACGCCTATAGTTATGGTCCCCCCTGCCACTTCTTTTCTCCTTTCCTGCTCCTCCTAGCCTTGCCTTGAACAAGAAACCTTTAGTTCTCCACCGTAGTTAAGTCAACCTTTCGGGCAATTGCTCCCTTTTTCTGATGAAAGTTGTCCACTCTTTTACTCCTCCTCTGTCAGAAATGCTCCGTGGAAATGACCAACAGAAACCACATATGCCTGAAATGTCCCACTCGTTCAAGAGGAGGGCAATTGATCATTACGACGTCGAAGAAAAAAAGTGGGTCGCTTTGTGTCTAGGACAACCATCAAGGAAACTAGGGAAGAGTTGCTACAACGATGAGTAATTTTCCGTGGACTATCTTGACGCTGCCTTTTTCGCAGTGAGCCAATGGATCGTCAAAGAGAACCTGTGAGGTAAAAGAGAGTCGCGTGTCTATTGGTGATGCCGCCACGACTCTTTAAATTCTTTCTGTCATTGATCAACAGCCCTCAGTGATGAATCATCACTGTACTGAAACTAATATGGTAATAGCTATTGATGGCGAAGAGTTACGCGCTAAAAATATTATTATTGGCCGCAGCACTGAAAAGGCGTCCCAGACAGAGCCACTTGATAAAAAATGATGGCGGCCATTCCTGAGGGAGGGAAGTTACTTGGCTATTGCATTGGATATGAAAGAAAATATGGCCATTTGTACCACTAGACTCGAAACGTTCATTATCCCTTTCCGTATAAAAGCAAAGCAAAGAAACAAAGGCAAAAAAATATATATGACAAGAACGGAACGATCGATGGAAGGGTAGGGAACGGGATGAAAAAAGGGGGGTTTGTGGATGACCGCGTGGCTGCGAAGGTTCAAAAAACAAAGAACGCGTGGCAAGTAAGGTCCGACAACAAGCTTCGATTTTTTGTGGGGTGGAAGGAGAAGGGAGAAGGGAGGTGCGTCATGGACAAAATCACAACATACCTTTTTCGTCCTCGGGTTATATTTTTTTCTTTTTTGAGATTGTGTCCTTTTGAAAGAGTTCGGCGAGTGCGGAATGTTGTTTTCTGTGCTCCATTTTTTGATTCTCCTTTCACAATTTTGGGGTTGACCTTGCTGGTTTGCCACCATCTAACATATCTCAAATACAACATGAATTCGAGGGAAGGGGTGGTATGTCAATTGAACAAGTGCGAGCGTGGTTTGAAGAGCCATTGCCATTTACTACAGGAAAAGGTGAGATGGTTATAAGGGATGGAAGAAGAGCACCACAAGTAAGAAAGTAGATTCAGGTGTGTTTCGTTAGCGTTCTAAAACGGAGCTCAGTAAGGATGAAATGCATTTTCTTTCGTCCTGGGAACAAACAGGGATCATGACGAAGAAAGGGGGACAAAAGGAAAGGAAGTAAAGGAAGTAAAGAGAGCAATTGTTTTGGACTACCCGACCGAATGAACGATGGACGACATGGTTAAGACCCAAACCGGGATGGTCCAAAAAAGGGGAAGGGCACAGAAGCGAGAGAGCGAAGTAAAGCAAAGAGAGTGTGAAAAGAGTGTGAGCAAGGGAGGAAAGAAGGTGCCATGTCCCATTCAGTGTGTCAATTGCCCTTTCTCTTTTCTCTGTATCTTTTCGTTTTTCTTGTTCCTTCTGCCATATTTGGTCGCCCCGCTCACATAATCGAGTTGTTCTTTTCTTTGGAGATTCATGCATCTGGTTGTTGTCATGTTGTGGTTGACACATGCGAGGCTTGTCGTTATTATTATTTCTGCTTTAGTTAGTCTTGTAGGACTGGAGTGTTTGCATCGTAGTAATGAAATGCGGATGCAAGGACTGTGAGCATTGTCTTGTCTAAGAGGAATAATATGAATGTCCAACGGCAAAGATATTATGAGTGAGCGGATGCACCCATGGGTAGTTCTCAACATGGATGGTACGAAACGGATCGATCAATGCTCCTCTCCTTCACTCTTTATTTTTTATTTTTTTTTATTTTTTTTTGTCACTTCCCCCTTTCTCCCTCTTTTCCTCAATGGTGCAATTGCAAAAGAGGGGAGAGGAAAGAGGGAGAGAGAGGGATGAGATGAGGAAGGAGGGATGCACTCCTGCGCACGTTCTTCTTTGCTCACCCCGCATACACATACAACGCACTTTTGCAACACTACAACAACCCCATCCTGTCCCCATCACATCGCATCCATCTATCCATGTAAACACACACGCGCAATTGAGGCCGTTCTCTATTCCTGCATGTCTGTTTGGATGAGTGCGTGTCGTGTTTCCTCGTTCTCTCTCGCTCTTGTTGTTGCTCTTTTGCCGTTTCTTTTTCAGGACGGATGATGCTCATCGATTCAGAGTATGCCTTTGAACTTGACCGAGGCGGGAGTCGAGTTTGAACTTTCTTAGCCTCTCTTACTCAGCACTCAGCAACAGTAAAACCGAAAAGAAAAAAGGAGCTGGAGGAGGCAAGCCAGAGTGTATGTGAGAGTGAGAAACCTAGGCCCATGCCAGGCAAAACAAAAAGAACGAGACACCAAACAACCAAGCAACAACAGCTTTCTTCGTTTGTACCCATGTCAATTGAACATCGAGTCAGTCAGCCAGTCCTTCACAGTTCAGACAAGCCATCCCTGTCGTGTCCTTCCCTCCGTCCTTCTTGTTTTTCCCTTGACCACAAGCCCATGGGTTTGCACCACCTTGTTTGTTCCTTTCTTTTCTTTTCTTTTCTCATTCACTCTTTTTTTATTTCCCCCCCCTTTTTTTTTTTTTTTGCTAATCCCTCACACCTCTCGCATATTTTTACTTCCCTTTCCCTTTCCTTCATTACCTACACTCTCATACCATACTCGCATAATCATTCATTCATTCCTTCACTCACGACAACAACAACTTCCTTTCCGTCACAATCGTAATGACAGACATAATACAGACTCGCTACAGGAGCAGGAGCAGTGCTATCGTACAGGACAGGGTCTCCTCAACATCCTCCCCCTCCACGCGCCAACATCTCACCCAACCACAACAGCACCACCACCAACCAGCAACAGCCTTGCCATCCGCCTCCACAATGACCCTCAACAGCACGACCACACCCTCCTCCTTCTCTTCTCACAAGTTCTCCGCTTCGTCCCTCCAGCCCACCGCCAGGTACTGCACCGACACCGAAAGTGCTCGCCTACCTTATTCTCCGGCCTCACCACCGCAGCAGTCACGACCAGACCCCGCTGCCCTTCGACCCAACCCGGGCCTTGGTCCTGGCACCCCTGTCACCCGTCTGCGATCCGGTTCAAACCCGTTTTTGAACCGAGACTCGCTCCTTGGCCCGAGCTCAGCGTCCTCGGTTTTCAATACTGGTGTCTCAGCCCCCCCCGATAGCCTTCTCGAGGCCCAACGGCGTGCCTACAGGGAGAGCAGAGAGAACAGCAGCAGAAGTGGTATCCCGGCCCTTGCTTCGACAGACGCTGGCTCCAGATCTTATTTGAACGAACCTAGCAGCACTAGCAACAGAACTCGAGCAACACCACCGCCTAACCCAGGCGCTTTCAGGAGCAGTGGAGGTACTGAAGGAACATCATATAACTCATCAGGCGGGACCAGGACAAGAGCATTGACAAGCGTCGATACAAGTCTGCCCGAAAGACCATCTTATGGCACGCCAATGGCTCGGGATAGGTCATCAACGGGAAGCTCCAACAGTTTCAACACCTTGGCAAAGTCACCATCGCCCCTCCCACCGCGGACGCATTCTCATTCAGTATCGGTCCCCTCCGTGTACTTGAGCAGGGTATCGACTCAATCACCTGTTCAACCCTTGACAGTCTCGTCTCCCCCTCCACCACCTTTACCTCGATACTCGACCAAACCTACTACTACATCCGCCAATTCGTCACTGTCAACATCCAACTCAAGTGTAGCATCCACTACGGCTTCGACAGCAACATCCAGTGTCCAAGGGTCACAGGGAGCAGTTCCAGGCACGTCTCCCCTTGGAGCTGTTTCAGCTGTAGACGTGGTGGGAAGACGACTTCGAGAGCAACAACTGCAGGATCGTTTCAAGGCCGCACAGGACTTTATCGAACGGACGGTTGGTAAGCCGTTACCATCGTCCGACTTACACGAATCCCTCAAAGACGGTGTTATTCTCTGTCGGTAGGTGGTCCTTCATTGTTTTGTTTGTCAAAGTCTCTTTCCTGCCCTGCCTACCTATTTTTCTGTTTTTACCCTGTCGTTTTCTTGCATTATTCCTCCGAATCCTGTCTCGTCATCCAGCCCCTTTCTTTGGAGGGTTTCTGGCTGACGGAACTCACTATCACTCCCATTCTCGTTCCTACTTTCACACTACTTTTCTTTCTTTCTCATGCGAGTCTTGTACCCTCTTTCTGCACACCGACTTTCTCACTTTACTCACCATCTTGCTTATGTCTTCTCTCTGCGTGGTCTCACTCTGTTTGTTCGGCTATTAGACTGGCGAATCGGTTGCGCCCAGGTACAGTGGAGCAAATCAGTCTAAAAAACCTGCCGTTTGTCAAGGTAACAATGCAGAACAGAAATACGGATGAATTGGAAAAAGGGGACCCCTATGACAGGAAAATGAGCACATCATAGCCGGACGATTCCCTGAACCCTTGGACCTGTTAGTGCGTGTTTGGGATGTGTTCGTGCGTGTGATTTTGATGTGGCGCGCTTCGTTTGCACCCTGCCTACGATTTAATTTGCTGATTTTCTCAAGAGTCTGCGGTTGAGCGGGAAGCGATGGCGTGGATGTTGGATGTTGGACTCGCACGTCGCATGGTCTGCATGGTCTGCATGGTTTGTGACATATCATACTTTTGAATGCGACACTAACGGCAATATAACTTCTCTAATGAATCAATACCCCGTTTTTTAGATGGAGAACATTAGCAACTTTCTTAACGCGGCCAGACAGGTAACGGTGGTTCAACCCAGCACATCGTTTAAAATAGAAGCGCTTGAAGAACAACACGACTAACTATACTCAATTGTTTGTTTTATTTTTACGCAGCTTGGCGTCCAGAGCTCGGATCTCTTCCAGACGGTGGATCTCTACGAGGGCAAGGACATGACCCAAGTATGCATTGGACAAGTGGCCGATTGCGCTCAGATACGGCGTCGTCCATGAAACGCGCAGTATTGACATGCAATCATTTTTTTTTGCTTGACCTCGTATAGGTGGTTTCGACGATATTGACTCTGGAGCGAGTTGTAGGAGGCGTCGCCAGGATGATTGTCAAGGATAAACGGCCAGGGCCAAGCCCAACCGTCTCTGCAGGATCAACACCGGTAGATATGCTCAAAGTCGGTGGCAAGACAGGAGCACCAGCTCTCTCACGGGCGCGGTCAAAAACTGCTCATACTCCCAGCACAGCAAGCACCACCGCTTCGATTCGTCCCTCCTCATCTTCTTATTACGCTGCTCAGGTGCGGAAACTGGAAGAGGAGAGCATCCGCTTCGCCAACGGATACGACATTCTAGAGTCAAATTCTCTCAAGACCAGGGATCGCCACCAAAGTACCCCTACTCCTCGTCGCGGTACACCACCTTCCATTCGCGAGAAGGTATCACGACATCCCAGCCTGAACGACATTGTAGCGGGCGTCGAGGACATGAGCTTTGGAAGCGATGACCTGAACCAGAGTGAGTTGGATGCAGAGACAAGGCGGGAGCAACGTGACCTTGTCTTTGGCCGGACCACTCCGTCACCCTTCGATCCACCAGCCTCCTTACCCAAGTCTGCATCAGGACCTCTTTTGACTGCCGAGGGTCGGTCATCTGCACTAGATATGACAAGGAGGAAGAAAAAGAGTATATCGCTGGATCCTCAGGCCGCCAATGCTGTAATGGGCGGTACTGGATTCCGTGAAGGGTACAGTCCTGGAAGTCCCGGTATCATGACTCATTCAGCCTCCTACAGCGCTATCTCTACGTTGACCGGCCCCGGACAAGTCATTTCGCTTTCTTTCGCCAAGCACCATGGCAGGACTTCGTCGGAGAAGACTATGGACGGGATTCATTTGTCGACAGTGGGTACTCCTGCTGCGTCCAGATCAACAACTCCAGTCCAAGGACTCCGCAAGAGCGCCAATAGTGTGGAGCCACTCCGAGAAAAGCTGGAACTTTGGGAGAGCAACCTTTTGGTGGCTACCTTCGTAAGTATTTTTCCAACGCTACTATCGCTTAACTAAGATAGTGGAAAAAACGTCCACTTTCCTTGACATTAACCACCGTTCTTTTTTTATTTATTTATATAGCAACTCGGAAACTGTATTGGACGCGGCCAGTTCGGATCCGTTTACAAGTGAGTTGACAAGCTTCTGCATTGCTACTTTCATGTTAGTGCATGTCCGTCACGAATATACTCATTTCTAATTTTCAACGTTATTGTTATTTAGAGCGCTGAATTTGGTTACAGGACAAATGGTGGCAGTCAAGCGGATCAAAATCGACGGCTTGAAGGACACCGAGATGGACATTTTAATGCAAGAAGTGGATTTGCTAAAGTCATTGACACATCCGTCGATTGTCAAGTATGAGGGCTTTATCAGGAGTTCTGGATACCTCAACATCATTCTGGAGTTTGTTGAAAACGGATCGCTCCTGACGACACTCAAGTCGTTTGGAACATTTCCGGAGAAGCTCGTCGTGGCGTATGTGGTCAAGATTCTGGAAGGTCTTGTCTACCTTCATGGCAAAGAAGTACGGTTCATAATTAGCTCCGCCTCATGTCTTGCCTTTCACTTTCAATGCAGATCGTATATATGCTAACTATGGCTATTTCTCTCATGACCTAGGTTGTTCATTGTGACTTGAAGGCTGCCAACATCCTGACCACCAAGAACGGAAATGTCAAGCTGTCCGACTTTGGTGTCTCCTTGAACCTGAAGGTTAAAGAGTCAGATTTTGGAGCCGTCGCAGGAACACCAAACTGGAGTATGTACTCGTGCTTTTCAACATGTGGAGGATTACACAATGCTTGTTATGGTCGAACACAGTTGATGTTAATTCTTACCACCTATTCATGTTTTACAAATTAGTGGCGCCTGAGGTCATTGAGCTAAAGGGAGCATCACCGGCGAGTGATATCTGGTCGTTGGGATGCACCGTTGTTGAGATGCTCACAGGACAACCCCCGTACGCTGAACTGCTCCCTTTGACGACTCTCTTCAGAATCGTAGAGGATGAGCGACCGCCACTACCAAGCAACCTGTCTATGGATCTTTTGGACTTTTTGTGTCAATGTTTCCAAAAGGATCCTAGTCTAAGACCAAGCGCCGGTGCTCTGGGTCGTCACATTTGGATCAAGCGCAATTTTACTTCACGAGTAAGTCCCTTCGAACAAAGTCGTCTGTATAAATTGCCTCTAAGGATTAACGTTAATGTGAATCCTGTGTCTATTGTTGACTATAGGAGCTCAAGCCAATGGATAGTTTGCCGTACATGAAGAGAAAGTCTATGGAGCCCAAGGAAAGGCTCCTCACCGCTGCAGCACTAGAGGTAGAAGGGGGAGGAATAGCTGCAAAGAGGGCGTCGACTCCGCTCGGACTTTCATCTGGCGCTCCACCACCAGCAGCATCGGCCACAGCTATGAATGTCAGCGGGAGGAGCTTTCGTCGTGGCAGTGTCGATAGCGCGAGTGGATATTACTCTTCATCGACCGTTCCAGCTCCCACTACCCCCGCCGATCGTCATCCAGAATTCCAAAAGGGCAGCAAAGCCCCGAGCCAACACACCTTTGTCAAGAGTTCCTTCGCCAAACGTAAGTTGTAACACTCATTGTTATTGTCGTAGCATCCTCAGATATTCTGGTCAATCGCTCGTATTAACCTGATGTTTTTGTTTTGTCTGATAGCGGTCGAATGCAGGCTCTGCCATGACTATGTCAAGAAACAAGCAGTTATCTGTCAAGGTATGCGTGCAAGCAACTCTATACGTGGATACATCAAGTACGATGGTGCTTCAGGAGAACCTAACACATAACATCCTACTTTTCAATTGTTCCTCTAGACTGCAGCATGGTTTTTCATAGAAAGTGCCAGTTTTATGTCGGTGATACTTGCTTCCCTGGACCTCACCTTTCGATCTTTCAGTCACCTACACCAGCTCAATCGGTTCCCAACATGAAGCTACTCTCAAATGGAAAACCCCCAGGAAGTAGCCGGCCTAGTTCAAGAGCATCCCAGATCACATTGGAGGATCGCTCTCGGTCAGTGACGCCATCCCAGGCAGCGCCGACGCCTCCACCCGGTTTTTTCTCCAAGCGAGACTCCACAGCAGATAGGACAGAGCAGCACAGAATGATGTCTTCGCCACCACCCCCACCTCCATCCTCTGGCACAGCTTACAGGGCCATGTCTCCTGATGGATACCCTCACTCAATGGACACTGGCGTTCAAGGTCAAGGTCAAGGCTCGGCGCAGGCTCCTCGCCCCTCCAGCCGCCAGTCAGACAACAGCCCCACTTCGCCTACTTTGTCCGGTTTGCGTAACTTGATCTCGAGACCCAGGCGATTCTCCTTTAGCAAGAAGAGCTCAGTTGCACCTACGGCAGTTCCTGGCGCGCAGTCTTCGTCTACTGAGCATCCTTTGCCAACCCCCCCAACCTCATACACATCGAGCCCGTCAAACATGGCACTGAACGGTAGCTCCCATTCTCAGGCAGGAACCCCCGACTCTAACAAGTCATCGCTCTTTGCTGGTTTCTCCAACATCTCTCAGCAGCGCCAACGAGCCCAGCCTCCAGTGACCCCTCCCAAGACGCTCCCTGTTCCCATCGCCATGGCAGGCGGAAAGTCTGGATCGGCCGGTCGCGCGTATCGTGGACGAGAGTATCTTCCTGGTGGACCTTTTGACCCGATGGACGAAGAAGTGCACAGCAGCATCAACAACTTTGGACGTGGACATCAACGACCGAGCTCTATCACTCTTTTTTCGACGAGTGCGCCTCCTGTCCGATCGGAATACCAGGTTAGCAACGGCAACAGTAGCGGCCGAAGCAGTGCTGCGTCGTCCAAGTACTCTCGAGAGAGCCGTGATACCGATGATGGCGAGGATGATGAAGCAGATCAGGATGACCACGGAGAGATTGGAGAGATGAATGAGGAGGATCTGGAGGCACTGCTGATTCCTTCGGTTGTCAGGAGTCCTCGCTCTAGCATCGATGCTGGAAAACCTGTTGCAGGCGCTGGATACGGCCTCGTCAGGAGCCCGTCTATCAGCCAGACCTTGAGTCAGCAGCAACAGGATGGATCGAGACCCCCATCGGCGATCAGTTTCAGTCCTTCTTCCTTCACCGGCCGAGTCATCGCTCCCCAGCAACAACTGCAGCAGCAGCAGCCACTTCACTATCACCCTGGGCGGTCTCAGCTCAATAACGGATACCACTCATCGGGATCTTCCTCTGCAGCCATGACTTCATCGTACTCATCTCACTCAAACAACAGTTCCTCGGCATCGTCTCTTGGATCGATTGCCGCGTTGCTTGAGGAGGAAGAACGTCAGTTGAAAGAGCTCCAACAACAACAGCGTCATAGCAGCCAACACCAGCAGCAGCAAAGGGGCAACAGCAACGTTAACAACAAGATGCTGGACGTCCCCTCTGGTTACCATTTGGGAGGCACACAGTCATCACAGAGCCACCATGTCGGGATCAGGACCATGCTCGGTCGATTCTCTAACCCGAGCCGTGACACCACCCCAACCACAGCCATCAAAAACAACAACATCAGCCAAAACTATAACAGCAACAATGGTTTATTGGAATCATCATATCAGGAGAAGCGAGAGTCTCTGCAGCACCTCCCTATCCCAACAGCCAACAAATCGTCGTCAGCCTACGGTGCATCGTCCCGATACCCGCTCCAAGCCCTCAACGAGAGTCAACAGCAGCAGAACCAGCAGCAACAGCACCATGTCCCTGTTGGCGACCATTTCCGATCGACATATGGTGGCGGGATCCCAAGAAAGTCCAGCAACTCGAAGATGAACTTGTCTCCCGGCGGACTTGGAGGCGGTGTTGGTGGGTATCTCAACGACCACCACGACCGGAACAACATGGTCAACACCAGCAACAGCAACAGCAGCAACACACACCAGTACCCAACAGGACGCCGTCGTTCCGGGAGCGTTGTTGTGGGAGGTATGGATGAGTCGTCCTTGAGGCCTTCGTCAGCAGCAGCATCGGCGGCTGCCGCCTCTGCAATCAAGAGTGGCGGGAAGGTGATTCGACGCAGTATTGGCGCCACCTTGGAAAAGGACGGATGGGATTAGTAGCTCTTTTTTGTATTTCTTTGGTCGCTATCTTTAAGGCCAACATACCCATTCTTCTTATCTCCCCCCCCCCTCCCCCCTTCCTCCTCTTCTTTATCTTCCAAGAACGCTTAAAGAAAATTGTAGATTTTGTCATAAAAACCAACAACAGACGATGAAGTCGTATTGAACCATGTCTTTTCAATCTGAGCGAGCAAAACGATCCTCCCTTTGCTCACCAGCACTCGCAGTTGTTTCAGTCCCCTCTCTCTCTCTCTCTGTAGTTCACTCTTCTTTTGCAATCCTCTTTTGCAATAACGCTCCACAGTTGTTTTTTGTGACCCAAAGGACCCAAAGAAAAGAAAAAAACAGTGGTTTGAGCTGGACGCGTGATGATTGGTTCACCAATATTAGTGGCGCTGAACAAATGGCCTGAGCCAAGAGGTGAAGTCAAAAAAAAATGAAAGAAAAAGCAAAGCATGAAGGATGGTAAAAATGTGTGCATTCTTGTTTGTTGGGTTTGTTGGGTTCGTTATTGTTGTTGTTGTTGGTGGTGGGGGTTTGATATACTCAGACGACCACAAAAAAAAAAAGGAAAAAAAGAAAAGAAAAAAAAAGGGAGGTGCCGATTCAGTCAACAGTCCATATCCTTTCCGTGTTGGTGAATTCTGTCGAGGGTCAAAGATGTGTCGTTTGGTGTCGTTGGGTTGTCCTTTGTCGTCTGCTATTCCATGTCATTTTAGGTGTTGGGTGATCGTCGATTCTGTAGTCCAAAAGAGTTGTGAGAGGTCGTGTGATGTTGATGGTGGTGTCGATTATGTCGAAGGAAAGTCGATATATCATAGTCGAAAAGGAAGGGGAGAAGGGGAAAAAAAGAGGAGGAGATCCTATCATTTGCCGATAGTTTTCTCGACCCTTCTTTTTTTTTAAGTGTTCATGTCAATTGCTAAAGGAATACAAGAGGCATATTTGTAGATTTTTGGTAGTATCAACAGGAGCCCTCTCCTCAGCAATGACATAAATTCGTTCAATCATAGGTGGGACGATAATGTCAGGCCAAATATCACGTTGGCCCTGGAACGGGAGGGGGGGAGGTGGGCTGGGTCGAGGTTCGACGTTTCCTACTTCTTGTTGCCAAGATGAAGGAAGGTCAAGTGGAGATACTCGAAGTATTTGATCTCGAGATCTCCCCTCTACCCAGCCCGGTTTCTTTGTGTCTTTAATATGGTTGGTTTTCTCTCATGGGGGTTGGTCGCAAATAATCCTAAATTCAAAGGTCTCTCCTCTTGTATCTCTCTCACACACTCTTGTTGTTTCCAAAGGAACAAAAAACCGAAAACATCGCTCTCTCTGATGAGGCGGTGAAGTGTCAAAATGGGAAGGATAGTGAAGGAAAAAAAGGAAGACCCAAGTAACAAAAAAGGAAAAAAAGTTTGCAAGTACCAACGGCACAGCATGAAGAAAAAGGCACCAAATAAAGACCGCCAAAAGAAAAAAAAGTCGTGTCCACAGGACGAGGAAGTCCAGGAAAAAAAAAAAAGTCCAAAAAAGTGGAAAAGAAAAAAAAAAAGTCAAAAAGGTAGAGTAGGGAAGGCAGACGAAAGAAGCCGTAAGGTAAAGAGAGGCTGGGCGAATAAACGTCGAGTATTGAAGGTATAGAAGGGGAAGGAAGGTATTGATACAAAAGAAAAAGATGGTACAGAAAGGAGAGCGGGAGGTGTTGTATAAAAACAATAGCGTCTCGGGTAGGGTTGCAAGTCCATTCCAAGTAGAGTAGACTGCGGCTCACCAAGGTAGAAGTTGTGGCAAGCGGAGGGCGACGGGCAAGAGATAAGACAACATCGGCAAGAAACAAGAGAACGAGCAGAGCTCATCCTCGTTCATGCCGACATGGGCAGAGGTCCTTACTCGTTGGCGTACACTGCGATCGAAGGCCGAGTCGCCGACCACAGCTTGTTGGCATCCATCGCGTCGTTGTTGCTCATCATGTTGGCGTCACCAGCAACACGATTCAGAAGAGCAAGGGCTGAGAACTGCGAGTCCACGTTGGACCCGTCCTGCTGATGGGTGTTCGACTCACGGTGGTTGTCGACATCCATGCTGCGGCCCATGAAGGCGTTGCTAGCCTCGGTCGTCTGGAGGAACATCGCAATGAGGTCAGCGGATTGCAGCAATTGCTTATGGACAGAAGCGTTAGCAGACTCCGAGGACATGGTGGCGGTGGCAGTGGTGGAGTGGCTTTCAGCAGGGCGCTGAGGCTGCAACAAGTTCAACAACTGCTGCTCGTGGTCCAAAGTCGAAGCTTGGGTTGGAGGCATACCCAGACGGTAGCGGAGGACGTGGCAGCGCTTCTCGAGGATGTTGAGGAACTTGTACATCTGTCCGGGTCGCATGTGCTCAACCAACACTTGGAAACGAGCATCGTCAAAGATGAGCGACTTGGACTGAGAGGCAGCAGCGGCGGTGGCGATGGGAGTAGACTGGCCCATCATCGAGGCGGGAGTTGCCTGAAGCAATTGCGCGGGTGTCTTTGCGGCGTTCAAGGCAGTGGGAGGTAGCGAGTATGCAGCAATGGGGCCCAAAGGCGATTCATCGGGCATGGTCAAAGGCGAGCAGACCGAGCTGTTGAGCGAGAATGTGTTGCCAACCTCGCCAGTCATCATAGGCGACGTAGTAGCCGAAGTCATAGCTGAAAGATCGCCCGAGAAGAAGGGGTTGGGACCAGTCAATGACATATCCTGAGAGGAGGCAGGAGTCATGAGCATGAAAGGACTGCTCATGGACTGCATCCAAGGGAAGGCTGACTGGGACCAGTCCACCATCTCCATCTGGGCAGGCTGCTGATGCTCGACAGAGGAAGTCTTACGGTGGTGCTGGAAGGCAGGGGAGACAGGTGGGCTTCGAGAGGCAATATCGCTTGAGCTGGCAGTCGAGTCGTTCTCGGCATCGTCACTGTGGCTGCTCTCAGAGGGAGAAGGCATGGACGACTGAAGGACAGGGCTGGCAGAGTGCGAAGCACCAGACTCAGCAATGTCAGAGTCGAGGTCACTTGTGATGGATCGAGGAGACGACATGACGGTGGCAGGGGAGCTGGGCATGGAGACAATGTCCTTCTTGGGAGCCAAGGGGACGACTCTGGAAGGGCTCGAGGCTGTCGATGGAGAGCTGTAGGGCGAAGCAGATTCGCGTTGCTGTCCTTGGCTCAAGGAGGGCTTGTGGCGAGCATGGAGGGGACGATGGCCGTTGTATTGCTTGTAGTAGAGACCGCAGGCGTTACAGAGGGAGTGCTTGCGATCCAATGTTCGGCGCCAGAGAGGGGTTTGAGTGACCTTGCAGTTGAAGCACTCGAGCGACCTAGGTGGGCGCGTGCTCTGCTTTTTGGGCTTGGTGGCCTTGCCGGTCTTTTGTGCGGAGGTAGACGACGAGGCGGCGGGCTTCGAAGTAGTGGGGTCGGCATCGGGGTTGGTTGTGACAGGAGAGACCATGGCCATATCGCAATCATGGAAGAGGTCAGTGTCGTTCTTTGTCGATGTGGAAGTCTTGGTCGGGGTCTGTGAAGTCCGTTGTTCTTGCTCGGATGACTGTTGCTGCAGCTGTTGCTGTTGTTGCTGTTGCAACTGCTGCTGGGCCTGCAACTGAGCATTGAGGAGGAGCTGTTGCTGAAATCGCTGCTGTTGCACCTGCTGTTGATGCTTCAGCAGTTGCTGGCGGAAGTATTCTTGTTGTTCGGGAGTTGGCTGAAGGTCATCTTCGTTATCATTGGAATTGGTTCGTGCGGTGATAGACGACTTCCAAGATGAAGACGAATGAGACTGGGCATCCGAGACACGGTTGGCTATTTGATTGCAAAGTAGGTGAAGAAGAACTGAGTACATTAGGTTCCATGCACATACGTGTTCAATGTACAACCGATCGTGTATGGAAGTGTAGGTTACCTGAAATAAGGAGAGTATTGGCAATATCCTTGAAGGGCGAGCTTGAAGGAGCGATGGCACGGGCTGTAGATGAGTTACTGTTGGCAGAGAGAGCGGCACTGTTACGGAGTTGGCTAAGTCGGTGCTGGAGGAGCAATTGACCAGGGCCGGAATGCTCGAAGCCTTGGGTGGTTGATGCAGAGGCCGAAGCCGAGTCATGATCCATCTCGTTGACTGCCATTTGCATGTGTGAGGATAGATATGAAAGGAGGGAAGGATGTGAAGCTGTTTGAGGGAAAGTGTCCACTCGGAGGTTTCTGTAATCAATCGAAGCTATTAGGGAGACAAGCAGTTCAAGAGGAAGAGACCGAGGATGAGTGTGAGAAGGTTGGTAACATATATATCGTTGTTTGTGTGAGCAATGCATGTGTTGTTGTTGTCGTCGTTGCAGGGTGCAGCCACGGGGAAGTGATGGCCCAGACCACATAAATAGTATCTGAAAATCTGTTTAGGGTTTGTCTGTTGACTGCACTCGGACCAAATAAAAAAATTCGAGCACGCCATTTTCGTGCCATTGGATATGGGTCTAGCCATCTACACTCGACCCCTGTCATGGATTAATAATACTGTAGGACAGATAAGGGAGGGGATGGTAAAGAGAGTTGGAAGTGAGGAGTGAACGAGCAGCCATGACCATTGCACAGCTGAACGATCGACCATTGCACCGAAGGTAAAGAGGGAGGATTGGCGGCTGAAAGATAGAGGGAAGGATTGGCGGCTGGAAGAAAGAGGAAAAGTGGTCGGGAGCTTCAGGGGGATCACTGAATCCCCATGAGGTTGCAAGGGTATTAAAGACTCTGGCATTGAGAACACTTGGCACTAAGGAGGGGTGGTAGAGAAGGATGGGGTGACGGATAGGAAATGAATGAAGAGAAGGGTTATACCTTTTTGATATGTCAGACGAGAATCGATAGACAAGGACGACTTGATTAGATAATGGGAGACAAAGTATCGGTGACGATGAGAGTGAAGAAAGAGAGGGAGAGAGAGGGAGAGAGGAAGATAGAGATGATGGAAGGTGAGGACGTGAGTGTGAGTGAAGAGGAAGGAGTGTGTGTTATTTGTGAAGACGAGTGGAGGTGGATGTCAAAGCAGAAGATAAGCTGTGAGGGGTAAAGAAGAAAAGAAAGAGAAGAGAAAAGAGGAAACGAAAAGAAAAACGAACAAGAGTTCAGTTCTTTGACAGACTCTTTATATCATTTCTTTTTCCCGTTCATCTTTTTTTGCTGGGGGCAAGGCAAGGCAAGAGCAGGAGTTGTTTATCGACTGCGTCTTCTTCCGTCTGGTCTGTCTGTGTGGCCTCGAGTCATCCGTCCGTCCGCCTGTTCCCCATACCCGGTCCAGCCCTTCTGTCGAACACAGTGAAGAGTGCACAAAGAAATATATTAGCAGTGTTCAGTGCTCTCTCTGTCGCTTTCAATGGTCTCGTCGGACAGAATCAAGTCAGCCGTGCTCTTCTCTTCTCTCCCCTTCGTCCCTTGTTGCGCCAACCTCATTAATAAACTTACACCTGCAGGCTAGGCCTTGACTCTTTCTCTATATCTTGGCTTTGTTAATACTCTTAATCCAACTCCTCCACACTCCTCTCGCTGTCACCTACATTCATCAAAGCAGACACTCGTCAATTCGGGTCTGTAACACCACTCTAAATGGCCACGCCCGTCTCCCTCTCAAAAGTGATGACCCAGAGGACTGACTGTGCTCTCCCCCTCTTGTCGCAGCGAGTTGAGCACCTTTTTTTTTCCTTTCGTTTTTTCGGTCGATTGGGTCCATTTGTTTGTTTACAACATCAAGGATGTTTTTTTTTCGCTCTAGCACAAACACACGCACACACACACATAAACAAAGGGGTAAAGAGCAGGATGGCGTGTATTTCCTCCAATCAAATCGCTCCATTAGTTTACTATTCGTGCCAGTGACAAAAAACTGATAGTCGCTTGTTCCCTTTTTTGAATCAACCTTGTCTGCTTTTCACTTTCAGACACAGGGCACTGGCAACGACTTGATCATGCATCCACCTCACCCGCTTGCTCTTTCCTTGGCTTCCATGGATTCACTCACTCACCACTCACTCTTGTTTTATTCTGGCCTCAGGGAGGGGAGGGGTCCACATGGCCATTGAAACGTCGTCATTGTCACTATGATCTAAACAAGAGCATAGTCAAGAGGACAACAACAGAAAAGGCGCCTTTTTCGATGCCGTTTATCGTCAATGGTACAAAGCTGTTAACCCCTTTTAACCTTTGTATAACTGATAAAATGGTAATGGAGATGGTATTGCTTTTAGCGGCAAAAACTAACAAAAGACAGATGGGCATGAGACGGGTATTCTTCGGAGAGGATCAGCAGTAGCAGCCGTAAGAGGAGGAGCAGTTTCGGGTTTTCTCCACGGCAAGGTTCCTCAAGAGAATTCGCCTCCTAGTTCTATCTCATCAAGATGGAGCGGGTGAGAAGTATAGATGGGAGAGCTTGCTTACCTCGCTGAAGAAACCAGGCCATTGTGTCTCCGGCCATGCACCATGCAATCATGCCCCATGCATTTATTTTAACTACATTTTTTTTGGGTCAAAAAGCTAACGCTCAACTATGCAAAAAAACAACTCAGACCAATACAAACTCGTGTTAAACAGTGACCTTTGGAGGCGTGTGTATGTGTGTACCGTCATCCCCACAAAGGAAAAATGAGGTTTTTTATTAGTTGCATGACCATTGATCCTGCACACTGCACAGATGCTTGCCCTTACCTAGGGGTAAAATCAAGGGAGGAGAAAAGGCGGAAAAAGAAAAAAGAAGGGCGTAACATGCAAGCCAGCCTGCCAGAAGGCTTTGGTACTCTTTACTACCCTCTTTTTGCATTGGCTCGGTCTGTTGACTTTTTCAACCAACGCCAGAGAAAGAAAAAGAAAGAGATAGATGAGAAAAAAAGATGGACGCTGTGGTGTATTTGGTCCCTCCTCTTGCAAACACGTTTTCGCGTTAACTCTTTATTTGTTTATTTGATTTCCTCATGGCTCTCGTGTTAGTTTGGTGCAGCCATGCTTTACGTGATGCAAGTGCATCTTTTTTTTTTCTCCTTTCTTTGTGTTCCCTTTTCTCCCTCAATGGTCATTTTGTCGCATAAACAAATAAACAAATAAACAAACCAACAGCGGGTGAGATGGCACTGTCGGATTGTTCCATGGATGATGTAGGTGGAGGGAGAGAGGGAGGCAACAAGGGATGAGCGGACATCGTGGGCAGGACTGGACACGACAGGACAGGTGCAGGACAGTGGCGGGAAATAACTGGCTCAAAGTGGTACAACGATTGCAGCTCAATGGTTTACCATTCCCTTTCTCTCTGTCTCCATGGTTTATTTATAAACGATACTTGAGTGGAACCAGCCCTGAACGGCGGGTAATAGCAATGTAATCAAACACGGCGCCTTTTTTTAATTGCAGCTCTCGTCTTACCCTTGTCGCCATATCTGTTTTGAGCTGTGCTTGGTATTCCCATTCACTGATTTGGTGCTTTGGGGTGTATGATCACAAGGAGCCTTTTTTTTCTGAGGGAGAATCAACTCGACTGCGTGCTTCAGCCCTGGCGGTTCGAAAAGAACTTTCCTCGGAGTTTTTCTGCCAAGAATGTTGAACCAGCGCCCATCAGAGTTCAACAATTCACGCACAGCAACGGCCTAATCATTTCTAGAAACTGCATGTAGATGTACAGCGTGCCTTGCGTTTGTGCATCTGTCCATGCAAAGAAGAGTAAGAGTTTGGGCGAAAGGGTTACACTTGAATGTGGCGTGCTTTTCGTAAACAAGAAGAAATGAAAAAAAAACAAAGGAACGTTGGATGCTCCGATTGTTAAGTTCATTTGGTTAGAGTCAGTCTGGATATCTCATAAGCAGCAGCTGCTGCAAAGGAAAAGGACCTGGGCATTGAGGATACACACGAAAAAAACGAAACGAGCGACGAATCATTTCACTGTGTGTTGTTTGTGTCCCAACGGTGATATTTCGCCACCGATGACAATCCTTGCCAATTTTCGCATTTCTCATTATTTTTTGTATCGCCACCAAATTGACCCAGTTAATTCATCTACACCTCTTCTGGAACGACCAGAAAGAAAAAAAGGGTCGAGGCGGCCAGACTGTCAGGTGCATAACAACAAACAACAGTATGGTTTCCTGCAATGTGATAGAGCTTTTGTCTTCCTGGGTTTCATTGAGCATCATAGAAGCATATCGTTACCGAATGAAGATCCCATAGAAGTAGGGAGGACATGAACTCTTATAGATTTCTGCATTCCTTCACTTCTGGTTAGAAATGCATCTAACATTCCGCTCGACCAAATACGCTGTTTAATGTATCCGAGTGCCATGCACAAGTGAGACCTACGCACATACACAGCGAGAGAGACACAAAGGGACAACGTGGCATTCTTGTTCGAGCCGAATCCAGATGACAAAGACGAAAGGAATGGTCTAGAATATGGACCTCATCCGGCTGAGTATTGTATATCGTATCACCTTAATGTGCCTTTGCTGCCATGTTTGTCATGTTTTCGGCCTGATTTTTCTAAGTTTTTTATTCTTAAAGGGATTTAGCGCAGCGCGCACATGGCTCAACCGAACAAGAAGGCTGACAAATGATGCAATTCTGTTTTATTCTCCTTCAGGCACAGAACCTGTCAAAGAATTCTCGTGTTACTTGTGGGCCGAATGTCATTTTCCTAGAAAAGAAAAAAACACCGTTAGCCATCCACCTCTTAACGCTACTACTGTTGTTATCGCAATTGCTAGAAAGAAGGGTAGTTAGCCCACATAAAAATTCATCCACGTACCTCCTCTTTATGAATGCTGAGAATCCCTGCTGGGTTAGATAGAGATGATCGATCGGGGAGTGTTCCAATTCATTTTGGATGGAGAATTTGAAAGGAGCACCGCCGTCACCGACTCCGACCGGGCAATTGCCAACTCTCCCACATCCAGGTCACCTTCTCCAGACGAGGTACTGTACAACGGCGGAGCTATTGCATGCATGGCAGGGAAAGGGATTTTCCTTTTGGTAAAGAGAGACAGTGGAGAAAAAGAAGCTGCGTCAAGGGTCGTCGAATAAAGACAGGCAGCGATGGATGAGCGTGTACCATTGACAGTAAAAGGAAAGGGGAGAAAAGCAATTGGGTGAATAAGGACGACTCCGTCCGTCATTTATTCTCGGACAGTTGCAGCAGAGGCAAAGAAGGGCGGACCAAGCGGTCTTTTTATCCAGTGCTGGCCAATGGGATGCAACCCCAGCACTTATGTGTCCGGCAAAAAGAACACAATTTCGCCGTTCATTCCTGATGAGCCGCTATCCATCACGTGGATCCTTATCCAGTTTGTCACCTCAGCAGAAAAAGATCATCTCCTGTGCCGAATGCCCGCTTTACAAATCCCTTTTTATACTTCTTGCATTCCCCGACTTTCTTTTTCTCTTTTCTTCTCCTCTCCTCTCATTCACCATTCAGCCCCTCTCCATTCTCCACTGTCCACTCTCCACTCTCCTCTCTTCACTCAACTTTTTATACCACAGCTACAACTGCAACCGACAGTGATACCAATACAATAAGGAAAAACAACACCTGCACCTAGACCGACACAATAATAATGGCAACAGATATCTCCGCTACACACTACCCCGAGGCAACCGGCCCGGTCCACATTGTCTTCTCCCAGCCCACACAGCCCACACGCTGGATCGAGGGGACAACTGAATGCAGACACATGGAGTCGCTCTTCCTCCTCGTCGACGATGCCAGAGACGCCCATATCCGGCAATTGATGGCCGTCTTCCCCCACCTCGAAAACAAGAACAGAGTCGTCCGCTACGCCAACCTCAAGATGGATCAGCACTACCCCGAGAACAGCAACAGCCTGCCCGATGAGTGGGGTCGCACCAGGAGTCGACCCCTCTTTGGCCAGCTCTTCCGTGTCGAGACTCGTTTTGTAAATATCGGCAACACCAGCGTCCAGTTCCAGCACCGATTCTTGACTGTCCCCAAGAGCCAGGCCAAGCGGGATTTTAACAACCGGGAAGAGGACGAGCAATACGCCACTTTGGACGAAGATGATGAGCCCGAGCGGGTCTTCGCCAGCGCAGAGGGATCGATCGTCTTTGTGAAATGGCAGACGGACGACAATGGATTCCGCTTCTTTAGACCTACCCCAGGAATCTTCTATGACAAGTCTCTTGCTGCCCCCTCGGCCATCCAGTTCCTGAATGCTCAGGCACCCGGCAAGAGAGCTGCTGGTTCTGAACGACCCGCCAATGCCTTCCGTGTCCAGATCCACTTGCGCAAATCGGACGAGGATGAACTGGGACACGTCACCAACTCTCGCTATGTGTCGTTGATTCATGACGTCCTGACGTTTGGACTCCGTACCGGATACTATGCTAACGGCTCGGGTTCCTCCAAGACCGCAGCAGATTTGCCCAAGATTGCATCCCACGAGACCGATGCCAAGGCAGAGGTCGCAGTCCCAGCCGGATCGGCCTTCTACAAGCGTGGGGATGTCTTTGAGCTGTACGTTGGATACGAGCGTGAACTGAAGGTTAAGCCTGGTGTCTATGTCTGGACCTGGGTCGAGCCTGAGAGGATTCATGGCGAGTACGATGTGATCCGTTTCGAGGTCTGCTCAACAGAGAACGGCAAGGAGGAGGTTGTTTCTTTGAGCCGTGCCATTGTCCACCAGGATCCCCAGACGCGCGCGTCCCTTTAAATATGTGAAGATCTCCACCCATCATTTTTTACATTAGACAAACAACTATTTTTTTCACAAAACTACCACCCTTGAATACATGCTAGATCGTAGAACATTCCCCTCATCCCCATCATAGACAAATACACTTGTACCATATCCCAGTTCCTCATCCTCAGCGTTCCCTTTTGTATTGACGATCTGCGTTCTTGCGAAGCGTTGTCTAGTTGCGAATTGGTGGCAATATTTTCTCGCCTCGTTGACTATTGCTTAAGGGTGACCACACTGTGTTTACTTTGGAAAAAGCAAATGGTCGAGCACTGCATCACTCACTCCCTTCTTTCTCGACACGCTTTTTCCACAGGAATCGACCCTTCGTCAACCAAGAGCAAGAGGATCGGACACAGCAAAACGCACAAACACATAAGCAGGAACTACAGAACATATACATATATTCCGCCATGTCAAAGGATTTCGATGTTGTCGCAAACTACAAGAGTTTGCTCCTGAACTCACCCGTACGTTGACTGCACGATGTTGTTCGACAATGAGAAGCAAGGAATCTGAAAAAAAAGAGAAAATCAACAAGCGTAAATGGAAGTGCAAGTGTGCTGACACTCTTCTATTTGTCTGTGTGTCGGGTCATATAGGAACTGTCCATGCCCGTTGCTGCCATTCAGTCTCTTGTGGAGCTCATCAAGCATTCCAACGGTAAGCTCAACGAAAAAAGAAAAAAAAAAAAAAAAGATAATTACTGCCTCGGCCTATTAATCGCTTCTATGACCTTGTCCAAAAAGAACTAATGAACACTTCGTTACCAATTGATAAACGTCTCTAGCCACGACAATGTCAGAGTTCATGCTGTCAATAAACGTGGCCAGCCAGTTGTTGAAGTCCTCAGTCCGGAATTCGATCTCACTCTCCGCAGGATGTGATCTCTTCTTGCGGTTCGTGACCAGGAATTCTCAGGATGTGGCCGAGTTTGAGACATGGAAGGCAACGTTGATTGTCCGTGGTCAGAGTTTTGTCGAGAAGGCCGATGCCTGTCGTTACAAGATTGCAGAGTTGGGTGTGCCATTTATCAAGGACGGCTCGACGATCTTGATCCATGCCCATTCCCGTGTTGTCTCGCTCTTGCTCCAGAAGGCCGCCGAGAACCATAAGCGCTTCAAGGTCTTTGTCACAGAGTCCAGTCAGACTCGCGGAGGGTAGGTATTCCATTACTTGTTTTATGTCAATTATGATATCAGTGCTGTATTGCGGTGGTGGAGGCGCATTCACATATGCTTGAAGAGATAAGCGTCATTCTGACTCATCCCTGACCACGTTTTTTGTCTTAATGTCCTTATTTCTTACCTTTCAAAAAACAGCATTCGGTCGGCAAAGATGTTGCGGGCTGCAGGAATTCCTACAACCATTATTCTGGATGCTGCGGTCGGATATGTGATTGACAAGGTCGACATGGTCCTTGTTGGCGCTGAGGGAGTTGTTGAAAACGGAGGGTTGATTAATCAGATTGGATCATACCAGATGGCTATCGTTGCTAAGGCTGCCAACAAGCCCTTCTATGCCGTCGCTGAGAGGTTTGTTACATATTACGCAATGCTGATTTTGATCTACATCTTTTGTTTTGTGTTTATTATATTAATTTCTTGGCTCTTTCTTCACGTTGTGGAGAGGATCAATTGGTCCTGCATTGTGGAAGGGAGATCAGTTGGACCTTACTGTGGAAGGTGTCAATTGCGCCTGAGAAAAAACCAACATCTAACCATCATTGATCCTTTCAACTCATGAAAACCCATCAACTCGTAGTTACAAGTTTGTTCGTCTGTTCCCATTGAACCAGTACGACCTCCCAACGTACAATGCCGACACGCTCTCATTCCAGGAACTGAACGTCGACTATGACTCCAAGTCAGACGATGCTGGATTCGTGACCCCGAGCGCATTATCACAAACTGCTCTGCACATGAAGACATCGGAGGATCAAGGTTCGCAGGGATCCAACCCCTTGGTGGATTACACGCCTCCCAACTACATCACATTGCTGTTTACGGATCTGGGTGTCCTTACACCCTCTGGAGTCTCTGACGAGCTGATCAAGTTATATTTGTAAACACGCCTACATCCGTGTACCCATTCATTCCCCATCTTTCATTTTTTTTTCTTCAGTTCGGAGCACTTCATCAGCAAACAATAAAAAACCAAAAGATGAACACATGTGCCCATGACAAGGAATGAATGAATGTAAAAATATCTTTTCATTAGATATCTCCTCGAGGTGTGATCCTCAGTCCATCAGTTTTCTGATCATTTCTTGACTGTTGATCTGGGACACGGCCCATTTATTACTTGTTGACAACGACATCTAGTAATCCTTTCGATCAATGGCCTCAAATAAGGTTGTCAGGCAGTGCTGATTGGCGAAGTGCCCAAAATACGCACAATAGTAATAATAATTGATCAGTGATCAAAACATTCTCCTTCAAGAGAAAAAAAAAAAAAAGATCGACGTGTGCGCGCGCGCCATTTTATTTTTCTCTTTGGGGCTAGGAATGCGAGAGGGGGGAACAAAGATGTAGGGGGATAAGAAACGGAAGGGGGTCCGGATCTGAGAGATTCTTTCTTGAACATTTTTTGTGTGAGCAATTGAAGAGGCGGACATAACAAAAAAAAACTCCCAGGCTGCTCATGTCACTTCAAAAGGACACGTTTTTTTACCTGAGCACATAATCGATCCTCATGCATTGGGCGGAGGAGGGGGATGGCAAGGTAGGTAGGTTTGGCTTTTTTTTTTCTTGGTCTATTTCTCCTTCGGTCGATATACATCTGCGTGTACACGCCATGGCTGAAAAAAGGGCACTTCGGTTCAATCTCCGGCTTTGAGTAAGAAAAACGCACACGCCATACAGAACTGGCAATCCAAAGCAAGACCATGCAAGAAAAAATAAAGGAGGACGGGGCACGACAAAGAGTGAAGGAAGCAGGGATGGCGATCGCGCAACAAGGCTGTTGAGGATTTGGCCGCGCCCTTATTTGTTGCAGAAGTTTTTTTTTTTTTTTTTTTTTTTCTTCTGGCCAGGCCATCGTTTGTTGTCCTTCCAATGGGCACACATGTGTACAAACAAGGCAACCAAACCAACCAAAACATAAATAAAAAAAAAACCACGCAAGCGTGCAATTGGACCCTCGCGAAAGAAAGAAGATTGAGCATGGGCAAACTCGCATGATGAATGGATGCTCGATCCTCCTCTTCGCCTTTTCCTTGTGTTTTTGCTGCTGTTGTTGTTGTTGTTGTTGTTGTCATTGTCGTTGGTTTGTTTGCTCTCTTCACCCGCCATTTTCCTTGCGGAGGAAAAACCACAAACGAAACCCATCGGCCTGTGTACCTTTCTCGTATGCAACGATGGGCAAGGAGGACCAGGTTTTTTTTGTTGCGTGTGGTGTTCATGCAGGATGTGACAAAAAAAGATAAAAAAAAGGAGGGAAACAGACAAACGCCTCCTTGCCCCCCGCTCGATCCTCCTCCCCCACGCAACGCATCGCAGCATGGAATTACGTAGCATCCATGCATTCGGTTGGGCAAGCAAAAAAAAAGTAAAAACAGAACTGGATTCAACAACAACGGCATCGAGGGCAGGCGATTAGGGGACGATAGAAGAATCAAAGAAAATCAAAACAACAATGTTGCATCATGTCAGTATTCCCTTGAACAAAATAGACATGTTGGCTGTTTAGTATTGGTCCTTCTCTTTCTTTCATCCCGTCACTTCTCTGAGCAGGATTTGGCCTAGCGATTGACGAAGAAAGAACACCTCAGGGGGTTGTTTCTATCAAAGGGGCTGAACGACACACAAAGAGAGATGAGGGAGAATCAAAGAGAGAAAAGAGCGAAGCAAGAGAGAAGAGAGAGAAGCATAGAGAGAAGGGGGAGAGATGGAAACGTGTCTGGCACAGGGGTTGGGTCCGAGTGTGCTCCCTCCCATCAGAGCCACGAGCGCACTGTTGTTGAGGATGGACGAGAAGTAATGGGAAGAAAGTAAAGAGAAGATGAAGATGGAAGATGAAAGAACAAGGGTGGAAGGAGGTCAATGGGAAACAAAAAGAACCATTGGTTTCGATATCCATGGTCAATGGTCCATCTCTGGTGCTCTCCCAATCCCCATCCTCAACCCCAATCCTTAATCCTTTCCCAAAGTCACTTCCCCCCTTTTTCTTCGGCCTGACACACACATTCACCCACACTTTCACTCCTAAAGTACTTTCTCTCATCGCCACACATCCTCAAAGCATGGATCGATCAAGTGCAGCAGCAGTGTGAAAGCCTTGACCCCTTTTGCTTGTCTGGTGTTGGGTTATCACTTATTGCAATTGAACAAGATCATCAAGTAGCAAGCAAACAAGGAGTGAGCCAAGGTGCGAGGAGTTGAAGGTTAGAGAAAAGAGTGTGGGAGTATATGTGAACGATGACCTCGAGGATAGCTGATTCAAGTGTGTGTGAGGAAAGAAAACCTTCATGTTTTGCTTTCCTTCTTTTGTCCGTCCCCCGCGCAAAAAAGAAGGATAAAGCAAGCATGGGCACTACGCACGAACAAGTGTTGTGAGCAAGGGCAGCAACAACGAGTAAGCAAGTGAGCGAGTGAGCCCCTTCTGACTCTCATTCCCCCCGATTCCAGACCATGAGACCATGAGGCAAAACTCAACTGAGGACCCATGTAGCCCATGCAGACCATGCGACCATGGCACACCATGTAACGTTGTCGTTTGTTTTTTTTTTAGTTTCTTTCTGTCTTTTCTTATGGCTAGAAGAAAACAAGATACTGTTTCTTTCTGTCAGTTAGTCCAGAGTCACCGTTTTTTTTCTGTTGTTTTCTTTGTTTACTTATCCATGGCCTATCCTTTTCTCGCGCCTTTTTGTACTTTCTTCGCTTATCGCTCAAATTTTTTTTTCCTGTCTCGATCAGGCCACCATCGCCTTCTCATTTTGCCATTCCACTTTTCGGATCTTTGAGCATTTGTGTTGCAAGGTGTAAAGGAAGACGTGAAGAAAGGATGAAGAAGGGTGAGGTTGACAATAGAAGAGTAAAGAAGAAAGCGAAGGCAAGGAAGAAGAGAAGGAGAAAAGAAGAAAAGAGGAGCGGGCTTTCAGTCGTTGTTTCCCGACACACCCTGCCTTTTTGAGTATTGAGTGTCAAACAACAACACAAACGAACCATTGAACACACACACAAACACAAACACACACACACATACACCAACCAACAACATACAACCGCACCATACCATTCGTCGTTACCACCGTGCACCCAAATCTCCCTTCTCTCTCACTCTCTCTCTCCCCCCACCACCACGTTCGCCCTGATTAGACAGCATTTTCCTTTCCTCTTTTTGCCCTTTTCTTTCTCTCCTCTCTCTTCCTCTTCTTGTTTTCTTTTTTTTTGTTTTGTTTTCCTCTCTCTCTTCTTCTTCTTCTTCTTGCATCCTCCCATCCATCCCAGCACATCCCATCTCTTCTCCCCTTCCCACCGTACCTTTTGTTTTCTTTTTTCTTGTTATTTTTTTTTCCCTTTATTTTGCTTTTCGCTTTTTGGCTGCTCCCTTCCCCTTCCTTCCCAGCTGGTTCAACCGTCGGGCAATCCTCCTTCATTGAACACTCCTCCCATCCTCCCCTTGTCATTACCACTCCTTCGTTCTATCGTCACTTTACTTTGTATCCACAGCACCAGCCCAATTCCTTTCTTTCTTTCTTGTCATCATTCGCCCTGTTATTATCCATCCTCCTTTTTCCAACGTCTCTTTTTTTGTTATATTTGCTAGCTCTCCATTTTCGTTGTTCTTTGTGTATTTTGTCCATCTTCTCGTTTTTTTTTTTTCCTTGTTACTTTGCACTTTGCACGTTGCTCTTCTATCCGCCCCAAAGCACAAACAGAAAAGCAAAAAAAAAAAAAAAAGAAACACCAACTCTCCCTTTTGTTCAGTAAAGCACAGCGCATCCTCGTTGTGTTGTTTATTGTATTCAGTTACAACATTTGTGTCTTTTTTCTCTAACCAGCCGAAAAACCGACTCTTCCCCTGGCCGCGCCCAATTGATTCCACAAGACCCTACCCACCAATATGAACTCGTCCTCGTCGTTTGGGTTTCTCCCATACCAGGCCTCCGCCTCCCAGATGACTTCGCCGGGAGCACAGGCACACCCGCAGCACCAGCACCAGCATCATCCGCATCAACAGCAGCAGCAGCAGCAGCAACAGCAGCATCACCACCACCCGCACCAGCAGCAGCAAACCCTATCCCAGCAGCAGCTCTCGCACGAATTGGCTCAAGAACTCTCTTCTCCGCCGCTGCCCCTTCACCCCTCTTCTCTTCACACTTCCTCCTCAACCGCCGCCTCGCTCTCCGGATCGTCCACCTCGCCTATCAGCGCCAGCACCTCAGGAACGCTTCTCTCGGCCACCGTCAACTCCAACTGCAACAACGGTGCCGGAAACAATAGCAACACCCATGGTAATACGGGCAGTAACACTAGCACGGCGGTAGGCAGCCCCACAGGAGGAGTCGGACCAACTGTTGGAAGCAGTCTTGGAGCTAGTCAGCATGGAGGACACCCAACCATCAACACTGCCATGCTTTCGAACTATGGTGGCATGCTCTCTTCGCCACCACACTCGTCCCAGGCACAGTCGTCGTCCAACTCATCCACGCCTGGATCGGTCTTGCCAACAACCCCGCACCAGACCGCGGACCTTGATACCATTCTGGCAACGTACGCGTCTCAGCCAGAGCTCTTAAAGATGATCATTGCGTCCAAGACGGAAGAAGACCGACGATGGGCAGAAGAGGCGCGCTTTAAGATGATGGACCTTATGCTCCGTGAGAACAGAGGGATGAATCTCATGACGGGCTACGAGGGACTTTTGGCCCAGACCTCCCCCACAGGAACGCCAGGCTCGAGTGTCACCACCGGGAACATGGGAGGTCACCCTTCCACGTCTACGACCACGGCCACAACCACCTCTTCGTCCAACTCCCAGCCTTCCAGCACAACAGTCAGCCCTACCTCAGCGACCATGCAGATTCCAACCACCTCGCTGGGCCTGAGCTCCACAGGCAAGCGCTTCATGGACGATGACGATTTCGATACACCCTCCTCGGGGTCGTTGTCAGGAGTCGGTCTCCGAGGAGGAAACGGCTCACTTGGTGGACTAGGGGGAGTCGGCCTCGTAAATGGTGGAAATGGCGGTGGTGGGTTTGGTGGCCAGGGACCAGATCATGGTCTTGCGCGCAAGCGGTCAGTCACGTTTGCGAGGGATATCCACCATGGTCACTTGAGATCCCAGTCCATGTCTTCCATGCCCTCAGGTCCCCACTCAATCTCCACAGTGACCTCGACGCCCCTTTCCAACCCCACGAACCAGTTTGGGACGCTCTCGATGCTAGGATTGACCGGACCCAACACGTCTCTCCAATCGCACATGTCATCGTCGTTCCAACAGCACCCACAGTCGCCTTCCTCGGGGTCATTGACGAGCTTGCAGCAGCAATACCAGCAGCCCACACACCAATCACACCAGCCACCACATCAGTTCCCTCAGCATCAGCACCAGCAAAACCAGCACTTGCCGCCCCAATTCGGTCAATACCCACAGATGTTTTCGTACCATACGACGTTGCCTCAACTCCAGCACCAAAATGTCATCCGCAGGACCAACTCGCTCTCACATCTGTCACAGTTCGCTCAATCCTCGGTCTCGGGAGGCACAAGTCTACTGGATCAGCAGCGCCTGGCCGCCGGTCGGCCCAGGAATGTGAGCGCATCTTCTTTGCGGACACAAGATGACAGCGGTATGTTTCTTTCTTTTTGTCGTTGGTGATCTTCAATTGGTTCTCGGCTATCTCGCCCATGCAAAATGCAAAAACGCAACGGTAAAAAAGAATAAGTGCAGATGTCCTGAACTGACAGTCCGAAATCGTCATCATTTTCGCATCTATCTTTTTCTTGTTCCTTCCCCCCCTCCTCTCCCCTTACATCTTTTGTTGTTGTTGTTTTTTTCTGTATGCGTTTTTGCGTATCGATACAAAAATACAACAACGACAACACAATAGACGACGAGTCGGACGATGACTGCGACCATCCATTGATGGGCGGAATGCACAGTCGACCAGGATCTTCCCTCAGCATGAACAACATGATGGGCGGCAACGGCGAGACTTCCTTGACGCTCGAGTTCTCGGATCTGGCCTCTGTCTCTGGACCCTCAGGACTTGGCCAAGGAGGGTACTCCCATCACCAGCACCAACAACACCAGCCACCACATCATCAGCCATACGGAGGGCACAATTCTGTCGTCTCGATGACGATGGCCGCGCTAGGCCCGGGAGCAATCACAAGCACTGGATTGAGACCCACTAGCGGCTCCTTGTCATCATTGACCGGCGGTAATGGTGTTGGTGGTGGCGGAGGAGTTGATGCAAGCAGCGGAGGCATTGGAGCGGATCAGAAGCGGAAGCGCAAGCGTCGGGAGATGCAGCCCGTCAACAAGATTGTGGACTCTGCAGAACCCCATATCGATCAATTCCTCTGGAAGAACAACGGCAACACGACCCAAAAGAAGACTGGCTGTAAGAGTATCTATTACAAGTGCTCTAACAGCGCCAGTGGTTGCACTGTAAGTTTTTTTTTTTGGGGGGGGGATGGATTGCTTTTGCTGTTTCATCTAGTCATATTAGTGTCAAGGAGATAAGTAGCTTTCTTTAGCGTTTCCCATTCCTCCTTTTTCTAACATCTTGTCCCCTTTCTCTTTGCTGTTAAACAAAATAGGTGAACAAGACGGTGACGGAGAAGGAAGGAGGAGGGTACGTGACAAAGTACCGTGGCGAACATCTGGACGACTGTATCAAGCTTAAACGAGCGCAGCAAGCAGCCCAAGCAGCCCAACAGGCGGCCCACCACGCCTACTCTACATAAAGTCTTGCCCAATTGCCCAATTGCCCAATTATTTAACCCTTATTTTCACTTTTTTGTATCATAAACGTCGCTGTTGAAAGAAAGGACACAAAGGGAAAAAGGAATTGTATGTGGGGGGGGGGGGGGGGGTTTGCCTTGCGAAGCTATCATTTAGTATTTATGAGGTTGTTTTTTTTTAGGTTTTCTGGCTTTTTATTTTAGACGTCCTTTGCTTCCGCTGTTGAGGTCTTGTGGATGCCGCGGTAATCAACCTTGTAGCCCTTCTTGGCCGCGTTGGCCTCATCCTGTGCGATCCTGTCTTCCCCTATTGTGTGAAGAAGGGGAAAGTTGGAAACAAATTAGATCATCAACTACACTTTCCTTTATTGTTTTTATTTAGCAAAAGCAAAAAATAAAAAGGGAAAAACTTACATGACAATTGGTGGGCCTGGGAAGGGATGGTCTCGGAAGGAACTGCGTGTTCGCGCTTACGGATGTAAATGCCGTTCTTTGTCACATTGTAGAACAGTGCTCCCGCTAGAAAGAAAAAAAAAAAAAAGAGATAAGATAGGAGGAAAAAGGACACCCGGACGCGTTTCTGGTTAGCATATTTTTTTTTTGTGTGATCTGGGCAAAAAATGATGACTGAGCTTGTGTAATACACGCGCGGTCGCGCTGGTTACTTACAAATGGTCAATCCAGCCCTATGATTGTCAGCGTTATAGCGAATGAAGGAACATTTTGGTGTTAGTTCTTGTGAGGGCGGCAAAATATTATGAGAAGTCGGTATTCACCCCCCACTGCGCTGTTGTATTGCTTTGTTTGTTGCTTATTTGTTGTCCATGAAACTTGATGTTGTTGTCTTTACCAGCAGAGCATGATATGAGAGGGCTTGTTGAGGTTGAGCTTTTGCATGGCGAGGATGTATAATGAAGTGGAAAGGAATGAGTGAACAGGGAAGGAATCCAAGGAGTGAGAAAAGGTTGAGAATGGAATGGGATGGCGTGAGGAAATACAAACTTTGCCGAACGCCCGAGCTCACTTGGATTGTTATTCGGGAACTTAGAGGGGGTAGTGACTGCTTGTTTTGGCATGCATTGATGGGGTTCTTCTTTTGGCGGATCCGTGAGATACAATCAACTCTGACGCGCGAGAATACGGGGGTTGGAGCCAATGGCAAACCTACAAGGCCCTTTCTGTGGAACCCGAGATACGGTCTCGGGAACTCAGATCAAAAAAAAACATATAAGTAGAGGCCCCTCGGCCAGTCCGAAGCAGCGCTGATCGATCATTTCGAGTGCGAGAAAAGTATGATCACTGAAGGAGTATTGATCACTGATCACTGCTCTATAAAACCGCGGTGGTATTTGCAGCGTGCTCGAGGTGAATGAAAAGTCCACTGCCTACAGAACTAGCCAACTCCTGCATCCCCCACCCATCATCCTACAGCCATTGCGAAAGAATGCTGATCGTGTTTTTGCCCTTTATTATGCTTTTTTGTTGCTTGTTGTATCATGAAAATCCAGTTTAATATCCAGTTTTCCCGGTCTCCATCAGATCTATGCTTTTGTTGAAGAACCCTCAATCTTCTTCTCCTCTTCTTCCTCCTCATCCGACGAAGTCTCCTCCTCATCCTCATCATCATCATCGTTTCCTTCCTTGATTTCCTCCTCCAACTCGGTGTTGATCAACATCCAGGCGACAACCTGCTCGCGCTCATTCATCTCAGCCTCCATCATGGCAGTGTGATCAGCAGCGTTCTTGAGCTATTGATTATTTTTTTAGTGTTTGTTAGAGATAACGGCCAGGCGTTAGTGAATGAAGTAGTAGAGTTGTGTTGTATCCTGCTAATTGATCACTTCAGATTGGACAGTCGATTCTGTACCTTGTAGTCGGCCTTGCCCTTGGTGATCAAGGTCTCGATGACCTTGGCATGTCCGTTGGTAGCAGCCCAGTGAAGTGCAGTGTTTCCCTGATCGTTCTGAATGTTGATAGCCTCTGGTGAAATAATCGAGATCAAGTATTCAACAACATCTATTGCATACGTAAAACGTAACCGAAAAAAGGGACAACTGTGTGAGTGAATGGGGCGGTCTCCAAAAGAAATGCATGAGGTTTGTAAAAGCTCCTTTGTCAAGAGAGGGTAATTCGACAAATGCGGGCCCTTCAAGAGCCCAATATTTCTTATGTCTGTGCCGCTTTTCTTCCCAATTCTTTTTTTTTTTCTCGCAGTAACTTCCCAACTGATCAATTCGCCAAAAAAACATGTCCTATCTTCGGGGGGGGGGGGGGGGGGGACTTGTTGTTGTATCCAGAAGCGTTCGATCGTCCAGTATCAAGCACCTTCTCAATTCCAATGTATTCGCATGCCGTCGCCTCAAAAATCTGCCAGTTTTCGTATTTCCTCCCCGCCTGTTTTTTGCTCCCAACTTTCCATTTCTGTAAGCTTACCGAGATGTCCGTTGGCGGCGGCCATATGAAGGGGGGTCTTGCCATAGTCACCCTTGTGGGACAAGAGCACCTTGGCCTTCTCGGGTCCCGAGGTCTGGACAACAGCCTGGATCTCCTCCAACTCGCCGTAACGGGCACTTTCGATCAGTTCTTCCAAATGCTCCGAATCCTGAACTGACAGGTTGGCCATGTGCTCTGAAATGTGTTGTTCTGCGGTCATTGTTGCTGCGATGTTGTTGTTGTTGTTGATGTAGTGTAGATTAGTTGAAAGTACTGAAAAGTAATGCAGTGTTAGTGGAAAAAAAAAAAAAAAATCGACAAGGGCTGAAAAACAATTACACGTGACCTTCAGGGACGGCTGATGGGATCAAAAAAGAAGCGCCACCAACTTTATTTCAAGGGTTGTAACACTATTGAGCAACAGGGATCGCAATCCGTCCGTGTGCAGCCTCAGTCGGGTGTCCGTCAGTCACTCCACGGACAGAGAGTCCATGTCCTGTTGTACCCGCGCCATTTTTCATCTCATTGTCCAGCCATTCCCGCAGCACCCGCTCCACCAGTCGCTGTGTGGTTGGACTAGCTGCTCTTTGGGAAGAGCGTGAAATGTTGTTGTCCGGTTGCCGATCGTATTTGAATTCTATGGTGGGGACCTCGATTTGGAGCGGGCTCTCATCAGTCGGTGATGAAACATGTTCCTGCTGAAACTCCAAATGCTGCCTCAAAGACTCTGCCTGCTCTTCCTGTCCCGGCACCATGAGCGAATCCGAGCTGCACTCAACCATCGATAGCCTACTCCGCCCCATCCCCCGCTTCTTCTCCACCTCAGCCGAAAGGGCAGGACTAGAGCAGCCACTTCGATCAGAAGTCCACCGCACCGAGGGTGACGAACTACTCTCTCGATCTCTGTACGTAAACTTGGCGCCCAGAGCTCTTTGCTGTTCCAACAACTGTTCCCGAAGCTGCTGTTCCTGAAGCTGTCTCCGAAGTGTCGAATCTAGATCGCCGCCTCCCAATTCCCGAAGCAAACGAACAATCTCGGCTCTCTTGTAGGTGGCCCTCTTGAGTTGTGTGTTGGTCAAAAGCGGACCCATGACGCGGAGGTAGGCGTGTCGAAGACTCTCTTCTTCCTCAGGCAAATCCCAGAGCTCTCGAATGACGACATCTACCAGTACGTGGAGGTCGTTTGTGTAAAAGAACTCGTATAGACTCGGGCTTGTGAACAGCAAGTACAGGACTTTCAAAATCAGCATCTGAAGCGCTGTTTCCTCTACCCAAAGGCATCATAATGTGAATAAGTCGTAATTAATGATTGAGCGGTTGCTTGGTACACACGCGCACACAAGACACGAGAATAGCAATGTCAGATGTGAAGGCATTTAAATACCTGCACGGTTCAACATAAAGATCAAGTTCTCGCCAAACGTCACACTACGTCCAAGCCGATCTATCAACACTGTCAGCAATGGGTTCCCGCTGTAGGCGAATTTCGTTCCTGATTGAATATTATGAGGTCGACTGGAGGTGTGGAGCATGTATTGTTCGTTGAAGACCAAGAGCAACTTAATAGCGCCGTAGTTCAATAGCTCTGCATCATCAGTCCTAGTGTGTTCAACAAGATCCAGGAGGTAGTTCAAAAAGGTTTCGTCCGCCAATGCTGACATGTATTACCAGGATGGAATATTAGCACACGACGCTTGGATGAATGTAAACTGTTGTGTCATTATAAGATTTCATAAGATGGTATACTTGCGCTTACCCAAGTCGCTCGCCTTCAGTGTTTGAATCCTGCACATCTCGTACATCAACGCGATAGCAATTAGTTGCATCCTGGTTCCTATGGATCAATGTATATGAATAGTAGAGTGGTAAGCCCACGAACCTCATGCTACATCTCCTTCTTGCAGGCAACTAACTCTTGGTAGCTGACATACCTTCCTGGTGTTGGATCTGACCCTTGAGTTTGCTAAAGAACTCATTCCTGAACATCCAGCGATAGATTCTGGGCGACTCCTTGCCAGCGTGCAGTAACACATGATATGTGATCCACATGTCCTTGTCATATGAGCTCTACTTTGCGACAAACATGCAAAATGTCAATAAGCGTTAGGCAACATATTGAGGTGTTTTTGACCAATTGGCATCCATGTCAATGAAAAGCGACACGAGAAGCGAGAAGACTACGCCTCCAATCACAGGTCCAATGCAAGATAACGTGCAAGGTCAGTGAAAAAGAGACAGTGCACAAACCTCAATTGCCCGATCAATGACGGACCGCATAACCACCTCAGTGTTTCGATGAAAAACATCCGAATCAAAGAGATTATAGCAGCAGTATACTAAATCCTGCCCCGACTCATCCATGAACTCTTCTATGGGAGGTTGTGCATGACAAAGGAGGGTGTAAGCGTGAAATTGTGCGACTGTGACATGGACGATAGTGGGCTCAGATGAATTATTTACCTTGGTAATGAACCATGAGGGAGAGGAAGGCGTTCACCTGGGACACGGGACTGTCATAGGCACCTTTACGCTCAAGGATGTCCTTGAGTTCTAATAATGCATGTGAAAGAGGGCGTGTCCAACGGTACAAGGATTAAAAAAAACAGCCGGCTCAACAAGAAAGACGCTTTTGCAAGGTTCAAGAAATGGAACGGACCTTCAATGAACAGAACGGGGGAGTCAAAGTGATTTGTGACAAAGTCCATAAAGAGTGTTTGGGCTGTTGAATGAGTTGGTGTAAGTTGAGTGAATGAATGAATAAATGAGAAGTGATGTGTGTGAAAGAACGAAAGAAAAAAAAATGCAAGCGTGAATGCAAGCAAGGAGAGACATTTTCGATTTTGCACAATAGCACACTAAAATCTGGCAATGTGCTGCCAACTCACGGGTAAAAATATGGGGACAGAGTTCCAGAGAAAAAGCGCGCATTAAGCAAAGTGTTCATACATGCGGATAAAGATGTCATTTTGTATTGATACATAATTCTTCACTCAACTTCGAGCACAAGATTACTGGCCCCAGTACTAACAAGGCTTGGTTTGGCAGAGGGGATGTGTTCAAGATATGGTCCATGTCGTCGCAAGAATCGATCCCGCGCCCCCTCAAACTGAATCTCTGTCATCCACTTCCATACCAACCATTGCAGACTCACCCAACCCAACACTCCTACAACCACCATCATCCTCCTCAATCGCATCTTCCCCACCTGCAAGACCAACCCCCTCTGCCACCGTGATTTGTGCATGGTCCTTGACCGCGTCCTGGATCGCCTTTCCTCCAATTGCCCAACGTCTTCCTCATCCGAAAACTCGCCTCCGATGCCATCACCTTCTCCGCTCCTCCATGATGATGCCCAGAGCATTGATCTTCCACGTCGCATCGCCCTCTCCATCCTTGACCGGCCGCTGGACCACCCATCTCAATCGAGCTTCTTGACGCGCTTCTTGGTTTCGGAGGAAGAGCCATCGCTCTTCTCGCTCTTGACCTTGGAGGGAGTAGAGGCGCTGTTCCAGTAGAGAGCCATCTGTAAGGCAAGGATGCAGTTGAACAAAGTGCTGAGGAGGAATCCAGAGAGAATGATAATGTCGTCGACCTCGGTCAAGGTGGTGTAGACACGGGCGAGCGATCCTGCAAAGTAGTTAAAAATGGTGAAAGCAGAAAGCTGTCCTGTGCTACCGTTCTTGTAGTTCTCGACAATCTGAGGAACCTTGGAGAACAAGTTGATGGGGATAGTGGCGGTCTGCAAGAAGCGAAGAAGGTCCATCGAGACCAAGGCGGTCTGAACAATGGTGGTGCCATCGGCTGAGAGGTGCTCTGCGGTCCTGCTGAGAATGTTGCCCAAGAACAAGAAGGAGGTGAGGATCATGAAAGCGGTGGTGTTCTTGCCGCTGTAGCGGAGCATAAGTCCGATGATAGCGAGGTTCTGGAGGGTGACAAAAAAGGTCTCGCCGTAGGTAGAGATGGGGTTTTTGCTGCGGACGTTGTAGGCAAGGGAGATGACGCAGGCGAGGGTCTCGAGCATGTAGGCGTAGAAGGAGATGCCCTTGGCGGAACGGGCCTGGACGATCTTGATAATCTGGGGCACCTTGACGATGGCACCGCCGGCGACGATTCCGAGGCCGAGGCCCTTTGAGATGGCGTACTTGATGCATGGGACGTGGGTGTAGTTGAAGTCCTCGATGAGGGTTGTGTAGCAGGTATCGCCGATAATGGCGACGGCGGGAGCCTTCAAGAAGTATGGCAGGTGCATGGTGGCAACGGGCAGGTCAAGTGAGAAGTGAGCGAAGTGTGAAGAGTTAAGAAGAAGAAGGAGTAAGTGAGATTCGTCTTCTCCCTGTTCCTGTTCTCGCCTCCAGTCGTTCTGGCCAGCCAACACGGCAGTCACAGTCTGGCTCACTTTCAAAGTGCACGTTTTCTTGACCCAACAGCCCCTTGACCACTTCCCAACAATAAGACCATAGACGACAAACTACAACTGACCTCAGGATACCCACACACTAGACTCACAAATAGACAAAGAAACGACAACAACAAATATCAACCAACAATAACCCATGGCTTCTCCACTCAGCGCATCAGGTCCTACAAGCTTCGGGCAGGGTTACTCCCTCTCCGCTTCCTCCTCGCCCTCCTCCCCTTCTGCATCAACTCCTCCCATCCCTCCACCAACTTCAAGGCAGCTACAGCAGCAACAACAGCGCAAAGAAATCCTCAACTACTCCGCACCCTGGCCCGTCTACGGCCTCGACTGGTCAAACCAGCCCACCGAACGCGAAGCACTTCGACTCGCCGTTGGCAGTTTCATAGAAGATGGCAGTAACAAGGTTCGTGCTGTCTTCATTTTTTTCACACTTTGGCTCTCTCTTTTGTTCAAGAGATCTCTCGTGTCGTGTAGTTCGAACCATGAACTCATTAGAGAACTTATATGTGTGCAAATGTACAAGTAGATTCAAATCATCACACTGCCAGAGTTCGCGGGTATTGAGGATAGAGACTACAACCCCAACTCGATGTCGGACTGGGTGCCTATTGCAGAGACCAACCACCAACAATACCCTGTTACGAAAATCAAGTGGGAGCCCTACAAGGTAAGCAAAATTAGCGCGCGGTCAGTTGTCAATCAGTGATGTATGCTATCTGTGAACAGCAAAGACTGGCAAGAAGACGATTACAACCTGTCACTCCTCTAACGACCTTTTTCCCTTTTCTATCTTACCATTAGGGCGGACATCGGTCGTTTGATTTGCTGGCGACAACAGGAGACTACCTTCGACTTTGGGAACTGAAGGAGGACACGGAGAGCACTAACTCTGGAAGCAACACGATAGGCAGACGGCCAGCACATGGCGTCCAGCAACAGCTCGCCCAGAGAGCTGTCCTCGCCAATGTAAGCCCCGATATCTCCATATCTTCATATCCCCATGTCTTTGTGTCCCCCTGTTGCAGAACCCAGCTAATTGGCGTTAGTATTGCGGACCAAAATATGGCATTCATCAATTAACCTGAACACCATGCCTTATACTCTACCACCCCCCCTTTGTTTGGACGATGACGCATGAGTAGACCAAGGCAAACTTTTGCGCACCATTGACGTCGTTTGACTGGAACACCTACGACCCCTCGTTAATTGTCACCAGCTCGATTGATACAACCTGCACAGTCTGGAATGTGGAGACGAACCAGGCAAAGACCCAGCTGATTGCCCACGACAAGGAGGTGTACGACGTGACGTTTGCGGGGAACAACGCCGATATTTTTGCAAGTGTGGGAGCAGACGGGAGCGTGCGCATGTTTGATCTCCGCGCATTGGAGCATTCGACCATTATTTACGAAACTAGTTCGTCGAGCCCAGCCATGCCTGGATCAAGTCCCAACTTGCAGACAGGGGCTCAACAGTCAGTGCCGCTTGTACGACTCGCCTTCAACAAACTCGACACCAACTACCTCTCGACGTTTCATATGGACTCTTCCAGTGTTCAGATTCTGGACATCCGTGTTCCTGGCATTCCTGTCTCTGAACTGCGCGGACACAAGGGAGTACTCAATTGCATGGCATGGTCCCCCATCGGCAGCACCGAAATCGCCACCGGCAGTAAGTCTCGACACTCTCCTTTCCGTGCGCTTGAAAAGGAAGGCAGTCTATCGCTAAAATGAAACCAAATACTAACGTGATATCAATATGACATCTAGGCGATGATCATCAAGTGTTTATCTGGGAGGTCAATCCGTCAAGGCAAGATCGGGAGGAGCTGGACTTCCACCATAGCAAGTCGGCGTCGAGCAACAAGGCCAAGAGTCCAGCCCCAACCCCCTCAACGCGTGTATTGCACGAACCCTTCCGTGCGGCGAATGTGGGAGGCGAGGTCAACCAATTGGCCTGGTCCAGTGCCAGTCCTGACTGGATTGCTGTTGGTTTTGGAAGGACAGTTCAAGCCCTGCGTCTCTAGCCCGATTGCTTTCGACTTGAAATAAACAAGTGATCTGAAAAGAAAGAGAAGCAAAGGAGAAAAGCGTATTGGTTGATATGTCCTCCGGCGAAGGTAGATCGAAGTGTGGCACATGCAAACCAGGACTCTGCCATGATTTCTTTCTATTTCCTTTTTGAGTGTTCTTGACTCGCTTTTTTTCTCCGTCCACCTTCTCCTCTCCTCCAATTCGTTTTCCTTTCTTCGTTCTTGTTCATTACATTCCTTCCTTATTCCATTCCTTCCTCGGCTCACTCTCCACTCCCGCTCACATGCTCCCTCATCTCAACCAGTCGAGGCCGGGAGCACACCCCCGCTCCTCGCGCCATGAGCACTATACCGGCTCCTGTCCGCTCAGCTGTCCAGCCCGGAGAGCGCCGCACCACCATACCTCACAACACTACCCTACCGCTTCTGCTGGACAGGCGCCCTTCCACCCACACCACCCCAGCCTTGGTAAGTTTGCCACACGAGAAAAGATCTCCATTTTCTACTTTGTATCCGCTTTTGGGCCGTGCTTTCTAGTCACCTCGGTATTTCTAAACCAGCTCGTTTTTTTTTTTTTTTTTGGGAATGGTCCTTTAGATGCCTCAAAATTGCACCCGGCGTTTTCAGGACTCTTCTTCCAACAACGGCGGACATATACTACAATGCAACAACAACAACAACAACAACAACAACAACAACAACAACAACAACAACAACAGCCACCACCATTACCACCACACCACATCGGGCTTAATACTTCAGGATTTCCATCAAAACAACCACCACCGACAGGAACCGCAGGACTCGGAGATGTCAGACTACAACAGGGCGCACCGATCTTGGACCATTATGCAGGAGGAGGTGGAGTAGTAGGATCAGCAGTAGGAGGAGGAGGAGGAAGGGGAGGGCCACCACCAATGATGATGATGGATCCTGCGAGGACGTCGCCCATCTTTTACGGGTATGCTTCCAAACCCGACAAACCCAAGATGTGAAAATACAACAACCCTGCTCAGCACCCTTGCTCTTCTCTCCTCACCTCACCCTACCATTACACCAGGCACCACACAAACCAACATCAAATGGTCACATGTTTACATCTACGCTAGAAGGGGTACAAAGGACAGAGTGTTTCCTTTGCTTATGACTTCACGCGCCCGTCATCATGCTTCAAAATAAAAGGATCCAGGCAGAGTCGCGATATGAAAGAGTCTTTTTATATGATGATGATATTGTGATGAATGGTATATGCACGATGAGAAAAAAAACAACAACAAGCGAACGAAGCACTGCGAAAGAACCTTTTTTTTTACGTTCAAGTAACGATCGTCGGCGTATCTAGAACAGCGGAAGAAATCATGGTATGTGGAGAACTAGTCAATCCCAACCCACCGCCGTCGTTCTCATGGCCCCCCTCGTTGTCGCTGTCGTCACGAAAGAGTCTATCACCCTGCTGCCGCTTATTTTGAGCCCGCATACTTTCACCACTGGATCGACTCAGCCCCGAATCCCGACGAGTCTCCTTCGAGTTCTGTCGTTGTCGTTGCTGATTCTTAGTGATGTCGCTCGCCCTGTCGCTATGCTTGTCGTCGTCCTGTGGTGCGAGGACCTCTATTGAGTACTTGGCCTTCATGGCGCCGTGATCCTTTATATCAATGTCGTCGTCATCATCCTGTACAAACGTCATCTGGCTCATTCCTCGACCGCCCACATTGTCCACATCGTCTTCGTCGTCTTCATCAACCACTTGCGCCTCTCGTACTTCCTTTTCATCTGTCAACATACAAGATATGTCAAAAATAAGCATTAGTCTGCTGAGCTGGACAGAGAACAGAGTGTCGAGATAAACGCGACAAAAACGCAACAACACCCACGGCGCACACTTACACATATCATGCAGCGACAGGACTTTGACTCCAGCGGGTTTCGAGCATTGATCTAGAGCTGACTTGGCCTCAAAGATCATTTGCTCGATTGACATACAAAGACGCTTGAATGTCATGTCGTCCAGTTTCTCCTCCTCTGTCAGTTCAATTGCTTCCACGCTCTGTGCCAGCGCCAAATCTGCCGCTGAATACCCTAACTCTCCATAATGTGTTCTAGAAAAGAAGAACGTAGTGAGGAAAGAGGCAGGAACAGATCAATTGGTGAGTGAAGGGCAGATTGGGATCGTGTGAGGCAACGTTTTTTTTTGTTGTTGTTGTTGTTATCGTGTGTCATTGTTGTTTGTGTTCGCGATGGGCCGACAAATATTTTTTTAGGGGGTGAGCGGTAAGGGACAAGTTGAGCGAGAGCGGTAACAATGTGGATGGGTACACCAGAATCAAAAGTGAACAAAAATAGGGGAGGAATGCATTAGGTGCCTTGACTTTCAAGGTCATACCAAGTACACAGAGGTAAACAACAAGACGAATGGTTTCCCACTTACGATTGCATTCGGACCTTGAGCTCCTGAACCTCACTCGCTTGTTTCCGAATGGTCGCCTCAAGAGATTGATTGATCGATAGAAGAGAAGCGTTCGAGATCTCAAGGTCCGCAATCTTGCGTCGTGTCCTGGCTGCTTCTTCTATCCGGCGATTCTCCTCTGCCTGCTTGACTGTGGCCGATGTTGTTGCTGAAGCGCTCTTGACTGATCGGGTCGTTGGTTGTTGTTGTTGCTGTTGAAATGGCTGTGATGACGAATTTGACATTCCTGATAGTGCCGATCCTTCATCTCCTGATCGAGAATGTCCAAGGGATCCGCTTCTTGAAAGGCTACTGCCCAAGCTTGCATTGGAGGACGGCGTGTTGTTCCAGGTTGGGAGCGATGCTGAGGATGTGAGCGGTGCAGGAGAAGTAGTGCCGACAAGCGATCCCGCTGTAGAAGATCCAGGAGTCGTAGTAGTCAGTAGAGACGACTGCAAAGCGTTTTGATTGCTGAGGCTCAGACTTGGATCGATCTTGATGGACGCGCCCACTGCCATTCGCATTGGTTTGGCCTGATTGTTTCCTGATCCAAAAGTCAAGCCTGATGTACTGGATGTTGCCCTGTGTCGACTTGACCGTCCAGCAATCTTGAGCCCCACCGTTGACGACGATGGGGAGCGGACCAACCCTGCAGAGGAAGAGGAGTTATGCCTGCCAGATAACCCAACCGGTACATTGACCCCTCCGCCGACACTGGCCTGACCTCCTGAATAGAGCTGCATCTCGTCTCCAGCGCGATCCGAGTCCTCAGAAACAGTGCCGTCATCAGAAGTCACCGATCCACCGTCTCGCCGTCCACTCCCTGCGCTGCTTGCACCATTGGCACTCCTGAAAGATGCAGTCGTGGCAACAGAATTGGACGACCGGACACGGACAGACGCCATGCGAGGAGGAGTCGGTGTATTGTTGTTGTTGTTGTTGTTGTTGTTGTTGTTGTAAGTGTTGTACGTGTTGCCATTGATTGTATGATATCCATTGGGTGTTGATGTTGAGGGGGTCATGGAGTAACTTGCACGAGAGGAGTTGGTCGGGGTCACAGTGGCCGATCCGGGCAAGGAAGAGGCGATAGGCTTGAAGGAGGGCGCGATGGAGGAAATATCCATTTGGGCGACGCTGGCGACTTTGGCGCGTCGGAGTGGAGCAGCTGTTGTACTACTGGCATTCGCGACCGACTTTTGATTGGCCGACGAAGGTCGCGAGGTATTCATCGTGAAACTATAGCTCTTCTCTCGCGTTGATAGGTATGTTGTTGTTGTTGTTGTTGCTTGCTTTCTTGTGGTGAGGGTTCTGTTGGGAAATGAGACAGCGTGGGAAGGGAGAGAGAAAGGGAGAAGGAGCAACCACGAGAACAAAAGGAAAATACGGAAAAGGAGAAGAGAGAGGATTCAAATGGTTGGGTGCAAGAACCGTTGGTTGGGGCAAAGAAAAAAAAAGAACGTGGTGCAGACTGGATGTGGTTTGGGTTGCAAAAGGGTTTGAAACGAATAAACCGTTACGGCAATGCAATACATAAGCAGTTTTTTGTTTGCTGGAGGTGATGGCAAACAAAAAAGAAAGGAAGAAAGAGAGGGGATGCAGTGTAGTTGGGAAGAGGAAGAGTGATTGTTCTCAAGAGTACGGTTTCTATTCTCCCAAAAGACGATTCGAGTGTTGTTACTGAGAGCAATGACAACGTGCTGTTCAGAGAAGAGAAAGAAGAAGGTCTTCGTCGTCTGAAGAAGGGGGAGATGGCAAGGAGGAGACTAGTGTGAGTTAGGAGAGAAAGAAGGTGGAAAGAAAGAGAGAAAGGACAAGGGAGAGAAGGAATCAGAAAGACAAGAAGGGAAGGAGGGCAGGAAGAGAGTGGGGAGGGTGTGTGAATCAGTTGAGGAATGAGAAGAGAGTCAGCAGGTTGTCGATGAAAGATGAAGGCCAACTGAAAGAGAAAGAGAAAGAGAAAGAGAAGAGAACGGAGAGAGAAGGGAAGTGAAAGGAAAAGGGAGAGATACAAAGCGGCAAACGGATCCATCCACTGAACCATCCTTGCACTCGCCCCTCCCATTCTCTCTTTTTCTTGTCCCTTTTGTTGCCCCCTTTCGTCATCCAATCTCTTCTTCTGTTCCCCCCTTTCCCCTGTGCTGCACTCATCTGCCACTCCCGCCACCACAGGTCTCTTCTCTCTCTCTCTCACTCAGGCTGTGTGTGCTGACATCCACCTGTCCTTTATGTTTTCTGTCCTAGTACCTTTGCCACTGTAGCCGCATTTCGCCTCTGCTTCCAAGTAGCCCATGCAACCAAACAACCAAGTATCGGTGTCTGTTTGTGTTTGCACGCCCGGTCAGCTTGGTTGTTCCATGCCTAGCCCTCATTAGCCCCTTGCACAAGTACCCTCTCCCCCTTCTTCATTAATAGCAGGTCGACCTCCTTGAATAAGAAAATAACAAGAGAACCCTCTCTCCTTTGCTTTGAGGAGCTGCAACTGGATTGGATCCTCCGCCCCTCCGTTCTCGAAATCTACAACGTGGACTTGTTTCAGGTCCGCATGTCCTGCCATAGCGCTCAATCCAGAGAGATACCCTTTTGCTCACAATCCCTGATCCCGTCACTTTCTATGGTCCTGCCACTTGCCACTTGCTCTGGTACCGCCACTTATAACGCTGTGTGTTGCGTATCAAAAATGCTATTGTGTTTTTCTTTTGTTTCCTGTAAGAGATGGTCTAATATGGGCTGGATCTAGAGGACTTGCCCTCAGCCTATCGACAAACCGTCAAAGAAGAAAAGGTTAGTATATGTCACCCATTGTGCAAGCACCCATAATAGCCAATGACTCAACGACCCTGTCAGATATAAAAAGTCACCCCTTTACCTTGAGTTGTAATGGGGAGCTATGCCTTGAGGAGGCACTTGCTGCAAGAGGTGATGTGGCGGTAGTGATGGGGTCAGAGTTCCAGAGCCCAAGCTTGGCATCCTCTCCTCCAGAGTACAAGATGCCTCTCTTCGAGTCCCAGAATGTGCTCCTGACAATCTCGCTGTGTCCTCCGCTCAGAACTTGACAGAGTTGGAGGGAATCTGCCTTGACATGCAGAATATTAATGTTACCCCTATAAAAAAATAATCAAAATGGTGCAAAGAGATTAAATGAGCAAATCACTTCAGCGGTAAACACCCTCTATGCAAGGCGAAGCACCTAAAGAATAAAATACGTCCAAATGTTGTTACTTGTGGCGTAACTTGTACTTACTCATTTGACCCTGCAAGCAAGAAAAGGCGTCCCGATTCCGGCTCGTACTGGCAGTCGATCCCATAGTCTAGTGTCAACCCCATGGCAGGATTGCTGACTCCGCGAATATCTCCAAACTGGTGAATCGCATCGGCATCCTCGCTATTCCAGAGCGAGAGGGTTTCCATGTGACTCAGGCAGTAGATGTACTCGGCATTGGGTCCGAAATATCCGATCCTGCTAATACTTGCGCCCGTGTTCGAGACCACCATTAGTCCTTCTTCCTCGTCCATGTCCGTCAGATCGAACTGGCAGATCAATCCGTCGACGGAGCCCGTCATCAGGCGAGCAGGGTTGGTGGGGTGGAATTTGATGTTGGTGATGTCGTCACTGTGCGATTCCGAGTAGGTTTTCACAATCGCTGAGGTGTTGCTGCGGGCGTCGAAAAAGTGGATATTGGCGTCGTACTCGACCAACTCTGATCCTGCGGCCAAGATTTGTTCCGATGAGTTGAGGTCGAATGACAGCAATGGGTCCTTTGCTGGCGCTACATGTCAACAAAAAATACAAGTAAAGTGTCAATTGATTTCATTAATGATTATCGCCGTGGGTGGCCACGATAAATACAGCATGCCTGTTACAAAAGAGTCCTCTTGCTTACTCTTGAAGACCTGGACAGGGCCAGCATCAGTTCGGAGGTCCCAGACAGCGACAGAGCCGTCCTTGGACGAGGACATCAGAATGTTCTCCCCATGTGCTTTAATCTGAGTAATGGTATCTGTGTGGAACTTGAGGATGTTTTTGATGGCAAAGGTGGCGGGGTTGTACAGCTTGATCTCGTGGTTGGAGGCCGAGACGATCATGTTGCTGCTGTTGGCGACAATGTCAAAGATGTAAATGTCGCCATGAGAGAATGCTGAGGTCTGCTTGAGAGCGAGAGGTGGCTGGATAAGGCGAGGCTCAAAGGTGATGGGGATCGCTGGAGGGATGCCGTCGTTCATTGTTGGTAGTGTTGTAGCGAAGAGGGATGGCTGGATGTCAAAGGTGAAAGCGAAAGGTGCCACCAATCTCGACACCTTTAGCCCTTGCCTGGACCGCCAAAAAAAAAAAAAAAATGGGCACAACAACCTTCAAAGCAGTCACTCAACGCGAAATTGACGCGACGGTTGATCATATCTGCTCAAACGCCAAATGTCTCACTACATACATATCAACTACCAACAAGCAGCGAGTGTGAAACTCAATTCAGAAGCTGAACGATGTTCGTGTAACAACAGCGTTGGTGCTGCACTGACATGCTGCAATCAATGACGCTATAGGGATCTAGAAAATTCTTGTTTGTATTGCTCCCGAACCGCAGATGAACGACCTCAACACATGCTCGAAGTACCATTCATCGAGGACCGACTCTTTCCAATGTACTCCACTTCCGGTACGACATTTCGTTCCTGCCGAAGTCGTGATTTGTTTGACACACAAAAGCATGGATAGTGCCGTTGATCGTGACTACACGTGCTTGCGATTGCCTATCGAAAGTCAACTAAGAGTCCCAAAGAAAGTCAACTGATAGTCCTTGTATGAGAGAGAGAGGATGTGTCTGTGGATGTGTGTGAGAGAGGAGGATGTATGAGTGTGCAAATGGGAGAGAGAGAGAGAGAACCGGATGGTGTGTCTCACGATAGAAACAAAAGGTACTGATGTTGTCATTTCCAGTTCTGCACCAAGATTCTCAATAGACCCACGTTTCTGACGGAATCAGGTCGTTTGAAGGGAAGGTCCTACTCTCTCAGAGAGAAAAACCCCGTAAGAGTTGCCATTGTCCGTGTGTTGCGCCACATACTATGGCTGTGCGCCATCTGGTTGCCTGTTTTCTTTCTTCGTGGAAGAAAAGAGGGAGAGAGTCTTTCTTTTTCTCTGAACGTGGAATCTTGTTCACGTTGTGCTGAATGAAAGAGAAGGAAAGAGCCCTTCAATCTCTCTTTGTTTGCTATCGTTCCGGAAATGGTCGCCCTGTACATGTCAAAGAAAAATGACCGCAAAATGAAAGTAAGGAAAGACATCAATGGTGCGGCGAATTTCTTTTTGTTATTTTATCTAATGTCCCTTCTTTTTTTTGTCTCTGTCTCCTTTTTCTGTCTGTCTTTTGATGTTTCTTTGGGCTCTGTCTCCTTAAAAAAACCATGGTTGACCCATGAACCACCACGAAAGAGGAAAGTTAGAGGAAGAGGTGAAGAAGGAGAGACGGGACGGACGGAAAAATACTTTAACATGCGATTGGCAGAAGGTGAAAATGGATTTGAGATGTGTTTTTTTTGTTTGTCTGATTGCTTGCTATGTTGCATATCTCTTGTGGGATGGGATGGACACTCAGTCCATCAAGAGTCTTTTCTTCCCCAATGATCCCTCCTTCCCTTTTCCCATCCCTCTTCTCTCCCCACCTCCGCAATGCCCCCTCTCTCTTTTTTTTTTTTTTTTCTGCCTCCTGAATCTGTCATGTTTTCGTGGTCTCTCCTTTTGCACAAGGTACACATGCGAACCTAGGAGGGGTACTACATCCACAGAAATCTGTCAGGTACTGAGGTACCCAGTGGGGTTGGTCCAATAAAAATAGAGAGGAGGCGAACTACGCTTTATTCTTACTCTCTCCACCATAAACCCATCGTGATAGACACTGGGTAAAAGGCGACCATGGCCTTTCTCCTTCTGCCCGCTCAGCACCATAGGATGACGACTCCTTGTCAAAACGTTGGTTTCTTTTGTTTGTTTGTTTTGAACGTCAGAGTGCGACATAAAAATAAACAGGCGAGCTACTCCATGCGTTGTGTAATTCCTTTTTTACTCTCCACTCGTTCAATTGCCCCACCTTTTGAGTGCCTGGTTGGATCGATGTGGTGGTCTGTGAATCATGAGGCGGAGGAATGTTGTTTTTAATACAAGATCGCCATACAGAGAGACAGGCGATTTCCTTCTCTGCGGCACAGAACGGAGGGAGGACGTAAGGAAGGGACAAGAGGGACATCTCTCTTCTCTCTCTGTGTTTGTGCGAAAAAGGAAAGGGCCAAAAAGAAGAGAGACAGATGCAATTTCCCAGGTCAATGGAACAGTCGTCAAGATATTCCACATTCCACTTGACGCCAAAGCTTCCATGCAGCCACACAAGTACACAACACACAGACACACACGACACACGCACACACTCGTGCATACATTCACACAAAAGTACACACATGCATCGTAACACTCACACAGAAGTGAGGACAAAGATAGGACCCTCTATTCTCCCTCCCTCCTTCACTATCATATCATACATCTTCCCTGATATACAGACACACATCGATAGACAATGAACACAAATGCGGCAAGAAGGACAGAGAAAAGAGAAGAACCTTCCTCTTTGACCTTCTTCCACGTCCAATTGCTCAACAATTGTCTACTCGTCCATCCATTAACACAGACGTAACGAGGCACGGACAAAAAGAAAATAAAAAAGGAATATAAGGATTGGAATTCCACCAATCTTCCCACCTTTCTTATCTCTTTTTTTTCCCTCACTCTCGTTCTCTTCGTTGTTCTCTACTACTCCTCTCATCATCCCTCACCCTTTATACTTCATCCCTCTCCTTGCAAACATATCGATACCCCATCTCTAGTGATCGACCTCGCACACAACCCTTATTTTTTCTCGCAATTGTTGGTTGCGCCTTTCACACCCTCGAGTCCTTTTTTTTCCTTAATCCCATCGATCGCTATATAAACCCTTCCATCCCCAATCCGTTGTTTCCCTTTTCTCTTCATCTATTCCAGAGGTCCCTTAACCATTAACAAACAATCCAAACAATCAAATAACCAGGCCATCCTGCCTCATCTTCATCCTCATCCTCACACTTCTAATTCCCATCACACACATACAATGGCGCCCAACAGCAACAGCAGCACAGGACTCTACATGCCACAAACATACTCATTCCTGAGCCCGGAGACCTTCGAGACTCTTGTCGAGGGATACATCAACCAGCTCCACATCCGCAAACGCAACAAGGCCTTGATCACCCAACAACTCGCCAACGATTGCCTCATGGTCCTCACCAACCCAGAGAACACTGCTATCTTCAACCCAAAGTTCCGGTGGTGGGTCCGCAAGCACTTTGTGTTCACTGTTGTGGGCGAGCTTCGCATTCTTTTGGACAAGAAGAACGGCAAGCCAGTGTGTGTCCGTGAGCAACTGTATGACAAAGTCTGCTACTTTCATCACATCATTGGACATGGCGGACGCGACAAAACCTTTGCAGCAGTAAGTTTTTTTGTTGTTGATCTTTTGTTGTGCAATTTACCATTCATCATCAATCCATCGATCAGTACTTCGCCTCCTCTCCCCCAGCCTCCTTCGCCCTTACATCCCATCCATCTGCCCTCCTCTCCCCTTTGCTTTTATCTGTCTCCTTCTCTCACCTTCATACTCTCCCTCCCCTTCTTTCTCCTCCACACCCTGCACCACGTCCTCTCCTCTCACCTTTGCCACGCAGCTCCTTTCTCTCACTCGCACATATATACACACACACTCTCGCTCTCAATCCACTTGTTTGTTCCTCGCGTAAACCATCTTGTTAATCCATTCTCCCTCCCTCTCCTTTCCTCTTACTCCCGCCTTCGTGGTGTGGTTTTCTCTCTCCTTGTAATGGTCATCATTCACCCTATGTAGATCACAAAATCATACTCCAAGGTTCCTGCAGAGCTGGTTTCCCTCTTCACCAAGAACTGCCAGACTTGCCTGGGTGTCCGCAAATACAGCAAAAACAAGCGTCCCATCCTCCCAGAGAACGAGTATCCATCCCACCACCCTCACCACCAACAACAACAGCAGTCCTCCTCTGCCTCTGCCGGCCTTACTTGCGACACCAGCTTCTCGACCACATCATCCACTGCTCCCTCTGCCAGTTCTGTCTATTCTTCTTCGCAACAACAGTATGGCATGATCAACAAGGGTGACCAGGGCACCATGACCCCCATCTCCCCCTTGATGCACACCTCCAACTCTGGCTTTTTCGGAAACACAAACAACGGTCAATTTAACACTGAATACAACTATCCTCAGCAATCAACACAGCAGCAGCAGCTTAGCCAACTCCAGCAGCAGCAGATCCAGCAGATGCACAATGTTGCCATGCACGCCCATCATATGAGCCTTAGCATGGGCCTCTCAGAGTTGTCGCTCGGTAACAACACTGGAATGTCGCCCTCGGATATGAGCGGACTCTCGGGATTGGGTCAGCTCAACACCAGCGGACTTCGCGGAAGCATGTCGGCCTTGAGCAGTACCTGTTCGACCCCCACAACCATGGTTAAAATGGATCTCCCAGTTGTCCACTCTTTTGACAACAACTTGATCTCTCTCGCCCACTTGACCCAACAGAACCAGTATCAATCACTCACCGATGGTACCACCAATCTCGACGATGCCACCTCGTCCATCCACCATCATATGTACGATCGCGACCAAGTCGACTCGTTCGCAGCGGCCGCTAGCCAATACTCGCCCCTATTGGAACACAACTACCAGGCGACCCAGGCTCAGTACCAGGATGTCTACAACCAGCACGCCTACGCCACCCACGACTACACAGCCTACACCACTGAGCCCCAGTCGACCTACTCGATGGCCCTGTCCTCCCTCGCCTCAATGACAGCTTTGATGCCATCCCAGGCCTCCAACGGGTATGACAGCCAACAACAACCTCACGACTACAGCACTATCAACCCACAGGAGCATTCGCCTCTCCTCAGTCAGAACCAGATGTTCCAGAAGCAGATCCAACAGGAGCAGCAACGATTCCACCAGCAGCAGCAACATTTGATGACCACCACCACTTCTTCCACTTCTTCGGCCGTGGCGCCCGTCATGACGACCCCTCCTACCCTCAACGTGTCGACCTCGCTCTCGTCTCTATCGACATCAGCCTCGTCTTCATCCTTGGCCTCGCCTCCACCTTCAGCCGTCCCCTCGTTGACATGCTCCATTCCCTCGCCAACCACAACTACTTCCTCTTCCCTCCACTCTGGAGGAGCACCCTTCCATCATCATCACCACCACCAACAGCAACACCACCACTTGACTGCTCTCTTGGACCATGAGGCCAAGAACCGTCTTGGCGCTGTTGGAGGACTCATCTCTGGTGTTGTTCATGATCTTTAAAGACCCCCTTTTCTCAACTTATTCTCCTTGATGACCTCCACTTCTTCACCTTCTCCTCATGTACATATCTCCCTCCCCCATTCTCTCATCATATCATTGTCAAGATCATGCACACCCACACAAATCACTTCTTTTTATTCCTTCAAATGTATTCCACCACTATTGCTCATGCTGTTTCATTTTCCTGTAATGTCCTCGCCCTTTCTTCTGCTTCTTCTTCTTCTTCCTGATGACACAAACACAAACGCTGTAGCTATCACACTTCTCTCCTACAAACTCATTCACACCCATTCATTCAATCATAGACATGTAGAACTCTTAGACTGTTAATAATAATGTGTACAACAAACTTCACAAACACTTAACGTCTCGCTAATGTGAACCAATACTTGAAATACGCGCCTGCTGAACAAATAATACAAAAAGGGGGAATCATTGGAAGCAGTCGATCGAGACAAGGCGTTGTATCCTTGTGGTGAGCCATACCGATACTCCATGACGCGGTGGCCGTTCCGTTGTGGTTACTGTTGATACGTCAGGCGAGAACAGGGCTATTGAGCAGATGCTACTCATCAGGCGATTGCAGTCATCTATAATGTAGTATTGAAACAAAAACAGTGTTCAGTAAGCATGCAACTCACGCTGTGATCAGCACACATATGCAATTGTCCCTTGCCATCGAAGTTGGCCTAATTCTTTTTTTTTTTTTTTTACCTTCAACGCGTTTGAGTTCATTTACATCAGCACTACTGAAGCGTAGACTGCTGCTGTCACTGTCGGCACTGTCCTGAAGCTCATTCATGGCTCCACTATCGCTGCTGCCACTTGGACATTGTTCTCGCCTCCGCTCAAGACGCTCGGCCATAATCAAAGACGACTGTCGATATGCAATCAAAAGCCCACATGCAATCTCCACCATCTGCCCACACCTCTCTTCCTGCTGCTGTTGCCGTTGCTCCGTAACCTGTCTACTCGCAAGGGATTTCCGTATTTGCTCCACTCGTTCTGCAGCCTGAGTCTTTCCAGTCAGTCGGGTCTTTCTCGCAAAACGATATGCGCCACCATCGCCGCCAACTCCGCTAGGCTGGTTCTGACGCTGTTGTTGTTCTACTTGCTGTTGCGGTGATGTGTTCGACCGTAGAATCGCATCGAGAGTCTGCGTCAGAGCACGCAACAGGATACGGAGTAGGCCTCCAAGGCAGCGGGATTGGTGTGCTTCTCCACTGCTGCCACGGTGCTGTTGCTTTTGAAGGATCTGATGCTGGGCAGCAACACCAAATCGAGCAATGGGGAGGGAGCTGGAGGGTGGTATCGATGTCTCTGCATAGGGTTCTGCAGAGGTTGAAAGGGCCGGGAGAAGAAGCTGTGTCCACGAGCACTCCAATACTTGTAGGACATTCTTGTATTGCCCTGACGTGAGAAATGGTTCCCGCAAGTACTCTAATGCAGTAAGGACAAAGGGTTCAATGATTAGATATCACACACTTCGCTCAGCGAAACAAAACAACGCTAAAGTGTTAAAGTCGATTTCCTCACCTTGGACAGCATCCATGGTATGAATGTAGGCTCTCTCCGAGAGGTCAAACCGAATCATGGACGAGGAAAACATCGCCGTAACTTCTTTGACAGCAAGGATCAAGTTTGTGGTCATCGACAAATTCCACAACGACGTGGGCACTTTCTCTCTGTCGATGGCTTGTTTCTCGCTTGATGTTATCGTCTGCTCCAGAAAGTACTGGTTCCGCCGGATAACATCAAGATGACCCAAGAGTCGGTGTTTGCACTCCACGAGCTCTGTCGAGTCTAATTTTTTTGTTGAGGAGTGAAGTGTGTTAATTCGAGGGGAAGAGTTGGGCGCACAGACATATGAGCTTTTAGGTTATTACCTTCTTGCTCAGATCCTTCACCAGCAGAACTCTCAGAAGTTGCCAAATGAGGCGTACTGATAGTCTTTCTCCTCTTTGCCACCTTCTGTAGACCACCTCGACATATACACGAATCGGTAGTCTCCAAGTTCCGAAGCCGCGCTCGATCCTCCTCCAGCTGACGATTCAGTTTCCATCGTCTCAGAGTATCGATTTCTAACATATGAGAGTGGGCAAAGTGCACAGTCAGACAGGCTTTCCTACGCGAACTTGAATGAGAGAGAGAGAGAGAGAGAGAGAGAGAGAGAGAAAAAAAAACGACGTCTACGACTTCTTACCCATCTCAAGCAGCTTCTCACGTAGTTTCCACGCCTGATCTCGACCACCCGCAGTACTGCCACCAAAGCCCAACTGCTGAGTCTGTTGTTGCTGTTGCTGTCGTTTCTCTGCAAGTCGGGGCGACGGTGACCGTGTCCGGTCTGGCGAAAAGTCGTCCCGATGACCACCACCACCGCCATCCTTGTCCACCCCCTCCTCGTCCTTGTCCTGCTGCAGGAATGTTGTAGCCTGTTGTGATTTGGTGGCGTCTGTGCATCTTTGCTGCTCCTGCTCCCTGTCCTGAATGATCTGTCCCAGACGATCTAAACAAGTATATCATCCCATTTACAAAAACGGTCAAAAAAACAACAACTTGTTGGCGCTTCTCGAAAGGGTATGCCCACCTAGTTACCATTTGTGAACACGCAAAAAGAGGGGCGCGAAATAAATAAGCCGTTCTTACCAAGAACAGACGTTCCAAGCGGGGTGCTATTGACGATGACGATGGCCAACAAAAGTGCAGTTCTCTGACGCGGTGAGTGTTCATTCCTGGTATTTGGTGGTTGTGGGGGTTTGAGACCTTGGACTGGGTCCCGATGATGCATTTTGTAGTATCGTTGGGAGAGGAAAGAAAGAGTGAGGGAGAGGGGAGAGAGATATGAAGAGTTGATCACTTCACATACGACATGTGATCAAAATCGGACAATCTGCAAGCAAAGAAGTGGTTGCCTGGGAAAAAAAGAACCTCAAGAACATGAGCAAGAGCAAGAGCGAAAGGAAGACCAAGAAGCAAAAACCATGAGGCGGGTGAAGTTCATTTGAGAAAAACGTTTGTTTTATTTATGGTACACGATGGATGCTGTTGTGCGGGTGATTCGGATATGATTGAAAAAAGAAAAATGAATAATGAAGATGATAACATGGTAAAACAGAAAAAAAGCAACTTGTATGTCGTCCTAGTCCGTTGTTTAAGCACGGTGGACATGGCCCTCGTGGTAGTAGGACTTGAGGGTGACATGGAACTCGGCCATCTGGACATGGAAGAGCTTCAAGAGCTGAGCCTGCTCGGGGGTCAAGGTCTGGCCCTCCTTGCAAACACGGTACTCGTTGGTGAGGGTAACAATTCCGTTGTTCAAGACGGTGGGCATGCCCAAACTCCTGAGCTGGGGCTCCATGTTGTGGGGGAAGACCTCCTCGCCGCGGTAGACGGGGCCGGCGGGGACGACAAAGGTGCTGGTGGCCTTGATACCCGAGCGAGCGAAATCAGACTCGGTGTAGTTGGCAAAGAACTCCCTGACCTCCTCGGGCTCAGAGTTGGTGAAGAGAAGACCAACGTGGCCGACCAACTGCTCAGAGAGCTTATGGAGGTTATCCTTGTGCTCATCCTCAGGGGAAGTTCCCAATGCCTTGGCCATCACCTTGGTGCGGCCGAAAAAGAAACGGGAAGTCTTCCACTCTGAACGGACAGTCTTCAAGTAGGTGTTACGCATGTTCTCAACAGAGAAGATCCAGATGTACTTGTAAAGCTCAGCGCTATCTCTGATCTATAGTGTATCCAAATTTGCCATTGAAGCGAGTGAAGGTCAGTCTGTCTGTTGTGCTGTGCTTTTTGCTGTGGTTGATGTTGGGTTGGTTGAATAGGAAGTCAATCAAAAAGTGATATGCTGAGCTCTGTCCAGGCAGGTTCTGACGGTACCTGCTCATACAAGGCATCCTTTCCAGCACGACCTTTCTTGTCGGTCTGGGTGAGAGGGACTATAATGTTAGAAAGGTAAGATAAATGGTGGTAAGTAAACTGCTTTATGGAGTAGCAATCAGAACCAATGCTGTAGTAGCTCAGCTGTCGAGGCTGTTGTTGGTCTTGCTGATATTGTCGTATCGCTGGTCTTCTCTGTCGGCAATGTCGAATTGAGAGATTCGTCTATGGTTCGCCATCAGCTAGTTGTTGAAATAGAGCTAGCTTCAAGACTTGAAGAGGGTCGGCGGCGAGGGCACTCACCGATTTTGTTGCGCTTTGACTTGGCCATTGTGTTATGGGATGGGGATTGGGATTAGGAGGAGAGAGGGGATGAAGAACTAAAAAAAAAGTTATTTTTCTTTTTTCTTTTTTTTTTCTGAGGCACAAATGTAAACAAGTTCCCGTCAGACAGCAGTCACCTCATTGTACGGTTGGGACTGTCTTTCAACTCTGTGCTTGAACAGGAGATGAGATGGGTCAAACGCGCATCATTCTCACAGGCACACCCCACACTTAACACTAAAGACTCAGGACGAGAAGACTCAACAAACCGACACCGACCATTACCAAGGGAACACACACCCTTTTTTCACGCCTGAACAGTCTCTCCCCTCTCACACATCAACAACAACATACATTCAATGCCCTTGCCGCCATCAGTAGACAAGGACGGGCGTCAAGATGTCCTGCAGCTCAAACAGCAACTGGCAGAAGCCCTTGGCGACAATGGACCCTCCTACTGGCAAGCACTGACCGATTTTGTCTCTGGAAAGCTCAACCGCCAAGAGTTTGACTTTTACGCGAACCTCTATCTCTCCCGGAAGAATGGTACTGCAGCTATCTCATTGCGCCTTGCCTTGGTATTTTCGGACTATCACGACTCCTCGTCACTAACACGTTCCCGTATCATTATATATATATTTTTTGAAACATCGATTATTAAGCACCGCTGCACAATCAGTTTATTCTCGCCAACATTCACAACGCACAGCGGGATGCACCACCACCGAGCACACGATCTGAAGGGTGGGCAAAAGGAAAGAAGGGCAAGGACGGGAAACTGTTGAAGGAGAAGGATCCCAAGAGGCGAAAGATCAAGAACCAAGTCATGAGTCTCGGCAAAACTGAGCGGGAAAGAATCAAAGGCCTCAAGGTAAGTAAGAGAACGCGTACATGATGTTTGATTCATCGATTGGAACAGCAACGTGAAATGGAATACACGTATTTAACGTGCATTGCGTTCAACTACAAATAGGATTTGAACAAGAACAGTGGAGTGGTCAAGCAGAAACTCAAGGAACACCGCATATCAAAGCCATTGGCACCACCAATAGTGCAACAGCCACTACAGGCAGAATACAATCGAGGAGCTCATGCGCCATTATGTTTCGACTCGAAGGAGTTGCCAGATTTCGAGTCAATGCGGGATAGGATGACAGCAGTGGCTATGGAGAATGGACTGATGGCAGGAGTACAGGACTCTGCTGTGGAATTAATGCTACATGCATTGGAGGTATGGTACCACTATTTTAACTCTTGCGAGCTGTTTCTCGTCTACCGAATATAATTTCTTCCGCTGATATTTTTCTTTTGCACCTTTAATTCTTATAGAGTCATATCAAGAGCATTGTCAGCAACTGCATTATCAAATTGAGGTCGAATCGTTCTCATGGGATTACGGTACCCAAGCGGGACCTTGTTCAGGCAGCATCAGGCGGTGCAAGCGGAACGGGTCCCGCAGGAGCACAACACGGCGGATTCTTTGGAGGAGCGGGAGGAGAATCATCATCAGGAGGAGCGTCTTCGTCATCACATCTCATGCAGCTGGACCCATCGCCTGGCATGTCGTCTTCATTATACCAGGCCTCTTATGCTAATAGCGGCCTCAACTCTAAATGGACAACGACGATCACAGCCAAGGACCTAGCTTTCGCAATTGGTATTTCTCCAAGCATGCTGGTCGAGAACCCTGTGAACGTTGAAAAGTTGTTGTCAATTCTTATGGAGGAGGAGAGCGAAGAGGAAGACGAGGATGCCGATATGAGTGACGATCAAGACGAAGTCTCCGACTCTATGATCGAGCTCTGACCTTGACCTTTGCGGAATAAATAATAGCGTAAACCACACCTTCCAATGCTCAATCCTGCACGTGATACCGGCTGATTTTGCTGACCTTGACCAGTTTGCCTTTTGCATTCCCAACCCTTTTCTCCACTTGCCCTTCCATGCCAATGCGATGAGCGACAATGACGAAGGACCACGCGAGGTACAAACTGCATGCCAACCCGAACGCGTTTTTATGTCAACCTAGTCCTGTCTTTTGTTTCCTATAGGCGTACCTTTCATTTCGCTCACTTACATTCTGAACTGACACTCTTTTGTTCGTTGTTGTTGTTATGGTGGCGTTTTGTAGCGACTCAAGGCTGCCGTCTGGTTTACCGTCGGCGAGATATGCAATGCTGAGAGTATGTCCTCACCCTCACCCTTACATCTTTACTAAGATGCAGCAGTTTATGTGTCGTTCAGTATATGCTTAGACATTTAAATCGCTCTTTGCATTCTCGTCGTATTGTCGTTATTTAGAGGAGAGACTGAACGTGGCGATCACACCGCAACTGATTGCCTCCCTGGCCGAGATTGTCTTTGCCCAAGCAGGTATATATCTTTTAGTCGAGAGTTTTGTTATGGGGAATTCTTTGAAAACAATGGTCCGTCAGGAGAGAAGGGCGAGTCAAGTTCCGAGACTTATCCAGCCTTTTTCTGTTGTTGAAAATAATTATCTAGAAACCTTGGGCAAAGACCTGGAGATGTTTGCAAAGTAGAGTATTGAGGACGAAAGAGTTGATGTTGGTCGCAATTATTTGTAGAAAGATAACTCACTAACATGGATCCCCTACTGCTAACCTGTGTGCTTTACTATGCATAGACATGCCAGGAGGTCTACTGTCAATGTGGACGATGTCAAGGTTTGTGACTTTTTATGGTTTTTTTTTGTTGGACTCTGGGTTGCAGGGGGAAAGGATGATGGAGGAAGAGGGAGTTTATTCGTGGGGGTCTCTTCTTTTTCGTCATTTTTGAATCTAGTTCGCTAATCAGATCGATGTTTTTATCTACTCTTCCGTCCTTTGCTTTGTTGTGTTTTTTAGTTGGCTGCTCGGAGGAACTCAAGTTTGGTAAGGAAGCGATATGAAGGCGATGGAATTCGAAAGGAACGAGTCGGTGCAAAGGAACTATCAGGAAGGATGAATAGACAGAGAAAGACTTACCATTTCAGGACGGGGTTTTCCACGGTGTGGAGAATGGAGGGCATGCCGGTCTATCTTACTGAGGGGACGGGGCTTGTTCATGGATGAGAAACAAGGGAGGAGGAGGAGCCGATCCTCCATACCGGAACGGGCCATGCTACGATCCGATAGCCTTTGATCCTATCCCGCCTCCACACTATCAACCTTACCCAGGAGCATTTTATTGGTCAAATGGACTATTGAGCCCTCTCTTACCGGAGAGACAACATAGCATGGCTACGGAAATCAACAAACTGGATATATAGGCTTTGTCGACATTTCGTCAAAGTTCTCCACCCCCGGACTTTTTTTTGTTTTTTATGGGTGAGACACACTCACGACAACTATGACCTCTATTGGATCAAGGAAGGAGGCAGAAAGGAGCTGTCTGGAGCTGGCCCACCTCCGCAATGATGGTGGATGTTTCTTTCGTTCACACATACCAAGGGACGAAACATCCGGAATTGGGACTGAACTGGAGTGCAGAAGATGGAGCAAGTTTTTCATGCTAATTTGACTGACTTTGGTATTTTCTCTCTCTCTTGTGAACGTGTACTATTAGTATGAACTGATGGCTGCAGAGGCGGACGTACTTCAACAGCGATCCAAGGGTGCCCGAGAAGCAAGAAAGCGGAAGAAAGTAGCCTAATCCGTCCAAACCACCCACCACCACTTATCGCACAAACAACAATGGTTGAAATACCAAAAATAAAGAGCGAGCACAAAAATAAACAACGAGGTTGAACCTGCATAGCTTATGGCTGTTCTGATACCCCTGTTTTTACTGGCCATTTTCTTCCCAGGAAACGATCAATCATTTTTAGGTATCCTCAGCGCTCGTATGAATGTATTTATTCTTGTTAATGGGGCTCATTATGTAAAAGGATGATAAGAACAAATAAGATGGAAAAAGGATTGACGACAACAACGATCGAGAAAGAAGGAAGGAGAAGGAGGGGGAAGTCTCGGATGGGTAGTCCCATGTTTGTGTCACCAACGACGGAACCTTATTTTCCCAGGTTTTTATTTCTTTCGTCCTATTCTTTTTTTTCTGTCCCTGAATTGATGATTTATATGAAGCAATAGAAGCGGGGGCGGGGTTGTGCACACCCTTCATCCATGTTTGCCAGGAAGAGGTATGAGAAGTAACATTCAATAGTCTCGAGCAATTGAAAAGGTGTAACAAAAGGCGGGGGTGGGGAAGTGTTCAGCATGGGTTCGTAGGTATTTGGTAAAGACCAAAAGAGCAAATAAGATTGTTCGACGAGTGTACTATTGGATGCTCATCTGTTGTCTCGTTGCCCTGCATGCTCCCCTCCCTTTCTCATGATCAAAGATCTTGTTGATCGTACAATTGCAACGCTTTGCTTCATAACCAAAAAACAAACAAATACAAATGCAAAAGGCGGGGTAGGGAAAGTGTTGTCTCGCTGCCACGAGATGGAAAGGTTCTTTCCCTTCGACCCCCTTGTTCGTACAAGTCCGTGGATACTGTCTCTGCTTGATTTGTCGGTTCACAAAAATTGTACTTGTGAGCGTGAAGGTTTGCTGCTTTGTCTACAAAAATAAAAAGTGGAGGTGCACCCCTCAAAAAAAAAAAAGTGGGTCCACCTGCAGCCAATTCGATTCAATTGTTTATTTTGTTTGTTTGTTTGGGCAAATAAATTCCGGAAAGGACGAGTAGAAGGAGAGACAAAGCCGCTTGGTGAGAGAACGGATGGTTGGTTGCTTTCCGTTGGTGCAACGTCCTCGTGGACAAAGTGCGAGGAGGGGGAAAGAGGAAGACGTGTTTATTCTGTACCCATAGGTAGTACCGTGTCCGGGTAACAGTGGTGATCGGTACTGTAGTCATTGTTGGGAAGTGTGGAGAAGGTAAAGGTGAGAGATTGTGCGGGCAGTCAGAAGGGAGAGGGAAGGAAGTTGCACCAGCCATTCAGTCGACTAGTCAACCAACCAACCAGGCAGGCAAACTGTTCCCTTCTGTCGCTTCGCCCCTTCTTGTCATCCAACCCAGCCCTATCTCTTTTGACCCACAGACTGATCGATTGGAATGATAAAGTGATCAACTGGCATGATGAAGTGATGAACAATGAAACGATCAATCATCCATCATCAACAATAGTTCGGAGGGATAGTGGAGAAGTGGAGACGAGCGTTAGTCAAAGGAAGGGATGTGGGGGTTCGTGGATGCACATCATCCGCATTGCAAGTGGATGAATGGAGTATGTGGGTGTATGTGTATGTCGTGTATTCATGTGTGAGGGCAGTAGATGAACAAAAGGGGTTATTGTCGTTTGCTGGATACATCCGCAAAGGATGATGATCCTTTTTTTTTTTTTTTTTTTTTTTTTTTTTCGTATACGAGTGTACGTGGACTTTACCCCATGTTTGCAAAAGAATTTTGAAGTGTGCGTGCCCGAAAAGAAGGTGTCCACTCTCTTCTGTTGTTTGCCCTGTGCCCCACCTTTGCACACACAGGGAGAGAGAGAGAGGGGCCAAAGCAAGGTTAGATCTTGACCCCCTCCTTCGGAAAACTTTACTCCAGTTTTTTTTTCCTACTGCCTCGTTGGTACTGAACAGCAAAGGAATAAATTTCCGTAGTCCCTCTTTCGCCCTTTCGTCGTTTGTCGAAAAAAAGAATACTTAAAGGAACTCGGTCGTTCATCCCCCCTTTCTGCTTTTTTTCTTCCTTTCCTCTCTTTTCTTCTTTACTCTTCACTTTACATCCCCCTCTCTCTCTTTCACTCGTCATCTTCTTTCACTTCTTACTTTCTCACATTCTCTTTTTCTCTCCCTCCTCCTCACTCTACTTTTATCTATCAATCATTCCTCTCCTGTTGAAAGAAATAACCTCGCTTTTGTAATTAGCCTCCTTTTCATCCTGTATACCCTTACTCCCCTCTACCTAACGCCCTTGCTCTCCTTTACTCCCTTGTAACAAAAAACAACCACTCCCACAACAACACCATCCACTATCAAAAATGTCTCCCACACTCGACGTCTCTGCTTACTCCAGCAAGCTCCACTTTTACCTCAACGGTACCGAGATCATTCTCACCAACCCCGACCCCGACACAACCCTGCTTCAATATGTCCGCTCCATCGGACTCACTGGATCCAAGCTTGGATGCGCTGAAGGTGGTTGTGGTAAGTTATTTTCTTTATCAGTTTGATTTGTTTGTTGCTGTTTGTTCGTGCATTAAACCGAGACAGAGACAAAAGAAGCTTTGCTGTGGCACGTCAGCAGTGAAAAAAAAAGAAGAGAGCGATGAAGAAAGTGAATGTCGTGTGGTGTGCTTTCACTTTGTTTTTCTCCTCATGCAAAGAAGGGTAAAACTCCATCTCGAATGAACAAAGCAAGAAACTGATGTCGACTCGTTCTTGCATTTCTCTTATGAATTGGAACAGGTGCCTGCACGGTGATGGTCTCTAGCTACGACAAGGCTACACAGCACATTCGGTATGTTGATTTTGTTCATAAAGATACCCGTCTTGGCACTTTCTCCCTCAGCAACCGTGCAGTTTTGGTTGCTGTCGTTCGTTGGGGTGATACCCCCTGATCGCTTTCATTATTATTACTTTTCTTTACTTTTGACTTGATAACCTGGCCAATCAGATGTCTCGGACTGATGACTTTGTCCTAACCTGAAAGCACTCTCTCTTGAAACATGATCATTAGCCACCTGAACGTCAACGCCTGTTTGACTCCGCTCTGCTCCGTCGACGGCAAGCATGTCATCACCATTGAGGGTCTCGGTGATCACAAGAACCCTCACCCCGTCCAGGAGCGCATTGCTCTTTGCTACGGGTACGTTCTTCTTTTTTCTCACTGCTGGTTAACTACGTCCATCAATCATCATTTTCTCCCACGGTTGCCTAACATACCATACAATTATTTACTCTCGCTAAATAGTTCGCAATGCGGTTTCTGCACACCCGGTATCGCCATGTCGCTCTACGCCCTCCTCCGCAACAACTCCACTCCCTCCGAGCACGAGGTCGAGGAGTCCTTCGACGGAAATTTGTGTCGCTGCACTGGATACCGCCCCATCCTGGACGCTGCCAAATCCTTCGCTGCTCCTGCCGGTGGTGCCAAGAAGGCTGGTGGATGCTGCGGAGGCGCTGGTGCCAACGGTGGATGCTGCAAGGACGAGAAGCCCGCTTTCGCTTCGACTGTTCCCCAGGAGAGCTCTGTTCGCTTTCCCTCGGTCCTCTTCAAGGCCTACGACCCCACTCAGGAATTGATCTTCCCTCCCAGACTCATGAAGAAGACCGCTGAGCCCCTTCACTTCCAGGGACGCAAGGCCCAGTGGTTCCGCCCCACCAACTTGGCCCAGGTCCTCCAGATCAAGGCTGCTTACCCTCAGGCAAAGTTCATCGGAGGAAACACCGAGGTCGGAGTCGAGACCAAGTTCAAGTACATGGAATATTCTCCCTTCGTCTACTTGCACGACGTTGCTGAGCTCCAAGGAATCAGCATCACCCCCGAGGGCATCACCATCGGCGCCAACGTCACTGTCGCCAACTTCCAGAAGGCCCTCAAGCAGGCCATCGAGACCGTCTCCGAGGAGCAGGCCCACGTCCTCCGCGCCTTCTTGGCCAACATCAAGTACTTTGCTGGTAACCAGATCCGTAATGCTGCCTCGGTTGCCGGTAACATTGCTACCGCTTCTCCCATCTCGGATTTGAACCCTGTCTTTGTCGCCTCCAACTCGACCTTCAGCATTCTCTCCTCCGAGCAGTCCGTCGACTCTACTGCTCGTGTTGTTCCTGCCACGGAGTTCTTCGTCGGTTACCGTAAGACCGCTTTGAACCCCGCCACCGACATTTTGACCGAGATTCACATTCCTCTCACCCGCCCCGGCGAGTACATCCGCTCGTTCAAGCAGGCCAAGAGAAAGGACGATGATATCGCCATTGTCACCGCTGCCATCCGTGTCCAACTCGCCCCTGACAATACCATCGTCGAGACCGGCTTCGGTTACGGTGGTATGAGCGCCTTCACCTGCCAGGCCAAGAATGCCTCTGCCTTCCTTAAAGGCAAGACTTGGGGCGACAACGACGTTTTGCAGGGAGCTCTCTTGGCTTTGGATCAGGATCTTCCCATGCAAGTCTCGACCCCTGGTGGTATGCCCGAGTACCGTCGCACCTTGGCCAAATCGTTCTTTGTGCGCTTCTGGTGGGATGTCATTGAGCAGCAGAAGTTGGAGGTTGAGCACGAGCACGGAGACATCAGCTTGATGACCCAGGAGATCCACCGCGACCTTTCCTTCGGTGCTCAGAGCGATAAGGGAACTGTTCAGTTTTCTGAGACCAAGGTTGTCTCCCAGAGCGTTGCCCACGTTGCTGCCATGAAGCAGGTCACTGGTGAGGCTCTTTACACTGACGATATGCCCAGGCTCCACAACGAGTTGTACGGTGCCATGGTCCTCTCCACCCGCGCCCACGCCAAGATTGTCAGCATCGATACCAGCGCTGCCCTTGCCCACCCTGGTGTCAAGGCCTACTACGGTCACAAGGATGTTCCCGGCAACAACGTTTGGGGTGCTGCCATGTTTGACGACGAAGAGATCTTTGCTTCGGAGGAGGTCCACTGCGTTGGTCAGATTATCGGTGTTATTGTCGCCGACTCCCAGGTCATTGCTCAGGAGGCTACCCGCAAGGTCAAGATCGAGTACATTGATCTCCCCCACGTCGTCACCATCGACGAGGCCATTGCCGCCGACTCTTACATTCCCCTCACAAAGTCGATTGTCAAGGGCGATGTCGATGCCGCCTTTGCCACCTGTGCTAAGGTCTTTGAGGGCCAGACTCGCCTTGGTGGTCAGGAGCAATTCTACCTCGAGACCCAGGCCGTTCTCGTCAACAACAAGGGTGAGGGCGAATTTGAGCTCTATGCCTCGACCCAGAACGCCAACGAGACCCAAGCTGTTGTCGCCAGCGTCCTCGGCATCAGCGCTCACAAGATTGCCTGCAAGGTCAAGCGTCTCGGAGGTGGTTTCGGAGGCAAGGAGTCCCGTACTATCCCCCTGTCCTGTATCATGGCGATCGCCTCGTACCACACCAAGAGACCCGTCCGTTGCATGTTGGATCGTAACGAGGATATGGCCATCTCCGGTCAGCGTAACCCCTTCATGGGCAAGTGGAAGGTCGGTCTTGACGAGAACAACAAGTTGGTTGCCTTGGACACTGAGCTCTACTTGAACGCTGGTTGGTCGTCGGATTTGTCGGTCGCCGTCATGGAGCGTGCTCTCGGACACATCGACAACGTCTACTACATCCCCAACGTCCGTGCCGTCGGTCGCTGCTGCCGCACCAACATCCACTCCAACACTGCCTTCCGTGGTTTCGGTGGACCCCAGGCCAACGTCATTGCTGAGACCTACATGACCGAGGTTGCCGAGCGCATTGGCATGACCCAGGAAGATTTCCGTGAGCTCAACTTTTACAAGGAGGGTCAGCTCACCCACTTCAACCAGGAGCTCAAGGACTGGCACTTGCCCAAGGGTTACTTCCAGCTCAAGGAGAAGGCTAACTTTGATGCCCGCAGAGCCGCCGTCGATGAGTTCAACAAGCAGTCCAAGTGGCGCAAGCGCGGTCTCGCCTTCATCCCCACCAAGTACGGTATCTCGTTCACGGCTCTTCACCTCAACCAGGCTGGTGCCATGGTCCACATCTACCACGATGGTTCGGTCCTCCTGTCTCACGGTGGTGTTGAGATGGGTCAGGGTCTTCACACCAAGATGATCCAGGTTTGCTCCGAGGGTCTTGATATCCCCATGGAGATGATCCACATTGTCGAGACCTCGACCGACAAGGTTGCCAACGCCTCGCCCACTGCAGCCTCGGCCTCGTCGGACATGAACGGTATGGCTGTCAAGAACGCCTGCGACCAGATCAACGAGCGCCTCGAGCCCTACCGCGCCAAGGGTCTTGCCTGGAAGGAGATTGTGCACCACGCCTACTTTGACCGTGTCAACCTCAGCGCCAACGGTTTCTACAAGGTTCCCGATCTCGGTTACAAATGGGGCGAGAACAAGGGCCAGCTCTTCTTCTACTTCACGATGGGTGCTGCTATCTCTGAGGTTGAGGTTGATCTGTTGACTGGTGCTCACACTGTCCTCCGGTCGGATGTCAACATGGACTTGGGTCGCTCGATCAACCCCTCGATCGATATCGGTCAGATTGAGGGAGCCTTCATCCAGGGTATGGGTTGGTCGACCACCGAGGAGTCGTTGTACTTCCCCAACGGTCGTCTCTTCACCCAGGGACCTGGTAACTACAAGATCCCCGGCTTCCAGTGCATCCCTCAGGAGTTCAACGTCTCGTTCTTTGAGGATGTTACCCACGAGAGTGTCAAGACTGTGTACAAGTCCAAGGGAGTCGGTGAGCCCCCATTGTTCCTCGGTTCCTCGGTCTACTTTGCTATCCGCAATGCTCTGTGGTATGCCCGCCAGGAGAACGGCCTCCCCGGTTCGTTCTCGTTGTCGCTCCCTGCCACCCCCGAGCGCATCCGCATGGCTGTCGGCGACTCTATTGCCGAGAGCTCCAAGCTCGAGGCCAAGTCTGGCGAGCGCCCATGGGTCCTCTCCGTCTTTTAAGCTCTTTTCTTTCATTTTTATTCCATTTTGTCATATTTTCTTCTTCATTCAAGAAGCAAGCATGCTATTGCCTTATTTCCCTATTGCCCTATTGCACATAATAAACCCACTCATTTTTGTACATTACTCTCTTGTTCAGGCAATCAGTGGTTGTTCTAAATCAGCGATGCAATTAGTTAATCCGAGGGTTTGCAAGACAACTTCCCTTCATACTCTATGTGGCTAAGGAATGTAGGATAGATATGACGCGAACAAAGAGATCCGATATTTGTTTCAAAATTCAAGTTCAACCTTCGTATTGAGATCTGACATCTGTTCATATTCTTTTTTTTTTATTTGTTTGCGTTTGCTCGTTGAAAGAAGAAATGGGCGAACACACTGTCAATCCAGATCCCCCCTCCAGGCACCTCCAGTACGCCTATCTAAGCATCAGGGAAAGGAGTATCCCAAACAGACTTGTCCAACAACTCTCTCAACCGTCCGGACTCCTTCGCCGCATGGGTATCATCACTCCCACCGACATGGGTCCCCTTCACAAACACATTCGGCACCGAGGTCTGTCCGGTAAGGGTCTTGAGGTCAGCCTGGATCTGGGGCCCGTTCTCGTGTTCGTCGAGTTCGAGGGCCTTGTAGGGGACGGCAAGGTCATCAAAGAGGTCCTTGACCCGTAGACAGTAGGGGCAGTAGGATTTCGAGAAGATCATGACTGGGTTTGAGGCGATGGAGGTTTTGATCAGCGTGCGGACTGAGGCCGCGAGTTGGGATGCCATCTTGTTGTATGTGTGTGTATGTGATTGGTTGGTTGGGTTGAGTGAGTGAGTGAGCGATTGCTGCTGGTGATGTAGTTGAGTGAGTGATTTGGTTCGGAAAAAGAGAGTCGAATGTGGATTCTTTATATAGGGTTGGGTGTGATGGTAGAAAAGACGTTGGAAGAGAAGCGATGAGTCAGGAAAGGGGGGAAGGAAGGAAGGAGGGCAGATTTGTCAGGAACACGCTAAAATCCATGGAATTTGCGTCACTCGGACCGAATAAAAAGGAGCTGGATCACGGGATTGGCAACGGTTTTGCTATGGGTGGTTTTTTTTTTTGAAATGTCTCGTCCTTGTGCCATCATCGACAACCACCACATTCTTATCCAAACACCTTCACATATACTCTCACACACATACACACGCCTCCCGCACCTCCCATCTCCCTCAATGATCTCTCTGCTTTCCTGAAAAAAGTCACCACAGGTCTAGTCTTCGGTGGAGGACACAAGTGATGAAACAATGTTCATCAGTCTCTAATGAAGGCGCCGTGCCTAATCAGTTCACTACCTAGTTTTTATCGCCCCCGTTCTTTTCCTACCATCTCAGATCTTTTCGTTCGATTCGAGGCTGTCTTCCAGCTACTTACAGGTACGTTAGTCTGAAAAGGTTCAAGGAGAATAATAAGCCAATGGTGTGTGGGATTGAACGCTACACGGACGAAGAGAATTCCAAGCTAGTTGGAGGGATCTGAGAACGAAAATTCGGTGAATTAGTGGCGTCGATTCGAAGCTAACATCTCCATGCAGCTCACAAAAAAAACGTTGAGAAGCGAAAGAGCACACTCGCAAAGAATGCTGAATATAGCATGCCCCACCCCCCTCGTCTCATGGCCAGCGGTATCCATTTCCCTTTCCCTCCACTTTTACAAACCCAATCATCATCCTTGTTGATCTGGCACTTGTTTTTCACTTTTGTTTTGATCTGGTTTGTTTGTTGTGGTAGTTGTTTTTAGCTTCTCTCTCCTCTGTCTCTCACTCACAATGTATTTGCTCAAACGGCGTGGCATCAATAGAGAAGAGTAGAAAACAAAAACAGATGCTCACTCCTCCATTTCTATACCATCTTTCCCTCACTTCCTTCCTTCCTTCGTTCCTTTATCCTCCCTCACTCGTTGGCTCTCTAACCTCTTTCGCGCCATGCATGCATGAGCTGGCAATGGAGTAGAAAAAAAAAGAATGGCGAGGAGGGATACAAGAGCGCAAGGGAACGGGAAGAGGAAAGAGGAAACTAGCCAATATTTAGGCCACGAAAAAACGTGGGCCCCGTTTGTTGCTATTGTTGTTGGTTGTTTTTACGGATCATTGTGTCTATGGGTTCACAGCCTCACAGCTAAGCTACTTTTCCCACATGACACCTCAAGTCTATGAGCGGGGACATGCATGTATGTATTCTTGGCCTTGCATGCACACACACACACACACACACACACATACACACACCACGAGAACAACCTGCTCCAACAACAGGACACAAGACAAATGTACCTTTCTTACGTCTTCAACGACCCTCCATTTGGTTGGGTTACTCCCCCCCTTTCACTTTTTGTGCTCCTCTTCTCGCTGAAAGGTTCGGACTGGTGTAGGGGGAACACAAGCTAATGCAGTCGAGCACGAATGGAGGAAAGAGAAGAGGAACCTTCATTCTATTTCGCAACATGATTTTTCATGTAGTGCCCTCCAACGCTTAATGGTTTGAAATACACTCTTATACACCCACAAGCAAAAATGACGATCCTCCATGTTCATCCAGTCCAGAGATCCGCACACATTTAAACTAAATACCGGAAAGCAATAACGTTCAGTAGTACTTCGTAACCTCGACGGAGGGGTTGCTACAAAAAATAAAGCAGAGGCAAAAGACCCAGGGTGAGATGAGAAGCAATGTTGGCTGGAGATGATGACGCCTTTTTTTTTTCCCCCCTTCTTTTCCTTTTTTTTTTTCCTTGGGGGATCGAGTTAAACGCAAGTGCAAGCTTTTGCTGCTGCATTGTGGAGGAAGTGCTCACATTGTTTTTTGTTTTTAGTTCGTCCCCAAATGCACTTTTTTTATATTTGTTCTGAGGAAGAATGGGGGTGGGTTTCAGTGAGAAGCAAAAAGAGGAGGGAAAGAGGGAAGGATCACAAGGTTGAAGGTTGTGTGCATCTGCATCCAAAGTAACAGCGCCGTACATAAACGTAAAATTAATCATCAATACAGAAGCAAGTAAAGCAAACGCCTTGGTCGTGTTAAACAACAACAACAACAACAACAACGACAACGACGACAACGACAACAACAAACAACAAGAATAATCCGTAGGAAGGAGGAGGAAAGGAAAAAAAAAGGAGTATTGGGACGTCGAGAATATCTAATTTTACTCTAAAACGCGTTCACGCGAGGTACCGGTACGGGAGTGAAGATTATTACAGTGTACAAAATGGGGTATCTTTTTTTTTTTTTTTTACAAAGTCCGAGGTCGCAATTAAGGACGTTAATGAAAAGTTTAATGAGTTTGCATTTATACACCTTGTACGTTTTTCTTCCCGCGAATCGTTATTGCCCTTCATGGATACAGGAAGCGTAAAAAGGCTTTTTGTGCTCCTGTTGGCAAAAAAAAAAAAAAAAAGGCGATGCTGTTTTAATGGAAGGGATGAGTAAGAGTCGAAAAGACGTCGTTATCCTCTCCTTGCGTTCTCATTTTCTTGTGTTCTCATCACCAATTTGTCTATTTGAACCACCTAACCATAGGCTTGGTATTCACAAGGTAAGTTGACGAACGACACGAGGAAAAACTCTGTTGTGAACCAGCTCATTTTTTTTCCTAATGTTCATGTACTATACTGGGAGTCTGTTAATTAGGGTTACTCTGCTTTTGCCTTCCTCAAGCTGGAGCCAGTAAAGTGCAAGCAGCACACCACCGGAAAAAAAGGCAAGGAAAAAAACGGGGTCATTGGGTGTCAAAGAAAAACTTGTTGTTTGCTGTGGTTCGGCTTTTGTGTGTGAAAGAACGAGTTGCACGGCATCGCCCAAAAAGAGTACTGTAGAGGGGAAATTAAGGAATATACTAGTCGAGGAGTATTTCGAACCGTTTGTTTGGTTGCGTTTAGTGTGTATGTGCATGTGGAGAAACAACATAAGATCAGGACTCTTGTGATGAAGGCACCCTTCAAACAGCCCTCCTCAATTCATGGGCACTGCGCTGCTGAAGGCCGATCTTTATCCCGAAGGGAGTAGAAAGAAAAATCTGGTTGGTTGGTTCATCGCTATTTCTAATCGTCATCATCAAGTCGTTCTTTCTATCGGGTATCCTTCCATGTTTTTGACACCTTCTGACCAATAGGTGCGATGCAGGCCCCCTCTCCTTTATTCTGGGTCAAAAAGATTGATAGAATGCACAAAACCAGATGACCAACTAGGTTCAGGGAATCCCTCAAAGGTAACCCCTCCTACCTCCTGCATTTGCATGATCATGCCGTCAACTGTCAAAATAGCAGGCGTTATTTTAGAGGGACTATAGAGACGGCTCGTTGCACTATGGAGGAAGAGAAATAGTAAAAGAAGAACAAAGAGACAATATGAAAAAGCCGGGAGAACGTCACCCGCCCTCAGTATATACTTATTATTATTAGGAGAAAAGAGATGGACGCCCATAGAGGGAGTTTGTTTATTGATGATGATGTTGCCTGTGGTGGTGTCATGCACCCATGCATAAGCGCAAACACATGTCCACTTTAAAGCGATGGCAAAGGCGCAACAGCGGCAGCACATCCGCAAAGTAGGGCAGGTGGGGTGGGACTTAATAAAAGCCAAGTAATAAAAAGAAAGAAGGAAAAAAAAGAAAAAAGGCAAAGGAGGGATAGAGACGACACCGACACGGGGAAATTAAATTTGCAACCAACAAGGCACCCATTGTGTGCGCGGAGGATGGAAAAAGAGACCGAGACAGAGGAAGTTGAGCGATGATCACTCCTCTTCATCACTATCACCTATCATCGTCATCATCAGCCATCAGCTACCACTTATTAAAATGATCACGTACTAACCATCACGTATCGCACCTCTCCTTCCTTCTGCGCCTCCCGCTTCATTTTATGAGAAATGATGCTATCGCCAGGATATTAGTCCGCAACAGACGCGCCTACGTTAGTTCGGAGACAAAAAAAAAAACACCACTCACCCATACATAACACTACCAGCCCTCCCTGAACTTGCGGCACAAAGCAGCGTTCCATTTTATCTCTTCATTTACCGCCAAAAGTACGATTGGGGGGTGTGTCGTTGGTGGTGGAGAAAGAGAAAAGAATCGAGGGAGAAAGAAAAGGAGGAAGGAAGAAATTGAGAGCAACACAGCGTCTTGTTGCCTTGCATTAATGAACAGAAGTTGTTTGTTAGTTTTGCTATTCAGTCCACATACAACAACAACGAAAAATAAAAACAGAGTTAAGACGAGAGCATTCGTACCAAAAACAAAACAATGAGGTCTGTTGATGAGTGGAATGGGGTTTGGTTTTGGATTTTCATTCTGCTTAATGAAAGTAAGAAAAAAAAAAAAAGAGGTGATGAGGGATGAGCCGTTTGTTAAATGCTGTTGTTGATTTTTGTGGCCGTACATTCCCACTTCTTTTTTTTCTCTTGTTGGTTGGGTTGAGAGCCATGCGTTGAGAGGAAAAAAGAAGCCAAAGAAAAAAGAAAGAACGAAAGAAGGACCACGAGAACGGTAAAAAAAGGATCTATATGGCGGTTATGATGATGATAGTGTCGTTGCTGTTGTCGCTGTTGCTGTTGCTTTCGTTTATGTGGTTGTTGGGTTGAATGGTGAGCCACGAGATCGAAGTTCAAGCTTGAGGTGCGAATCAGTAAGTCTAAGAGTATAAAAAAAACGAGAGAGCCAGAGCAGGAAAAAAAGAAAAAAA